ACATCTTTTGGAGCCATCGAGATAACCTGAAGGAGTTACTTGAGATTTTTAAAATCGAAGACCGGAAAAAAACACCAAATGAACGATCCATAGTAGAAGGCCGACTGCCTCTAAGGCGTCTTTGCAACCCCTCCACGAAATCGGAAAGACTTTTCAATATTGCGGATGGACTGCAAATAAGCCATACCACGTTATATCGCCTGATAAAGGAGTATGCAGAGGATGCGGGATGCTCTCAAAGCTTTGCCGGAAGCTCTGAGAGCATTTTAGAGCGCCGGGTGGAGATGTTCACATGTTTGCAGGTTCCGATACCAATCTTCCAAAGACCTGAGGTGTACGAGGTTCACAATATCAGGTGTACGGGAAACGCGGCTTTTAGGAAAGGGAAAATAAGAAAGGATTGGGTATGGGTGTCGGTAGCGTCCTCAGAGGAGTGGGGAGTGTTTCGGGGACGCTTACCAGGACGTGTCGAGGCTTTGTTCAAGCTGCGGGACAGTGGGGGGCGAGCACATAGACTATGTATAGTGGAGCTACTCGAGGCAAAGGATCGTGGTATCGCTGATAGCTCACATGGGCTCCTGAAGGTTTGTAGGAGGAGGAGGAAGAGGATGTGGGTCGTTAATATTCGGAGTATATTGGGAATGGCCCATTTGTTTGAGGTGGAGACTGGTAATTGGTTGGTAAATACTAGGATAGACTTGCGTACGTGGAATGAATTTAGTTGAATACTTGTAAAGCCGTGAGGGCATTCTTGAGTGCTCTAGGAACGTTAGACCCAATTGGACTCTCTAATTCAAAATTCGTGTCGTTCTGCTATGCATGCGGATTGGAAGAAGGAGGTAAAGTTTCGGCCGCTCAGTATCTGAGTCTGGCTATCCAGCAAGCTCGCTCCAGGAGGTCAATGCCAGTCCATGTTTGCTGCTTATGCATGGACATTGAGCTTTTCAGACGAGCCGTACCATGGCCTCAACCTCAAGGCTAATTATGCCTTTCACGAATCGACAGAAACATACACGTCCGTCAAAGGTTGGGTAGTCGTCACCAGTATACAGGACAGTGCTCGTATCAGTATCCCGCGACTGACCGTACAGCGGCGTTGAGGATACCCACGTTAGATATCTTTTGAGGGACTGGTGCGGCCTTCCTATCCTTTGAGGACGGTGTATCAATCCAAAGGAGCCCAAGTGAGGGTTGCCTCACCTTGAGTGGGTATGACGAATGCCTCAGCTCTGTGAGCACTGGTGAGTGCTCTGGGAGCACTCGCGGAAGCCCTCGCGGGAGCGTTCGCGGGAGCGTTCGCGGGAGCATTCGCGGGAGCATTCGCGGTGCCGTGAGAGCATTCGCGGTGCCGTGAGAGCATTCGCCGTGCCGTGAGAGCATTCGTCGTGCCGTGAGAGCATTCAAGAAAACTGTGAGAGCATTGGGAAGTGCTCGCGTGTACTACTGACGTAATCAAAAGAAGCAAAAGTTCCTAGGTGCTGTGGGCGGAGTCACTCCATCCTAGCGTCTCCGGAGGGGGAGGGAATCTCATGGCGGCCCAGGCGACCAGAGCATTGGCGAGTGCCCTCCAGACGTGAGCCATATCTCCTGGCGGTCCCAGAGAGTGGGACGGTCCTGCGGCGGAGCCTGGCGCGAAGGTTGTACTCTGGCGGTGCCGGACGCGCTGGGCGCTCGTGGCGCAGAATGCCCGCCAGGACGTAGGGGCTGCGCCCTGGGTAATAGGCGAGCTTGCTGATGATTGAACTTGGCCAGAGGGGGTGTCTTTGGTTCTCGGCCACTGGAGGCAGTGGAGGGGAGTGAGGGGGGGCCGGAGGTCTCATGAACTGGGTTATGGAGGCCAGAGCTCTCTCTCTCTGCTGCTTCTCCAGCATCTTCCTGAGGTATCTCCGCCATCCTCACCTTTCTCCATCCTCATGCTCCGAATCTGAACTATCTGAGTTCTCTCTCTCCTGTGTTGGAAAGCGCCACCAACCGGGGGGACTATTCCATCTCCTCCACTATTACCCGCTGGTTCTGGGTTCTGGTTTTTTCCACCGAGGTTTCCCTCCGGCTGGAGGTTCCTCCTGGGTGACTTCGCTCGTTGAAGCATGACACAATGGCACCTAACTCCTTGTCGTGAACTTCATAATTCCGTTCGGCTCGCGAATTCCCTTTTTGGAGTAAAGGACTCCTGGATGGCACTTATTGTCATCTCAGTGGAATTGGGACCATATGTTAGATTTTGGCGGAGTTGGAGGCATCGGTCTCAACCTTGGTGGCTAGCTCAGCATCAAAGAGGGCTAATACGGGGTCGGATTGGAACGCCTCTTTCAGGACTTCGAACGCACGCACGCCTTCCTCAAACCAGGTCAATTCGGTGTCCTTGTCTCTTCCGACGGTTAATCTCGGGTTCGGTTAGAGCCGGACCGAACTCCTGCTACGGGTAACCACGTTGATCCTCGGAACTTGGATAGGAGTTCGCTTATAAAAGCGGGGTACCCGTCGAACTTGGGAGGGTAAGAATCCATTCCCTCTATCCATTCCACAAAAATTCGATTTTTTCCACACACAAAACCAAATTTATTACCTCTTCTCAGCAACAATGCTTTTCTTTATTCTATTCCTCTCTTTGTTCATCGCGGTCAATTCGTCTATCGTACAAGCGCTTTTATCTAACGCTAGTCGATCTCGCCGGGAGACGAGGCTTAGATCCTCAAGATGTCCGGTTATTACCGATCTCCTAAAGTTGGATGGTGGTAACTCTGTATATGCTCGGAGAGTTACTCGGAAACCTGTCCGATCACGGAGTGCTGTGAGGTAGGCATGGTTTAGTGGGGCTTGTAACCTCCTCTTACTCCCGCTAATGTTTCCACAGACAAGCTGTTCCTCGAGGTTTGGAGACCTCGACCTTCGACGGCCATTTCAACCAGGTTCCGTTTCTGACTCGGGAGGATTTCCATCGTCCTTATCCCTTCTTCCAACAAGGGACAGGAGTGTTGGTCAGGCTCGTGTCCGTGCAGCAGCAAGGGAGAAACGGGAACAGGTGCGGTGGATGCGGGAGGAGATTGAGCGAGATGGGAGGGGAGCGGAGTGGATGCGGCAGAGAGTGGCACAAGAAGAGCGGAATGAGAGACAGAAACTGGCACTCGAAGCGCATTACGAGGCATGGTGGCGCCAGAAGAAAGCCAGTTATCCTCCTCTTCCGGACCCTGCCTGTCGTCATCGTGGACGGCGGGACATTGACTTTGGTTGGGACTGGGGCCCAGATGGGAAATGGGGTCCTCTGACCAATGGGGCTATCAGGATTTTCTAGGAGCGGTCCTAGATGTGGTCTCCTTTCGAGCGAAGCTGGGCGCTATATCCCTTTGAGCGAATGTGGGCGCTATATCCCTTTGAGCGAATGTGGGCGCTATAACCCTTTGACGGATACAATGGAGACCATAGTAACGTGTTCGCCTCTCCCATGCCAGCCCGAGCTGAATAAAAAAAAAAAGCTAACTGCTTGGTTATTTCAGCGTTGAGAGTGGTCCCAGATGTTCCGGTAAAATTTTTTTCCTTTCGTCGGGGTTCTTTAAGCGAGGAGCTTAAAGTTATACTGTAACGGGGGTGCTAGGATGATACACGACCGTGACTTCGATCTGACATAGAAAGGGTAAACGGGCAACGATGGATTCATTGGGCTCGTTCGATCGAAAGATGGAGTTTATTTGTTTGATCGTATTTGTAGTCTAAAAACTTAATAACTTTAAGGGGTCTCCTCGCTAGTAAAGATTCCATCCCTCCCCGAGTTCAAACTGGGGGGCAACCGAGTACTTTTATCGAAGTTCCGCCCCCTTTTTTCCCGCTTTTTTTCTCCCTCGACCCTTCGTTTTTTCCCCTAGTCCGGGGACACCGCGACTTTTTTCTATGAGGGGCGAGAGGAGTTGCTGCCACCCCTCGGACGAACTTCCGCCCGAGTCAAATCACGCAATCTCTGCCAAGAGCTGGTCGGGATCCTAAGAACTAGCGGAAACAACCGACCAGATAGCAATTGCTTATTCAATTTGTTTTAGAACAGATTTGGTGTTTTTGTAAAGCGAGGTTTGCTTTTAGTAGCTTGGGTCGTACTCCTACTCCCCCTCAAAGGTGCTCCGGGCTGAAACAGAAGGGTTCCGGCGGTTCGACGCTCCGGGGGTTATTTTTGGGGTCTAAAACGTGTTTATTTTGCAGTGTTTCCTCAACTCCGCAATCCGTTCATTCAACCACCCCAAATGGACCGGAGCATCGTCAGGATCCTTCCTGACGTGGTAAAGCATATTTTCCGAGCATCGGTTGCTAAGTTATTGCACCTCAAAGGTTGACTTCCAAGGTAGGGTAACTTATGTTTGGGGTTACCCTTCCGTATTTGGCATGCTCGTCCTTCTGCTCTGGTTTTGGTCCAGTCGCCTAGCTTGACTTATAAGACTTCTTGCTCGCCAGGATCCCTACCCTTCATACCAATAGAGGTAGGGGTCATCTGCCCTTATCTTCACCCATCGATGAAGAACAAGTGGTGATTACCCTAGGGTCGTATGGCTTCACTGGTAGAACAGTTACTTTTGTAACAGCCCTACTGTGGCTCTGTTACATCAGGAATGGCCAGTACCCCGAAACATTAAGGGAGTGGAAGGCTTTCTGGGATTTGCAAACTTCTATCGCCGCTTCATTGAAGGCTTCAGTAAAGTTTGCAAACCTCTGACCGACCTCTTGCAAAATGACAAGAAATGGTATTGGACCGTAGCCTGTGAACAAGCATTTGAGGAACTCAAGAGGCTATTCACAAGCGCTCCAATCCTTCTCCATTTTGACCCTAGCAGAAGAACTGTGGTTGAAACTGATGCCAGTGACTTTGCCAAAGGAGCGGTGATCTCTCAGTATGGGGAAGATGGGAAACTACATCCGGTAGCTTTCTATTCTAGGAAATTCTCCCCCGCCAAATCAACTATGACATTCACGATAAGGAAATGGGAGTTATTGTAGCCTCTTTCCGGGAATAGTAGCATATGCTCAAGAGTTGCGAGCATGAGATCACGGTGTTCACAGATCACAAGAACTTAGAGTACTTTAACTCTACCAAAGTTCTCACTAGGTGGCAAGCTAGATGGTCTGAGAACTTAGCAGGCTACAATTTGAAAGTTGTCTACAGACCGGGAGAAAGAAATGGCAAACCAGATGTGCTATCAAGGCGTTGGGATCACCGCCCTGAAGAGGGGAGTGAAACCTTGCGGCCGGAGCCACAGATGTTTTTTAGGCCAGGTCAATTGGTTTTGGATCCTGTCAAGCTAACGGCTGTCAGGGTGAACCAATTGCAGAATACATTCTTAGAGCGACTATCTGCGGCAGCTAAAGAGGATGGAATCTGGCAGGAACTGCACCGCTCCCTGGTTGAAAGAAAACGAAACTTGGACCAGAACTTGTCTGTCAAGGACGGCCTCATCGTCTACAAGAATCGATGGTATATTCCCAAGGACAAGAAGCTCCAGATGGATATCCTGACCGATACCCACGACTCTAAAGTGGCAGGCCATTTCGGCCAGTTCAAGACATTAGAGCGGGTGAAAAACAACTTCTTTTGGCCCAACATGGATAAGGATGTTGAGGAATATGTCCGGAGCTGTGACAGCTGCCAGAGGAATAAGACCTCAAGACACAAGATGTTTGGTATGCTCCAACCACTGGAGATACCTTATCGGCCATGGGCTTCCATCTCTATGAACTTTATTGTGGGATTACCGGAGTCAAGGGGGTTTACAAAGATCTGGGTAATAGTGGACCGCTTCTCAAAGATGGCACATTACATCCCACTTCCTACACTCAATAAAACGGAAGATCTGGCTAAGTTGTTCTTGAAGGAAGTCTGGAGACTCCATGGGTTACCTGATGACATAGTCTTGGACAGAGATAGCAGGTTCATCTCTCACTTTTGGCAATCTCTCATGAGCCTCCTCAATGTAAAGCTGAAGATGTCCACTTCTTTCCATCCCCAAACGGATGGCCAGACAGAAAGAGTTAACCAGACCCTGGAACATTACTTGCGGAGTTATTGTTTATATCAACAGGATGACTGGGCGGACCTCTTGCTTTTGGCAGAGTATGCATATAACTCGGCGGTCTCTGAGTCTACCAAAGTATCGGCTTTCTATGCCAACTATGGATATGAACCCAGTGTAACAGAGCCACAGTAGGGCTGTTACAAAAGTACCTGTTCTACCAGTCAAGCCATACGACCCTAGGGTAACCACAGCTTGTTCTTCATCGATGGGTGAAGACAAGGGCAGATGAGCACCTACCTCTATTGGTATGAAGGGTAGGGATCCTGGCGAGCAAGAAGTCTTACAAGGCAAGCTAGGCAACTGGACCAAAACTAGAGCAGAAGGATGAGCATGCCAAATAAAGAAGGGTAACCCCAAACATAGGTTACCCTACCTTGGCAGTCAATCTTTGAGGCGCAATAACTTAGCAACCGATGCCCGGAAAATATGCTTTACCACGTCAGAAAGGATCCTGAAGATGCTCAGGTCCATTTGGGATGGTTGAATGAACGCATTGCGGAGTTGAGGAAACACTGCAAAATAAACACGTTTTAGACCCCCAAAAATAACCCCCGGAGTGTCAAACCGCCGGAACCCTCCTGTTTCAGCCCGGTGCACCTTTGGGGCGGAGTAAGAGTACGACCCAAGCTACCAAAGCAAACCTTCGCTTTACAAATACCCAAATCTATTCTAAATACACTGAATAAGCAATTGTTGTCTGGTCAGCTGTTTCCGCTAGTTCCTAGGATCCCGACCCGTTCTTGTCGGAGATTGCGTGATTTGACGCGGACGAAAGTTCGTCCGCGGTGTGGTAGCAACTCTTCTCTCCTCATAGAAAATAGTCACGGTGTCCCCGACTAGGGAGGGACGGACGGCCGAGGGAGAAAAAGCTGGAACAAGGGCGCGGAACTTCGATAAAAGGAACTCGGTTGCCCCAGTTTGAACTCGGGGAGTGATGGAATTTTTACTAGCGAGGAGACCGCTTAAAGTTATTAAGTTTCTAGACTACAAATACGATCAAACAAATAAACTCAATCTTTCGATCGAACGAGCCCAATCATAACCCATCGTTCCCCGTTTACCATTTCTATTTTGATCGAAGTCATGGTCGTGCCCCATCCTAGCACCTCCGTTACACCCCCACCGGAACCTGAGGAAATTGCAGGAGAACAGAACTGGATCGTCCGGGAAGTAGCTGATAGCCCAGTCAACAAGAAGAGGGGAAGGGTGGAATACTTGGTGCTATGGGAAGGTTATGAGTATGAGGATGCTACATGGGAACCCTAGGAACATCTCAGGAAGAGTGCTGAAGAGGCCCTCCGGGATTTCCACATGAGGTATCCTAAGAGACCCAGAGACAAGAGGGCTCTAGGCCAGTAGCATTTCCTTCAGATCCTCGTCCCCTTCACACCAAAAGGAGTTTTCTTGTCAGATAGTATTGCAAATGATAGATACAGATTATAAATCTCGGAGACCGAGATCCTGGAAGAGGGGAGTAGTGTAACGGATCCATTTCAACTGTCTGGTGTATGAGTACACACAGGGCCCGGTTACATGCTGGGAGTTATTGTCAGAAGCCAGCTGCACAGTGACATGCAAGTACCGGCAGTGTGGTTAGCTACCAGCTGTCAGAGTAACTACATTCTGAGCGCTAGGAAGAGGATCTACTCATGGGAGCAATGACTGACGAGTCTATGCCTCGCCAATGATTAGAAGGCCAGCCAGAGTGAAGCTCTGGGTGGTGGCGATCCTCTACATCCTCTGCGCATTGCAAGTCCACCGGTAGCGGAAGGGACTACGCCTGGGAAGTCTACAATAAGCGAAAGCTCTACAGCAATGATTAAGTTTACACCTGAGCGGTAGCTCATTCATGCAGGCCCCAGTTGTGCGGCAACAAAGGCTGCAGGTGTTACAAAGGCTTTGACTAAGGGTGGTTGCCTCCCCAACCGGGAGCACTCGCTGATGTTTAGAGATTAGCGGGGTAGCGATGGTATTGCTTCCCTTCCGCTAGAAGGCAGCACCGGAACTTAGTAAGGAAGTAGGAGCAGAGAATAGAGTCCTTTGGAGTATAAGTACTCAGGATCATTCCCGCCCAACTGTCCGCATCCTCATCTTGACCATCATCGGTAGGAGAGCCCTTAAAGATTATTGAGTTCTAGCGATAGTATCTTTGAATAAATCTGCACCTGATTTCTATCTTGCACGGCCGCATCTATTCTATTGGATTTTAGCGATACATAGATAGGCTGCCCCCGTTACAGTATCATAGTCCATTGCCCATAGTCCCCATGATAGATAGCTGGTAGCTAACCACACCGCCGGTACTTGCCTGTAACTGTGCAACTGGCTTCTATCAATAACTCTCAGCATTTAACCGGGCCCTGTGTGTACTCATAAACTGGCATCAAATAGTTGAAATGGCTCAGTTACAGGTTTTGCTTCCCTTCCATCAGAAGTCATCATCGGAACTTAGTAAAAAAAGAGGCGCAGAGAATGGAGTCCTTTGGAGTGTAAGTACTCAGGACCCTTCCCGCCCCGGGCCAACTATCCGATTTCCCCGAGTCTTCAGGAAAGATATCAAGTATTCTATTCAGTAGCAGAGCTTTTAAAGATTATTGAGTTCCAGAGATAACTCTTTGAATAATTTAAACCTGATTTCTATCTTGCACGCCAAATCTTTCTATCGGATTCTAGTGATACTTGGAAAGGCTGTCCCCATCACAGTTACTGTGCAACTGGCTTCTAACAATAACTCTCAGCATTTAACCGGGTTCTGTATGTACTCATGCATCAGACAGTTGAAATGGCTCCGTTACATTAATGGCAACATGCTGCAAATTTCTTAACTGGGTTTGGTCCGGGCATTGAACAGCAAAAAGTTGTGATTTTTTTCTGAAAATTCTCCACAACATCTAACGAAGTCCAAACTGACCAATCAAAATCATTGTTTACATTTTTGAGCGTTCTCTAATGTAGAAAGAGCAATGCATACATGGCTCGAAACCTTTCCAGCTTTGGAGCTCCCTGTCTGATCCCTGATCGATCCCTTCAGTTACCTCACATAACTGATTCCTATACAAATTCTTGGCTCGGCGTCAACTATCATTGGCCCGCCACCACCTCACAACCTCAACCAATCGTCCAGTGCGCACTGGTATTTAAATTGTACGCCCGGTATTATTGACCATAGGTTGTAGGCTGGGCGCATAAGCCTCTAATGCGCACTCCAACGTTTATGGTCGCACCGCATCTACTCGTAGATTCATGACGTTTCCGAACACGACCAATATTACATGAGATACAAAAAGGTGGATTTGTATGGCATGCAATAGCAGTCGTGTTCGGAAACGTCATGAACCTACGAGTAGACATAGGTGCTCACTCGTCCCTGCAACATAATATACTTCAATATAACTTGCTTAAGAAGAATGATTATTTCTATAATTAGATGAGCAGTTAGTTCTAGCTTAGAACACAGTTTGAATAAACGTTCTTGCTCTCTCTATCGCGAATGACCTACCGTTATAGAGTATAACCCGTCTGGTAGTGCAGGCTTGAGTACTATGGGTGGACACGTGAAAACAAGGAATAACACCTTGGCGACCACTTTATCACGCTACGTGTCTCCCCATCGTAGATGAAAGCTATATACTTTTGATTGCAACCTTTATCCACGACTCCACAAACATGAAGTTTAAAATAGAGTTTGTGATTCCCGTCCGTTCAGGGTGTTGAAGTGTTTTGTCTAATGGGCTTCGCAGTGAGCTCGAAGTTATCTTCCCTTACCCACGAATTTACCCAGGTGATTCTTTCAAATCCCGCAAATTGCTCCTCGCTAATTCTCATAAGAGCAATATGCGTACGTTGAGCGGCCACTACCACCAGCTTGATTGCAATGCAAGCTCTACTAACATCTTCATGAAGTTATATGACAGATCTGAAAAGTATTGGCCGTGGTTATATAGCTCGTTCATGTTGATCAAGCTAACGGCGTATCTGACAGGAACTCTCGATGCCGGTGGACATTGCGTTCTTGAGATGCCTTCGGGCACAGGGAAAACTGTATCATTACTCTCGCTGATTGTCGCATATCAGCAATCATTTCCGGAACCGCGAAAGCTTATATACTGCTCTCGTACGATGTCTGAGATAGAAAAGGCGCTGGCTGAGCTGAAGGCTTTAATGGCATATAGGGCAAAGGAGCTTGGTCACGTAGAAGATTTCAGAGCGCTTGGCCTAACAAGCAGGAAAAACCTTTGTTTACACCCTACTGTTAAAAGGGAAAAGAGTGGAAATGTCGTCGATGCAAAATGTCGCAGTCTTACGGCAGGATTTGTGAAGGCAAAGAAAGAACGTGGTGAAGAGGTGGAAGTTTGTGTTTATCATGATGTAGGCCCTTCATAGAGAACTAATATTCTTGTCGTGTGCTGATAACTCTTTTCCAGAACTTAGATCTCCTAGAACCACATAATCTAGTGCCACCGGGTGTCTATACGCTTGATGGTCTCCTGAGGTACGGAGAGAAGCATACGCAATGCCCTTACTTCTCTGCTAGAAGAATGGTATATTAGTCTCCAGCACAGCGTCCTGACCCTAATTAATTTGCTCATCTGTGGGATTAGATGCCGTTTTGTAATGTGATCATTTATTCATATCACTATCTGCTAGACCCAAAGATCGCAGAAAGAGTCTCCAAGGAACTCTCGAAAGACTGCATCGTTGTCTTCGATGAGGCTCATAATATTGGTAAGTTCACCTTTTCAGCATATATTTGAGGTTTATTATACTAATCTTCTGGCACTAACTAGATAATGTGTGCATCGAATCCTTGAGCATTGACTTGACGGAGGATTCACTTCGAAGGGCTGCTCGTGGAGCGCAAAATCTGGAGAAAACGATCGGGGAAATGAAATCCAGTGATGCAGCGAAGCTACAGAGCGAGTACCAGAAGCTTGTTGAGGGTCTGAGAGATGTCGATGAAGGGAGAGAGGAAGACTCATTTATGGCCAATCCAGTCCTTCCTGATGACTTATTGAAGGAAGCCGTGCCTGGAAATATCCGAAGAGCGGAGCATTTTGTGGCGTTTCTCAAACGCTTTGTTGAATACCTAAAGGTATTTAATCTTCTATTATCCTCTATTATAAGCTTGTCGCTAATCCATTCTAGACAAGGATGAAAGTTACAAATACTATCTCTGAGACTCCTGCCTCCTTTTTACAGCATCTAAAAGACCTGACTTTCATTGAAAGAAAGCCGCTTAGGTTAGCTTTGAAATCTATAAAATTTTGGCGTTGTCTAACATGGTTAGGTTTTGTGCTGAGCGATTGACCTCTTTGGTTAGAACGCTTGAACTCGCGAACATTGAAGACTATCATCCACTCCAAGAAGTTGCTACTTTTGCGACTTTGGTGGCCACTTACGAAAAAGGTTTCCTTCTCATCCTAGAGCCCTACGACTTCGATGGTGCGCAAGTCCCAAATCCCGTCCTCCACTTGGCTTGTTTAGATGCTTCAATTGCAATTAAGCCAGTCTTCGACCGCTTTTCCTCCGTCGTCATTACCTCAGGAACAATTTCTCCTCTGGAAATGTACCCCAAAATGCTCCAATTCAGCACAGTTGTGCAAGAATCATATGCAATGACCTTGGCTAGAAAGAGCTTTCTACCGATGATCGTAACGAGGGGTAGTGATCAGGTTGCTATCAGTAGTAGATTTGAGATAAGAAACGATCCTAGTGTCGTCAGAAATTATGGAAGTCTATTGATCGAGTTTTCAAAAATAACGCCGGATGGCATGGTGGTTTTCTTCCCGAGTTATCTCTACATGGAAAGTATCATCAGTATGTGGCAGGGAATGGTAGGATTATTCGCAATAATTGATATCAAAGTGCCATACTAATTTATCTTAGGGAATCTTGGATGAAGTTTGGAAATACAAGTTGATACTTGTCGAGACACCAGATAGCCAAGAAACAAGCCTGGCTCTAGAGACTTACAGAACTGCTTGTTGTAATGGTAGGGGCGCTGTTATGTTGTGTGTTGCTCGAGGGAAGGTTTCAGAGGGCATCGATTTCGATCACCATTATGGGCGCACTGTGCTCTGTATAGGTATACCTTTTATCCCCAGTCGGCCATGTTCCTTGATTCTCATTTATCATTCCTGCAGGTGTCCCATTTCAGTATACCGAATCCAGGATACTGAAAGCAAGGTTGGAGTTCTTGCGAGAAAACTACCATATCAAGGAAAATGACTTCCTATCTTTTGACGCCATGAGACACGCAGCACAGTGTCTGGGACGTGTGCTTCGTGGTAAGGATGACTATGGGATTATGGTCCTAGCCGACAAGAGATTTGCTCGCAAACGAGGACAGTTGCCTAAATGGATCAACAATGCGGTACTTGAATCCGATACAAATTTATCTACCGACATGGCTGTCGCAGTTGCGAAAAAGTTTCTGAGGACGATGGCTCAACCCTTCACCGCCAGGGATCAGGATGGAATATCAACATGGAGTATTACAGATCTAGAAAACCACAAGAGAAAACTCTTAGAAGAAGATACCTCCAGTTCCATGATGGTGGATTGAGAAAATTGATTTACCCTCGTTCTAAAGTAGACATCACATATTTAATACCTACATGTAACCATTGCTATACCTAATAAGTATAAGCATATAACCTATGTGCACTGCACACTTCGCAATTTCATTGGTTCACTTCAGGAATGTGTACTCGCTCACTCAAAACAAATATGGATAGATCAACTTGGTGTTATTCTGTGTGGCGCTGGTGATGGTATCTATATGTATTATCAAAATTAATTCAGTCTCCCCTGCTAGTATACATAAACTGGTTTTAAGCATATTTCATAGAGCCCTATCGGTGTCCACTTTTATATTATCCCTATAAATTTAGTTGGAATGGTATCATGTCATTACTCAGTATTTCTTATACTCTAACGTGGTCTAAATTAATGATATCTTAGCGGAGGATAGGTCTGACGAAGTCTTTGTAGAATGGATTGGTCTCATATAGATCGGGGATATTAGAGAGAAAAACAGTATCGTGGGGTGCATCGAGGCATACATCTAGAGTATCATAATAATTTGAACGAATACAAGACTCCTGATTTGGGCACCGATTGTATTAGGCACCGGGATTGAGAGCATAAATTCAATATTCCCACTGCTGATATTTTTGTCCTCGTTCAAGTCTAGTACAAGTCGTTTTTCAATCAAAAAGTTCTCCGTTATTTTTTGACCGATCCAACAATATTTATGGCTGTTTCTTCAAAGCGCTCTCTAGCTTTGATCAAGTCCCAACCTTGAACCCATCTAACCATTGACTCAACTTCCCAGTTCCAAGCATCCTTGAGGGTTTCTACAAGACTTGGTCTCTCAATTCGCGGTTCGGGGAGCCTCGGGACTTGAGCAGGTGCAAGGAGTGAATCTGAGAGTTTTCGAGAGGAGCGGAGCGATTGTGAGATGTATGTTCGGTGTTGCCGGAAATGCTCGAGACTAAGGTAAGCAATTGAGCTTGTTAAGATAGTACCACCGAGCTAAGTTCGAGATGTCTCTTAGTTAGCCACTTGCCTTAAAATTGAGGAGAGTATCTATCACTCACGAAACCAAGGATTCTGCCCATTTTGAGTATTCTTGTTGGTGGTGTCTTATTTGGATGGCCAGGTATTATCCGATGAGATTGGCGAAAGAGGGATGTGATTAAATATTCTTCTTAGGCGTGGCATCGATCACTGCCAAACAAAAATCTGGACACCCCATCAGACTCCCGAAACGCAACCAAACGATCAACTTACCCACGTTTAGTTCCCCACAGAATCAATTCTACCTAGAACGCTGTATCCGTGAATACGGTCGTTTCCGTCTTCAAAATGGCCAAATATCCTATGCAGCGTAGACTTAACCGATCAGCGGCGCATCGGGCGGCTCTATTGCGAAATCTCGTAACTTCTTTATTCGAGCACGAATCAATTTCAACCACTTGGCATAAAGCGAAAGAGGCCCAAAGGTTGGCCGAGAAGTGCGTGACTTGGGCTAAAAAGGGCACAGAGGCTGCCAAAGTCCAGGCGGGTGGCACCCTCTACGTATGAATGGCCGTCCACATTCAAGTTCACCGTACTAATACAATTGGTCTGCGCAGAACCGAGATATAATTCCGAAGCTATTTGGTCCTATTGCGGAAAGATATAGGGATCGTCCTGGAGGCTATACTCGTGTGCTGCGGATAGAACCCCTCGCGACTGACCAGGCACCCTCTGCTATCCTCGAGTTGGTCGACGGCCCAAAAGACATGCGATTTGCCATGACAGCGGCCACTATCGCGAGATGTTCTTCGGAGGATAAGGAACTTAGTGATATCACTCTCAAGAATATTAAAAAGGTTACACGGTTTAGAAAGGATGGAGAAAGGAAATTGAGCGAAATGGTAGAAAAGCTTAGCAAACGCCAACGGGGGCATGAGGAGTAAAAGAAAAAGGAAAATTATCATGTTACTCACCGCTTTTTCTTCCATCGTACATACATATCAAATAACAGTTATATATTGACGGCTGAAGGTGTTGCATCCCAGACAACGGGGAAATACCATATAAGGATCTAAATACATGTACACCACTGCATCATGTGAAATCACTCGGTATGGATCAATCGCTCTAGGGGATAAGTACATTTATCCGAGGAATAACCATCGAATATAGGCTTTAATAAAGACGAAGCTCTTATCCAGCGCCGTGATTTCAATTTACTCAGTAGCCGTAAGCTGCCTATTGAGGTAGTCTCTGGAGTTTCATACCAGTGAAGATATACAGATTCTAGCCAGCATAGCGAATAATAAACAGTGCATTAATTCAAAGCCAAACAAAATAAAAAGCGGAAGCTAAAGAGAATTCGATTGGTCTCTCCGAGATCTAGGTATGGTGTACAGATCTCTTTTATTGAAAATCCGCAATCCCAACGCGATGTCTTGTCTAGTTTGACCCCTTCGCAGTGGAAGCCGGACGTTGCTCCCTGCCACCATAACCACCTCTCCCGGGATCATAATCCTCTCGGTAGTAATCACGAACTTGTCCGCCAGTTGGTCCTAGAGATGGAAAGAGCATTAGAGGTATCCACGAAAATGAATAGAAATGCCGTACCTCGACCGTATTGTCTGCCTTCCTTAAAACCAGGATCCAAATCAGTCCTGATTATGCGCTCGTCAAGTTTCGTCCCGCCAATGTACTTCATGGCGTCTAGTGTGTCCTCATGAGTGTAGTACTCGACGAAACAGAACCCACAAGGGGTTTTACTGAATCTATCTAAGCCCATAACCAGCCGCTTGATTTCTCCGCATTTCGAAAAGAGCTCGTGGATTTGTTCTTCGGTGGTGTAAAATGACCTTTTCTTTTGAAAGCTAATTGTCAGCTCCGTTTCTGAAGCGGAAGACTACTACCGGTAAAATGCGATGAAACCGACAAATTTCCAACATATAATGTTGTAGCACCAGCTAAGGGATCTTCCTTTGGCGAATCTTCGCGGCGTTGCCGTTTATGCTGGGGTCGAGCAGGGGAATGTTAGAACTCGGACGACAAGATGGGTAGACCAAGAATGAGGAATTGCAGACATACATCGCGCTTTTCAAAATAAGTTGAAGGTGCATCCAGTCGTTGGACAGTTGATATTATATAGGGCGCCATGTTCACCGTTTTAGCTTTGGGTTGTCGCGTTGAGCTCTGCTAGGACTCGCGTTTTGAGTGTCAAGCAACAAGATACCGTTACCCTACTTTCAGCTTTCACTCATTCACGGAGAAACCCGCAAGACCGAAGCAAAGAAAAAAAACTAAAACTTTACATCACAGTGTTGAAGCGAACTTCCATACAACGGCAATGATGGCAGCCAGAGGTAAAAAAAAGAGGGCAGCCCCCCCTGCGACAAATCCACTACCACTGAAACGTCTCAAAAAATCCACTACTAACAGTCATGCTGTATCCATTGACAAGTTGGGTTGGCAAAAGGTTTCCATGCCAGATCGCTTGGAGGATGTCGAAGGCTTCATGGGAATGGAAGAGGTTGAGGGCGTTGAGATCGTTCGAAAAAGCGACGGCAGTTTTGAGTACAAGGTATATTGTGAGATCTCCAGCTAGGCAGAAATCAAGATATCTGATTATGGCATTTTCTTCATCTAGGTTACAAACGAACCGGAGAAAAATTCTAAGAAAATTGCAGGAATGCCCGCAAACTCAAAGTCTAGCAGGGCCAATGAGACAGAGGGGGGAACAGAAGAAGAGGCATGGAAAGGAATTGTTGAGGTCGGTGGACATGTGAAAGAAAAAGTAAAGCTCAAGAAGCCGAAGGGGAAAAAAAAAATTATCAAGGAAATCGCAAAGACCGAGGGCTCAGCGGGAAACGCGTTTGCAGTGTTATCCGATGATGATGAAGATGGTACTGACAATTTGCTCTTTTGTTCTATGTCTTTTATTCTAATAAGCTGGCAGTATCTTTACCAGCGTGGGGCCCGCTAAACCTCTCATTACCCGTTCTTCGGGCTCTATCTCAAATGTCATTTACATCGCCGACCCCCATACAGTCGGCTGCTATACCAGAAATCGTCAATGGCCGCGATTTTATTGGGAAAGCTAGTACTGGATCTGGAAAGACCTTGGCCTTTGGAATCCCAATCATGGAGTATTACTTGAAAAGATACTGTCACGAAATTGACGGAGAAATTGAGAAACCAGAGAGGTTGCCTGTAGCCTTGGTTCTTTCACCCACAAGAGAGTTAGCGTATCAGCTTCATTCTCATCTAATTTCTCTTGCCGCCTTCATTCCAGAAATTAGGATCGTTTCTGTGACCGGAGGCCTGTCTATACAGAAGCAGTTAAGGCAACTAACTGAAAATGGAGGTGCCGATGTGATTGTCGCTACACCAGGCAGGTTATGGGAGGTTATCAGCGAGGGTCAGGGTTGGATTGAGAGGTTGAGAAAAGGCCTGAAATTCTTGGTTGTGGACGAGGCAGATAGATTACTACAGGAGGGCCATTACAAAGAAGTGATTGAAGTTCTTCACTTGCTTGCTAAACGCACTGAAAATCCTGATGAAGGAGAGAGCGAAGAGGACCGGGCAGGCAGCGAGATAGAATCATCGGACGAAAAGTCGGTCAAATTTAACAATAAAAGCAAGACCAGGGAGATTGAGAAGGTTGAACGACAGACATTGGTATTCTCTGCGACTTTTCATAGGGGATTACAGCAGAAGCTAGCTGGAAAGAGCTCTAAGAAGTCTATAGGCGGAGATCTGATGGATGAAAAAGAAAGTATGGAATATCTTCTCAAAAAGCTTTATTTCAGAGAGAAATCGCCTAAGTTTGTGGACGTGAATCCGACCGGTCAACTGGCCGAAAGATTGAGTGAAGGAATCATTGAGTGTGGAGCGATGGAAAAGGTACTTCTGATGCTACATTTCAACGGTGATATGTCACTACAAACACCAGTACAGACTTCTAATCTCAACTTTTAGGACCTCTACCTCTATTTCCTACTACTCCGATACCCTTCACGCACGTTGGTATTTACAAACTCAATCTCGTCTGTAAAGCGCCTTGCCCCGTTTTTGGCTATGCTTCAGCTCCCGGCCTATCCACTTCATTCCGGGATGATTCAAAAGGCTCGTCTCAGATCACTTGAGCGATTTTCCTCGTCATCCAATCCAAATTCAATTCTCATCGCCACGGATGTGGCTGCTCGGGGTCTTGATATCAAAAATGTGGATATGATAATCCACTATCACCTGCCTCGTACTGCGGACATGTACGTTCACCGGTCAGGAAGAACAGCAAGAGGAATCAATGCTAGAGGTGTCAGTGTACTTTTGTGTTCCCCCGACGAAGTTTTAAGTGTGAGAAGACTTGTCGGGAAGGTTCATGAAAGCGATCCAACTGTCAAGAGTACTGGGCGTTACCTCATGAAGGGATTTAACGTCGATCGCAAGCTCGTAAACCGACTAAAACCACGGATTGATCTTGCGAAAAAGATCGCCGATAGCAGCATTGAGAAGCAGAAGAAGGGCCATGAAGATGAGTGGCTGAAGACGGCAGCCCAGGAATTAGGCGTTGATTATAATAGTGATGAGTTCAGTAAAAACGGCAATGCAAGAAGAGGTCGTCAGGGGAGTAAAATAAAGAAGGACAGGGCAGCTAGTGCAACGAAAGGAGACCTGGCCTCGTGGAAAGCCCAACTGAACGAGCTTCTGAAACACAAGGTCAATAGTGGTTTTTCAGAACTTTATCTGACTAGCGGAACTGTAAATTTGGCGCACTCCCTGTTTCAAGCCCAACTTGAGGGTAAATCGCGCGACGGGTTCTTAGGCTTGGAAGAGAGGTCTGCATTAGAAGAGGTTGGTGGTTAGTCCGCTATTTCGTTTGGCAGCCGCAATTCAGGCAATATAGCATGTAAAGTAAAGCTTTCACCTTCGCATACATGTAATTTTATTTCACATCAGTCAGAATCTCCATATGCATTAGACCGATGTATAGTACACAATGAATACTACGGTATGAGGAACAAAAATTTGTAAGTTCAAGAAAATAGTAAAAACAGAAGAACAAGTGGTACATAAAACATAAGCCTAAATTAACCCAGGACGCTGAAGAAAGAAAGAAGAAAGAAAGAAAGGTTTCCGTAGGCGGGTATTTGTGTCTTAAAACACACTAATGTAATTGCCAATCCTTTCCTTCTGATTCTGAGCTATACATTCGGCAATCCAGGTAATGTTTCGTATTTCCTGAGGGTTTAGCCTATGTCAGTCTGGCGAGGAAAACATTCGCGTTAAAAGGATTGCAAACCTGTTCTCTCAATTTAACCCATGCAAAGACAACAGTGTAGGTGAACTGTTGTGTAAAAGCTGACTTCGCAATTTCCATTTCTTTCTGATAAAATAAGTCCTCTAAGCTCTTTTGTTGTCCCCCTGCCATGCCACCTTGGGCACTCATCCCTTGTTCAAAGAAAGCTTTATACTCGCCCACACCTTCAACCGCAGCTCTTACAGAATCTACATCATCTGCCTTGCTTAGCATATAGGTTCCCTCTGGATAAAGCCTTCCGAAGCTTGGATACAACTTTTTTCTGTCCTGCTTACTCAGTTCCGTTCCAAATGAGTTCAGTGTGATATTAATCGCCCTTCGATCCGCCTCAAAGCTCAACATTTCACTCATAAGCTCACTAGTAGGGGTTCCCGCGAGTCCTGGCTCACTTATACAGAATTGATGAAAATCCTCCAGGTAGCTTTTGTAGAGGGTATTTCTGATGATTTCAATATTGAGCTCGTCAAGGTCTGCGCTGGAGAGCGTATTTTTAAAGTATGGCGCTAGTGGTGTTTCGACTAGGACTGAGCTGTATAGCTCCTCGACATTGGTTGCGACGCAAAGCACTGGCATGGTTTCGAAGACGCCAAGTGGATGGCAACGCTCGAGAAGCTCTCTCGTGTCCCGCTCGTGTAATGTGCCGGTAATCAAAAGGGCAACGTTATCAATCATATACCCGTATGTCAAGTAATCCATAAACTTTGCTAAGGAGCCGACCGCTTGAGCCCGAATGTACCGGAACTCAGCAATCAACTTTTCGGTTGCTTTCGAGGCAATAACGGAGGTGGAAAGCGGTGATGGTACATTGGCAAGATAGTCACCATAAGCAGGTGCGAGCTGTAGCTTCAAATCTATCAAGAGTATATTAGCGGCTTGTAAAGTGATATCAAGATAGGGAAGCTTGCCATCGAGCGTCTCGCATTGGGTTAGATTGGCGTAGTTCTGGCTAGTAAGTAGACCATTACGGTACCCGCGAACGAGGCCCTCGATATAGCCGTTGTTGACATTGAAGAAAAGGCCCTCCATTATGATTGAAGAAATTATAGGACCTTCTCGTTGGATAATTGGGATGTTCGACTGATAGTTTGAACGGGTTGGTTGGCTCACGTCGCCAGGTAGTTCGGTCTCTGACAGGTACAGTGTCAATGGAGGAAATGTTACCCGGCTTGAAGGGCTCCACTATTTCATTCTTGTGTACCAGTGTTGATGGTAAGTGATCAGAATCTGATAAGTGGATATTGCAGTGAAACGTGCATTTGTCTTATCAGATTCTGATCACTTTTCGCTATACCCTAGTACATACATACTAGGGGTGTGCCAACTCGCGACCGCGAGTTATTGGATTATGGGTATCAAATAATTATGGAAGGCCTTCGATGGGGGCCTTCGGCCCCCCCATTCCACCTCCTCTGTTTAATTCTCCCTCTAGAATTATGAGAGGCCTTCGGCCCCCGTCCTCCTCCTCTCGAGTGTTCAGTACTTTGATGTGTCATGCTTACTAAACACCCATGTCGGTGTCGACCAATCAGACCGCAACGAATTAAGAAAAAGTGTATTCTAGTACATAGTAGATAGTAGATAGTAGATAATCTGGTTTGGGAGGTTGTTAATTATTTATTATTAGAGAGTATGGTTCCAGGCGAATAAATTGTCAAGAACCCTGATTTTCGGCAGGCGACAATATTACATAGTGGTAATTAAAGTGGTTTTTCGGCCGGTCAGAAATATTAGGCTCCGTTCGGACCGCCTGAATTGTTGCGGATTTATATGGTAGAATTAAGTGGGTCCATAACAATGAGGTTTTGGCAACTTTCAAATAATTACCTTGAGGGCTAATTATTGCTACGTTTCTGACCTCTCTGATATGTCTCATACCTAGATCCTCAAGATTACGCGGTCTTATAATTTTGTCTTCCGAACTCCATTACACCAGAAAATCATTATCTGTCTCATGTTAGTTAAAAACTTTTTTCAATTTTGCGCATTATCATTTCTTCCCTCGTCCGAACGGAGCCTTAGTAGTCAGACTAGCCAGAAACAGGCTGGAGCCATAGTTAGAAACGATTTGATTGGTTGGCCGACAAGAAGTGTTCCCAGCTCCAATCCACCCAACTATCACTGTTAAAGAGCTCCAGCTTTGAGTCCAGAGGTCTTTTGTTGGGCTCCTGACCCTTTGGCTCTGGTTCTGGCTGAGTCTGACTACATACCATTAAATATATTGGTTTGAGCGCTTCTTTTAGAGTAAACGTTTAGTAAATCGAGGCACTAAAATCCTCAATTCCCAACTCAACTACATGTATATGTTGTACTGCACTTTGATTACCCTTCTTAACTTATAGACCTACGGTACTATGTTTACTCGCTATTTTTGGAGACTAGCGCGTGAGAGTTTCTGTGAGGATAATATGGTAAGTCTATTGTGACCGGAACAGTACCTGTGTAGAGTAATAGTAATGTATATGGCTGAATAGTATAGATACATGTACTGTACATAGGACATGGACTCTCTCTAGGTGAATACATACATAATGTACATGCATGTCAAATATTGGATATTCTACTCCTTATCCAGAGAGTGGGGCCCGGGGCAATTGGAGTGTTCGGGAACACACCGGAATATTAGAATAGAGTATTTGTAAATAATATGGTCTCAAGGGATAATCTTGTGATATCTTTTTAGACGACACTGTGAACCTCATGTCGCCCTCAATGATGTGACTTAGTGTTTTACCTTAATTCATTAAATATTATATACACGATCCTTTCGTCTGTACTGCAGTCTCTCTGTTATAGCGAAGCGACATATTCTAAGATTTCCTGTTCGATAGCAGATTATTTGGTGTACATACCGCAGTAATTCATCTCAGCGGACGGTTATACAGACGTCAAAGTTGCCTTTACAGCGCGTATGAGGGAGGATTGGGGGGGTTTCCAAGACTAACGACCAGATCAATGAATTCCAACGTCAATGTGAGTGTCCGCTGAGGAGAATTACTGCGGTAATGGCTATAAATCTGTCTTACCATATACATGTAGTTATAAACGCATGCAGTTTCTTTTCATATACATGTAGTTATAAACGCATGCAGTTTCTTTTCATTTCTTTTCACCAAGTAGAGTATGAAAATATGGATACAAATTCGCTCTTTCCTAAAACTCTCGAACCTAACTACATGTACTTCTTATTAAAATCCAGAACAGGTCGCTCGTATAGAATCATCAATCAATAGTACATACTATACCAAAGCCTCCCCTCACATCGCAACTAATAATATAAATAAAACTAGGACTTCAGATTACAAGGAATAAGACGCAAACGTTTTATCAGAAGTCCAATAATAATAATACGGTTAGAAGACACCAAACATCTTCTTCTTCTTCTTCTTATCTTCCTCGTAATAACGCCCAGGCTGGTGATGATGAACTTTTAACCCTCCCATTTCTTTCACAGGTGGTGCTGGACTAGGTGCCTTCTTTGGAGGAGCCTGCTGAGGCCTTTGTTGTATTGGAGCAACTGGCTTTGGAACCGGATCAGGCTCTAGAAGGTGTTTAGGGACTTCCTTCTCTGGTCTATCAGCCGGGAGATCAAGAAGCCTTCTACTTTCCCTTGCGTTTCGGAGTTGGCTAAGCCACAAGTTGGGGGTGAGGAGATGTGTCGACCCCAAGAACACATCGCGAGCAGACGCTTTGGAAACCTCATAGCACGCACGGGACTCAGAATACGTTGCACCCCCAGCCATGAAGACTATTACACGCTGCCTTGGTTCTACCACAGACATTCGAGATTTGGCCCATGTGGGCTTTGCCGATCGAAGGGATGCCTGAGAAACGTTTTCCTGTCCACCCATAGGGCCGCCAGGGACCAGTTCAGGCTTCGTATAAGGAAATATGGCGGGATCCAAAGCGCCCTTAGTATGATCATCAAGCATTACTTTCAGGGCTGTTACAAATCGAGAGAAATCGGAACCATCCTCATCATCATCCATTGTTTTGGAAATAGGCCTCTTCGGCTTTTGTGCAGAATTTCGGCTCTGGGAATTGTCTTTCAAATCTCGGGTCACGCGAGCGCCAAAAAGATCAAGATTACGGAGAACACGTTCATCCTGCCGCTGAAGCTGGGAGTGTCGCATGAGTTTCTCGATATCTCCCGCCAACAGACCATCTTTCCACAGAAGGTAGAGAGTAATGAGCCGGAGCCGATCAGGTGCACTACAAAACATTAGAAATAGGGTCTTCAAAAATTTTTAGCAGATAACTCACGCCAAAGCAGGATCATCCAGTAACCTAATTAAGGACTCAGTTGGATTTTTCGTGGGTCGATTATTCTCATCCATCCCGGTTGCCAACGACTACGAAGCCAATTAACGAAAAACGACACAAAGAGCAAATAACATTTGTCCTTACCTGTTCGAGCAGTGCAACATCAGGCAAATTCTTTTTCTCAAATATTCCCATGCATTCTTGAGCCATCGTCAGGTGGAGAGAATACATATCCTTTTGCCCCTGATATTGAGGCAAACTTGCCATCATATCTCTTATTGCGTACAAACTTGTTGAGGAACCACTACATAACGTTTCTTAGTATTATCTTAACCAAAAAATGATTTACGACACTAACCTATCGACAAAGTTTTTGTTGTCCCCGAGGAATTTCTGAAAGTCGGCCATCAATCTCTCAATGGTATCCTTCATATGTTTGTGTCTATTCGCGACCCAAACTTGATCTTCGTCCCCAATCTCCATTTCTTTCTCCTCCTCCTCCCCACTAGAAGTTGCTAATCTGACGTTGTATGTGACTTTGTCGCCTTCCTTTATCGGTAACAGATCATGGGCCATAGCTTGGTATGTAAACTCATGCAAGGCAGGGGCGAAAAGGTCCATTGCCCTATCCACGATAAAAAGTACACCACGTGGCCTATTTGACGGGGGTGGGAATTCTCGATGATTTTGTGCATACAAATCCAACTCAGACTGCACATTCTTTGCAAGAACCTCTGATAAGACCCGAGCTTCGTGTAGTAAATTTGGGGCACGAAAGTACCGAATTGTTGGATACTCGCCTAGGCTTACGCAAACACATACTATTTTTTTAGCCAATTCCTCTAAGTGGACCCTAACCAGACCCCGACACTCTGGGTTGTACAAAGTGAAGAAGGAGGAGGGGTCACGGAATGTAAAAAGATGCGATTCACGAGGGAAGTAGTCAACAGACAGAACCTTCTCTCCTGCGATAAACCCACGAGCGGGAGAGTTAAGGATCATTTGACGTAGACCATCCGGGAGATCTATTTTCACCCAGTAAGTTGAGGTCCCGTGGTTTCCCAAGGGGAAGCAGAACTAACCCGATGTCCACAGTAAATGTGCACAAGTATATCTTGGTTTTGGACGGGCGTAGTCCGAAATCAGACATTCTACAACATGCTTTTCGGGCGTGAGAATATAAACACATTCCATCTGCTGTGGTGGGCGCTTGTTCTCGATGAGTGATACATCTAGTGGAAAATAAGTTTCTCGCCACCGGTTCAAAGACTAAGGTATACAGCGGCTAGCATACCTGATATACTTTCATCCAATATATAGTGTATTTGCATGACATTTGTTATCAGCTTGTGGCTTGTCTCGTCGGTGACAACACATCTCCACTAATAGGAAAACATGTCAGCCCCGTGACTTATTGTAGGAAGGCGCTTGGGGTATAAACCGTGCCCTTGGGCTCTATAGCCTTGATAGCTTCTAGGATCGCTGTAGAAAAACAGTGTGAGTAGGGTAGACAAGATTGAGGTCACTATGGAGCTCACCTTGTTTTTGGAGTTCGATCAGGTTGACCATGACGGGCAACAGGAGCAACAAGTGTGGTATGAGTTGGTTCTGGTGTATGTAGGAGCTAGATAGGAGTTTAATTTCAAAAATAAGATAGGGAGGTTACAGTGCCGGTAGGGTCATGTATTTAGGAAAGATCTCTAGGAGTCAATTGTATGGGTTCCAGTATGTGGGGTGTTGAGCTGGGTGTTGATGGTAAGAGGATGCAACGCCCAGGGAAACCTAACCCTCTCAGCTACCACAGTCGCCAAGCACCAGCAAAGCTACAGACCTATCGAGAGTACCGTGAGACGTAAAATGTATGAAGTATATACATGTGTTTACTGACGTTTGTGGACGCGACCAATATTGCATACCATACAAAAATGCGCCAAGCTGATGATTTTTGGTGTATGCAATAGTGGCCCAGTTCAAAAACGTCAGGAAGATACGAGTACTCCCTCTACCTCATACTTTCGAGGTAGAAATGATGCACTTCATACCAAATTTCTTTCTGAGTGCCGAAACGTGTAAAGCGAATGGCCACTACTCTACATAACCATCATTCCAACTACATGTAACTGGTGCATACAGTAGCCTAGGCTAGGCCTTAGTGGCTGGAGTACCTAATGTATGTACTCGGGAGTAAGTACTACTCGTAGCTTCATAGCGTTTCCGAACACGACTAATATTGCATGACATACAAAAAGGTGGATTTGGCGCTTTTTTATATGGTATGCAATAGCAGTCGTGTCCGGAAACGTCATGAATTTACGAGTATTACACGTCTGTTCCTCATACTCGCACCTCACAAAAAACAAAGCAAAAATTAAAATAAAAAAAATACCAACCTAGTCAGAATATCGAACGCGACTCCATCCTTTCCTTTATCCTGTTCTTTGCTCCTCTGTCCCCACCTTCAACGCACACTTAGTTGGACCTCAGTAGATGGGAATCCTTTTTCAATCACAATGGACTCAAATCTCTCAACCCACAAACCTTCAGAGTATGAAGGAATAGCTGCGCAATTTGCCGCTGCAAAGAAAGCACAGGCTGAGCAACTTGCTACATCTCGTTCCAGGGACTCCATGGTTCGAAAACGGAATCTTCAACAAAAGAGCGCCTTCAAATACTCACATGGCCTGCTTGTGTCACTGTTGCTCTTCTTCGTTTATCTCCACGGCGTTGGAATCTTTTTATTCACCAAAGGATTCTTATTGACCCGTCTGATGCTTGGGCAGCAGTCATCTTGTGAAATCTCACCTCTACAAGAATATGCTCGACACGGGTCACTATGGGCTGGAAATGCCGACGGCGCGGGTTGTTGGCATCCTAAGTCTTTTGATAAAGCCATCATCATCGTGATTGACGCCTTGCGCTACGATTTCACAATACCCTTCGAACCAAAAGACAATTCCGCCCCGGCTTTTCTCTTCCATAATGCTTTCACGACACCCTACACAGTTGCCTCCCAGACTCCAAAAAATGCCGTCTTATTGCCTTTTATTGCCGATCCTCCCACCACCACTCTCCAGCGATTGAAAGGGCTCACCACTGGAACACTGCCCACCTTTATTGATGCAGGCAGTAATTTCGCCGGTACCTCTATCGAAGAAGATAATCTGATCTCTCAAATGAAATCACTTGGTAAAAGAATGGCATTTATGGGGGATGACACCTGGATGGCTCTTTTCCCTGGAATGTTTGAGCCAGAAATGGAACATCCTTATGAATCACTTAACGTTTGGGACCTGCATACTGTGGATAACGGGGTTACTGAACATATCTTCCCTTTACTTCACCCAGCAAACCAAACAAAGTGGGATATCGCTATTGGTCACTACCTTGGTGTTGACCACGCTGGTCACCGCTATGGACCTGATCATCCCGCAATGGCAGAGAAGCTGAAACAGATGGACAGCATTGTTCAAAGGCTCATGGAGAGTATTGATGATAAAACCTTATTAGTTGTAATGGGTGATCATGGCATGGATCCAAAGGGTGATCATGGGGGAGAGTCTCAGGGAGAGGTTGAGGCTGCATTGTGGCTATATTCAAAAAAGCCAATTTGGGGGGAATTTCCAAAAGAGCTCCCACCTAATGGCGGCGGCCGTGGAGCAGGGAGTGATGGGGTAAGGTCTGTTGCCCAAATAGATCTTGTTCCAACCTTGTCTCTTCTTCTGGGACTACCTATACCATTCAACAATTTGGGCGCACCAATTGCTGAGGCCTTCATCGGCAATGGTGATGTGCAAGGCTTGAAAAATTTGGTTCAGGTTTCACGTTTGACCGCGGCGCAAATCAAAAGATACCAGAAGGAGTATACAGTGGAAGGTGGCGACGTGGAAACAGATGATTCAATTCTGGCTCGGTGGAGTTCAGGGCAGGAGAAATGGGAGGCATCTCAAATAAAGTCGGAGAAAACCACTCGATTGGAATGGATCTCAGTCTTTGCGGATTTCTCTTCCTATCAAGAACAAACTTTGAAGGCTTGTCGTGATGTCTGGGCTAGTTTTGACCTAATCAGTATGGCTGCTGGTATTATTGTTTTGGTTGGAAGTGTTGTTACTCTTGCTGTGTATGCCAGAGGCTTCTCGGGGGATCCAACTGAGCTTACAGACACTATAATCACACGAATGCTCAAAGGTCTTAGTGTAGGTGCTGTTAGTTCGGTTATTGCTGGGTTTTTGCTTGAGGAGCAGACTCTGGGCTTGTCGAGAATCAGAATGATGCTATTCAGCACCAGTATTGGAGTTATATTTGGATTCTTTTCAGCCACGATACACGCCCACAAAAGATTAAAAAATGTTTTGCCGACCTCAGGCTGGGGGGTACTATCGGTCATCTTCACAGTCACTCACTCGCTTATATTTGCCTCCAATTCCTTCACGATTTGGGAAGACCACATTCTCATCTACTTCCTATGTACCTTTGCCATTGGTGGTCTTATCACATCACAAAGGAGGGAGGATCTCGCTCAACGAATGCTAGGGAGCTATCACTCCGTGGTATTTTTCATTCTCACAAGGATCGCGGCCTTTTCCAAGCTTTGTAGAGAAGAGCAAATGCCACACTGCGAGTCAACTTTCTATGCTTCAGCAACATCTTCCGTTTCAGCTCCCTGGAGCCTGGCGCTTTTGTTTGTTATGGCTGTGATTCTTCCTTCCATCGTAAAATCTTTTTACAGCGGCTCTAACTCCTATCACGGACCCGCATCGATTACTATTGGGTGGGCCTTCCGGGCAGGACTCTTTCTAAACGCCTTCTACTGGCTAATCGACTCCGCGGATAACGGTCGATGGTTGGAGGTTCCGGAGGCATTGTTCAAATCTTCAAAAATAACGATCGCTCAGATTGTGTTGCTTATGGGATTTATCGCTGGAAGTGTTGCATATGCTTGGGCGACTCTTTGCCTTAGTGTTGAAATTGAAGATAAGAAATCTGAGATGATCACTGACGCTCACGGAAAAATCACGTCCGAGAGTGGTAAAAGTGTCCTTCTTCTCGGATACGCCAATGTTCATGGATCCCGATATCTTCTCCTCGTGGTTCCTTGGTCTCTGTCTCTGATACTTCTCCAGAAACCTATGGGTGGGGCGTCGATGGGGATTCTTCTCTGGCAGATCCTCAGCCTCTTGGAAATTATCGACTGTAACGACCTTTCAGACTCCGCTATCGGACCAATCGTTTTGGGTCTTTTGGGCAATTCACACTTCTTCTCTACTGGGCACCAAGCAACGTTGTCCTCTATTCAATGGGACTCCGCTTTTATTCCTTTTACATCCACTAGGTACCCTTGGGCTCCTCTTCTCGTTATCGGCAATACCATTGGGCCGCAAGTGCTCACAGCGCTAGCTGTTCCTCTTATAGCACTATGGAAGGCGTCACCGAAGAAGGCCGGACTGCTGGGCAGTGTGGGTGTTTCTGGAGCAACGCATATGCTCTACCATGCAGTCATAACTTTAAGCTCTGTTGTGTGTGCCGGACATTTGAGAAGGCACCTCATGCTATATCGTATCTTTAGCCCAAGGTTTATGCTGGGGGCCCTTGTACTGCTCGGTGTTGATATCATAGTTTCGTTGGTCGCTGTTGGCGGCGTTCGATGGAACACTTTGGCTGTCGCAGATATATTTGGTATTTAAAACCTTTGTTAAATTTGCTTCAGTGTAAATAATATTCCATTTTCTTTTTTATACATCGTCCTATTTATCAAGAGATGTTATATACTATATTGTTTTTTTGTTTTTTTGTTTTTTTTTTACCCTCCAATTTGTAGATATGTGAATATTTAGAGCGCGTTTGGCAACCACCTAAACGGAGGTTAAAACCCCCAAATGCCGTTATATAACGAACTTTTCTCAATACTCCGTTATCTGATAAGTTGGCCTGTTTGGCGAGCCACTTTGTTAAGGAAATCTCACTAACATAACAGAATTCTGAAAAACTGGGTCAGACCTATTTTTTCTCGTGTTTGGCAGACCAAGATTCCGTTTTAATATTTCTCAGTTAGCAATGTGCTAACAAGACTTCCGCTTAACGTAGTTTCTAAACCACACTTCCCCCAAACGCGCCCTTAGTTACCTGCAAATTTCCTATTGTGTTGCGCCGTGGGTGTTATAATTGACTTTTACGCCTTTTAGGATTGGTTGATAACCTGTAGATCTTTGGTTCCTGCATGCCTGCATAAGTGGCTTTGTTGATCCGAATCATGAACAAGCACTCTCATAAACAAACCCATGGAGCCTCAAGCCTTGGCAAACGCGGGGCAATATCGAGAGTAAAACCATCTTACAAAGCATATAAGAGTGTATACGGTCGTAGAAATTTGCGTGTGTGGTAATTTCTATAGTATGCGATCTCGTGTTCATACTGTACGTGTATTTAATTATTTTAAGCCGACACATTTTTTTTTCCACAACCCCTCCAAGTTTCTTGCAGTTCTGAGTCAACCTTAACAACTTCTACACTGCAACACAACCCCTCTGCACATTTCTTTCTAACAAAACCATGTCTACTTTCGGGTCCCAATTTCGTGTTACCACGTTTGTCCTCATATTTTTCATGAATCTTTGATTGTTATGCTGATCGCTCTCTAGCTACGGCGAATCTCATTGTCGTTCTGTTGGCTGTATTGTCGATGGTTGTCCTCCAGGGATGGCCTTGACGGAGGCCGATATCCAACCTCAAATGACCCGACGTCGTCCTGGACAGTCTTCACTGGCAACTCCCCGCAATGAAAAAGACGCTGTCAAGATTCAGTCCGGCACTGAATTCGGATACACTCTTGGAACACCAATTGGTCTCATGGTCCAGAACGAGGATCAAAGGCCACATGATTACTCCGACATGGACTTGTATCCAAGACCAAGTCACGCGGATTACACCTACTTGGCCAAGTATGGTGTAAAGGCGAGCTCAGGTGGTGGAAGGAGTAGTGCAAGAGAGACAATTGGTATGTGCATCTTTGCTTACAGAACTTCCAAACCTACCCAAATCTATTGTGGTGAGGTTTTCGAGACCGGGGGCTGAGAGCACTTCAATATGACTCATCGCCTTCAGTCATGAAGATCTTACAATCCCTTAGTTTGGATATTTCTACCCTTCTTATTATAGTTAGCAAACCTATTGCATCTAACATTTGGTATTAGGCCGTGTGGCTGCTGGTGCAATTGCCGAAAAATACCTTTCATTGGCCTATGGCGTCGAGATTGTCTCATTTGTGTCCAGTGTTGGTCCTATTCACCTCCCAGGATCCGTAGATTCAACACCCGAGTACATGTCTCTTCTTTCTACCATCACCCGAGAAAAGGTCGATGCCTTTCTCCCGGTTCGTTGTCCAGAGGGAGAATCGAATAGCAAGATGGCGCAGTTGATTGCTGAGTACCGTGACAAAAAAGACTCAATTGGAGGAACAGTCACTTGCGTTATCAAGAACGTTCCCATTGGTCTTGGAGAACCATGCTTTGATAAGCTTGAAGCTAAACTCGCACACGCAATGCTTTCCATACCAGCAACGAAGGGATTTGAGATTGGTTCAGGATTCCGTGGGACTGAAGTTCCTGGTTCAAAGCACAATGACGCCTTCATCCGCTCAGAGAATGGAAAGCTCTCTACCGTCACCAACAACTCTGGCGGTATTCAAGGGGGTATTACTAATGGTGAAAACATTTATTTCAAAGTTGCTTTCAAGTCTCCGGCCACCATCGGTCATGCTCAGGAAACGAGTAAGTATGATGGTGAGGCCGGCATCTTAGAAGCAAAGGGTAGGCACGACCCTTGTGTTGTTCCCAGAGCGGTTCCTATTGTAGAGGCTATGGCGGCACTTGTAATCATGGATGCAGTCATGATTCAGCAGGTGAGGGTCCCCTGTTTTATACCTAGGTTAGACATTAGCATTTATAGTTATACAGGCTCGTGAGACGTCCCGCTCCCTACTTCCACCTCTTCCTCAAAACCTCGGAATCAAAACACCCACAGCCCTCGACGGGAGAGAAAAGAACGTTGATCCTACGAAGGTCCCAAAGGCTGAACAGGATAAGCTAGTTATTGATTCGGAGGGACGAAAGATTGTTGGGGGCTCCGAAGGAAAGGTATTTGGTGACGAATAAGTGGAAAGGAATCTTAGCCCAATGCAATCCAAGACTTGATGAGGTCTCCAAAAGTGATGCTATCAATTAAAATTGGGTTCACTGGTAAAAGTCTAAAATGTGTTAGTATTTACTATTTTTGCCGGTGCAAAGCTCGTATAGGCATGTAATAGTAGGTTTTGATGATTTCAAAACGAAGTATATACATGTAGTCAGATTGGATTCTGTGATCAGTTAGTTGTTGAGGTTCACTATTTACATCAATGCAGCTATTGAATCAAGAAATTGTTTTAAATATTGCGGGTTTCCACAAGTAAGCGAACATTGAGGTGGTAACCATACAAACCACCTAACAACATCAAAATTTCAAATTCGCCCTCTCGAACTGACATTTTAGCTGTAGATACTATCACTACCGGAGAATCCATATCTAAGACTCCTTTGCTCCATCTCCTTGTGGTTGTGGAGAAATACGCTTTTGAAGTTGCATTCCCATACAAATTTTGGTTGCAACGTGAATGTACGCTTACTTGTGGAAACCCACAATACATGTTTATCATAATCGGGAAGGATCGGCACACCACGAGATGTAACTTACATGTGTCACCGTTTAATGAGGTTGACTTCAGACTTCTCTGTAGGCGGCCCGGCTGGCAGGAAACATGCATGTGCCTACTTCTTGTCATGATCAAACCCCCCACATGAGCCATGGATTTGAGGGCCAAACACACACGCCTAAGATACGTGTACATCATGTATACTTGACTGTACTAGCACCGTATTATCCTGTCTGTTTGGCCCCGAAAGCAACCGCAACGCCACGAAACCGGGTTCTCTAAATCAGAAACCAAAAGATGTATCTACATGTATATACCTATAGACAGGGGCTTTGCTTTACTGTAATTTTTTCGTATCAACATAAATACATATAAAGGGTACATTAGGGGTATTCACTTCTAGGAATATGTGCCTTTATAACGCTGCATTACAACGCCGCCTATATGGCACTGTAACTTTCAAAAATCCGAATATCTCTGGAGTGCACATGCCATATTGTAGGAGATAATCCATTACCATATTAATTTGAGATTTGTACTTAGTGTACTACATATAGTCAATAAGGTACATGTAGGTTAGTGACGCCCGTTTTCTCTTCATACATATTCATCTAGAATACGGGACTGCCGATTATTTAAGCAGCTCATATAAGCACATCCCTATCAGAGCACGTACGTATTGCAGCAAGTGAATACCCTACAATCCCTTCTTAGCCCTCAGCATTCGCAATATATCCGGACGATGTATAAGGTCTTCCGCCTCCATTCCAGAAAGATAGCTGCAACTGCTTTAGTTTCATTAATTATCACTCGGCTAATTACGTAAGGGTACATAATTACATGTACAGCGAAAGCTTGCTATAACGGTACTTTCTATAAGGGTAATCTCTCTATAACGGTAGCATTTCTCGGTCCTTTTTGCCTGGCTTTCAGCACCAGCACCTCCTATATAAGGGTAATCTCTCTATAACGGTACCAAATTCCGGCCCCGAGCGTACCGTTATAGCAAGCTTTCGCTGTAGTCTAATATGTACTAGTACTTGTGACCACACTTATTTCATCTAACGATTTTACTAATACTACATGTAGTACATATCCGACCGCTCGGGTGTATGGGAGTATGCCAAATAACATTTTCTCAGGAATTATCTCAAGTTAACAGTGCATTCTGCAAAACTTTGATATAAACATTGCGATGTTTCAACCTGGGCGCAAGGTAATAACCGTATATGTGATGTTTGTGATCTAGTATCCCATGAACCATAGAAGCCTGAGGTTCCAATTGGGTACTTTGCAACTCTAACTTCGATAAAAACACAAAAACGATATAACCCAGCCCTGTTCACTAATAACAAAGAAGCGGGAAAGTTTATCAACCGATCCCAATAAGAGCTCCTAATATAGTACTCACGAAGCTGGTGTTGCTGTGAATTTAAGAAAGGTCGCTTTATTTCAAGTGGGACCCAATCGGGTCCTTAACTCGGTTGCTACGGTTGATGGGATAAGCTAGGGCGTTAATTGTAGGTGTTTATTTGGTAAGTTAAGCCGCTTCTAGTGTACTAGTTTAAATATGATAGACAGTAGATTGACAATGTTGAAATTTTGTGGTTGCTACTATAGAACGCTATCACTAGAAACCGCATTGGATATTTTTCTTAATACCACCCTATCCGGATGAATATCATGATATTGGGGCCTACTCTTGATATCTATATGACTTCAGTTCTCGCAAGGCCTAGGCTTGGAAGGTTCAGTTGGGAATCGGGGCCGGCCCGAGGATAATAAGTACTAACCCTAATTTCAAGTTTCTAATCTGAAAAGAGATTACCCCCGACCCCCCGCCTTATTTCTATCTCTGTATCGAGATTCGGAATCCGGAACAAAAAAAGTAATCAAATATATACCAAGCAAACAGGACCACGAATAGGCCGGTTGAACCACGGTAAATAAATCCATAGGTACATACATATAGCTTAACAAAGTTTGAATCTACGAGTAGCTTGCTATGCCCCGTCGTAGGGGCTACCATTATACCCAGACTGCTAACTACATACTCAACCAGGCTAGAAAATTTCACCTCCTATAAAAATAATGCATACACTAGATACATATATTCAGATATTTCGAATATATATATCAGCAGCCAGCTACAGGTTCAATTAAGCAATTACGTAATTAAAGGTAGAGCTAAGCTAGGGAATCAACTCAGGTAGAAATAGTAGAATATGCTGCCCCCTAATATTACATTGATAAAATCTGAGTAATCTACATGTATATAGATCTATACAGCATGTAATATATACATGTATGTGTTCATGCATGTCAGCTCGGAAGGTGGCGGGTGTAACATTGAACTTAATGATTCGAGAAGTTTATAATTCGCCTCCCCGTGATTACATGTACATGTAACTACAATTGCAAGTCATGTAATGTACATACATGTAGTTATAATGTATGCACAATAACCGAACATTTTCGCTAGCATCCTAGCATGCTCCCAAATAGAATTGACACCAGGTCAGATTTATCTATATGGATAATTACATGCATAACTACATAATGTACATGTACCGAGAAAACTCCCTCTTCATCATTTCCCTCTGTGCTGTGTGACAGGTCGACCCACGGATCCACGAGAATATAGAGACGTGAGGGTTTACATATTTGGCTGAAGAGCCACTTCATACACATTATATATTACATTTGATTACCATCATTATATAATGTATTCAAAGCACATAAAGGCTAGCTTATAATTCATCACCATCGGATATCACTAGTCAAATGGATTGCTCACGGTTGATATGTTAAGTGAAGCCGTATCAACTTTCAAGGACTACAGTAGTAATTTCACCCACATTACTGTCAATTAATACTGATATTTATTGGATGTACTTTTACAATAATCTCACCATTCGCTGTAGAAATAATTAAGGCACTGATTATAATGCATACCATGCCTGTATATGTACGTGGCCCTTACTTTATATTTCGTCGAGTGAGATTCTATGAGTCCAATAGTGATATAACTGACAAAAAAAAAAGAATCATACATGTATGTTATATAGGAATAATGTTAGACTAGGTCTTCTATTATTTTGCCTAGAGTGCCATTGATACTCCGTATTTTAGAATTGTATGTTGCTAAAGCATCTGTCATCTCTTTAGAGGCTGCTCTCACGTACGGTGCACGTGTCGGACAGCCAAAACCAGCCGGCCAGAGCAACCACCGACTCCCCTTCACCCCATCGACTTTCAACAACGCAACACTTATCCAGAAATAATGTTCTTTTGTAAAATGGGTCTAATCATGGTTGTAAACATCCCCATAAAAGGGGATTTAAAATAATTAAGAACTGGCTGCACTATGACCTCTCAAACATTTGGTGCAATCTGCCCGAAAAAACATAGGTGTGAAACAATAACTTTAATAGCTTTATGCCAAGGCGGCCACATTAATTTGGGATAATTCTTACCATATTAGGATAATTAGATGATCATTATTACCCGATTAGGACTAGTTTCTGGCTTGAAAAGAACATGAGGGTTGATTTTGACTGTCCAGCGCTGTACGTTGTTGGGCACATTTGCTGTAAAGTGATTTGTCATGTATTAGTCAGCACAGCACGTGATAATGTGGACAATCCCTTTGTAAAGGTGTTCTCAGCGGAACGACCTCATAGCTAGCTCGCTGTTTTCCTTTCTGTTTCATTATCATCCGTCGTTAGTATCGTCAGAGAAGTTTTCAGTTTGATTCCTCCCTGGCAATAAATAAGATTTTATTCATTTTGTCATTCGAATCGTCGTGAAGCCGAAGACGAAATTAGAAGAAAAGAAACAGAGCCAGAACACGATAAAAGAACCCGGCCAACAACGTCTGCTGGACTAGCCGGCTTGGCAACTACATAGATACATGTATACATACATACAGGGAAATATCTAATGAAAAGCTACATTCGTACGGGCGACTCAATAGATTACGCCTAATCAATCTCCCCCTCAAAAAGTAGATATATACTGTAGAAATATTGCGAGTTACCAAGTACCTACAGCAGATACAAGTACGCTGAGATAAAGATTTAAAAATTCAAAAACGAATAACAAAATAAATCCAACCAATCAACAGGAAAGGAAAAAAAGTAACAAAAGCATAGACACTAGAAAAGAAAATAAGAGCCTTTTGAACACCCAAAGCAAAGCGTACCGAACCAAATCAGCAACCACAACACTGATTTTCTTGGCGCCTTTCTCCAGCTCCCTCTAAATTCACATCTTACAAGCCAAAAGATTAACCTTAATGAGCCGGAGCCTCGTCGTTGTTCCACGAGAGGTAAGTATGATCACCAAGTTTCCTAGTTAGATATCAGAATCGCCTTTCCTTATGTTATCTAATTACGGGGGGAAATACCTCGGCTTATAAAGATGTCTCGCCGTAAATACCGCACCTAACACCACGCAAATCCCAGCCACGACCACATACGCAATCCCTAAAAATGGATTCTTCCCGCCCATGACGGTCCTTGTGGAGATGACAATACTCTTTGTTCCCGCGTATTCACTGACCGGGAAATTATACTCGATATCCACCTGATACCTGCCCGCGCCCATAACATCCTTGTCATTCCTCAGCGCCAACTTTGAAAATGTCGGTAGACCGGCTGTACGCATCCACACGTGGAACTCTTCCCAGTTGGTTAGATCAGGAAGTACTTCGTATTTCTCGCCGTATTTCTTTACCCAGTTGGGAGGGGGGACGACATCGTCGACGGTGTACTTGGTTTTACCATAGCGCTTTCTGTCGGAGCTCCAAGCAATGCCTGTGTTCGTCATGTTATATGGCCTGGGTTCGCTGGATTGCGAATTGAGGAGTGCAGGTGATTTGAAGGTATCGTTAAACATGCTGTTTGCGATGAGGCCACAGGGATAGTATGGCTTCTTATCCTTGTTTACGATGAGAGGAGAGCAGTCATCGGAGCTAACTAGATCATTCCTTGTCCTAGCATCGCCTTTAAGCTGCTGCTCGTCGAGACTCTGCACGTAGCGTCTATGGTTCTGGTAGAAGTTTGCGAGGCGGTAGTAGAACAGTACCGGGGGGTTAAAATCGCTGGGAAGTGTAAATTGGATCTTGCAGGTTGTCCCGTTTTGCATAGACCATTTAGGGATACCGGCTTCTGGGAGTGGTTTATTGAATGAGACTGAGTAGTGGCTCGAGGGGATGACCTCAAATTCCGAGCTAGCACTTGTGCATTTTGTATAATCGATAACTATCTCTTGAACTTGGGCAGAAGCCCAGAGAAGGAGGCCGCCGAGGGGACCAAAGACGATACCGAGGGCAAAAAAGAGCGGAAGAACTGTTTTTGGTGTGAGAATTGGTCTAAAGATTAAGTTAGTTAGTAAATGTGTTAACTCATGTGCAATGCAAGTCATTTAAAATGCGGAGTAATACATACTGCCAGGCCTTTAATCGCTGCTGTCTAAAGGCAGTATCTGCGAGAAGTCAGTAAATTTTGCAGAGGAAAGCTAGGATCGGGGAAACAAACTTCCAGGTCTTCTGCTCTTCTCCTTCTTACCGCCTGAGGGGCGGTCTTCGTCTCCAGAGCTAGGCATAGTAAAATGGTGTCAAGACAATAGTAGTGAAGTTTGGTTGGTCGGAATATGTGTGTAGCTAATATTGATGGGGTAGTGAGGGTGTATCTTCTGCCTGAGAAAAGATGTCGCGATGTTGCACGGGGGGAGATGATGGGACGTTGCAGCAGGTGTTGCTAACTTAAGGTCCAGGATGTTACCCAGAGTTTACTGGCCGGAAGTGGCTATACGCTACAGACAGATGAACAGACCGGGGCGCGGTGGGTGTACTGCACACTGCGCTGACCGTGAATGGGATTACGCTGGTTGAAAAGAATAACAATACTACGCTGTTGTAACAAGCGCCACCCGGTGAAGAAGTCAACATTATCACTCCGCTTCCGGAACCATTTGTTATGGAACTACCTGATGCATCGTAATGTGTGCAAACGACTTTAATTTTATTCAACGTAGTGCGATATGATGTTGTCTTTATCGATACCTCGCGGGCTTTTTTCCCTGCATACTCGTTTTTTCACAGCGTTTGTGAACACAACCGGCATTACACACACAAAAAATAGCCAAGACAACCTTTTTGTATGGCATGCAATACTCGTAGCTTTATAGCGTTTCCGAACACGACCAATATTGCATGACATACGAAAAAGCGCCAAATCCACCTTTTTGTATGTCATGCAATATTGGTCGTGTTCGGAAACGCTATGAATAGACGAGTACAGTATGTAGATACTACTTTTATTCTCTAGTCTAGCGTACCATGCATAGAGCTCGGATACGGGAAGGAGCTCTTCCAGAATAATTCCACACATCACGTGACTCTTCAACCCTCATTACAAATTTAAAGTTACATACATGTATCCAAATAATTCGTCAGCATACAATACATAATTCACATCTCTACAGCTATTCAAACAATGTATGTACACCCGCAGGAAAAAAGTGAGGAAACAGCGGGTGCAACCCGTCCGAACCCCAATGCAAAATTGGGGATAAAAATGAAAAGAAGTAATATAACTAAACAATAAAATACAGAATAGATACTATGGCCTCTAAACTATATTCACCACCCCCTATGATCTCCCTAGTCCTTTACTACTGCTGCAATTCTCTTTGGCATGCTGTCAATGATTTTTATATACATTTCCCCCAATCCGGCCTTTCCTACTCTTCCCTAGCTTGGGCTTCAATAACTTTTATGTTTTCATTCCAAGTAGCCCCTATCCACTTTCCAGACTTGTCAAAAGGCATGGCCACGGAATACTCGTGGGGTTGTATTGCGGGTGTGGGGATGTCAAGTTGGAGGCACCCATTGTCATGCACGCTACTCGCTGTTTCCTCACTTTTTCCCTCATACATACATGTATACAGTACAATCTCCTTATTAGGGTTCGGTTCATAAGGGTATTCGCCTTATAAAGGTAGGTGTTTGGGGTCCTCAATGGGCTTCGTACTATAAAGGTACACGCCCTATAAGGGTACGACTTCGCGCCACTTTTGTACTGTAACTTTAAGTAGCACCGCGCGCTAGCGGTACTGTGACGGCGTAACGTGATTTGTCGACAGGGTAATCGGGAAAGCTCACAAGACTTCGTGAATCAGCGCGCAACTTGAGGAAGCTGTTGCAATCGGTAGAGACGCCTTTCCCATCACTTCATTCAACTCACAATTCCTACTACATCCTTCAACCATCATACAATGGCTTCCCAAGGCCCTCCTCCAGCTTCCGGGGGTGGTACTGCTGCTGCCGGCTCCCCCCAGGCACTCAACCAGATTGTTATCGAATACCTTTCGAAAAAAGGTTACTCAAAAACAGAGGCCATGTTGCGGGTTGAGTCTGCCCACACAGATCACGAAGGAAGGCCAATTCTAAGCAGCTTGGACGACCAACCTGAACTAAAATACGAAAAGAGCTACTGTGGGTTTATACTCTAGTAGTGGCAGAGATAAGCCTGCTGATTCGCGCGCATATTGTAGCACATTTGAAACATTGGATCGATAATTCTTTAGATCTCTATAAGCCCGAGTTGCGCCGCCTTCTCTACCCAGTATTTGTACACTCCTTTCTGGAGCTTGTCAAAAGTGGCTATGTAGTTCCCTCGCAGACGTTCTACAAGGAGCATGCCCACGAACATGAGAGCACTCACGGTCACGACCTCAAGAACCTCAAAGCGCTCAGTCTTCCACAGCATATCGAGGATGACCAACTCGCAAAGCTTTACCGCGAGAACAAGTACCGCGTTATCCTCTCGAAGACTACGTTTACTCTCCTAATGCACTTCCTTGAAGAAACAAAAGACGCCGGCGGCAGCGTGATCCTGAGATTTATCAATCAGCGCATTGATATTAAGACAATTTCCGGTCGACCGACCATGTTTTCTACCGCCGGTGATGACGAGGGCATGCTCGGTGAAGAAGAGGGCATTCAAGGGCACACCTCAGGCCATCTCAACCGCGGGGGTGTTCTCCCAAGCATAAAACTCGGTCATCTACCCATGGATAAAGAGCTCATGTCTGATGTTGAGGAGGAGCTTCGTGAAGAGGACGCCCGAATGAAAGACAGTACTAGAAATGAGGAATTAGGCGTCTCTACCGGAGGTACCCTTATTGAGGAATTCCAAAAAATTAAACGAGAAGAATCCGAGGATTCGCCAATGCGCGATACTATCCCACTCCCTCCATACACGGGAGTCGATGTTGAGCGTGAAGTGCGCCTGGTGAAGGAGTCTCGTGACAAGGTCCGCCTCGCCGGCGTGCCCGCTCCTGCATTACCCAGTGTCTGCATGTATACTTTTCACAACACCCACGATGGTCTTAATTGCGTCGATTTTTCTGAGGATTCCACTCTAGCAGCTGGTGGATTTGCCGAGTCTTATGTCCGTATCTTCTCTCTAAAAGGCGCTGCATTGCCGTCTATTATTCCTGCAGAAAATCTTCCCTCTATTCCCAAAACCAGACGTCTGATTGGCCACTCTGGCCCTGTGTATGGCGTTTCGTTCTCGCCAGACAACAAGTACCTCCTTTCCTGTAGTGAGGACAAAAGTGCACGCTTGTGGTCTCTCGATACCTTCACTGGACTTGTTGTCTATAAAGGTCATGATAATCCAATCTGGGACATCAAATTTGGCCCCTTTGGTCACTATTTTGCAACCGCCTCCCACGATCACACTGCAAGACTCTGGAGCTGCGACCATATCTACCCCCTTAGAATCTTTGCCGGCCATCTGAATGATGTGGACACTGTTGAGTTCCATCCCAACAGCGCCTACGTCTTCACAGGCTCTTCCGATAAAACCATACGCATGTGGGATATTCAAACTGGAAATTCAGTGCGCCTATTTACTGGACACACGGCGCCCGTTACTGCGCTTGCTGTCTCTCCAGATGGAAAGTGGCTTGCGTCTGCGGGTGAGGATTCCGTGATCAATATGTGGGATCTTGCATCTGGGAAGCGACTTAAGACTATGCGTGGCCACGGGAAGACCAGTATCTACTCTTTGAGCTTTTCTGTCGAAGGCAACGTATTGGTCTCTGGAGGCGCAGATATGACCGTGCGCACCTGGGATGTTGCCTATGGCACTGGAGCGCCGACTGCGGACGCACCAGAGGGAACTGGTGGGGTGAGTGTCGGCGATGGGACGACCAAAGTGGACGGCGTTACGAATGGAGCCGGCAAGATAAGGAAGGGTGGGAAAGATGTGGTTGCTACGTAAGTACCTTTTTTTTCCTTGTGATAAATCATATACTGACGGACTACAGCCCTGATCATCTGTCTGTCTTTTACACAAAGAAGGCACCAGTGTACAAAGTCCAGTTTACAAGGAAGAATATGGTTCTCGCTGCTTCAGGGTTCTTACCTTGATTAATATAACTACATATGGCTTTTCTTGATGATGTTGGATCATCTCGCCATCATTTCAACATCACCTCAATACATTGATTAAGGACTGGAGTTTATGCAAAAAGTGTATTTTACTTTTCTACCGGATATGGTGTTTTTAACTATTTTTTTCTCGGGATTTGTTTTTAGTTGATTAGCTAGCTACTCTGTTTATTTCCTTTCTGTTCCGGTTGGGCCTGGGTGTGAGGGTGTGACTATTTCTTGTTATGTAAATAATAGCGGTGGATATGGTGATGTATGATTGTTATTTTTTTTATTTTTTTTATTTTTACATCTATAATACAGGCTCTATACCATTACCCTGGCACTAGTAAATCTGACATGTACGTGGTTGTCAGTTGTGTAGTTTCCCTCTCATGAAGATCCGGGGGTTTCCGGCTCTTCGGGCTTTTTCCGAGCCACAAGGATTTCATCTATTATACCCATCTCCTTTGCTTCTTCGGCACCCATAAACAGGTCTCGCTCCATGATTTTCTCTGCGCAAACTGTAAGTATAACTCTTCAAATTGGGACGGTCAGGATAACGGTCAAGATACATACCAATCTCCTCAAGCGTATGCGGCTTCGTTAGATGCTTTTGGTAGATCATATTCAGCCTCTCTCTGACTCTCAGGATCTCCTTTGCATGAATCGCAATATCTGTTGCCTGCCCCGCATACCCGCCACTCGGCTGGTGCACCATAACGCTCGAATGTGGTAGGCAATACCTCCTCCCCTTTGCTCCTCCCGCCAACAACAAACTTCCCATGCTGGCTGCCTGCCCAATGCATATTGTACTGACGGGAGCCTGGATATAGTTCATTGTGTCATAAATTGCCAACCCAGCGGTAACGGAGCCACCCGGGGAGTTGATGTAAAGGTTTATAGGCTTTGTTGGGTTCTCAGCTTCGAGGAAAAGAAGCTGGGCTACGATAACGGAGGAGAGCCCATCGTGTACAGGACCGTTGAGCGTTATGATGCGCTCTTTGAGGAGGCGTGAAAATATATCATCTAGGCATGCAGGGTTAATCCAATAACCATATAATGAGGAAAGAGGGTTGTACAAACAGGAATGCCATCCTCCACCGACGGATTCGTGGACAAAGGGTGTCGGTGTGTAGTAATCCGCCAATCCCGGCGAAGCAGATAATGCCCGTCGAGCTCTGGCAGTGGTCGTGGGACGGAGAAAGTGGGAACTTTGGCGGCGCAGTAAAGGCGATAGTATTGACGACGACATAAAGGCGGGTATGCGGGTATCTACTTGGGCAAGCTGATGCTTTTGAGTATTCGGAGGTCGTGAATGAGAATATGGTTTAGCTGTGGTCGAGTTAAGTTTGTGCAATGACTAAGCAAATCACGTGAATTCATAATTTTATAGTCAATCATTTCCATCATAAAGAACTAGAGACCACTACTTGATGGAATTTACTGTTCGTACTTTACCCGCAACATCGGATAGTTCAGTTAAAGTTGTTTTATTTAAATTTATATGAACACTCTTTGAGAAATTGGATTTGTTCATAGCCTATCACTCTGATCCCCAAATTTAACAGCCAGCGTGCAACAGATTGGGATATTAATTGATTTGATTTATAATTCATGAATTGTGCGCAACATGTACATATGTCAACAACAGGTCGGGATATGGTTGAGATCCTAGAAGAATTCATATGATGATCATTATAGTGTTAATAAATTTTGAATATTTTATGTACGTATTGTCAGGTTACAAAAATAACTACGCACCCCGCATAGTAACCAGACGCGATTCCCAATCCGTTTCATTCCAGCCATGGACTAGAGTACTACATATAGGTTCCTTAACTCTCTAGATTCATGGATATAGAATCACCTTGTTCATATCTATTGTGGTTGTCGAAATATACGTACTTGGATGGTTGTTGGTTGTCGTTGGTGCGTAAGTATATATGTAGGTTTTATGTAAAGAAAGCTTGAGTTACCGGGACCTCAGCCGACACCTTTACGCAAATCTGGTCTGATAATACTATGTTTTCTTTTTTCTCATAGTTCATTGTATTGCCACCGGAAGGGTATTTTGAACCCTCGAAGGCATCGCAAACCCAAGTGCAGTCGTGAATGGTAGTTGAGCACTTTCGCATAATCTCAGTATCGGGTACCGCCATAACTCGAAAGATTGGCTAGATCAAAATTACTTGTATGGGAAACTTCTGATGTAGATCGATGCCATTCAACCAATTATTCAAGCGGTAGTCCCTGGACGGAGATAGCCAATTTTTCGAGTTTTGGCGGTATGTACATGCCAAGTCCGAGTGACACTTCCTGATCCTAGCAACCAATTACATAATCCACCCATGAACAACGCTCCAAAACTCTCCACAACACACGCGCGCGCAGATATCCCGCCATGGACTTTGAAGATGACACCAAGCAGAGCTTCTATGGGCACTTTCTTGAGATGCAGACAGGTACATCCATAAGTTAATATATCCGCTAGAATATAACCCACGCTAATCCGGGCGCGTAGCTCTCGAGGCTCAAATCGAGAATCTCCCAGGCGTAGACGCCTCCGTGCGACCAGAAGCTATAGACGCATGCCTAGCGTCCATAGCGCAGCTCTCGGGCGTCGTAAAGGACGCGAGCTCCTACCTGCCTGCTTATGACCAGCGGTCGTACTCTGAGGTATGCGAAGGCCTTTCTGCCTTTCTACCTAGACAGGTGTTCACAGTTGGTTGTTGTAGACGATCCGCGACCTCTCTGAGAAGCTCGCAGAGATGCGACGGTCCCTAGCACCGAAACAGAAGTTCTCGTTCAAGAACCGTAAGAAGGACACCAGCGCGGGCATCGGCGGTGCTGTTAAATTTTCCTCAACACATAGCACAGAGAAGCCCGCGGCGGTCTCGGCTGTCCCCGAGGCCAATAACCTCGTCATATCCCAGCAATCCGGGAAAAACCTATGCCCAGACCCACCAGCAGCGGCAAGCTCCTTCTCATCACTGCTATTGTCAGACATTGAGGGATGTGTGGTTTTGTTCCCAGCAGGGCGGACGTTCTTCAAGAGCGCATCTGTGAAGGGCATTAGCAGATCATTGTTGTTCCTAGGGGGTGCGGTGAATGGGCCGCTACATGTTACGGGATTGAGGGATGTGACCGTTGTGGTGGCATGTAGGCAGTTGCGGATGCATGAGGCGGTGAATGTGGACTTATATCTTCTGTGCACGTCAAGGCCGATTATCGAGGACTGCAGTGGGGTTAGATTTGCGCCACTGGGGAAGGAGGGCTTGGGGGAGGCATGGGAGGGGGTTCAAAGAAATATGTGGGACCAGGTTGACGACTTTAAGTGGTTGAAGAGTGAACATAGTCCGAATTGGGCGGTATTGCCGGAGAGCGAGAGGGTGAGTGCGGAAAGGTGGGAAAAGGTTAGGGAAATGGGGCTAGACGAGGGGTTGAAAGCCTTTGTTAACAAGAGCACTACTTTGTAGGGTCCTGTGGGATAGGGTTACGTCTAATAACTAATATTATTATATTCTTAGAACTGCATGTACTCTACATTACATGTAGGTATTAGATACATGCGGATTTTTATTCAAACGAATTCCATTCCTACGAGCTGTGGTTGGTCAATGATATATATTGATATTATCGCGATGATCTGACAAGCTTCAGTCGACGTCCACCGAACGAACCAACGTCCAGTCCGGGCGCATGCATGATGATGATGGATGGCATCGACCCTGATTGATGTGCCGCGCTGCGTGCATCCCCGCTAAGCGAGCGGTGTTGTGCTTGTGTAACCATGAGGTTCACAACCTTGGCAAAAAAAACTGCCCACACAGTGCACACTCTAGACTTGATTGTGCTTAGTGCGGCGAATAATTTCTTTCTGCTGTATGGAGGTGCTAGCACTGGCCCGGACATACTCTACATACATATATCCTACTCTAGATCTCTGTCTGTCTTCTGCCCTGGCTGAGATTCTTACCTGATCGACTCGCCCCCCCCCGCTCTCCCCTTCACTGAATTGTGATGCTGAGGAGCAGAAATCGCAGGCAGCTCAATCGCGAGTAGATACTAACTCAAATAATATGCTCTCTCTTGTCCGCTCACTGCCGCCAAAACATGGTGGCCGACATTGCTATTTGTCCCAACCCCGCCGCCGGTTCGCTACGAACAATATCGGGAATCTTCACCACTGCCGCAATGCCCGGATGTCCACACTCCATTCTCTGACCGCGGGAGTAAGAGGATATGCGACTGATACTGAAATTGAGAAGGGTAAGGAGGAGGAGAAGGAGAAGGAGGGGAATGGGGAGGGCGAGGATAAAGGTATGGTTTAATTATATCTGCAAAAGCTGCAAAATAATGAATATAAAACACTTATACCTCCGCTCAATAGACCTACCTCGCTTCAATGCTCTCGGCGTGCAACAACTCTCTCACAAAGTCCATTCTAAAGTCTTTTCCGGTAAGCCCACCCCGCCGCCGCCTGAAATCGTTGAGCTTTCCAAAACCCACTTGACGCGGCATGGCCTCTATGGAAAAAACACCGACCAAAACCCGCCCATCTCCTTCGACCTGCCGCCGTTGCGTGGCAAATCGGGAACGCTCGATGAGCATTTCTACCAGCTCGGATTGACCTCTTCATATCCTTACTTGGACTACGCAAAGAAGTTTGCTGGCGTTGACCTTCAGCCGCCGCCGCCACCGGGAACGAAATGGGGGCGGCAGAGCGGGTGGACCAAGTATAAACCCGACGGGACCGCAACGCCGGTCAAATATCCAACGGATGACATGCTGGTGTTTGATGTCGAAGTGCTATACAAGGATTCGCCATTCGCAGTAATAGCGTGTGCAGCGGGGACAGAAGGGTGGTATGCGTGGGTGTCGCCCTGGATCCTAGGGGAATCAAAGACGGATCGGCATCTAGTCCCGCTAGGACTATCGGAGAAGCCGCGTGTTATCGTCGGTCATAATGTAGGCTATGACCGCGCGAGGATCAAGGAGGAATATAGTTTGAAGAAGACTTCATTTGCATTTTTAGATACAATGTCACTACATGTAGCGACAAACGGGATGTGCTCGAGACAGCGCCCAACGTGGCTAAAACATCAGAAGTTACAGAAGTTGAAGGATGGGATGCTGAGCATGGATGCCGTGTCGCAGGATACGCTGAATATGCTGGAAGAGGAGGAGGAGGCGTGGATTGCGCGGAGCTCTATCAACTCCCTACAAGAGGTAGCGCTCTTCCACTGCGATATCCAAGTCGACAAAGGAGTGCGCGACCAGTTCGGAATCATCAACAGAGAGGGGGTCTTGAAGCAGCTCGATACCTTACTCGACTACTGCGCGGCAGACGTGGCGACAACCCACAAAGTTTACAAGAAGGTCCTCCCCAATTTTCTCGAGGTCTGCCCGCATCCCGTGAGTTTCGCTGCGCTGCGGCACCTCTCCTCAGTAGTCCTCCCTGTCGACAAGACCTGGGAGGACTACATAAAGCGTGCAGAAGATACCTATATAGAAACCTCAGAGGCCATCAAAAAACGCCTAATAGACCTCGCAAACGGCGCTCTGGCACATAAAAACGACTCGGTTACGTTCATGGCGGATCCGTGGCTACGACAACTAGATTGGACTATACCGGAGACTAGGACGGTCAAGATCAAGGGCCAGGTCAAAGGGGAGGTCAGCAAGCGGCCAGCAAAGAACCAGAAAATGCCCGGCGAACCCAAGTGGTATAAGGATTTATTTACACCCGGCAACGCTGGAGATATGAAGATTAGCGTCAGATCAAGGATTGCGCCGCTGCTACTGAAACTGGCGTGGGATGAGAAGCCGCTGGTATGGTCGGATGTGTATGGGTGGGTGGTGAGGGTGCCAGTTAGTGAGAAGGCTAATTACGAGGACAAGGCCCTGGTCAAATGCGATATGGCTGAAGAGAAAAATGGGCTCCTAAATAGTGATCGGGAAAATATCTACTACAAGCTCCCGCATAAGGATGGACCGACGGCAAGATGTGTGTCGCCGCTGGCGAAGAGTTATCTGAAATACTTTGAAGACGGAATGCTTTCCTCCCCGCACCCTCTTGCGAAGGAAGCATTGAAGATGAACGCTGAGTGTTCGTATTGGATCTCGGCACGGGAGAGAATCAAGGGCCAAATGGTTATCTACGAGAGTGACGTAGAGGAAGGCTACCTGACGGGTATGACAAAAACTGCGCTGGAGAAATCTAAGAAGGAGAGTGGTCGCAGCAGCCCAGAGGTGGGGATAATCCTGCCGCAACTTATACCTATGGGAACGGTTACGAGAAGAGCAGTAGAGAGAACCTGGTTGACGGCCAGTAATGCAAAGAAGAATCGTTTAGGCTCGGAGCTTAAGGCAATGATCAAAGCACCTCCAGGGTACGTCTTTGTAGGCTCCGATGTAGATTCACAGGAGCTCTGGATTGCAAGTTTGGTGGGAGATGCGCAGTTTAAATTGCATGGCGGAAACGCTATTGGGTTCATGACACTCGAGGGTACAAAGGCTGCCGGGACGGATTTACACTCAAAGACAGCAAGTATTCTGGGAATCTCTAGAAACCACGCAAAAATCTTCAATTATGGAAGAATCTACGGCGCTGGTGTCAAGTTTGCCTCAACTCTCTTAAAGCAATTCAACCCCACCCTGCCCGACAGCGAGGCCGACCAGACGTCACAAAGACTCTACAAAGAGACCAAGGGCACTAAAACAAAACATTCCCTCTTTCACGACCGTCCCTTCTGGCGGGGCGGAACCGAGAGTTTCGTCTTCAACAAACTGGAAGAGTTTGCGAACCAGGATTTACCCAGAACCCCTGTTCTGGGAGCAGGTATCACGGAGGCTTTGAGAAGGGAGTATTTGACTTTAAATGGGTTCATGCCGTCGAGGATCAATTGGGCGATTCAGTCTTCGGGTGTGGATTATTTGCATCTATTAATCATCGCGATGGAACACCTTATCACGAGATTCAGGCTAAGTGCGAGGCTGGCAATTACGGTGCATGATGAGATTCGGTATCTAGTAAAAGATATGCATAAGTATCATGTTGCGATGGCACTTCAGATCGCAAATCTCTGGACTAGGGCAATGTTTTCGCAGCAAATGGGCATCGAAGACCTTCCGCAGGTACGTTTGCATTGTATTGAATTCATTGACAGTGGTGAGCATTGACTAACAAACTCATAGTCTTGCGCATACTTCTCTGCCATCGACATTGACTCGGTCCTGCGTAAAGAAGTGGACATGGACTGCATCACACCCTCACAACCGAATCCTATTCCCCCAGGAGAGTCCATTAACATGACCCAACTCCTCGACGCTCTCAAGAAGGGAAACACCGCATTCTTCCAGAAATCACTCGCACGGGGGCATCATAAACTTTCAAAGGATCTAGAAGATGCGGAGTACACCCCGCGCACCCCCGTAATGGAGCAGCTCCAAGGGGGAGCCAATATCCCCTTCCTCCGAGCACAAAACGCCGATGACGAAGAGTTCCGGAAGCTTGTTGGCGAGCTTAAAAAGAAATATATGTTCCCGGAATACCAGAAGGCGAAACCTTCCCCCGTAGAGGATATGATCTGGAATGCACCGCCCGTGGTTGCAAAGACATACGAAGAGACACACGAAGCGGTCTCCTCGAGCGTTAAGGGCCAGAAATGGCAGTCGCTCCCAACAAATAGTCCCCACGTGAAGAGGCCGTTTGCAATGTCGCTAGAGTTTAAGCTAGAGGTTCAAGAGGCCAGAAAGCAGACAGCTCAATTAAGGAGGTCTGATCCGGTCAAATCCGGCACCAGTAAACTACATACCAATCGTCCAAAACCATTTATGCGGAAGCATCCGGATGTATAAGAGTAAATTTAAGAATATGTAGATGTAGATATATTCCCTTCTCTTTTTATCTTTCGCTTGTTGAGGGTTGGCATCTTATAGGGCGTTTATTATGTTTTATCTTCTTTTTTTGGTGTTTTATGGGGTATCTTAGACGAGCGGCGGCGGATGGTGGTGGTATTATGTATCTTTCATTGGGCTATTTTGTTTGGGGTTGGTTCTCCGGGGGCAGTTAGCGAGCGCCAGTTACTTCAGAAATCAAAAGTTTCTTATTACAATTACCCTCCTTGTTTACGTCATGTAATATCACTCGGTAAGTTCTCCGACCCATGCACTTGCGATAGTATTGTTTGGGCATCTAGGGATCGGAGCAAGCCATCCTGGAAGCTTAGACTAAAAACTGGAAAACAATTGTAAGCATGGGTTGAGTAACCGAGTGGCAATACAGTATTTTCTGTGAGGACAATCACTTCCTGCTAAGAATGCAATTAATGAATTAAACAAAAAAACAAAAACTTCCTGCTAAGACCTCAAAGCTCACTCACTCTAAGTAATACATACAAATACATAGCTCCTTTAAGTGCTGTCGCACAGGCATGGAATTTTGTGTTTGCGGTACTCATAAGCATATCCATCTGTGTCCCTGTGGAGAATTCAAGCTGGTGGTGGAGGTCTCTGGTAGGCTAGGTGCCATTGGCAGGGAGTCATTGTAGGCACCCAGGGCAGGGCCAAGCCGAGTGATAGCCTATGACTGCATCCATCAGTCACGAGAAGTCTAGCAAAGGGCCAACATAGGTTGGCCTTCGAATATGCTACTTCTAATGAGGCCCATCAACAGCATGTCCTTCAAGTATATACAAGTAGGGAGACATATATATATTCCATACTTGTGTTCCGGCGGGGGACATTTACTAGAGAAAAAAGAATAAATAGGCTGGTGATATGATATATATACATGCACATTTTATTACACCCTCCATGCAAGGTCTGCTCTGCCCTGCTCTATTTCCCCACGGTGTCTCTCGCAACAATCGCCTTCAGTCCCGCACACGCCACACCCACGCCCCAGCGCACCGTCGCCGTCTCCGCCTCCTCCCCCGCCACATCCGTGCCCTTGACATACTTGCGCAGAAAGTACAGCACGCTCCTCGCCAGGTCCACGTTCTCCGCAATCCGCATAAACACATCCACCACGGCCTTCTCGTCCCTGCCGCCCTGCTCCGCCGCGTTTCGCTGCGAGTGCAGCACAACATTGATAAACAGTAGCTCCAGAAACATCTTTGTCCGGCTCTGCAAATACGCCATGTTAAGCGTCTTGAGCACATCCAGCCCCAGCGCACCCTCCGCAATCAGACTGCCATACATGCGCGCCCAATTCACCGTCTTGCGCATCTTGAGCGCCTCGTCTTCCTCATCGTCGTCATCGAACGCATCGCCCGCCGCCGCCCGCCCGCCGTCGTCCTCGCCCATGCGCCGGAAGATGTCCCAGAGGCAGAACGTGAACGTCATCTTGAGCGCGCGCTGGCCGCAGAGCTTCCGCGCGATGAGCGTGTAGTAGGGGTTGTAGGAGGCCTCGCTGCCGCAGCAGTGCACAAGCACGCGCGGGATCTCGGGCTCCTGCTTGCGCTTAAGCCGTAGCTTGAGGAGGCGGTTGTGCGCGTCGGTGTAGTCTTCCGCAGACATGATGGTCACGAAGATGGAGCGCCGGACGTCGGTGTTCATGCGCTGTTGGCGGGCGAGCTCGACGAGGTCGGTGATGGTGCCGAAGTCGCTTTCGGACTTTTTGGCCTTTTTTGTGGGCTTTGAGGAGGTGGTGGTGGTGGTTTCGGCGGATGCAGGCTCGGCAGAGGCTTGGTTGCCGACCCAGGAGGCGCCGACGAGCCACCATTTACCTTTGGTTTCGGTGTTGCGGATGTCGTCGAGGGAGGCGCGGAGAGGCTCGCTGGCGCGGAGTTGTCGGGTGTTGAGAGAGCCGAGGAGTTTGCGCATGCGCGAGGTAGATTGTGATGTTATGGCGGAGGTGGCAGTGGCGGACTTGAGGCGGTTGTTCTTTAAGTTAGTGAGCGTTTCAATCATGAATTTTGTGCGGACGCTCATGTTGGCTGCGCCGATTTTGTTGATTGCGGGCTGCATCATGACGACAAGGTCCTTCAGCGCCGTGGGGTCGTCCTGCCGTAGCTGTGTACCGGAATCTAGGAATATCAATGTAGTTGTTAGTCCGTATTCTTCTTATTAGAGGTCATTGATAGCGGGAGAAACATACTGCGCACAATCTTCAACAGTAATTCTGTGTTGAGCTCCGTAATCTCTCCCAAAAATATCCTGATAAAGTCAAATACCAGGCCGCAGCCCACGACCTGGAAGTTATAGAGCTCGGCCAGAAAGCTCATCAAATTGGTACACTCCTTGGTCCCTGACGCTGGGTTCTCAATGCCGTTTGTCTTCTGGTAGTGCACATCGAAATTCTCAACGATCCGCTGCACAACGTGCGCGCCAAAGTCGGTGCCGATGAGCTTATACAGACCGGCGACTAACCCGGCGTGCAGGATCATGAATGTGTCCATGAGCGACGACGGGTCGCAGACAATGGTGATAAAAAGGTCGGAGAGCGTTGCTGTGACATGGCCACGCGGATTACTGCGGTACAGGGCCTCGATCTCGCCGAGGATGGAGAGGAGGTTGGCTTCGGAGAGACGGTTTATAAGACCCTTGCAGGTGCGTTGTAGGCGCTGAAGGAGCTCGTTGTCGGTCGTTGGGGCGCCGCGGAGAGAGGGGGGGATGTATTTGCTGGTGCTGGCGGCGAATTTGGGGGTTTCGGTGGTGGAGGGGGTGGTGGTGGGTGGGTCTGTTGGTTTTTCTGGGAATGCTTCTGGTGAGGTGGGCTCGTCGTCTTTTATGCCCGTGAACTCTTCTTCGTCTTCGTCGCCTTCGTCATCTTCGGGAATGTCGTCTTCGTCTTCACTTAGATCCTCGTCGTCGCCGTCGAGATCCATGCCGTCGAGTATATCGTCCAGCCTATCCTCATCATCCTCCTCGCTGCTCTCCTCGTCACTGATATCCATATCCTCTGGCTCCGGCTCCGCCTTCGCCTTCGCTGTTTTCCTCCTCTTTGCCCCACCCTCCCTCTCGGCCAGAAAGTCCTCGTCTAGCCCTTCCATTAAGAAGTCCAGCCCATCCTCCTGAAACGACGCCGGCAGCTTCTTGCTCTTGATCTTGAGCTTCTTCTCCAGGGCACTGATCTCCGCGTCATCCTCGGCCAGCTTGTCCTTCACCGCCCTCCTTATGTGCGGCCTGCTACTAGTCTCATCCTTCTCCTCCACCGCCGCCCGTGTTTCTGGCCGCTTCGTCTTCTTGAGAATTGACTTTGGTTTCACCTCCTCCTCCTCCCCCTCCTTCTTCTTGGGCTTCTCTTGCTTCTGCGGCTTCGCTAACGGCGGTGCTTCTTCCTCGTCGTCGTTGTCGTCGTCTGCGCCGGCTTGATGGTGGATTGGTTGGGGCGGCCCGTGTTTTGCAAAGTGTATACGCTGCTTCTTCTTGATGTCGCGCTCCTGCCTCCGGCGCTCTTTGCGGTCTGGGAGGCGCTTGTTCTTGCCGCCCTTGCGCCGTGAGGAGGTGGGATTGTCTACACGGGAGGTCAGCGACACAGCATTGAGGTTGGTGTAGTGGGGGAAGGAATGTGTGTACCAAGGGCGAGTTCTTGTACTAGCTCCCGGGGGAGTCTTGTCGTGCTTGTTTTGACTGGACGCGGCATTTTGGGGGGTGCGGGGGCGCGGGGGCAGCGGAATTGGCTGTCTGGCGGGTCTGCCTGCAGAGTGCGAGTTTGTGGGAAAGCTGCGAGAAAATTCGGGGGTTAGGGTTGGGAGGCTCTGCGGTGGGGCTAATGCGGGTACGAAACGGGTGTAGCGTGCCAGGGGAACGTTTAGTGCTGTGAGCATGTAAACCTAACCCTTCACTGGCTGGCTCAAGTAAGGGAATGAGCTGGGAGCCACCATCACGCCTGGCGCAAGAGTCGTCGGGACTGCTACCTTAGTTCTTGAGTGTGCCGAATGCCGCCGGGTCGTGCGTTTGACACCCACCTTGGGGGGAGGTAAGATTGATCACCTTATCTCTTGCTGCCGTGGCGAAATAATTTTTTTATGTGCAAAGTGATCCCATTTGCCTCCTGCTACTCTTTTTTTTCTTTCTTCTTTCTTTCTTTTTTCGAGTTCTTTTTTTTCTCTTCTTCCCTTCCTCTTCTCCCCCCCTTTGCATACTACAATATCCAGGCCACGCTTAATTTAGAACACTCAAGGTCATTGATGATTCACCAGCAGTTCCTTCCTCCGGGAAGAAACTGAAAACTCTAGAGTGAAATCAATCAGGAGGTCCTTTTTGTTTTTCTATAGGAGGAGGAGGAGGAAGTACTGAGTTATAAGCGGTGTTGGAGATCGAGGCCGGCTTTTTCCACTCTCTCGTGGAGAAGTTTTTCCGCACACAGACAAATAAAATAGCTGAACCGAACCGTGTCGCCTTACCGTGATGGAAACTACATTATTACAACTGTCTAACAGAATAAGAGACCCGCTGGCATATCTGGGAGGGAAACGAGGGCAGCCCTCCCTCCCCTCCTCCTCCTTTTCATCATCAAGAAGTGAAGTAGTCATCTATTACCGGCTTAAATAGCATTTCCTACACATACGGATATCCGTGCATCTCAATTTAACCATGCTGGCGAGAGCATGATGCCTTCCGAGAAGTGGAGCGCTCGACTACGGACGATATTGACATTGAAGATTGTGGTAATAGTTTCGGGGCGTCTAGGGCTAGGGTTGAGTATCCCGAGTGAGAGATCATGACTTTAGTCCCAAGTTGCGCTTGAGTTTATATTGACTCGGTACATGTACATGTATTCCCGCCACGTCCCTTCACATTCATTAATTCCAAACCGAATCCATCCATTTGCAAACAAGAAAAAAAAAACAATTACTTTTTTTGGCCCCCCACAACCGAAAGTGACAAAAAAAACGCAACGACGAGTGATAATACATGATCTATCTACTAATAGCCAGGCTCACTATGGCTTGATCTCAAACAGTCTTACATTTCCTGCCTCGTTCCCGATGGCCACCATGCCCGTCTCCTTGCCAGCAAAGGCTACGACCGTGACTTTGCCCAGCGGCGTCTTACTAGTAGGCCAGTTCTTGTATACCGTGCAGCTGGGCAGATGGACTGCAGACACACACGAGTTAGCAGTATTCCAGAGAGATATAAAAAGAAGAAGAAGAAGAAGAATAAAAGACTCACTCATCCTCAGCGCATCTTTCTTGCCTCGACTCGCCATGCACAGCACCTGCGCATCCGGCGAGAACTCCAGCACGCTGATTGCCGTCACCAGCTGCTCCATAGCCCTCATCGGCTTCGGCCCTTCCGGTGTCCCCACCGCGCCCACCGCATTCCCGCCAAACGAGAGCTTACGGTCATAGATGTTGACAATGCCGCTCTGGGACCCCACCGCCACCCACCTGCTGCCGCCGTTCGCCACCACCGTCGTTGCAAACCCTCCCTCGTCTCTCCACCGGGCCGTGAATGCGCGCGCCGCAACATCATACTCCCACAGCTCGCCGCCCTTGTTTGCGATCGTCAGCCCGGACCCGTCGTGGTACCACGATACATCCTGCACCCGCCCCTCGACGGCGGCCAGCGCGACCCACTGCAGCGTCTTGGCGTCGAGGATGTTGACGCGCCCCTTTGAGCCGAGGATGGCCATGAAGCGGCCGTCGGGGGAGAGCTTGAACCTCTCCATGCTCTTCTGCTCCTCCTGGTGCCCGTACACGCGGGTCACCTTCTCGACGGCGCCCGACTCGAGGTCCCACACATGGAAGTACCTCCTGCGGCCACTGGCAAAGACACGCTTCCCGTCTGGGTGGAACCAGGCGCTGTTGATTGGGGTGCGGCGGATATGCAGCGACGTCGCCGGAGGGTTGACCTTGCCGTCAATGTGGTGGAGGCGCAGTGTCGAGTCGAAGCCGGACGAGAGGACTAGCGGGTGCGAGGGGTGGAAATGCAGCGCATTGATGCCGGACTGGGAGCCACCGGTGTGGTTCACGTCGGTGAGGCGTGCAATGTTGAGGGCCTCGGGCTTGAGCTTTCCGCTGGCTGCTGGTCTGGTCCAGTTGTGCGTGCTCTGGAGGAAGTCTGAGAGTGGCGGCGTGGTGAGGGCGGTGCTGTCGTCGTCAATGTCCATGTCGGAGCCCGAGGAGCTGCTGGACGAGTCGCGGCGGCGGCGTTTGTGCTCGGGGGAGGGAGGCCTGGCCCAGTCGGGGACGGGGTAGACTCGCTCGAACCTGTGTGCTGGTTAGATCTGCCTCTGTAGGTCTTGGGAGAGGAATGTTCTTCTTACTGGCGCCGTAGTCGCCGTGAGTATTCGTGCCCGTTGACGAAATCGTCCACCTCGGTCTCCCGCAGCTTGCGGCGCTGGTTAACAGACGCAAGTGAGATTGTCAGGCGCTCATCATCACTATCCACCCAAGCCGCCGCAGCCCCCCCGCCCTCTCCATCCACAATCCCCGCCGTCTCCGCACCCTCCTCGTCCTCACCACGAACCGCAATCGTCCCCGCCCCAGGCCCCAAGCCCGCATCTGTGAAAAACAACTACGCACATACACACACACACACTCCCAATCAGTCAATTGCCCCAAAACACACACCACAAACATGCAGCAGGAAAGAAAGAAAAAACGAACCTCATCATCCGCCAACGCCGCCAGGTCCTCCCCAGGCCCACCCACACCCTCTTCTGCTCCCCCCTCTACCACATCGTCGCCCTCGTCATCGTCGGAAGAGTAGTACTTCTCAAGCGCGCCCGCATTCTCGCGCAGGCTCTGCTGGAAGCCCGATAGATCGCCGAAAACGAGCTTTTCGAGCTCGAGCTCAGCGTCGTCCTTTGGCAGCGGCGTGCGGTCTTCTTTCGGGGGGCGCTCTCGCACGGCGGCGGTGGTGGGCTTGCGGGACTTTTTGGCCATTATGTTGTAGGAATTGAGGAAGTTGGTGGTTTGTTTGGTAGGAATTGATTTGGGGGGGGGGGGGTTGTGAGGTTGGAGGGTCGAAAGGAAAGTTTTGGTGGGTGCGAAATTTTGAGCCTCGTGCGGCGCTAGGCTGCATTGGGAGTTTGGGAGGGCGGGATCATGGGAGAGCACTCGGCGTGCGTCATGGGTCGTCACTCGGTTGTTTTTACTGCGCAATCGTGATGGGTGAGAATTGACACCGGTAAAACAGTAGAATTCTCACTGTATCTTACCCCGCCCATTTATAGTTCTACAACCCACACCAAACCCCCATCCATCTACACAACGAAAAAAAAAAAAAAAAAAAAAAAAAAAAAAAAAACATCTATTAAAACACAAAACCCCAAACTTTTAATAAATTATATACAGCTCTACTAAATTACGTCTACCTCTTCTTTGTCCTCTTATACTCATTCGCCGCCGCGCCCTCCTCCGTCTGTATCATGGCCGTAAGCTTCGCCATCTTGGCATGGTACTCCTTGCTCTTCTTCTTGTCCTCCTTGAGCTTCTCGCGCGCCACGAAGCTGCTGTCCTTGCGCAGCTCGCGCAGCGCGCCCTTGCGCTCGCGCTTGTGCTCGGCCTTGAGTTTGGCCAGCTGCAGGCGCTCCTTATCAGGGTCGTAGGAGCGCTTGTCGGCGCTGTAGGACTCTTCGAACTTGGGGATGAAGGTCTTGATGGGTAGGGGTCGGTGGTGGTGGAGCTCGAGGGGGCGGCGGGTGTGTGTGGCGTGTGTGAGGGCGGTCGTGAGGGTCTTTTGGGTGGTTTTAACCTTAGTCTAGAGTGCAATAGTTAGCTTAGATTCTATAAGGGCTTTTAGAAAGAGGAAAGGGGGGGGGGAATGAACCTTGACATCCCGACTCAACCTCCCACCACACTCCCTCCCACCCAGCCACGCCACAACCTCCGCTGCGGGCCCAAACACCTCCCCAAACGCCTTCTTCCCCGCCCACAGCGCCGCAAAGCCCTCCGTCAACGACAGAAACGTGCACGCCAACACACACCGCGTGTCCTCCTTCTCATCCCCGAATATATCCGCAAACGCCATCTTCCTCGCACCACCAACATGCGCCTTCGTAATCCGCAGCTCCGAGCTGTCGTGGTACAGGAAGTTCCCCGGCACCGGCACTTGGGGTGCGGGCGCGAGGAGGGAGAGTCCTTGCAGGACAAAGCTGATGGCCTCGGGCACGAAGCGCCGCGAGAGCTTCTGGTACTGCAGGCAGAGGGTTGCGAGGTATGCGCCTGTTGCCAGGCGCTGCATGGTCGTAGGCGGTGTCTGTGACAGCCAGCGGGCGAGCACGATTGTGGCCGGGGTCACGACCTGGTGGAAGTGGTCGGACGTTGGGTATATCGTTGCGACGGCGGTGAGGAGGATGAGGTCTGCGGATGTGAGGTCCTCGCGGTCGTGGGCTGCTTTCAGGTGGTTGCGGAATTCCTCGGCGACGGGGATGGGGTGGGACTTTGACAGCGCGTGGAGGTGGCGGATGAGTGTTTCGAGGGCGGGGAATGGTGGGGTGGCGGGGGTGAGGTTTGAGAGGTGTAGGATGTGCTCGAGGAGGACGGGGGCGAAGACGGCGAGTTTGGATTTGTTGTCGGCGTGGAGCTTGGGGTGGTGGAGGATGCGGATGCGTTGGATGATGGTTGGGTGGTCGCTGGTTGGGACGGTGGCGGTGATGGAGAGGAGCTCGGCGTGCGTCTGCGGGCATGGGTAGGTGTAGGCGAGCTTGTCGGAGGGCTCAGAGGAGGGCGCGGTGAGGTCGAGCGTGAGGGCCCCGCTGCCGGTGGTTGTGGCGGTGCTCTTTGCGCGCGGCATCAGGTCGGCGAGGAAGTCGTCCTCTTCGTCGTCCTTGTCGGAGCCCGCAGCGACCTCAGCGTCAGATTCATAGTCGTCGGAGAACTCTGCGCCGCTGCCATCGACATTTCCGTCCTCGTCAACGTCGACATAGCCGTCCTCAGAGACCTCGTAGTCGCCGTCGAGCAGCTCATCGGGATTCTCTTGCGTCTTGTCAGGAATGGCGGCGTCGGGGATACCGCGACCGAGATCGTACTCTGTGGCGTCGCCAAACTCAAAGTCGTCGTCTCCGCCGATGTCAGCCTCTTTGGCGGCGGTGCGCTCGTCCTCGCTGTCTTCCTCACCGCGCATGCGGCGCTGGCGGGCCTCTTCGAGCTTGCGCAGGCGCTCGCTCTCCTCGAGGGCCTTTTCCTCGGCCGTCTTTGTGCGCTCGGCGGGCTGCGAGCGCTTGTCGTAGACCATCTCCCTGACGCGCGCGTCGTACTCGGCGTCCTCTTTGCCCTCCATCTGCGCCAACCTGCCCGGGTTGGTCTTGCCGTCGTCCTCAGCCTTCTTCTCCGGCCGGGGTTCATCGCGGCCTGGGATGGGCTCCATGTTGGCGCCTGTCCCCGGGGCATCGCCTCTGATCACCGGCTGCCGTCCGAGGAGAGCCCAGATGTCCGACATCTGTGCGTCGAGCTTCTCGCGCTCGTCCTCGTCGTCCTCTTTCGCCTTCTGGCGCTCGTATTTGTGCAGCTTCGACTTTGCAATGACCTCCTTCATGACCTCCGCCTTTGACTTTTTCCGCTCAGGCTTCTTCTCACCGTCGCTGTCCTCATCACCACTGCCAGTGTCGTTGGGGCCCGCGTCGGGGTCCAGACGCCGCTTCTTGCTCAGCCGCCGCTCAAGCATGTCGTCGTCGGACGCCATCATCTCGTTGCCGTCGTCGAAATCGTCGGCGCCGAGGCTCTTACCAAAGTGCGTCAGCTGGTCCTCGTCGCCGTCGTCGAGGTTGAAGATGTCGCCGCCCCGCGCGCGCTTCTGTTTCTCCTTGGTGAAGCGCTCGAGCATCTTTTCTTCGGGCGTCATGGTGGGGTCGTTTTCGCCGAAGCGGCGGTCGACGATGCCGCCGGCTTTGTGCTTGCGCTGCATTTCGACGAGGAGCGTGCGTTTTCTCTGTAGTAGTAGCACCATTGCACCAATTATTAGCCATCTTCAATCTTCACTCCGCAATCCCAATCGTAATCCTCAATTCCAGCCCCAATCCCCAATTCCCAATTCCAATTCCCCAGAAACAGAAAGCCATGGACCACATACATTCTCCTCCCCAATCTGCTTACTCAACCCCGGCCGACCCTTCGCACCCTTAACCTGGCCGCGGCCACTGATGCTGTGTTTCTCTCTCGTCGTCTTGATCTCGAACGGGTTGAACTCCTCGCGGATGCTCTGCAACGCCACATTGCGTTCCAGGCGCTTTGTGGAGGAGCCTGCGGCGGCGGCTTGCTGCTTGGCGCGGACTGCCGGCTTTTTCGATTTTTGGGGACCTGTGATCCCCGCGGTGCGCAGAGACGCTTTGAGGCGCTTGAGCTGTGATTCGCCCATGTTTGTGGTGGGGGTTGTGGGGGGTTTGGCGGGGGGGGGGGGGGAGTTGGTGAGAGCTGAGTTGAGGATTTTTGAAATATTGAAATTTTGGAGTGGCAGGGATGCAGTGTGCCAAGAAGTGCAGGCAGGGTAAGTCGCGTGCTGTTGCTGTGCGTTGTGGCTCGTGGCTCGTGGCACAAGCCAGGCAAGCCACACTGTACATGTAGTGATAGACAATTATTTATTAGAGAGTTTTAGCTGCGCGAGTACGTTGACGAAATTCTATTCCCGGTAATCGCAGCATGTTATGTATGCCCATGGGGGCGTCATGATAGACACAATTTGAAACCTACATGTATTTAGACGAGAGTCGACTGTATTCCACTATAGACTTTCTACTAGTCGACATTTGCAGTTAGCTTCTTCGATTTGTATGGTGGGCCACCAATCGCTACATGTTGTTTGTTCATGATTCACGTGTGATGATACATGTATGTATGTTCTGCGCGGGATCAGCACGGTGAGTGATTTCCTGTGATGCAGCAAAGGCGCTAAGATAGCAACCTCTTCTTTTTTTTTTTTTATCAACGACCGCAACCCCACACCAAGATTTATATCTGCAAACAACCTCAACCACAACCTCACCTTCAACCCCACAACCCACAGCAGATCTCAAACAATTCACAGATTAGATCAATTCTAGCAAGAAAAGAAATATAGCGCAGAGAGAACTTCACTCTCACTCACCCACTCACTCACTCACTCACCACCCCATCATGGTCTCCGCGGTGCACTCCCACCGCCCCACCATCAAGGCAAATAACAAATCCTTTAAATCGCGCCATGCCACCAAGTCGTCCATCCGAGCCAAGAATAAAGGTACCTCCCCCTCTCCCCCCCAAAAAAAAAATAAAAAAAAATAAAAAAAAAGCCCTAACACAAACCCCAGGCAAAGTCGAAGACGCCGACCCCTCAGCCCGCAAGTCGCCGCACCAGCAGCTGATGTCCAAACTCGACCGACGCAACAAGGCCCGCCAGCTGCAGCAGAACAAGCACAAGGACCTCGTCAAGGAGACGCGCATCTTCGACGGCCGCAAGGGCGCGCCGCGCATTGTGGCCGTGGTCACGCTGTGTGAGAATGGTGATGCGAGGGCGGCGGTGAAACAGTTGCTGGGGAGCTTGGAGCTGGAGGGGGATGTGCCGGAGGTGGGCAGTCTGGTTACTAGGTATGCTTATATATACACTACACTACTATCTCTATCTCTAGATAGCTACTACTTCGGTATCTATATAGGTTTATCTTTATCTCATGTTTACTTACTGCCACAGCGTCGAGCGCTTCAAGCAAAAGCTGCAATGGCTCACCCCCCCCCGCGACCTCCTCCCCACCCTCGACGCCTGCAAGCTCGCCGATTTCGTCGTCCTTGTCTTATCCGCGCAGCAAGAAGTAGACCCCCACGGCGAGCTCCTCATCCGCAGCATTGAGGCCCAAGGCATCTCCAACACCACAGTCGTCGTCCAACACCTCGAAACAATCGACCCCCCCAAGCGCCGGCCCGACGTCAAAAAATCCCTGCACAGCTACATCAGCCACTTCTTCCCCACCATCGCGAAGGTCAACTCCCTCGAGTCCCCGCAGGAGGCTTCTAACGTCATCCGAACCCTCTGCACCCAGCACCCCAAGGGTGTCCACTGGCGCGACGACCGCCCCTACCTCCTCGCCGACGAGGTCCGCTGGACCGATGCTGATGGCCTCGCTGTCACTGGTGTCGTCCGCGGAAAGGGTCTCAACGCAGACCGCCTCATTCACATTCAGGGCTACGGTGACTTCCAGATCGACCGCATCTGCGAGTGCCCCACTGCCGCACCCGCCGCCGCCTCCGGTGACTCAATGGCGCTTGACAACACCGAGTCCGCCGCCGCCGCCGTGCTGGCGACCCCAACCACCGAGCAGGACACACTCGAGGACCTTGCCCCCGAGGCCGAGATGCAAGGCATCTCCGACGCTGTCTCAGAGGCGCCTACAAACATGACGGACCGCCGCGGCGTCCTCCTCGACGACCACCACTACTTCGACGACGACATCGACGCCATCAATGTCCCCTATGAAGCCCCCCGCCGCCTCCCCAAGGGCACATCCTCCTACCAGGCCGCCTGGATCCTCGATGAGGACAGCGACGCCTCCGACCTCGAAGACGAAGAGGACGTCGCCATGGTCGATGACGCCGTCGACCCCGCTGCCCCGCGCCCCGAGGACGGCGTCGAGGGCCTCGCCGGACCAGCAATGACAGAGGCAATGACAGAATACGGCGACGACAAGAGCGAGATGTTTGTCGACCGCGCGCCCGAGCAGGAACTCGCTGAGATCGAGGCCTTCCGCCGCAACCGCGGCAACGCACTCGACGAGGACCGCGAGTTCCCCGACGAGATCGAGCTGCACCCAAATGTAGCCGCACGCGAGCGCCTTGCGCGGTACAGAGGACTCAAGTCGCTGCGCTCCAGCAAGTGGGAGACGGAGGAGGACCGGCCATTCCAGCCGGAGAACTGGGAGCGGCTGGCAAGGATCGGGAACTACAGGGCTGTCAAGAACAAGGTTGTCAGCGAGGCGCTGGTGGGCGGCGTGGCGCCGGGGACAAGGGTGTGCGTGTATCTGAGGAACGTCCCGGCGGACATTGAGAAGGACTGGGCGAGGGGTGGTGGTAAGGTGCTGGCGCTGTATGGGCTGCTGAGGCACGAGCACAAGCAGGCGGTTGTCAACCTCTCGCTCACGCCGAGCAGCGAGTATGCCGATGCCGTGAACGGCGGGCAGACACCCATCAAGGCGAAGGACGAGCTGGTCGTGCAGGTGGGCCCGCGGCGGCTGGTCATCAAGCCGCTGTTCTCGCAGGCCGGTGGCACGGGCAAGAACGGGGTTGCGAAGTTTGAGCGCTACCTGATGCCGGGGCGTACGACTATTGCGACTATTGTGGCGCCCGTGTGCTGGGGTGGGGTGCCGGCTGTGTTTTGGCGGCGGCAGGAGGGGGGTGGGATGGAGTTGGTGGGGCAGGGGAGCTTTGTTAATGTGGATCAGCAGAGGGTGGTCGCGAAGAGGGTGGTGCTTACTGGGCATCCGTTTAAGATACATAGGAAGCTAGTGACGGTCAGGTATATGTTCTTTAATGCGGAGGATGTGGCGTGGTTTAAGGCGATACCGCTGTTTACGAAGAGGGGGAGAAGGTATGTTGCTCTATTCATGATAGTACTCTTGAGTTTGAGGGAGATGTACTGACGGTGTTTGTGTTTGTAGTGGGTTCATTAAAGAGTCTTTGGGTACGCATGGGTACTTTAAGGCCACGTTCGATGGCAAGATTAATCCCCAGGACGCAGTCGCTATCAGTGAGTTCCTCTCTATCTTCACTCATTCTCACTCATCAATCCTAATATTGTGGCAGGTTTGTACAAGCGTGTCTTCCCCCGCGGTTCAGAAGAGTTCCGTGGGTAGAATTGTTTCTTTTGTATGGTTTTATGGGAATTACGGGGAAGAAAAATAAAATAAAATAAAGACATTACACAGAAAATAAAATGAAAGGAAATTATACCCCGGAGTATATTTATGGTTTGATGGGACAGAGGGAGGAGGGGAAGGGATCTTCGTCGCGGCGGGCCTTGTAAATAGAAACTCAAAAGGTTTGGCGTTTGTTGTTTGGATTTAAATATATCGATTGTTTTCTTTGCAGTTTTTACTTTTGCTTGTGGTGATCATGCTGAGATTGATGGTTTTACTTTATTCATCGTAATCGTATTGAGGTTTGTAGTCTTAAGCTGTGATTTAGGAATTTATGTTGTGATGTTATGAGTGATAGGCGGGTAAAAGGTAATGATCCACCAGGCGGAAAATCAAACAACCCAGTTCCCTGTCTGTCGTCATGCATCATCGTCATGGGCAGATCCCCAATTTTTTTTTTCTTCTTTCCCTTTCAACGAATGTTTCCAGACGGTCCTTCAAGAAATAATCGGAAGAACTCGCCTCGGCTTGCAATCTCCTGCTGCAAGTAAGATTGTTGGGGGCAACAGAAAAACGTAATTGCCTTTGAAAACGTTGAAAACGTTGAAAAACGAACCTAACACTTAGAGGTATAAATTTCCCCAGAGGCTCCTCTAGAAGCAAGTGGTGGGCGGGAGGCTCGCTTTGAATGTCACTTAGGAGTAACCCTCACGTTGGATGTCACTTAGGAGTAAGGGTAAGATGCGCTCCAGTGGGGTGAGTTTTCGGTCTAACACTTAGAGGTAGGTGGTGACGGGACGGTTGCTGCCCCCTCGGGTTGGTTATCACTTAGGAGTAATAACTGCATGCCGACAACCACCCCCCCTCCACGCCCCGATGGTGTCGGTCGGTCCGGTCACGAGTAACGGCTGATGCTGTCAGTGACTGCCTGCCTGCCCCACCTTCTTTTTTTTAAAACCTGCTTTTTTGCCTTTTTTTTTTTTAAATTAATATCGGGAGAAGGTCGTCCTCGTGATCTGTGTTTCACCGGGCTGGCAAGCTGTTGTAAGATCGGCCCGTTGCTGGAGCTGGAGACATGATGCATATCATGCCTGGATATGCCTTTTGAATCAGTAGCTGTCATCCTCAGCTGTGTCTCGCTAGGTTGAGTTGAGGTTCACCGAGAGGCCAAAACTACATATACGCGATATGTGTGGGGGGGAGGGCACTACAGAAGCGGCGAGGCGCGTAACGGACCCCGCACGGGAGCCCGCAGGGGGAAGTCCACCCTGGCCATGGGGCGGGCCCTGCAGGATCTCAGTGCAAGTAATTGCGTTTATCGTGATTGGGCGATTGTGACACCCCTTCGCCGACTGCAGGGGGGTCGCTTTTGGGTTATCGGGGGTTATCTATCTGCTGCGGGTACCACAACTTCCAACGGCCGTGGTGGGAGTGAGGTGTAACGTATACAGATATAAGGCCCCGTAACCTACGTGCAGCCAATGAGAGCTGAGAAGAGAGAAAGCCGCTTTCAACCGTGACTGTTGGATACTTCGCCAGATCAGCTTCCCTCCCGACGGCCCCGACTGAATGGTTTCTTTCTATGCCCGTCTGCCTGGTTCTGATTCTCCCCTCCCGGTCGTCATAGGTGGTTTGAGTACCGTCACGAGACCTTACGTAACTTTGGATCTGTAGAGGTGTATATAACCCTCCGTCTCGCCTCTTGTGCGCATCAATTAGCTACAAGCTTGCCACCATCTTTCTCACTAAATCAATCTCCATTGCTTGTTGAAACAAATCTACCCTATAAAGGATCTACACAAAAAACAATTCCAAGACCCATTACATACAATTGCTCAGGTACTTGAAAGAAGAAGGGCACGCGACACTGTTCTATCTTACTGGAAGCTAACTTATGGGTAGAGATCAGTTCAAGATGTCACCTTCAGTTACCACGGATGCTACTGTCAAAGGGAATGGAAAGGTCCTTAGTGTGCACGCCGAAAGCACCAGCCAGGCTATCAAGTACGAGCATGAATTTGCTGCTCACAACTACCACCCATTGCCCATTGTGATAGCAAAGGGCGAGGGAGTTCGTGTTTGGGATCCTGAGGTTAGTCCGTCACGTTTAAGGCCTAAAATGCACTCGCCGGTTTTTAAATAGCAGCACCCAGGTCCACGGACCTGGGAACACTCCAAGACCCGACAGATTGGTTTAGGGAAAGACGGTGATGACTGACGCCATTGGCTTTGTGCATTTAGGGCAAAGAGTACCTTGATTTCCTGAGTGCTTACTCCGCGGTCAACCAAGGCCATTGTCACCCCAAGATCGTCAACGCGCTAGTACAGCAAGCTCAGAGGTTAACCTTGTCATCGAGAGCATTCTACAACGATGTGTTCCCCGTCTTTGCCAAGTTTGTTACTGAGGTATGATCTTAGAATCCCATTAGGCTTTTTAATTATTCCTAGCTCCTTGTATTAAAAGGTGGTCTTTTATTAGTACTTCGGTTACGAGATGGTGCTCCCAATGAACACCGGTGCCGAGGCTGTTGAGACCGGTATCAAGCTTGCTCGTAAATGGGGTTACAAGGTAAAGGGTATTCCAGAGAACAAGGCTCTCGTCTTTGCCGCCTCCGAGAACTTCCACGGCCGTACATTTGCTGCTATTTCTTTGTCCAACGACCCTGAATCTAGAGACAACTACGGACCATACTTGCCCAATATCGGATCTAGGTGTCCTTCAACTGGCAAGCAAATTCGATACAACAATATCAAGGATTTGGAGGAGGCATTTGAAGCCCACGGAAAGGAGACTGCTGCATTTTTGGTAGAGCCTATCCAGGGAGAGGCTGGTATCGTAGTGCCAGATGATGATTATCTGAGCAAGGTTCATGAGCTGTGCAAGAAGCACAACGTGCTTCTTATCTGTGACGAGATTCAGACCGGTATTGCGAGAACTGGCAAGCTTCTATGCTGCGAGCACTCCAAGATCCGCCCCGATATCGTTCTTCTTGGAAAGGCCATTTCTGGTGGCATGTACCCGGTCTCGGCTGTTCTTGCGGACAAGCACATCATGCTCACAGTTGAGCCTGGTACCCACGGCTCCACATACGGCGGTAACCCTCTTGGATGCGCTGTAGCCATTGCAGCTCTTGAGGTGGTACGTGACGAGAAGTTGACCGAGAACGCGGAGGTTCTTGGAAAGAAATTCCGTGAAGGACTTCGCGCAATTAAGAACCCTGCCATCAAATTGGTTCGTGGTAAGGGTTTGTTGAACGCAGTCATCATTGATGAGTCAAAGACATCTGGGCATTCTGCCTGGGAGCTTTGTCTTCTTCTGAAGGAGAAGGGACTTTTGGTGAGTAGAGCCCGAGATATTGCTATTTGAGAGCAAGGTAACTAACAATGATACGTAAAGGCCAAACCCACCCACCAGAACATCATCAGGCTTGCGCCACCGCTCGTAATAAACGAAGAGCAGATCGATAGAGCACTCAAGATCTTTGAAGAGGCTCTGAATGAACTGGTTGGTGTTTCGCCATTTCTCCTCCGTGGATCCCTCTCACTGACGAATAACCAATAAACAGCCAACTTGGAAAGAAGAAGGGATCTCCAACGAAGAGAAGTCCTACAAGAATGTCCTCGACGACTAAACTTTTGCTCTCAATTTCCGGCATCTCGTTTCCTTTGTTTTTGCAGGTTGGATAAGTAGCTAGGGGTTCAACATGGTGTTGTGTTTTCTTGGTCCAGTGCGCCTCAAGTACAGCGGGTAATTTCCAGTTAGATTCCTTTATTTCTGGTCATAAACACCGGCTGGTTCCAGGTCCTGGGGTTTTGTTACAACGGTTTCTGGGTTTTTTCTTCAGGTGTCTGGGTTTTCATCACCAACTCTTTTACTTACTCTGCATAAGCATTTGTAAAGGTGTATTTGTATTCTCCTAGTTAAGGGTTTTCTTTATTGGTTATTTTGTCAATTGTAAATATATTATTCTCTAACGAGTTATGGATCTTATTTTTTTGGTTATGGATACTCTCTCAAGCGGTAGTTATTTCGAGCCCAATGATGGAGTCATCACGTCTCCCTCTCTAGGTACATATAGGTTAGGAGTGTGACTTGGGGCACCAAAATTAGCTACCTTTTGTCATCACAAACCCACATTGAAATTTTCAGCAAAAGGATATCTGAACAGAGCTTCCTCACAGTCGCAGACAGACCTACAAAATTCAACTCAAACATCGCACCTACCTACTACAAAAAAATCAAAAAAATCACCCTATAACTGATCACCAATCATGCTTTTCGACGTAAGTCATTTCCCTCACCACCACCTCGATATTCTTATTATGTAGCTGACCTACGCAGTTACTCTGCTTTACCATCATTGCCGCTGCAGACATCAGCGCTGCCGTCGGCATAATTCTGTGCTTAAATGAGTCCTTCAGCGACAACCGCTCCCGCGATGGGTTCGGAGATATGCAGCCACGAAACCGTGATTATTGGTAGTCTGGTTTTGGGGAGGGGGGGGGGTGCCAATGATCGCTTTATCGCGTTTATTTGAACACATACCCCTTCTCTACATCTGCCCCACCCCCCCTTCCTTCACCGGCCGATTTTTCGGTTACATTTATCTCCCTTTTAATGTTCTTTTTCTTCTTTTTTTTCTATGCTAGACGGATATGGATTGGCGGGTGTTGGTTTTACGGCTCATAAACGAAACGAAATATGTTATTGTAATTAAGAATGGCTGCACGGAGAAGTTGTTTATCCGTCAATAATAGCAGCTTTCACAGATTTCAGCGACAAAATACTTCAATGAACGATATTACTGTCTGATAAGCGTTGGTCCACCTTGTATGGGTATTGACAAAGTCCTCTACTGGTAGTGGTTTTTTTTGTTCTACGTAGACATCAATCAAAACGTAACTTTAAATTACCCCCCGGCCACCACTCTACAAGTTAGTCAAGTAATCCTCAATCTCCTGGGGACTCAGTTTCCTGAACCGAGGTCCTTTGGCACCCTCAACACCTTCGAATCCCAAAAGGTGGTCGGCCGGAGGACCGACAATACCGATTTCTACGGTGTCTCCGGACATTTCACCCTCAATCTACAGACAGTGGGTTAGAATCGCTGTAAAAAAAAAGCTTGGGTGTTACGCTAGATCGCGGTAGGATATCGTGGACTTACGGTCTCTTTCAATGTCAGGAGAGCAATGTGGATTGCGTCTTCGAGCTCTAGTCCATCAGCGTAACGCTTCTCGAGGAAGGTCTTTGCAGATGTTGCGCTCTTTCCGATGGCAGTCGCTTTCCATGGGAAGTATGAGCCAGAGGGATCGACCTATGTATGAATCCCGCATCAGCCCCCAAACCCTCGTCTATTCTAGCCAAATTCCACCCCCCCCCCCCCCCAAAAGCGCCGTAGCTCACCTGATATAGCGCTGGTCCACCCTGACCTGTACCGGCCGGCTTGTCGTCCCATCCGGCAACAAGCAAACTGACACCAAAGGGCCTGACACCACCACTCTGAGTGGCCTCCTGCATCACCTTCGCGACGTCCTGCACCAGTATCCTGGTAGGAGGGTATTCATTGTAGATTCGTTTGTAATCCGTATGCGAGACCTTTCTTGCCTTGTCGGTCAAGACCCGGTAGTCGGGGCCCATTCCGGAGTAAATCATGCCGATGTTAGGAGTTATGCGAGATATCTTCTCGAGCGACGACGAGTTCATGAGCGGGGTCGATGACTTCTTCTCGGTGGCTAGAACAACACCATTGGTTGCTGGAGGATGTGTTAGAGGTTTTCCATGAGTTTTGTGCTGGGAGAATGGATAATAACCTTTGATCCCTAGAGCAGTAACACCTTGGTTTACGGCGTTGAGAGCATATTCTACCGGCATGCCACAGAATCAGCTGCCCGTTTCATCTATCCATTTCCATCCACCAGCATCCAAAACTCTGCCCCGATATCCTTGATGTCTATCTCCATGATCCCGGAAGCTTCGCAAAAAGTAACATACCGATTTGAACAAGTTTCCCACTAGATAAACACTTGGGGTTAGCTAAGCATTTAAACTCCCGGGGAAGGTGGGGCAATAGTACTTTGGAGAGAAGGTTGTGAGGGAGAATGAATATCTGTCGGCCATTGTGAGAGCAGGATGGAGATATCAAATGGCAAAGACCGAAACGATGGAAGGCGGGGGGATATATTTGGAGATGGAGCGGATACGTGAGTGGTGGTATTAGTGGGGGAGCTCGAAGCTGCGGCTCGACTTCGCGCTGATGAGTTACCCGGCTAGCATCATGAAATATCACTGGCGCACGATATTCCTTGGCGGTTGCTCAAACTCATTTATGGGCCGGCCGCGGGCTGGGTACGTATACGTGTATTTGATGAGACTTACATAAAGCTGTATATAATCACAGCTGTGAACTTTTTCAAAGTTATGTGTTGGGAAGATTATTTTGATTCGCTATATTGTTCTGTATGTCCTTGATTACGGATGAGTTTTGGTAACTACATGTACATGTATGTGTATATATATATGTAGGTGGATAGCCAAAACCTATACCCTCAAGTCCCATTTGATATTTTGAGAACACATGACTACATTAATCAATGTGGCGGTATCGTGCCAGCTCGTAGTAGTCGCTTTCCGGGAAACACCCAACAGGCTACAGACCTTTTTGCCACTTATTTTCTGATAAATAAAAACCAACAGTTATACTAGTCATCGGCATACAGAGCAAAATAGATGTCATGACATATCTTTGGAATTTCATTAGGCTTAGCTGTTGACTATCACAAATGATCACTCGGAGTTGTCGTAAAAGCGGCGCTTCGCCTAACAAACATCGCCTACTCCACCCAATACCCCTGTAACAATTGTAACAAACTTCAATTTATAATACCTACGGCTCATAGCTAAACCCTCTCATAATAATATTACCAATTGACCTAGCTCTAGAAGCAAAACAAAACCAAAAGCCGGGTAACCCGGAACATAGCATAGACCTGATAAGGCCTTCCTTGAAAACCTCCGAGAAAAGCGCCATTCAACTCCAAATGCTCCGTTCATCTGCCTCGAAATCGCTCTTGCGATCAGTACCCTGGCTTGGGAAATCGCCTTCAATACCTCGAGGTGTTTTCAAAAGATCTTTTGCCTCAACAGTTCAATCTACCGAGAGTCGAGTATGTAATGCTACTGCCCCACCTGGTATTGAGGCAGTACACTGATGGCGTTGCATCTTAGGACCCCGCAGAGCTCGACGAGATCACAACACTACCAAATGGACTCCGAATAGCCACTGAAGCCCTTCCCGGTCATTTTTCGGGATTGGGTGTCTACATCGATGCTGGATCACGCTACGAAACAGATCGCCTAAGGGGTGTAAGCCACATCATTGACCGGCTTGCCTTCAAGGGTACAACCAAAAGGTCTTCTGACAAGATGCTTGAGATCCTCGATTCACTCGGCGGCCATGTTCAATGCGCCTCTGCTCGCGAATCTCTCATGTACCAGTCTGCGGTCTTCAATAAGGATGTCTCAAGCATGGTTGGAATTCTTGCTGAAACGATTCGGGACCCGTTAATTGGCGACGCGGAGGTGTCGCAGCAATTGGAGACGGCCCAGTATGAAATCGGAGAGATATGGTCGAGGCCTGAGATGATATTGCCGGAGCTTATGCATATTGCGGCATATAAAGATAACACTCTAGGGAACCCGCTGCTATGTCCGGAAGATCAATTGACAAAGATTGATAGAAATGTTATTCAGGAATATAGAAGTATGTTTTATCGTCCGGAGAGGATAGTGCTGGCCTTTGCAGGCGTGGACCACAAAACAGCTGTATCTCTCGGAGAGAAGTACTTTGGCGATATGAAAGCCGAATCAATATCTACCAAGCCCCTCTCACCGCCATCAGCCACCTCCAGCATTCTCTCAAAAATCCCACTCGTGAAGAATCTCTCCACCAGCGCATCAAACTCCGCAGAAGCCTTGTCTTCATCAGGCATTTCGCCACCCGGGACTGCCCCATCACACTACACTGGCGGTATTGTCTCTCTACCCCCATTCGACGGACCCACCCATCTTCCCACATTTACGCACATCCATATCGCCTTCGAAGGACTTGGGATAGCAGACCCAGACATCTACGCCCTCGCCACACTTCAAACCTTGCTCGGTGGTGGCGGCTCCTTCTCTGCCGGTGGCCCTGGGAAGGGCATGTACTCACGTCTTTTCACCAATGTCCTCAACCAGCATGGATGGATTGAGTCCTGTGTTGCCTTTAACCATGGTTATAGCGACTCTGGTCTTTTTGGTATCGCGGCATCATGTCGTCCTGGCGCCGGGCACGCCCTCGTTGACGTTATTCTAAGAGAGTTTGCGTCAACGTTCACAACCTCTGGGTTTTCGGGGCTAAAGAAGGCTGAGGTAGATCGTGCAAAGAAGCAGCTGAAGAGCTCGCTGCTCATGAACCTGGAGAGTCGGATGGTAGAACTTGAGGACCTAGGACGACAGGTGCAGGTCCATGGGAAGAAGGTCGGCGTATTAGAGATGTGTAGGAAGATTGAGGCTTTGGAGGTCGCAGACTTGAGGAGGGTAGCGGAAAGGGTGCTTTCGGGCAAAGTCAATAATAAGGGAAATGGTACAGGGAAGCCAACGATTGTGGTGCAGGCCTCGGCGGATGAGATTAGCAAGATTGGGGATTTGGGGGCGACGGTCAAGAGGTACAAGCTTGGAAGATAGTGGCGGCTCAGGGGAGCTATAGACCAGAGAAAAATATAAGTAGTAGCTGTAACACTCCCCTGGGGTCTTGGGGTGTTCTTTCTATTTTTTTCTTTTGCCTAAAATATCCAAATGTTGGATGTAAGGATCTCCCACTGTACAATAGCAATTAAATTTATGGAATATATTCATTCCTCCTCCGCTGTACCTAACGTGCATGTTCCACTTGTTCTATTAATATTTCGCTGCATTGATGAGCTTTCATGTGCTATATCAACCAAACCAAGCTTAGAGAAAACTGTGGCCACGGTTTTTTTTTTTTTTTTTTTACATATATATTTTTATCTGCGAGTTGAAGAATTGCTAAACAAGGTATGAAATCCTGTCGTCCCTGTCGAAAATAGGAAGTTTAGACCCTAAATAATGCATAATCAATCGTTGTTTGGAAGCCGCCACGTCTAGGCTTTTTGACAAAAGGACCAAGATTAGTACCTTACCGTCGAAACGCATACAATTTTAAGCCTTATTCAGTCGGCTTATCCAGATCGTAGGCTCATAATAGCCTTATGAATTATTTAAGCATTTTTTAAGGATGAAATAAGGCTTAAAAAAGGATTTTTGTACTGATAAAGCTATTGTGAGCCTACGTTCTGGATAAGCCGACTGAATAAGGCTTAAAATTGTATGCGTTTCGACGGTAAGGTACCTACAGCGTGTAACCATATGCACTTAGACTCCCCAAAATTGATCCCTTTGAATCACAGGAGAGAAATGAACTGCGCGAAGTGTCGGTTGCGGAAAAACCGAGGATATCACGGGGAAATCCGTTATTGCGGATTAACGGCTTTCATGTCTGCCATGCCCCCTTTTCTGCATTTAAGATCTCGGCAGCACTGTGTACATCTTTACATACCATACCAACATGTACCTTTGGAAGGGGAGGGCCCGAGAAGAGGCATCACATGGCTTCGGTATGTCGGGACCTGATACATACACGTAGCTGAGCATTCTCATTGAACTAAGCATGATCTCACTCTCCCGGATTTTCATGATATCGGGAATTGCCTCCTAAACAGAAAATTTCCCATCGTTCCTCTATCGTGGTTGATATTTGCTAGAGCCCGCTCCGCCGGGCCGATACCTTTTTCCCAGATGGTCTACAAGCTTTCTAATGCTCGTTAATCATGGTGTGGATCCATACATTCATAGACGTTATACGGAGCCTAGGTTTCAGTAAGGAAGAGAGCCATGGATACGAACCTGAATACTTCCCCTCTGGTCTAATGTGTTTAATGGAATGTGGGAGCATTTGTACGCTACAGTCGAGGCTAGTTTCTTCATTCATTGTTCTCTTTCTCTGGGGGTTCTTCTCCGCATCCCACTTAAAGGAGGTGTAGGTAGATACATGCGCCCTCGACCTCCTGGAAAAAGTACTTATGAATCATGATGGCTACTGTGATCGGCAGACATTAGCGGACAGTCTACTAGCAGAGTGGCCAGTTTGAGAAGGCAAGACAGGCAGGCGGATAGCCTACTCTAGCAAGAGGCCACACCTTTACAAACCTTCTTGACTTCTTTTTTTGTCCTTTTTTTCTTCTTTTTTTTCCCTTTTCTTGAGTGAACTCGGGTCAGGAAATTCCACATTTCAAATTTGCTCAAATCACGGGCCTAAAAGTTTAGTGTTATTTATTCGCAATCGCAGATGAGTGCCAGATTACCGAACAAGTACATGTGGCCAATAACAGACTACTTCCCCTGGCATGAGATTGTGGAACGCCTCCGGGGAAGCCCGCAACAACATGACCCGCATGTACAACCTATCATCTCAAAGTCTACGAAGTACTTTTCCCCGCAACCATTATTTGAGGTCCTGCAGCCCACTTAATTGACATTTTCTTGGTTTAGGCTTTTTCGTGGGTTATTACGTGAATTACGTTATAGACCTACAGCTAGTATAATATGGCTGGCTATCTCATTACCGGGGCTTTGGGCCAAATTGCTGGGCATTGGACCAAATCCATGTCAATAGCCGCTGTTTTTATTTTTCCAAACCGTGGTAACTAGAGTTTGTACCATACGGCCGGTACTCAGATAGAGTATTTATCTTGGAGCATCATGAAAATGGATCTGAGCCGCCGATCCAGAGCATCTGCCTATCTGTGAGCATGCGGTGTTACATAACCTTGTGGCTTTCCTCCAAGCCGGAGAAATATCAGGTGGAGGCGGGAGTGTTTCATGCGACAGCCGTTCCCTTTCGATTGGCTCCTGTTTAGCATAAGTCGTTTAAGAGTGCCTTCTTTAGATCGTGGAGTTGCGATTGCTAGCATACGTGCTGCATACAATCGTTTTTTTTCTTCTTTTTTTACAATCATAAAAGAGAGCTGACTAGAGATTTGGAGTTGGAGGGCACAAGTGAAACTAGAAGTAAACTGAAACTTCTTGGTTGATATGAGCTTGGCATCGATGTGACGGTCAGCGATGACGGCGCCTTGGGTTCTTGCAGCACACAAAGATGAGCGCTCTCATGTGAAGCTTGTCTCGGTGTTGCTTATAATTGTGAAACTGAGCGCAAAAAAAAGGTGAGAACAGACCCCTTTCCCTGAAGATAAACATGATATTTCGGTTTTGTGCCCTATTTTCACAGCTCTCGAGCTCTAGGGCTCACAAACATTAGATCTATAGACTTGAGGGCATGTACACTAATACTTGTTCGGCCGGGCTAGGCATAGGGTACCAACAGCCGTGGAGCATGATACATCTACGTACATGTAAGTTACCACCAGTGGCACAGAACTTTAATTATTAAATGATCTCTAATAGATTACTTGATCGTGACTCGGGTAGCCGCTGCCCGGTTCTCATTTTCCCCTTATCTGGAGTATCTCCAGTTGATCTTACAAAAGAACGCATGCTGACGGGGATGAGGCATGATCTATATACATGTACATGTAGCTATGATGCCAAATCACCCCATAAATTGATTTCCATATCATCAGATATCACTCGATTGAGATTTAATCTCATTCAAATGCTTTTTGCTGGCACTTCTGCTACTTTTAACATCCGTCTTGCAACGAGCATCTATGTCAGTATTTCAGTGACATGTTATGCCAATTATTACACTTTTTGCCTCAGAGGTTGTCGGTTGGTGCACCATGGGAGAAAAAATTACATAACTAAAATAGCCTAGGGTATCTCGTTGTAAAGACGCACCTCCACATAGGTCCCAATTCTACATTACCAAACATGCCGAGGGTCTGGGGTATACAACTATAACCTCAGCTCTCTGCTTTGAGGACGAACTCATCTTAGTACATACCCTACATAAGGAATGTATCTCAAACACCGGCCAATGGATGAATGTGGAGTCCGGCAAAACTCCTGGAAGGTCCTGGAAAGACAGGAGTGCCACCGATTCCCTCCCATGAAAGACACAACAACCGTGTGCTGTGATTCGCACTACAAGGTGCCTTGCCCAATAACTTGGTAGCTTATAGCTGTCTATCATGTCTTGAGGTCGCAGCCCAATCCAATTACACAGATTTCGATGGCTTGTTGGGTAGTATATGGAATATGCGCGCAGTTTACTGATTCCTTATCGATCTTGGAAAATTTATACTGGTAGCCGATAGTGAAAGGTAGCTCTCAGCGACGTCCCTAGATGTACTTATAACAGACCGTCCTGTAGGATTCCCAAACTTTCAAATTGGATCCTTGCACGGTGACAGTGGCACCCGTACCGAACTACGCAGCTCCAAGCCTGATGGCTAATGTAGATTATCTCGATTTTAGACCCCTGCATCCTGAGTAGAAGTGCCAAAGCGGGCGATCCGAGCGTCCTCCATACGCGCATAATACTGCAGACGCCACTACGCACCCTTATCCTCTGGGAGGAACTGGCCGAATGGCTCTCCGCAATAGGCCGAAATCAGTGCCACAGGCGTACCTGCTCTCACAAGTTGAAACCGAGCGATACTTAACACGAGTGGATATAGCCTTGGTGCGCAACGTTTAATGGAGCATAAGATTCAAGAAGTCCCCCACAAAGGAAAAAGGAAAGGAAACACGCTGAATTGATATATTCTGGGCGCAATCCCTCGTCACCGTATCTTTGCCGTTTGGCACCACTGAAATTTTAATGACGGATACGGAGGCTGCTGCTGCTGCTACTGCTGAGAATGAGGGCGCACTCACTGAGCTAGAGCGCGAACTCACGCTTATTGCTTGGGGCATTCTTATTGGCTTTGGCTACTTGACCGGATGGAAAGCATACAGACAAACGTCAACAATATCTCGAGAGAAGAGGTATAGATCACCTTATTTCTGGTGGGTTTGGATGGACTATGTTTCGATAATGGTGTTTGGGGTACTCGCTTGGATCCTTAACCAGAAACATATTAGACCTCAGTTAGTCTCTCCTGATTACTTTCTTGATTAGTATTCATTTACGAGATGAAGACACGCGGACTGTCTAGATGCTGACTGGGGGATATGTTCATAGACTTTCGCTCTATATTCCGCTTGGTAAGTTGATCAAGCATATTGGATGGCTTCATCTGATGGTATTTCTATTGAGAACTTGACCTAACGTAGTTTCTCCGCTTTCAAAGTTGCCTTATGGGCTATTCAGGTATTTGCCTCCTGTCTCGTAGACGCGGGATGAATTAAAGTTAATAGTACGTTACTATTCGTTAGGCACAAGCGTTGTTACAGATAAACATCAATCGAATCGAACTTATAGCTGTTGACAAAGCTTTCAACAATAGAGTGCGGATAGGGTGCTTAGCTATAGTTTCTGTCTTCATAGTAGGGACATTTAGTGTCTGGATTCCAGGCCGACTTGGGACCTCAGCGAAGTAGGTATTCGGATCAATATCAAGCTTATGCCGTACATATTTTCGTTTTCACGAATGTCTATGGCTATGCTACCTCGCCTTCTTTATCAGTATTTGTTTTTATTTTCTTCGGAAGTTAGTACTAAGAAACAGATGAAGGATCACACAGATTTCGAAGGTTTATATCGAGGTTCAAGGAACTCTAACAATTCTACTCGACATCGCTCTAAATACATACTTCATTCGAGCCGTAAAGGCAACACTTATCGATCCCGGGCTCGACAAGTATAAGCCTATAGTCAGCCATAACCTCATGCTTGTATATACCGCGATAATAGTTGAAGTAAGTTTGCCTGTTCCTATAATTACCTACAGTTACCATCGCTAACTAATCTCTAGGTCGTCGCGCTGGGCCTAATGTGGCTCCCTGCGAGTCCCTTTGTGTAAGTCTACCCAGGTACCAACTTAAGCACGCCCACCAGCGCACCTCAAACTAATAAAAATATGCACTGGCACACAGCTGGCTCCAATACGGCACACTCGCCTGGATGGGCAAGCTCAACGTTGAGCTTAGCATGGCGGACCTCATCATGAAACTTGCATACCACACGCCTGAACCATCGTCGCTAGAATTGCGGCCAATCTCTCGCGCCGGGTCCGAGCAGATATCAAATATGTCATTTGTGGATTCACTTGCTCCGATTATTACTACTACAACGCTTGTCCCGGAAACTAACGCTCCTCACGGTATTGTAGCAGGACCTAGTACCGCCGACGCGCAATCAACCAAATACCAATGGGTCGTGACGAAGACGACGGAGATTGTTGTCGAAATTGAGGAGATTGATAGTGACATAGAGCTACAAATGGAGCATGATAAAGAGGAGCGCAGGTGGGAGAGGGTGGGGTATCATGGGCGGATATCGTACAGAGTCGAAATTAGCGCTGGCAAGTAATAATGTGTCTTTATGGGAGAGGTAATGGCGTTGGAGTTGGTTTTGTTTCGATCTTTTTTTTGTTTCAGTACATATACTATTAGTTATGCAGTGAGGGCCAATGATTTTTTATGTGGAAAATTTAAATTTTATTATTATGACTGGGGCTCGCTGCAGGGGAGCTAAGGAGGGTGGGTTGGAGACTTGCATACATGTAAAAGCCTATACTGTCATTTATTGGGTGTCTCTCAACATCTTATAGCTGACAGTACAGATCTTAACTATTTATTCTCGATGGCTTGTTGATGTTTGGCTTGAAGACGTTGCTAGGGCTCTTATTCTAGCACTTCTGCATGTAACACATGGTAGTTGCATGATGTAAAAACCACGCGAGTCTAGTTCGCACATATTGCGCGTCCTGTTCATGTCCTGGTGGAGGAAGTGTATCTCCCCTATGTTTCAACCTTTGGTCCAGCGCTCCCCCCCTGATTAACCTCATGTGTGAAATGGCGTTTTAAGGTTTTACTTTTAAGGTTTGATAGCTACTGATTGTTCCACCGACAGCTGCAGAGTAATCCATCTGTCATCCACGAGGCTACCTATATGTAGAGTATGTACGTAACACCACGCGCGAATTGTGCTTCTACGTTCGCACATCCGAACTGTGAAACAGCCCCACTTTGTCCTCAGGCAGGGTAGCGATGTCAATGGACGACCTACAAGAGAGATAAGAGGAGGGTGTGGTAGAGCTAGATGACATCGATTGTGTTTGAAGGATTGGGTTACAACCCAGAAACTCCGTCTAGGAATGTATGTAGATAAATGTAGTAGGCTAGGGGAGCTAAGTGCGGTTTTCACCTATTGTTTTCTGGAGATCGGCCTTGAACATGAGAGAACACCCTAGTTCTGCCGGACGGAGGAATCTACTAAACAGGATGGTGTGCGTGATCACCCGCTCAAATCCATACAGTACGTTCTGTCTGCGCGATGTTGGGAGCGTCCCCTGTATCCCCGCAAAATTATATGCGCAATGAACGCAGAAGAAAAACAGCATACGTACCTCTCGCTTTTCCTTGCGCACTTACGGACGTGGGCTGAATACGAGCGAGACTGGGAAGGAGCACTCGGCTTGAGACATACATGTTTTTCGTCGGGTAGAAAGTCGATTTCCCAAGCTCGTATCGTGCCAAATCAACGGCATGTGCGGGGAGATGGGCCCGGCGCTTTTGATTGGTGGAAGGTGAACCTACTTGTCGCTGGCTTTTGAGAGTAAGTGTGGCTCATGATGGGGGCATTTACTGTGCAGAGGTTTCGAGAGGGTTGTTCCAGTATGATAGAGGTGCGGTACATAATCGTAGAAGAAACCGTTCTGGGGTTCGGTTCATGAGGCAGCACTCGCTAAATCAATCACACTAGATCACTCGATGTCGTGATGCAACGCAAAGAGTACTAAGGTGAGTATCCGCCCTATGTGGAAACACCGAAACATCCACCATTTCCTTATTATCAAACGAAACCCCTACGAGATATTCGAACCAATTTCCAAGGGTGCTAGAGATTTCAGTTGTGGAATTGTTATACAATCCTTACGCATAAAAAAAAAGAGGGAGGGGGGGAGGAATCCGGTATGGGTACATCAGGACCAACCAAAAGAAAACAGAAAAATGACTAAAAACAAGCGTACTTGAATTCAGATTTAAGCTCTTCCCACAGTTGTCTAGAGGGTAGTTTTTCAGGCCCTATCAGATTGTTCCCAGCTAGTCAAAGGTTAATCATCAGTACCCCAACTTTGTAAGCCTAAAATCGGCTATAAATACACGTGGATAGTAGATGTAGGGTGAGCACTCAGCGTGTTACCTGGGCGTCATGTAAATCGCTTTCTAAATAGGCCTTCTATCACAAGTACATGTGGTCACAAAAGAGCACAACTTAAGTGCCGAATACAGACGAAGGGATACACGTACGTGCTGGGTTTCTAGTAGGTTAATTCTTCTGTAACTAGTGCACAGTGTATGATGAGCTAACGTAATATCTTTAGGTGAGCGAGTGTTCGCCTCATACCATACACATAATCTATGGTAGAGAATACTACAATGCCACGAGTTTTTTTTGTATCTCGATACCATCACATCCAATCAAACACCACGTCCAACCATGATTTCTAGACGTCATAGACAAACCAGAATATAATCCTTAAGGTACCACCACAATAATTTTTTTCTGAATCGACCTCAACAATAGCTGAACAACAAAGTCGTGCCACGGACTTGAGCTGGGCCAGAACCTTCGACCCGCTGTCAACGACGTCAAAACGGCCCTAGACTGGTCTATACAGAAGAGGTTCCCCTTCAAGGTGCAGAAAAAGAGCCAATCTCGAAAAACCTACTATTGCACTAGTAAAGGGGTGAACATAGAGGGATTAGAGCCAATAAGTCGAGTGCTAGCCATTATCTCATGCAAGCCATACCATTGCTATATCAATTTACAATTTGAAAACCAGGTGAGGCAAGATTCTACCCCCATGGCCCCCATTATATTCTTTTCATCAACAGCGATAACTGAGACCAAAACTTCGAGCTGTGGTACCCTGTAGGCGCGGCGCCCTATATAGACTATCTTTCGAGAATTGTACTATGAGTTGAGAACGTTTTCTGGACCTAGTATTATGAAACTTGTAAAGCTTATCAGTTAGCTATATATAGCATTAGCACGTATAGCCAGCCATCAACCATAGCGGTTAGCTACGTACTTACATACAGGCCAACCGCAATCACCACCTTTGAGGTTCTTCCTCTTTCTTTATTTCGTACCTAGATATCACGTCTAGATTAGAGAATATTGCCCATGGTACTTTGGTAGCATCATACACCCTGAATTACCTGTATGCATGCCTCAATCTGATATCAGTGGATGAACCAGAAGAAATTGTCTCTATTGGTATCATTCTTAGTGATGGGCACGAGCCGGCTCGGATTGTGGAGACAAAGGCTCGAACTCAGGCTCGAGCTCTCATTTTTATACCTAAAAATAGACCTTACAGTAAGTCGGCATATAGAGTTCGTATTCAGGATGAGTAATGGGGATATATTCTTATATAAATTATTAAGCTCTGGGTTTTTTTTTGAATTATTTCTAATGTTTTGCTAGGCTCGATCCTAAAGCTCGAGCTCAAAGCTCGAGCTAGCTCGGCTCGTGCCCATCACTAAATCATTCTGTTAACCAATACTTCAATATCAGTGAGTGAAATAAATTAACAGACTCTTAATTAAGCCGGTGCTCACGTAGGTGCATGTAGTTTGGGCCCTAGAATTAGCATAGTTAGAACACTACATGTACCGGGGGTTAAGGGTAAGTACTGAGAACCCCATTTTGGGCTGTAAGGGCCAGCGGGCGTCTGCTATTGGTCGATTCAAAAAAAAAGGACACTTGGCGGCCAAGAGGTTATTTGAATTGTGCGTGTTGCAGCTTTTGCAATGCAACCTCCATCCCCTCTTTTCCACTGATGCTCTTTCCGAACTCCACGAAAAACATGTTTGAAAGTTTAGGATTGCTATTAAGGTGATGGCCAGAGCAAGGGCTATCATTTGGTTATTTTTTTGTATTTTTAGGAAAATATTTAGATTTTTGAGTGAGTATATATGAAGTGTCTTTGTACTTTTTTCCCCCATACAAATTTCAGGGCCAAGACCAAAATTCATTGGCTGCTTTTTGGTTGCCATGGGCGGTTCCCATACAAAATCCAAGGCGTCTCGGTATTTAAGGTGAACCCCCGTACTGTAGTATAGTCATAATGTATCACTCGCTATAACGCTGATTACACATCCATCCAAATCGACTAAGCCGTATTCATCCGGGTGGGTGCGTGGAAGCAATCAAACATTTCATTGATAGACTAGCGTTACACTCATCCAATAGCTACAGCTTAACAGCTCAACCCATCGCTCATCATGATGTTTGTGACGGGATCTTCTCCATCATACCCTTACGCCTCGAGAAAAAATAATGATCGCAAGAGGAACCGTTCCCTTCTGGTCACATAAGTGAAATTATCTACGTCTCAGGAAAAACCAACAAAGGATACATAAATATCATCAAACAAAACGCAAAACAAAATTCAATAAGCCAAGTATTTCTCAACCTCATGCAACGCTTCCAACAATCAACGCCGCAACACCTTCTTCTTCGGCTCTTACTGTTATCTTAAGTGCAACTCCAGTCTTGCTGCTATATGCCATCTTGACCTCGGCAACTACCCGACCACCAGATATAGTTTTGCCAAATAGTTTCAGGTTGTGTGTGGATGTACTAACAGCAACATCGCTACCCTCAAGCGCTTGCAAAGAAAGGGTTTGCGATAATAGCTCACATGCTTCTATTCACTTTGTTAATAAAGAAATCAACAGTGAAAATATTGAGGGCACAACTCATACCTTGAATTCCTTTGACCCCAGTTCCCAGCGAAAAGGTCTCGGTAACTTCTTCACCTGCTGCGCCAACTTGTTCCCATACATTCCCAAAGCTTCCCGTGAAGTTTGGCACCACATAATCACCACCGGTCAACTCCAAGTCCTCAACCTGGTACTCATCTTCAAATCCTTGGTCCTCTGGTTCGCCAGTACTGGGATCGATCTCCTTGCTAGTGAATTTAAGAACGTTGGTGAAGGTAGCGGTGGCATAATTGCTCTCTTCGCCAGTGCGCTTGAAGGCTACATAGATAGTTCCTTCCTCGTCATTGCCCAATTTTGGTGCTGGAATAATGAAGTCTTCCTCCAAACCGACACCTTCACCACCTTCTGGGTCCGATGGAGTAGTAATCATCGATACGTCTTCTAAGACAGTGTCTGTAAGAGTATTCTTGACGTTGAATTGAAGAACGATATGTTCTTTGAAGATATGCTTGACCGCAACAACAACATATTCTGTTTCGGACTCAGTGAGCTCGACTTCTCGACTAGATTTCAAAACAGGGCCATAAGGCTTCAATTCTGGAACCGCAGCCAGTTGTTGTATATACTTTGCAGATGCAGCCGCGGCAGATGTGACAGCCTCTGCTGCAGCGGATGGTCCAGCCGATGGACGGGGCGCACCAGAAGTGGGTGCTTTGAGGGTTGGCATTGTCGTAGAACGCAGTTTGAAAGAGCGATCCTCAGCATCGGCCTCAGCACGTGTAACAATAGGAATAGAGGAAATGTCAAATGGTTGTGAGAAAGTTGATGCGTCTCCAGTGACATACATGACTAGCTGGTGTTCGAATATCGGTAGAGAAAAGGAGGATTCATTCTTAATAAACCTCTCAGCCACCTCTTCGCCATCCTCCTGCTGAATTAACCTCAAATTGAGGGCTGCCCTGTCCCTGACTTCATCATCGGGATCATCCAAGCATCTGGTTAACAATACAACCACGCTCTTCTTCACCTCTGGATCAACTTTCTCCCCCTCTTTACTCGCGACACCAAACTTTGCCAATGCAGTAACCGCTGCGGCACGAACTACTGCATTCTCGAGAACGACGCGGTTATAGATATACCGAATATACTTGGTTGGCTGTGTAGTTTTCGGCCCTTCTGTACCAAGCAGGTGCAAAATGCGAACAGCGAGCTTGGTAAACTCACAATCCTCGATAAACTCGCAGAGATGTGCGAGTGCTAAACGGTGTGAGAAGAGTACCTTTGCTGCCGAACAAATAGAGCTTACCTTCTTCTCGACTTTCAGGCACAAACTTGATCAAATCAAACATGCTTTCTACTACAGTCTTCTTAAATTCGTAGCCACCCTCATCTCTTAGAACCCCGCTCAAAAACGTCAACATCGCTGCTTGCTTGCTAGGGAACTTCAAACACAATGTACGAATCGCCTCCACGATAGTAATCTTGAATTCATCTGTAATGTCGGCCATAAGTCCGCTAATCTTGCCGATAAGTCTATCCACCGAGGTTTCATTTCCAGTTTTAAGCAGAGTGGTGATAGCAAAGGTCGCAATTGAACGATTGGAATTATTGAGCAACGTCTCAATATCCATGTTACAAACGTTGACCGCAGAAGGGCGGATGGACGCGAAGTTATGGAGGATCCGAATAGCAGTGAATTTAGCAACAGCCCGAGGAGATGTGAGATATAATTGAAGAACTAACCAATCCTATTATTACTAATGCTCCTAGCCTTCGGGGAAGAGTACTTACCATTGATAGCTGGAGCGACCTCAGCATCTGTTACATCTCGTAGCTCGCATATCGCTTTAGCGGCCTCGAAATTTACCATCTCGGCCTTATGCCTTAGCCATCCTTCCAACAGAGCGTACATTGGCTTTCTCAAACTAGGGTCTTCGTCGGCAATCTTGGCAGCAAGCCGCACCAACATGATAACAGCAGCTGGGTTCTTAACAGTTCCATTCGCGAATTGTTGTACCATTTTCACAAGCGCCATCCGATCGTGAGAGCGCATTTGATACAGAAGACCGATAGCATGGTATTGGGTCATACCGGAACCTTGAGGCACAGAAGCTGCAGATGAACCGAATCCTAAGCTGAACCCCCCTGACTTGGACCCAGAAAGCGCAGCTTCTTGGGTTTCGTTTGCCCATCTGCGTACAACATCGCGAGCAGTGGGGAGGAGGTGATAAGCCGATACAAGCGCTGCAGACGAGACCGAGGGGTTTTTATCGACAATTGCAGTCTTAAGGAGACGCTCTATCGCTTGAACCGTTGTGCCCTGTGCCACGACCATGTCAGTCTAGAGCTAAGAATCGCTATACGTGGAATCATGCGAAGATCGAAGGTGATAAGGCATCAGATCCACCGGATTCTGATATTTGCCAATTGATCCCTAGAACTGTCCTAAAACCAATCCCAAGCTATTCCGAGACTGAGATAGTTTCTCCGACTCACATCAATGATCCTACACAATGCTCTTATAGCATTCGCCCTGTAAACCTCTTGTTCCCCTGCACCCCTCCCACCACCGGCAACATCTTTCATAACTGAAGATGTAACCATGATGACATCCTCGGCAGTGTCCGCTAGCTCCTTGATAACTAAGTAAACCATCTGCCTAAGCGAAGCATCGCGGTGTTGGAATAGCTTAGTTATTCCAAAAAAGAGAGAAGTCGCTTCGGATGTAGGGAAACGTTCGCCAGTATGGAGTAGATAAGTAATTTTTGTCAATAAGATGCGACATTTGCGGGGCGATATGGGTGATGTGTTGAAAAGCCGTGCTTTTGAGAGCATCAGATGTCAGCTACTAGCCTAGCATATAGTTGTAAAGTTAATTGCGGAAGCTTACCTTCCTGGAATACAGAAGTACGATCAACTTTGAAGATTGCTTGGTCTGCATCTTCATCTTTTTTTGAGTAGCTCATGGTGAAAGAGGTGGATAGCGGGGATGGCGGGGAGGTTGCGGTCGGATGTGGGGAGTGGAACACAGCTGTCTCCTTTTCGTGCAAAGAGGCTCCTCCGTTGAAAGTTGTCCAGTTAACTCGAGCATTAAATTACCCGGCCGGCCGTTACCCAACCCTAACTGCATACATGTACTCCTACTCTTGTTCAAAGTGGAGGCTCTATGTTTTGAAAACCTTTCTTGAGATCTCCGGTAATTGATCAGATTTAAGTTGGATTCCCTCAATTACCCACTCCACTTCATATCAAGGCCTTATACCAAAAAATTGCGATGCTATGGTCAAGCCAATTAGGACAGCCGAGTGAGCTTTAGTGATTGAAGCTTTGCTCGACATGTAGTCAAAGTAGTTAACCCCATTCCAACAGATTTATTCTTCACTTTACTCAGTCAATTAAAATGTCGGAATTTTTAGTAAGCATTTAGTTGCAACGATATCCGACTACTTAATTAACGCTGTCGGGCAGATTATTCGTCAGGCATTAGTAATACAGATACGCGCGGGTTAGCCTGGATAGGCGCCCTGAGGAGGAAACGTAGTCCTAGCGCTAGCGCTATTTTGTTTAGGTGGCAACCTCTCTCCTAGTCTACATCATCATCAATATACATGCTCCTGCTAGTTTTAGTCGAACAGTTTTTTTGATTTGTCTCTAAATTCGTATTGTCGTCGCAAAGAGACTGATCACAACAAACAGCCAACAACGCGCGAGTAACCTACTTCGATTACTAAAGTTTTTAGGGAGATATAATTTGTGTTAAAGGTACATAACTGTATGTATATTGTTGCACAAATACCTATCACAATGCTACCCCATCTCCGCCCAAATTCAAGCGTCCAAAATTATGATCGCAGGAACACATGTACACGATTAGGTTTATACTAAAACCCCTTGCCAGAAGCACATCCAAGGTTTCTCTAACTCTGATAGGATAGAGGTGAATAAGAATCGCCACATGCTTTACTACTAGCTTAATTGAAGGTCATGTACACAATTACATCGGATTTAAGAACACATATATAAATATACTCACTCGTTTTGAGAATTATTCTCTTCGGTCATGAATCCCATTTTACTGTCATAGGGTCCCTGCTAAAAGGGATTAGTTCGCCCCTTAGATGAAGATAACCATATCCGGTGCTCGACAACCTACCCACGCGTGGGATATAGTACTACTACACTGGAGGTAAATCCCGTAGGTACAAACTACATGTGCATGTACATAAGATCATGCCGGTGTTCCCGATTGCTCAGATAGTTTGACCAAAATTTAATTCCAAGAATAATGGATGGCATAATTAGAATTCTATACGAAAGATAAATAATAATAAAAAAAAGCGTCGAAACCCAAACCAAACTGTGACCATTACGCCTGTGAGCTCCTCTACCAAGCAGTGATATCATCCACCTCTCCAACCGTTCCAGCTTTCACTTCACCAATTCCATCTGTCTCCTCGGCAGCTTCTACATTTATCGGCGGTCTATCCATAAATTCCGGTAATGTCTCTTTTAAGAAACCCAGTATATGTCTATTAACCTCCTCGAACTGTAGTAAAAATGCATCGTGACCCTCAGGGCTATCGATTGTTGCCAGTCGTGCATTCGGTATGAACTTTGCTAGTTCTTGTTGTTCGGCGTATGTAAACAGCCCATCGCTCTCTATGCCAATCACAAGAGCTGGTTGCTCAATGAGACGCAATGCAGCCCGGACATCACCATCATCAACACGGCCACGAGAAATATCATGTGTATCGAGCTTCCGAGTGATGGCAATATAACAGTTTGCGTCGAAGCGCTTTACAAACTTGTCTCCTTGATATCGCAGGTAGCTTTGCGCGGAAAAGTATGTTGGGCATTTTTTCCTCCCGTTCGATATTGGAGATCGGGGAGTAGAGACTGGAGGCAACCCGGGCGGAAGAACCGAGGAAACACCTTCTTCATCCACCTTCGTATCTAGTTGAGTGCCAGCCCCAGTGTGTCCTAGATTGTCCAGTGCAGGAATTGAAGAAATTGAGCTGCTACGAGACGGTAATCGCCTCGCATTTTTGAAACCTTCATTGTGGATTGCCCAGTGACCCTCACCGGGGGTGCTGGGGGTTTGGTTCCCTGGGGAGTTTGGTTGCGGGTTACGAGATGGATCGGGTGTATTGCGGCCGAAACGGGATTCGAATGAGTTGCGACTAGAAACAAGTCAATATACCATGAGCTAGTGGACCTTAAGGGTTACAAACGTTCGATATGTCAACAGCGCACTCATTCTTGCAGCTCCCAATCCCGCAACAGGTGGATCTTCAAATGGGTAATAGCCATCCTCTATCACTTTTGGTTAATGATAGTTTCAGCAATTACCTTGCGGGGTAGAAATTTACTCACCATACTTTGGATCTGAATAAATACTTTGCCTTTGTGCTTCTCCCCATGAGATACACCAAGCCGAGTGACGAGAACTTGTAGCAATTGGCACTATGGATTTAACATAGTCTTTTCCAAAGTACGCCCACTCAAGAACAAGCATTCCTCCCATAGAACCACCAATTACCACAGCAATCTCCTTAACTCCCAAGTAATCCAATATGAGCTTATGAATGCTAATGCGTTACTCCGGTTAGCTCCAGATTTTATCAACCCAAATTGGGAAGGCTACCGACTTGACATCATCCCGCACCGTCGTCAGTGGGAACTCGGGGCCATAAATCCTCCCAGTCTCTGGATCCGTTGTACATGGTGAAGCGCTACCGTACGGACTTCCAAGACTGTTACAGCATACGACGAAGAACCTCCCCGTATCGAATGCCCTCCCAGGTCCAATTAGAGGACCCCACCAATCCCAGACATCGGCGCTGCCTGTTAGTGCATGGCAAATCACCATGACATTATTGCGGGCCTCGTTCAGACAACCGGACGTCTTGTAGGCTACGGGAACATTTGTAAGAGTCACGCCAGACTCTAGGGTGAAGCTTGGGATCAGAGCGATCTTCTGTCCGGAAATCAGCTTTGAGAATGGATTCTCAGGCTGTGATTTGAGGTGCTCTAAGGGTAGCGACGAAAGAGTCATTCTGTCAGTTGGGATTGGTGGTGTGGGAGTGTTGTTGCAATATGGTTTTCTTTAAGGAAAAAACTTGTAAAAAAAAGACATAAGCACATACCGTACTTCCGTACCTCGGCAGGCGCACTTTCAAGCACAGCAGGGAGTTCTGGTTCGGATACAGGCATCTTGTTCGCTTGTGCTGGTTTGATTTCTAGATCGCTTTAAGCTCTGCGCTTTTATTTCTACTGGGAATATGGGACTCTTATATCTTAGTGGGGCAGAGATGGCAATTCTGTTATTCAAAATTTTACACAAGCATTGCCAAGACCCATGCTAGTCGGTCACGCCTTATCGCGTTATCATCAGCAGAGCTTATTGATTTCTCAGCTAATAAACGTTAGAATTGCGTGCTTGAGGGCCTAGAAGATACAATATTGTAGTGAGACTTCTTACTATTCTAACGGTTGGGTTGATTGGAATGATTGAAATGAAACGAGTCAAAAACTGACATGTCATCTTCCAGCTTACAGACTCATGTGTGCGCATATGAGTATTTTCAGTCCTTAGGAATATATCAACGTCCGATCCGCGAAAATAATCGTTTCATTGCTTTTGTTACTAGGGAATTGATCCATGGAACCAGTAACTCCACAGATTGTGGAGAAGTTCGCCCCACCTATCGGGCCCAGCAGTTTATTCCGCGGTTTTGATAGATATCATGCCTTCAAAAGTGTCAATAGATAAGCTGAGTGACCGGTCTAAAAGTACGTCACCTGGAATACTTTTGCTTAAAAAGAAACAGAGGGCAGGTGGTCATTCTCCAAAAAAATTATGTACCCCATTTCCCTTATATAATTGAGCTGTACATGTCAAGGACTGCTGACCTTTTCTTAGGAGCCAAAAAGCCACAGCAATTGCAGACGGATTGGTGATAGATTGATTCAGATCCAATGATTGAAGGAATTAATTGGCAGAAAAAAGCCACAATTTTAGCTGTCAGCATTTCAGTAACATGACAGCTTAAGGGATAGGTACTACTCTGTAGCTAGCGATATGTGGCGGTAGCTTGAACGACCGTTATAGGAAGTACTAGAACTACATTGAATATACATGAGTTCGTTCCCACTAATAAACCATTTAACCTTTTCTTACACCTTACAGTATTTGTTTTGGTATTTTTGAGTTGATATGGCTTGGCAGTGTTTAATGGTAATGATATGTTTACCTCTCTGACTGGCCAGATCATGATAGCCACACCAAATTATAACCCAACCATTTACTTACTGAATAAGTCCGACCCATGTAAAAGAGTCTACATAACAAGCTAAAGTGATTGTCTCGATATCAAAGACGTTCGAAATCGCGAAGATTTCTGCATGGTGCCTGTAAATACATACCGATACCCCATCTACATCTACTAAAATTGTGCTCTCCTAAGTAATTCTCTTGTACCCATACCTAGTAGGTATATAATGTACACTTTATTGCTAGAAGGAGCGCTAGCCGGGGTGAGTATGTACATGTACTTTACTACATAGCTAGGGCGCTGCCGACAGTCAACTACTACCCAGGTGAGGGGAAACGTCCGATTATGAGTACACGCCCTGTTCCAGCAGTTTCTTATATATATATCGATATCTACTTATATATATATATACAAGCTTCGAATTCTTTCGGGATATGAATATTTAGGCAATATTATATAAGTATATATCTCTAGTTCCCGGTATACACCCGCCGCACGGCCATTAATCTATGCAGCCACTGGGACTTTAATTGGTCGCACATCAAGGCCAGGGTTAATAATTACATTTCCTGCTCTAGCCGGCCCATCGACCTGCAGTACAATATTACATGTAAATGACCGTGCTGACTCAACTATATACATACATGTATCTGCTCAGGGTTGATATACATACAATGTTTGCGCGCACTTGCAACATATATATAGGACTACAAGTGGTTTCCGGCCTTCGGCCGGTACTACATGTATATCAATCAGTCCAATATACGTATATACAGGCAAGCCGGCTTACGACTTATTTTCTCTATTTGCCTGGCAGGCAAAGTCAATCACTATCTGCTCTGGTCTATATGTACGTGCCTTTTCTGATATCCCCCATATATCAGTAGATAGGCCAGAAATTTCTCCAGTTCAAGCTACAAGTATCCCTTTAACATCCACCAAGCCGAACTACTAATCGATTCCCAGAGCCAGTTGAAAACCTATTAACTACCTAGCACCACTCAGCACAATATATACCCTATGTTCATATCCAACACAGCATATTTCAAATAAAACAAAACCTCTCTCAATGAGCCAATCAAAGGCTTTTAAATGCACATGAATATACAGGTTATAATTATATACTTATTAGATATGCAAATGAACTACCCATATTTGAAGACAAACTTTGTACACTATATAAAACCTGAGACCCGGAAGAAAAACCAAATTAGTTTAAAAATAGAAAAAGAGACGGTCGGTGCTACAGGGTCATACTTATATCATATGCTCGTACAGAATTTAAAAGCTAAGAGTACATAACCAGTCCCGCATCAGACTTTCTGGGTTAGAGATTTGATAGCCGGTGGTTTGTGAAGCTACATGTACGTAGCTTTTCAAACATTTCAACGAACCAATGACAGTGCACATGTCGGCGTTATGAGTCATGGACGGCCAAAGGAGACTATGGTCAGTATTACATGTACACACATATACCTATATCATAATATATTTATTTGATCTGGGCGCTTTCTCTGTTTCTCCTACTGGAGGGTGTCGAGCTGCTCGTAGGGGTCATATAGCTTGGCAAAATAGAGTCTCCGGGGTTTCAATCAAAATAAGGTTTGATGGACTCGAAACTACATGCACTGCTTGTGTTTGTTTACGGTGGCTTTAACCACTGCATGTAACTTTATATGCTTTGTGTACCTACAATCCCTACATAGCCCTGTCTTCGATACACGTATATGTGGCTACGTGTATCCTGATTTCTGAACATACTTAACTAACACGCAGCAGGTCCATCTGAGTAGAATAAACCCGGGGAAACTGCTAGAGAGGCTCTGAACATATCGCTTTCCCGGAAGAAGCCGTTGGACTCTCACCTCCAACTATTCTCGGTCATCACCTGTAAGATTACTATCTGGTCATGTTCTCCTGTAGGTACAAAGCAAGAGTTAAGTGTACAAAATCTTGACTTCAGTTACTGCCACCGGGATTTGTGTATATATATATATACAAGTAGTTTCCGGCCTTCGACCGGTACTATATGTATATCAATCAGTCCAATATACAGGCAAACCGCTTTGCGGCTTATTTCTCTATTTACCTGGCAGGCAAGGTCCATCACTATATCTAGATCTGCTCTGGTCAATATGTGCCTTTTCTGATATCCCCGATATATCAACGGATAAGTCAGACAATTCCTCCAGTTAAAACTACAGGTATATCCCTTTAACAGCCACCAAGCCGCTAAAATCGAACTACTAATCGATTCCCAGAACCAGTAGAAACCTTATTAACACTCTAACAACACTCAGCACAATACTCTAAGTTAATATCCAACACAACATGTTTCAAATGAAACAAAAACATCCCTCAATGAACCAATCAGAAGACTATAAAAGCACATTGCATATGCAGGTTATAATTATATATTTATTAGATATACATTCACACTTTCAGCCAAGTGCAATTAAGGAATTAAACAAAAAAACACTTTCAGCTCACCTCTCAAAGTAGGCGCTACAACACAGATATATATCGACGTGACTGTCGATCAGATTCCTTCAGATGTCGGTTGGTTTGCAGACAGTACGGTTCTTCTACCATCTTGTTCAATCGCCGACAAAATTCAACCTTCGAAGCATTTGGAAGTCAGTAAATGGAATTAATTGAGGGAATACCCTCCAAATCGATGCCAGCTGCATGAGAGAATCCCCCCCCCCCCGGGGCCTCTTGGCGGTAACCTCTTATGTCGCATCACACCGCTCCCTTTTATAACCGTGATAGCCCATGCTACTGTCTACAGATCCAGCTGGTGTTTCTCCACCGTGTATCTATGCACATGGATCTACTCGATGATATGGCGGTTTCGACCTGTACCCAAGTGGATGCGATTTTCAGAAATGATGACGAGGCACGAAGGAACCTTCTGTACGCGCGGCCGCCGAGAGACATGTATCTCTCGTCTCATCGGTTTTTAGCCTTGCACACCATGAAAGTGGCAGGAGTGCTAAAGTAAACCCTTATAAATCGAGCAGATATCCGACGCTGCAGGCCGAATCTATCGCGGAGTCGGGAACCTTCGCTAAGGATGAGAGCGGCCGAGTGAGCGGTGATGATTTGCCAAGGCCTCAACGGCAAGATCCTCTCAAGTCTAGAAAAAGCCAAAACGACGAAGATTACGTGTGCCTCGGAACATCATGTCTCTTTCAGAGAAAAAGACCCATCATGGGTGCAGGAGACATGGATTTTCCAATGCATGTAGTAGGCCCTCTGTGAAACGTTTGGAGGTGGGGTAGAAGATAAACTATTGCAGCTGCAACGGTCGAGACCCTACGCAAGCCCAAATGGGTAGGTTCTTAAGGTCTGGTTTCCGTTATTCCGACGGGTTATGATATCTGAATGCAAGACAGCCCAGAGTTTCTAGATCTACGGGTAAAGACAGAGTTGTGGAGAGTACTTTGAGGTTGTAAAGCGGTGCTAATATTGTGTGCACGCAACGGTAGAGTGATAGTTCCTTTTATTCAACAAAAAGCAAAATATACACGTTATCAACGCCATGTTAATTTTACATAATAGGAAAAACCACTACTGACAATCTCCGTCTCTAGTAGAACTCGTGCCAATTAAGATAAAGGCCCAGGTGAGGCGTATGGTAAGCACAAATGCTCGGAGGGGTGAAATAACGGAAAAAAGCAGCCTTTAGCAAGACAGACACAAAGTGGTATCCGAAAGCTAATTATAAGCATACATAAATGAGTGTGGGTAGCGGCGAACCGGAGATGATCTGAGAAAGAAAAGCCTAAAAAAAAAACCGCCGCTCTATCAACCAAGAAAAAGAATGGCGAGAAATAGAAAAAAAGAAACAGGGTGATTTATATATAAAAACACCTTGTATGTATGTCGAGGAAAAGCTGTGTACTTAGAATTCACCATTACCTTGGTGTTATGCAAGAAGATGAGAAATAAGAAAGAAGAAAATTCCCCAGACCCAGAATAGAAGATGATGGTGAGCGGAAAGCCTCCGCAAACGTTACTACCCCCCCTTTTGAACCCAAACCCAACGCTAATAACAAATACGTCCCAAATTTTATTACACGAAAACAAAAAACTTATTCCTATATGAGTGTTTGAAACTAATCGTCAGGGTTTGCCAGCTAAATCAAATACAAAAGTTAGCATTTATCTCTAATCTAATTATACGGATTTCGACATACCCGCAAGACCCGTCTCGAATAATCAGCGTCGTCTCTCAAACTCCTCACACTCATTCGTGAACTTCCAGTATCAGGATCGTATCGTAGATATAGCTGGCTAGGATCAAGCCGTTGATCGACTAATTTGGTCCCATCAGGCCCTCTTGCAGCAGCGGTTCCCACCCCATTCAATCCTGCCATGTTGGGCGGGCCTGTTGAGGGCGCAGTATCTACTGAGTGGAATCCTTTCTCCCCCATTAGACCCAGTGTGCTCAAAGAGCGAGACCTCCGACGACTACCAGCCATAACACCTGCGCCACCGGCGGGGATAACGGCAGCCTCTGGACCACCATGCATCGAGTTTCTTTGTTTGTTTCTACGGTAACAAAAGACCATAAGTGCCCCAACGATAGCAATAACCAAAAGAGCAACACCAACGAAAACACCTGCAACTCGTCCGGGTTGCGAGAAGAAGTTATCACCACTCGCGGATGGTTCTGCTGTCGCGGTTGCTGATGCTGTTGTCTCGGGTATATAAGTAACCGTTCGGACACCTCCTGAGGTTATAACGGAAAGACTAGGGGTTTCGGTCGTGGAAGTAGAGCTAGAGCTAGTGGTAGAAGTGGTTGTAGTAGTTGGTGCAGATGTTGTACTTGTTGATGACGATGATGTCGAAGACGCGGTCTGCAGTTATATTGTTAATGAGTATGTGATAATCGTAGTAATAAATCACTAAGATAACATATAACAACTGATAAATACATAGATTTATTTAAAAAAAAAAAAAAAAAAAGGGAAAAAATGGAAAAAAAGGTATCACATCGCGAAAAATAAGAGAGTACTCATACGATTATGATCGTCCGGGTAGGTCCAGCTTCGATAACCGTAGAGATTTGGAGGGAGAAGGAGGAAATTATATAAGGAGGATTTGAGGTAGTTCTCACCGATGAAGAGGAGCCAACAGTGCCACTCGGTGGAACGTTTGAAAGAGCAATGTAGCCGAAGACGTTCTTCGTGACACTTCCACATGTTTCCTGTCCGTATCCAGGGCATGATTGAGTACAGCCTGTGGTTGTTGAAGATGGTGCATAATTTGAACACCAACATTTTGAGCCTTGGAGAATGGCAAAAGCATAATCGGCTTCACAATAATTGGTACAGAGGCCATTACTTTGGAATGTATCGGTCACTAAACGGATAAATTACCACCGTCAGTCTTCAATCCAAATTATCGCTTCTTCAAACTTCAGGTTGAATAGGAGGCTAGCGTACTTGGTGATGAGCTTGCAGCAGTATTGAGACTAGAGCAATATGCCATATCCGCCGCATTACTGCTTCCAATTGCACATGACAACAGCAGCACTGTCGTCAACGTCGTCCGCAACCACCATCCCCCAACTCCAATACCCATGCCCATGCCCCTGCCAAACTGTCGCTTTCGCTCGTGGTTCTGTCCACGCATAACTTCCGTTCTAGACTGAGTCGCAGTGTATTGGGGTGTTCGGCCACTATTGTTTGGTCGTACCATCGTGATATTGTAAGTTGGGAGCAACGTATTATATTGACTGGTGTTTCGAAAGGTACGAAACCATCCACCAAGGGCAAAAATATCGAAGGTCGAAGGTTGCTTTAGATTAGCCGGGAGGAAGGTACGTAAAGTTTTAAGTAGAAACGGAGCCTACCAATGCACGAAACAAAATCAGCTTCACCATAGCCTATATCGTTTTGGAACCACTTACTCTCAACAAACAAACTACTTCGGCCCAAGAAAAGGCAGAATTATTTCAAACGACTAACCGAAAAAAGAAATCACGAGTATTCAAAGAACGACAAGCACAAATAACGAGTGTATCCACGCCAGCTATTTGCTGCCCAGTCCACGAAATCGTGGATGACGAGGAAGGTAGTGAGTGACAATAAAGCTGAAAATGAATATGCACCTAATGAGTGTACTGACTGCCGCCGAACCGATTGAATGGGTCGAGCGAGCGGTGTCGAAAGATGGAGGAAGTTGAAAGTTGATCAGAGGAAGATTATCGAGGTTGAAAGATTTGTTCCTGGGTCCGTGTTCAAGGAAACAACCAAACGCTCAGGAGGGTAAAGGAGGTATGAGTGCTTAGCAGAACGGAACGAAACTGCGGCACAATTTGGAATTAGCAAGGGATTGCGAAAGAGGACGGACGGGCGGGATGCTCGGCCAAAAAGGCAGGCTCAAGGAGATCGACGGACAACACCGCACGGCCTGGGCTAGCTGGCTTGGGCAATTCTCTTGTCCTTTAAGGAACATGCTACATACCTTTTGGGTTGAAGGGGGAAATGGGCGAGAGACGAAAGCGAGAGCGGAGCCCAAAAGGACGTTCGTCAGCAGTTCAAGCGAGCGGGAACTGCCACTATTCGTTGTATTATTTTTGAGGCGTCCTTGGGCTGCAGATAGACTGCTGCTGTGAAGGACTCTGTAACAGGAGGAAGGATATGGATGTTTGTTGGTAGAAGTCTCAGTTCCACAAATTATCTTATGTCCGTCAAAGCGCTATAACGACAGTTAGTAAAGGAGAGGTGTTGCAGCAGTTTTGTCGACTATTATTGCTGCTGAATTATTCACAGTTCACTCTACTGGAGGAGGAGAGTCGAAGAGTCGAAGGAGAATACCCCCAAGAGTTTGGGAGTTCTGGAGATGAGTTCGCCACGGATGTACTCCCGGCTTGTGTAGGGATCATATAATTGAGAACCTCCAGGCCAGGATGTGACCCATGGTGTCTACAAGGGTGTCGTATGCTCCGTGTTATCCTACACAAGGTGCATGTGTGCTCGCCTCTAGAGTCTACGGGCATACACTCTGGGGTGCTGCAGTTGCCGGAAACTGCATTTCCCGGCGGAGTGTTTTGTGCCCCCGAGACCTTAGAATCTCAAGATACGAAGAAGGCTTGCTACTCTTGGTGTGCTATCACTTTAGTCCACCGTTTCCTACCTCCACACTGACACTTCAGCTTTCGAAACGGACTGCACACTGCACACTTGTGGATATATAAATATAAATATACACACATCTCGCGTCGATAAGTGGCCCCATTTTTATTTCTTGTTTTCGGAGACTTAAACATCGAGTTAACACTGGGTCCAATCACCGGCAAGTTACGAGCATCTTCTGACCATCCTCAGCTACAGATGTTTATGCAATTCTATGTGGTCTTTTAGATCGAGTCTCCATTTTCATATCACCCTTCATCTACCTTTCTCCCACTCTTTGTTTATTTATTTTTGGTGTTTGCCCCCAATTAATTCAGATGTTTACCTATTTCGTCCCTCGCAATTGTTTCCGCATGCCTAACCCGTTTCGTCCGCATACATATGTAGGGCTACTGCAGTGCACCTAGAGAGAGATGAGAAACACGGGAATGAGACCTGCGAGAATGCGCTTCATAAGCCAGTTAAAGCTACCAAAATCCACTGTCTTTTTTCTTCTTTCCAACGCCATCTTCAGTAATATCTCTTCTCACCATCTTCCGCGCGCTTCTTTTGAAGTTTAGGTTATCTTCATTTTTATGGGTTTATCTTGTTAGAGATCTAGCCATCATATTATCCTTCTAAGGAGTCGTAGTGTTGTTACAATACCCCTATTTTTAGTAATGATATTCAACGACTACAGCCATCTGAATAACGATTGGGTACATCTATGACTTTACCCCGCTTCTTTCTGCTTGACTAGCAGTTTCTTAAGATGGGGACTTTGTCTAAGGTAAGTAACAGTTACATTTTGCAAAAAAAATTTGGCGATGCCGCATGGCCTTTTCCGGCCGGATTTCGCTCTACACCCATGTTGCTTTTGAATTACGATCGACACTATCGTCGTCACGGGCAAGCCTCATCCGTCATTCGGAAAAATTACCCCTGATCTGCATATCTACCGGACAACAAAATTGAATAAGCTCTTTACAATTGATTAACTCGCGATGTGTTCTCCTCATCAAGGGTTTCGTCAAGTTTCTTTGGGGATATTCACAAGGAAAACCTGATAGGTGGACCTTATTTGTGCAGCGTTTTATAGAGTCCTGGAAATTTGTACCCGCTGTGATGCTGCATTTGGCTGGTGCATAGATAAGTTGAAACCCCGAACAGAAGAGAGGCGCAGGAAAAACTACTAGCGCTAACAAAAGACAACAAGGGCGAGAAATACAGAAACAGGAAAACAGCGTACGGAGAGATCAGCGATATACTGGCTTTATCGACGTCAGAAGATTCAGAATTCACGCTAGAATTCCGGAAATTTCGGATTTTGGAGTGATGCCGATGCTGTCGCAATACCATGTTTCCCTTTCGGCATGCCGTAGTGGAGAAAAGTGCACTGAATGGTGAATATCTTCAACGGTCTAAGTACTCTACCATGCTAGATTGATTTGCACCTTACTTAATGTGGTGCACTGCAGGACTGTGGTGCAAGACGCAGGACTCCTTGAAGGCGTTGCGAATATCACTTTGATGCAGAGTAATCGTGGTTGTATCTGCGATTTATTCGATTCGAGGTTGGTCGTTGGTTATCCCTCGCTTGTCGACCGGCCTTAAACTAAGACTACGGGGAAAAACTAAGGGACAAACAGGGACAAATACGCCACGTTGTTACCAAAAGGAACCAATACTATGATAGGAAACGGACTCACTAAGGGAATCTCTAACATGTATTTTTCACAACACATAACGTTTGACTACAAGAATACTCCACAACCATTCAAAGTTAAAGACTAAACCTTTATGTTGCGCCAACCACTCATCTTCAACCCGGCGATGATACATTTCTTCATTTACCTATCTGCCATTTTTTCTTTATTTTTTATTTTTCTTTTGGGGTGCAATGGATCACTGTTGTCGCCTGCGCTTAAAATGTATGCACATTCCTTAAAATCTTTCTGCGCTCGTAGGACCGCTGAACCGTATCTCTGTGTACCTACAAAAATCTAGTCCGCTACAGCCTATGGGTGTTCTAACTTCTAGGGGTACTTTCATACCATACTCACATACAGGCAGATATCCGAGGCCAGCCACCGTTTAAATGTTTGGATACGAGATCCCCCACAGCCCCAATTCCTTCGGTAGATATTTGCAAGGACCGTGCAAACTTCAAAGCTTTCTGAGTTCAGTCGGACTCATCAAGTCTCTAGGACCCTGACAGCTTCCCCTTTTCTTTCCTTTTTCCAATGACTCACGTTGTACAAGCCGTCTTGTTGTGCTCTGCCTTACATGTAGTAAGGTATGTACATACATTGGCCTTGTATGTAGCGTATCAGCCAGTGGTAACATCAACATTTGTAGACTACATGTATAGACCGAAATTCCCGGAAATATTTTTGGACGAACGCTGACACGCGTTCGTCCCATTGGACGCGTACAGCCGAACCAATCTGTCGTCTGAAAAGGAAGGAGTGATTTCAGGACCCGTGCAATGGGAAAGTTCAACATGCGATGTCGAATTTCAAGAAAAGCGGCAAACCTGCAAAGGGGGATTTCAAGATGGCTGGGTCGCGTCAATATATGGCAATGGAATTTCGGTAGAAGCTTCCTTAGCTACTTTCTGAGGGATTTACAGAAGCTTGAGATGCAACTTATGAATGCCCGATACCGGTACCGAGTTTTCTCATGTTTCAGCACTACATGTATGCCAGGGAATCCCTTATTGACATGATTCCAGAGGTCCAAGTGGGTTGTCCGAGTGACGTGGAATGATGCTACCCCCAGGGACATCCCGTGTTCCTGAAATCTCCATATATAGAGTGACCAACCCCCAAAGTGGTAGTCACACAGACCACAAGGAGGCACCTAATTTCCACAGGCCTCGAAAATCCGTTTAGTCGTGTCCGATCTAGGAATACGCTGGCGGCCGGAAGAAAATATTAAAGAAAAGAAAATTTGATCGGACCCCGAAATCCGACACCGAGACCCCCGGAAGAACTTCGTTTACTAAGCGGTTGCGAGACGCACAGACTCTACCTACTCGAGTACCTCGGCGTTGCTGCGACGATCAGTGGAAGTTTCAACATCCCTCGCTCCGATAAGAGCTTACTTCCACATTGATCATTGATACCCAATATTATACCAGTATATGCGCTCCTTTACGAGCCACTTTGCAATATGAATAAAGTGCTGATTAGGATCTTCCGAAGGCATGCTTATTCCTCTGTAGCCCGTTTTCAGAATGCTACACAGCAAGCACATCCGTTGACAGGCTTCTATAAACGTGAGTTTCTCGATGCCACATCCCCGCCACTCTTGTGCTAACACCGAATACTTATAGTACTCCTTGACACCCCATTTCATCCCGCGAATCCTCTTCCGCCAGGTGTGCCACACCCACCTGCCACAACATCTCCAACAGAACCCTTCTCTCCAAACAATCCCACTACCACGGCGGATGCAGATACCCGTGTTGAGAAAGCACGTGTAGTATTTGGATCACGCCTCGCAGGACCAGGGAAGCGTGAAGAGGAGAAAAGACGGAAGGGAACTATTATTGCAGGTGTCAGGATCCCACCGAAACCGACGGAACCGGATAATTGCTGCATGTCGGGATGTGTCAACTGTACTTGGTTCGTTAGGCATATGGAACCCAACCTTAGGAGCTGGTTTAGCTAATGCATTGAAAATAGGGACATATTCAGAGAAGACCTGGAAGAATGGCGTGCAGCTATGAATGAGGCACGGGCGAAGCAGAAGTTACAGAATGCTGCACAGGGTATTAGCAATAGCATGGATGATGATGGTGGCCCGTCAGCTGGCGGGCTGTGGGAGGGATACGATGATATCCCAATTGGTATGAAAGCTTTTATGGAGACTGAAAAGCGCTTGAAAGAGAAGCACAAAACAACGGGGTCTACACCGGGTTGATACTGGGTTGTAGGTACCTTGGGAGTTAAGCCAAGGGTCTAGTTTGCCTCGCCCATGAGTCTATAGGGCATTTGCTGCCTTCGATGATTGTTGTTAGTTTCAGTGAAAAAAGCAATCGCCGGTCCTCAGTGATGGGACCATGATTACCACGTTTTGGGTTTGGATTTGGATTTGGGCTCGCAGGACGATTTACATCTGGGTATAGAAAAGGGGCGGAGTTTGGAGTTAAGAGATATAACTTGCCTAGCTGAATTTCTGTATTTAAATACCATACTTTATAATTACATTTATGCATCGTAGGTTGAGGTATCTCATACAACCCTAGCCCTGGTTATTTTAGATTGGCTAATATTGGACTGGATACAGTAGTCACCCACTCTACCTCTGATCCCGGAAATTTCCTACTACGTTTTGAGACCTTCATATAATTCTAGGCGAAGTCGAGTCGACACCAAACCCATTCCCTTTACTTAACACCCAAGAGTTTCCCAGGAACATATTGTTGATATTCCTTACGGCTGTAGACGTCTAGTCTCACTCTGGCTTGTAGAAAGGCAACAAAACTCTTTGGCCTGCGGGGGGGGGGGGGGGGATCATACTGACGAGAACGCCGGTGACTCTACTCTATGGGGTAGTTACTATACCTTACCTACAAGGCAAGAAACGGCCTGGCGCAGAAGGGAAGAGGAAATTAACATTGAATGTCTCAAGCACGGCAAGAACAGGCAATTCCCATTGATATAATGTAGGGGAACGTTGGCGAAAAGTGAAACAGTATCTCGCAAATATTTCCATAGGTAAACTGTATAGTGTGCTTTTACTATGGCATCATAGCCCACCGGCATCCCTTTTGGTTCATTTCATCCTTTATGCCCTCCATCTCATATCCATTTCTACCTTTTGGCTCATTATCTTTCTAATCAGTTCACCGACCGCATGGTATTTCGCTTCCGTATCCATGGCGTGGTGGCCTTTCTGTTCCACTGAACAAACCCCGCGACCAGCTTCCACAACTCTCTCAAAATCTTCGTACTCAAACTCTCCATCACTTTCGACAAATCCCAGTTGGCCGGTACTGGTGAAAGCGAGAACATGTGTACTGGCAGAATTTTTCAACTCGTCTAGTCCTGGTTCCACAACAACCCCGCCGCTACCCTTCATGAAGGCCACTGTGGTAGCAGCAAGGACGCTTTTGAGTGGTACAGCAGCATCCAATAGGGCCAAAACAGCAGCATTCATGGCCGGTGCAAGTAACAGGAGTGTAGTCGAAGCATTTTCATCGGTTCCGGCTGTTTGCACGACCTGCACCACGATCTGGATCAGAGTTCGGGGGTGGTTGGATCGGAGGATCAGTGATTTGAGGGCAGAGAGAAGGCGCGCCTCAAGATACTTTTCCCTGGTACCTGGACGGGTAATAGTTAGCGGAATAGTAAATTTGTTAAGTGAGGAAATGGCGCACTTGTGACTCCAATTGCTGGTCTGACAATCACCTCGACGTGTGCTTTCTGTGGGTGTTCATCACGAATCCGAACCTCCATAGGACCAGTTACGGAGGCGATGATAGACGTACGTCCTGAGACAAAAGATCCTGAGCCATCTGCTCTTGGAAGAAAGCCGATTGATGCGGCGTTGCTGCTGACCATTGTGCGTAATGTTGATTACTAGAATCTGCAATTGTTGAGGTCCTTAGTTCTTTCTTTCTTTCTTTCTTTCTTTCTTTCTTTCTTTCTTTTTGTTGATGTAAGGTAGGTAGTAGAAATTTCAAAGTTTAGTTAGAATGTATATACATGTATGTAGATGACATGTACGATAGATACAAGCTATAGTGCCAAGACCAACCCCACATACAGCCGCAACCGTTTTTCTTTTCTACCCACTCTCTTGGTTCTTTTTCTCCTTCCTCCCTTCCTTCCCTTCCCCCCGACTCTCATTTGTCCTGCGATATATAGACTTTTCATACCCTCCCTAATTTCGTTCCCTTCCTTTACAGTCATCTAACGAAATATTAACGGTAAAATGAAGTATGTTCTGGTCTCCGGAGGTCTGTTATCATTATCATTATTATTTTCATTGATTGGATTTGAAAACGCTAACGATTTTTTGTGTTATAGGCGTTATCAGCGGGATTGGGAAGGGCGTAATTGGTAATTCTTTCATTTTAATTATTTAGCAAATCAGAAGCTAATCATGTATATTTGAGATTTGAATAGCCTCCTCAACAGGTTTACTGTTGAAGACCATTGGTCTTAAGATATGCGCCCCTAGACCCTACTGAGCTATCGATATACTTGTATTGACTCTCTGTGAACGTTACATCAATCAAGATTGATCCTTATATGAATGTCGATGCTGGAACCATGGCGCCTACTGAGTAAGATAGATAATGCATGTTCAAGCGGGCTATGACATGGAAATATTAATTTTATCCTTCCCAATAGGCACGGAGAGGTTTTTGTTCTCAATGACGGAGGAGAGGTTGATCTCGATTTGGGAAACTACGAGCGCTATCTGAATATCACTCTCACCCGTGAGAACAATATTACTACAGGAAAGATCTACCAGCATGTTATTGAGCGCGAGGTATGCTGAGACAATTCGTATCTTCGATAACAATATAAGCTCACAAATAATGGCAGAGGAGAGGAGATTACCTTGGAAAGACTGTTCAGGTTGTTCCTCACTTGACCGACGCTATTCAGGACTGGATCGAACGTGTGGCACGCATCCCCGTGGATGAAACCAACAGCGAACCAGACGTCTGCATCATTGAGCTCGGAGGGACCGTTGGAGACATCGAATCTGCACCATTTGTCGAAGCCTTGAGACAGCTCAAGCGCCGCGCCGGCAAGAACAATTTCTTGCAAATCCACGTTTCACTTGTTCCAGTCATTAACGGAGAACAAAAGACCAAACCCACACAGGCGGCAATTAAGGACGTGAGGTCTGCTGGTCTGGCCCCAGATCTTATCGCTTGCCGTTGTCAACAGCCTTTGACAAAGAGCACAATCAAGAAGATTGCCTTATTCTGCGATGTCCTTGACCAACAGGTCCTGGCGGTACACGATGTGAACTCCACCTACCACGTCCCTCTACTTCTCGATAATCAGGGTCTTATCGGGCTTCTCTCCGAAACCCTTCAGCTCGACAAGCTTGAAGTTTTACCAGCTTTGTTGGAGAAGGGCCAACAGACCTGGACGCACTGGAAACAATTGACTCTGGCACAGGACAGGCTTTTCGATCAAGTGAGCATTGCCCTTGTTGGTAAATACACTGACCTGCACGATTCATACTTGAGCGTCATTAAGAGCTTGGAACACTCCGCTATGAGGTGTGGAAGGAAATTGAATTTGATCTGGGTCGAGGCAGAGGCCTTGGAGACCCAGATGAGTACCCAAGATCCGGCAAAATACCACAAGGCTTGGCATGATGTTTGCACTGCAAAGTATGTTTTCTAAAATTCTCCAGAAATTTTAAACTAATCTTTTTGAAGCGGTGTTCTTGTTCCTGGAGGTTTTGGTGTTCGAGGTACCGAGGGAATGATTGCCGCAGCCAAGTGGGCTCGTACCAACAATACCCCTTACCTTGGGATTTGTCTTGGTATGCAGATTGCCGTCATTGAGTACGCTCGCAATGTTTGCGGAATGGAAGGTGAGTAGATACCAAGAGAATTTCATTTAAGAACCCTCAATCTAATGATGTTTGCAGGCGCCCATTCCGTAGAAATTTCCGCCCATACAGACCACCCGGTTATCATCTTCATGCCTGAAGGTAGCAAGACCCATCTCGGTGGAACCATGCGCCTTGGTATACGCCCCACAATTTGGCAACCGGGTAGCGAGTGGAGTAAACTCCGACAGCTGTACGGTAACTCAGACGAAATTCTCGAGCGTCACAGGCATCGTTACGAGGTCAATCCCGAATATATCGAGAAGCTTTCCGGATTGAATTTCGTGGGTAAGGATGACAAAGGTGAAAGAATGGAGATTGTCGAACTGAAAGACCATCCATTCTACGTTGGTGTCCAGTACCATCCGGAATATTTGTCGAGAGTATTGCAACCCAGCAAGCCGTTTTTGGGTTTCGTTGCTGCTAGCTGCGGGTAAGTTTCATCCTTACTAGGGAAAGGTTAGGTGACGGTATCCTAACTGGTGTTGCAGGGTTTTGGATGAGATCCTCGAGAAGCCTGATGCGCTTGTGGTGAACGGGGTATCTGTACCATGAAGGTGGAGAGCCCTCGTGTCCACAATCCTTGTTGTTTCGACAGTTTTATTCCATCTTCCCTCTAATATTTTCTTCGCGGCGCTTCTTTTTTCCCCCGAAATATGCCGGTTGGCAATAAATGTAGATTCGACAGAATGTCAAGACTTGCAAGGAGAGTACATAGAATTCTAACAATCATGTCTTGTCTAGATATCTCCATCAGTGAGGTTAGCATAGACCCTATTCCCTCTTCTGCTTAACTTTCCCCATCTCCAACTCAACTTCTCGCCTTATCTTCTCCGAAACTTGCCCTATCTGACCAGGCTCTTTATTAGCCTTGACAAGCCATTCCAGAGCCTCAGATAGTTTCCCCTCTTCCCGTAATATGATTGCCAGGCTCATTTGGCTTGCAGCGTAGCCTTCTGTCGCGGCAAGAGTAAACCACTCACGTGCAAGTAAGGGTTTGAAAGTTTTGGCGTAGTGCGCACCAAGAGAATGGGCAGCTGAAATGACGCCCGAGGCGGCAGCTTTGAGGAGATATGTTTCTTTTTGAGGGGAGTTATCTTTCGCCATTGCAAGATAGAGATAAGCATAGGGGTCATCTATGAGTAAATACATGTACTTGATTAGCTACTGGTTTCGGATTGGGTCTCAGTGATTGGGTCTCAGAGAGATGGAGCTATTGGGTGAATTTAGATTCATAGTAGAAGGCAAGAAACTGAAATATCGTGCTCTACTCCCACAAGTACCAATATCCAGAAACATACCGAGTTCTACCCCCTTCTTAAACGAAGCTATTGCTTTTGTTGTATCACCTCGTCGCTGCTGTAATCGTCCCAGTGAAGTCCACGCCGCTGCAACTCCCTTTTCTGCTGCCTTCTCGAACCACTTCTCCGCTTCTATCTCCTTTCCCGATTGGCTTACCATCTCTCCCATCCTGAACAGAGCACCAGGATACTCGTGCTCAGAAGCAATTTTCCTCAATATTTGAGAAATATCACGAAGATCTTGAACCACGCGAGGAATCTGTTTCATATTCGAAAGTTGTCTGTGCAGTTCGATCGTAGCTGTTGGGTCATGAAGAGTCGAACACGTAAAGAGGAGATGGAGGCCTGCTTGGGCTTGTACAGGAGGATCTTTAGGTGCCGAGCGTATCAATACGAGCGCAAGACGTGTTAGATCAGCGGGGGTTATATTATGCTCTACTTAGATTAGCCCTTCTTAATTTAAAAACCACGGAACCCTCGAGATACCATCACATATAGCCCTTCCACTAATCTCATTCGGTTCCTTTACCATCATTGGCATATAGTCTGCTACAAGCCTTGTTGCAACAGCAGGACCGAATGGGAGTGCTTTTGACTTATGGGCAGAGAGGAGCACATCGTTTGGGATTTCGGGAGCCCTGTGTCGCCACTCATCTTCAATCCGTTGCTTGTGACGAATAGCAAAAGCGGGGCGAAGGCGCGTTGCGAGATGACTACGGGAAGTATGGAAGTATTGGGCATGGGCGCCAACTCGGAATCGTATCGGCGAGAACATTTTTGATGGAGCCGGTTGAGTTTCTTTGACACCAAGGGGAGGGATTGAGATAAGCTTTTGCAGCCTCAATCTTGGCGTGACAGAGTTGAATCATATATTATCACTCGGTACGGACATTTGACAGCAGTGCTAATATTATTGTGATTGGATAGGTACATGTACATGTAGTGTAGGTACATAATAGTAATACTGTTTCATTCTCAGCTGCATGTAACTGCCATGTTTGTCGGTTCGTTGTCTCACTCCAGCTGTTAGAGTGTCGTCCTTTCTTTTTCCTTCCCTCAGCTTTTTTACGCGTTACGAAGTAGGTACGTACATGCATAGATGCAATTACAAGCGTTTGTTACTAGATTAATAAAATCGCTCATATATCTGTATATATATCTTCCCATTTCAGAAGGACGCCTTCCTTGCTGTGGGCGAGCTCTTGAAATCACATCATGTCACTCGGTCGGATTCTTTGGTAGTTCTCTTCGTATCGTTCTCGAGATCTCGACTATTATAACAAAAGAATCTTTGGTCTAGATCTGAGAATATTACTTGATAAGTTAGGATAATATTCGTAAAACGATCAGCTATAACGTATTATCCTACAGTCCTTACTCTCTGTTACTCTTTCATAAATCAATTAGTTGTCCGATCCTGGATTTTATTTTTACTGTCAAGATCTCATGATTAGATTGTGATTATGATGGAAAGGTTGACGGGGAAATGTTTCGCGAATGGAGAGAGCTAATTCTCGCCGGGTTTGTATATACGCAATATACCACCTGCCTTCTTTCAGCTGCCTAATTGCGAAAGTAGGTACAGTAGTCGGCCGTTAAAGAGAATTCCCGATCTTATATATCGACCCGCTTCCACTCTTCTCCCCCATTATATATATGGAATGATAGTATTCTTTAAAAAGATCGAACGAAAAGAACCTAGATGAATGAATACGTAAACTGTAATCTATAAGCTATAGCCTTAACCCGATGACTCCTCCACCTTATAATCTGGTCATATCAGTGCTCGTTGTTAGACACCAGGGCATTATTTTTTTACTCGGGCCATCGAACCACTACTGGTATGTATAAAAATGTCGATTTTCTCAATCTCTTGGGGCGGTGATAGGCGGGCGACCTATTAACATAACTCGTAAAGTCTTGGCATTATGCTCTGCAATATTTGCTGTGATCAGTTACAGCAGGTAAAATCTTATTTGAGGACTTGGGTATGTAAATAATCCATCTGGGGGGATGGCCTTGAATAAAGGGTCTTAAATTTTACTGATAGCGTTAGGGTTGGGGCTGGAAGGTTTCAGTTCAGCTAACTTCATTTGATTCACGTCATTAATGCTAGTAGGCCCGCTCGGTGTCACACGCTCCGCATTGACCCGTGATACATAGCACTTGCCGCTCCACCTTTAAAGAGCTACCAACACCCAGCAACTCAACTGGAGTCGAAAACTCACTTCAGGGCTACATCTCGATACCAAAATTCTACATCATTCGAACCGAACAATCTAAAGGCCTAGTAGTTCGGGATGTTGAAAATTACCGATAAAGTCGCCGCACTGCGGCCAGGCGAGCCATTCCACAGCCTCGAATTCTTCCCCCCAAAGACAACTATGGTTCGTAACGAATACAAGTCATGACGAAGGTAACATAGCTAATTTCACTCAATTCTCAGGGGTTTGATAACCTCGAAGCTCGCCTTAGAAGAATGGCCTGCGCTCTTCGACCCCTCTTCGTCAATGTCACCTGGGGCGCCGGTGGTTCAACGGCAACAAAATCACTGCAGCTCGCTGAGCTTTGTCAACGACAACTCGAACTAACCACATGCCTTCATCTGACCTGTACGAACATGTCGCAGGCCGTTATCGATGAGACGCTGGAAGCCGCGAAGGAAATTGGCATCAGGAATATTCTTGCGTTGCGTGGAGACCCGCCACGCAATGAGGAATATTCAAACGCACCAAGCGACGCTACGGCAAACGGCACTTCAGGGATAGAGTTTGAATATGCGGTTGACCTGGTCAAGTATATTCGTGAGAAACACGGAGACTACTTTTGCATTGGTGTGGCGGCGTATCCCGAGGGACACGTCGAAGGGGCTTGTCCTGAACGACAGGATGTTGAATTCGATATTCCATTTTTAGTTGAGAAGGTCAAGGCTGGAGCAGACTTCATTATGACACAGCTCTTTTACGACGTCGACAAGTATCTATCATTCGAGAAATTGTTGCGAGACGAGCCCTCGGGAGTCTTCAGGGATCTGCCCATTATTCCGGGGATGATGCCTATTCAGAGCTTCCAGATGCTGAAGAGAATCACCAAGCTCAGTGGCGCATCAATACCTCTAGACATCTTAACAAGGCTTGAAGACGTCAAAGGTGATGATGAAGGTGTCAAACGAGAAGGTGTCAACATTGTCTCGGAAATCATTGAGAAAATCAAATCCACCGAGTCAACGCAGTTAAGAGGCTTCCATTTCTACACATTAAACCTCGAGAAAGCCGTTTCTTTCATACTCGAGCGGACCAACCTAATTCCTGCACCAGAAGAATCGGTTTTCGAGGAGATTGATGGCCCAATAACTAATGGCAATAATCGTCGCGACCGAAGATCCTCATCCGTCACTTCGGATCCCCATAATCGTGTAATCATTGACTCAGATTCAGGTATAACTGAATCGTATGGGCACGCCTTCGCATCAGAAGCAGGTTTCTTAAAGCCTCCCGAGCAAAATAGGCCACCGGAAGTAGCCCTTGCTATCTCTGAAGGTGAAGGTTCACTCGGCCGGGAAGCAACTTGGGATGATTACCCTAACGGTCGTTTTGGTAACGCAAGATCCCCTGCCTTTGGTGAAATTGATGGATACGGCCCATCACTGCATCTCTCTCAAGCACAAGCGATCAAGCTCTGGTCATACCCTGTGACCACAGACGATATCTCTGCTCTTTTTGTCAAGCACATAAGGGGTGAATTGGAAGCCATTCCATGGAGTGAGCAGGAGCTTAGCTCTGAGAGTAAAGTTATTCAGGAGCACCTGATAAAGCTAAATACAAAGGGACGATGGACCGTTGCCTCCCAGCCTGCAGTCAATGCAGCGAAGAGTACGGATGAATTGTTCGGATGGGGTCCAAAGGGTGGATTTGTATTCCAGAAGGCGTTTGTCGAGTTCTTCTGTTCTCCGGACGATTGGACAGCATTAAAAGAAAAGCTGGACAAGCTGGAAGAGATGTCCTATTACGCTGCAAATAAGAACGTAGGTTTATATCTTCGAATAGATTGAGACCTTTTGCTGATGGAGTCGTTTTTTTTTTTTTACAGGGGGATTATCAATCCAACGTGCCCACAGGCGAAGACTCTCTACACGCAGTGACCTGGGGTGTATTTCCAGGCAAAGAGTATGAAATTTCTCATTTCACCATTTCAATAACGACTATTAACCGTTGCCTCTTTGCAATTTAGGATCATTACTCCAACAATCATAGAAGAGGTTTCTTTTAAGGCTTGGAAGGTTTGATATACTAATGAGATCCTATTATCCGAAGAATCAATGCTCACGAATTATGAATCAGGACGAAGCATTCAGCATCTGGAACGAATGGGGACGAGTCTACCCCTCTCGGACAGCATCATCGAAGCTGATCTCTGAAATCACAAAAACATATTATTTGGTTAACATCATACACCACGGATACCTGGAACCGGATTTTCTGTGGGAGTTTTTGGAAGCTTAGGATTCTTAGCTTTGGTTTTTTTTTATACTATTATGACGCGATGCATGTAGTTTTCTCTCTATTTTTTCTCTTAGCCAATAAGTTGGCTATAACGATTTGCGATTGGCTGGGCATGGGCGGGCTTTTTGTCGTTTATCAATTTATCAATTTGCATTGCATGTGGCCGGGGGAGGGAGTAGGCGTATGACGTATTTGCGGTTGCGGGTTACGTTTGCGCTATGTATGCGTTAGAGGAGAGAGCAGGGGCCTAAAAAGCACGAATCAGTTGGTCTTAGGTACATTGTGGAGACTATTCACTACGTTGGCTAGTGCCTCTTATCTATCTGCAGTATATATATTTTTTAAGGAATAAATCCTTTAAGCTCATTCATGGGCTACGAGATATTGGGGATACCTTGGCGACGAGTTACGATTTCGCGTTTGTATAATTGGCGAAAGGCGTGAGAAGGAGGAATTTGGCGGGTGTGATTAAACATCCCCGAGGTTACAGCTCAGGGGTTAAATCATGAATTATCACTCGTATTCACTGTCCTCGAAAATTGGGCGGTAAACGTACGACCCAGGCCCACAATGACTGGGGAAACATCATGCCTTATTGAGTGGATTTTTATTGACGGTTAATTTCTTCTGAAAGATTTAGTGATATGCTCTAACTGGCTAGTTATTATCGCGGGGTGCGCGGTATGTAGCAAAGGGGGAGGAGGGGGGAGCTCATCCACGGACAAACAATCCCGTCCCCCCAAGAAAACCAAATAAGAAAGGGGACAAAGAAAGACCAAAATAAGGGAATCTCTCCTTTCAATCTCTCGCCATAACATAAGGGTCAATAGGTGCCTAGCACTCCCTGTAGATGGAAGTAAGTGAAGTGGGGTGGGGGAGGAGGGGGGATGTGGGAAGGCCGGGAGGTACTACTCTAGATAGCAACAGCCTTCCTCTCGTACCCTAGAGATAGTTCAAAGCTATAAAAGGGGCGTGGTAGAGGGGTCTGGAAAAGGCCGCAGTGCCAGTTTTGCGGGAGAGGACCGTGGCCATTGGGGGGGAATTTAGATAGAGGAAAGATTAAAAGGAGGGAAGAGACCTAGTATGAATCTCTTCGCTTTTGAAACGGCTTGGGGGTTACTTGTTGGTGACAAGAGAAGGTTCGGGATGATGGGTACAGTGTACGGCTGGGCTAGATTATTGATTTTCATGGCCGCTGGTTCTTTTTCTCGCTCGATATTTGTAGTATACGTATGTGGTTGAGATGGTGATGTTTCGCTCCACAGATCTGGTCTCTACCAAGAAGCTTGATTCTTGAATAACACGATGTCGGATTACAATCGCATGAGCAATAACGTATCTAATTTCACCTACAGCTAACCACAGTGGTTGGTTCTGAGTCCGTTACTTTGCTCGAGCGATGTTAGTACATACATCAAGTACATACTTGTATTATGCAAGAAGAGTGTGGCATCCCACCAGCTTCCCTCGCTCTGAAAGTACTAAGCTACAACCACAGTCCCTAGGACCACGGCGTTAAGACCGAAAAAGAGGGGCATCATCCTGCAGCTCCGGTAGTGTAGTGGTAACACACTTGTCCGTAGATACAATCCACTTCAGCCTGTGCGAGTGTGCGAAAAATCCTGATGAGACGATGGAGGTTCGAATCCTTCCCGGGGCTTTTATTTTTTCTTCTACAAGTCCCAACTAATACACTATCGTAGATTAAGCCCGGCTATAGACGGTTTTGGCCAAAAGGATTGCTATAAACACTTCTTTACGACGGTATGGCTTCGTAATGAAGCACTAAGTGATACTCCTTACCCCCAGCTACCACCATTACCCAATCAATATCATTGCCGTCATATCAGCATCACCGTTAATTACCACCACGTTGCTCATATCATCACGGTATCAACATTGGCACTCACTTATGCTTGGAAAAGACACAGTAGCTACATCACACGGAAATCAAAGAACACACTGTTCAACCAGTTCTTGTAAATGCTGGGCAGGGGTTGCAATCATTATCCATCACTCGCTGCAACGGGGTTAAACTCTTTTAGGAACTTGGTAATGATCGTGGTGCTGGGCGGATAAAACACAATACAGATATTCTGAAATAGCATGTGGGCTAGTATATATATACTTGTAGTTGAGGCGGATTGTTGGAAGGGACTGGCGGGCTCGCTCGTTAGGTGCGGTGGGTTAGAGGTCGCTCTTTTTCGGCGTGTCGATGTGATTATTCAGCTAATTCTTGTCTGAAGAGTGCTCATTAATTTCAAACCAGTAATATCACTAATATTGCCATATCTAAATATTTTTTCTTTTTATTTCTACATATTCCCAGAGCCTTAGGAATGCTAAAACTAGGTACGTATGTACGTACCCAAGTAACTAGCCAATAACTGTCATAATACATATAGTTACCACGTTTTCTAAAAATAGTCGATGGAGTTAAAGAGATACAAGTAAAAACAAAAGGTCCTTTAACAGCTAGCTAGTTTACCATTATCAGTAAACCCAATAGCCAAAGATCGCCGTCATCATGATCATAATTCCTGTCGACGCCCATGCCAGGATCTTGTCCTTGCGCCCTATATTCTCTAGTAACTTCTGACCTGCCTGCTGCTCTCTCCCTCTACTGGGGCCGCCCTGACTCCCCGCTGATGGATCCCCTTTACTCGTGCCCCCATCATTCTCGGTGACTGGAACTCCCACATCATGAATTAGAGTATTCTGGATCACCTCTAGAGCGGAGAGTTGTTCTCCGACGCCATACATCCCGTCCCAGTCATTCAGGTACCATTTCATGCCGCAAGAGTTGGCATCGGTACCCCATGAGCAGTGGCGCGCAGCGGCCACGGCGGAGGTGCGAAGCTTGGGGATGATGAGGGGCGAAGTGTAGGGCGCCATTTTGACTGTGAGAGCTAAGAAGCGGGCGAGGTAGGCCTTAAAGGAGCGTTGGTCAATGTTACAGGTCATGATGCGCTCGCAGGCTTGCTCGACCATGATGTCGGCGAGACCTGTATCGGGGTGCGTGAAGAAGATGCGGTTGGACATGTTTAGGATGCCGTCGACCCGATCACGCCAGAGGGGGTCGCCGTCAGTCTAGGAGTGTTAGAGGTGTATGAAGTAGATGGTATAGATAGCTGGGAGGGAGCTTACATAGTTATACATATACGCCGCCCCTGCTAGATATGTCCCTGCGTTATAGGACCATTGCACGAAATTTATAGACGTGCAGTTGCTCTGCGTGTCGAAGCCATCGAAGAAGCGGTAATCGGTGGTCGAAAGGCCTGATTCAAACGTCCAGTCATACGCTTTCACAGCCCAGTCTGCATATGTCTGGTTACCAGTATATCGCGCGAGTCTCGCCGCGAGTTGGAAGAAACATCCGTTTGAGATGGTGTTTTTGTACGAATACCCGTTGTTGAAGGTGTAGATCTGCCATCTAAGGCCACCACCACACGTGTTCGCATCCCAGCGTGGAGCTTGAGTATTGAATACCGCTTGTGCAAGCGCGAGCCATTGTGCTTTATCCTTTGGAGGGTTTGGAAAGTTCTTCTCGGCAGCCGAGATTACGGTCAGGCCCCAGAAACATTGATCATCGTTTCCCTAACGTCCGAGTCAGAATATACAAGTGCGAAGGGATGGAATGTAGATTACAAGTGATTTCGACTGATTCGGGGGCATGTAATCCCAATCAGGGCCGATTTGGTGCAACAGAGCTTCTGTGACAACGGGATTGTACCCGGCGTCGCCAGTGTAATACCAGTAGTCGACCAGCCCCTGCAGTACTAATTATCAGAGCTTCATTCTGTTACTACTAAATTATTATGTGCTTGATTACTTACGCCAAAAACTGCACCCGACTCCCACCAGTAGTAAGGGTCCCCGAAAAGGCCCGGGATACCGCCAGTACGGTTGCCTGGATAGTACTGCATCATCTTGTATGCGACTCGCTGTGCAACATAGTTAACCGACCCTTGTGGCAGAAGCTGTCTTAGCATCAACAAACAAACAAGCTACGAGCAAGGGAGAAAGGGGAAAGGGAGAAGATTACCTATATCATCGATAGCGAGCTCGTAAGCTGTAGCTAGCGGTAGTAGACTCGCTGTGATCGTAAGAAGCGTGACAAAGTTCCAGTTTTTACTGCGGAGCTTCATGGTTGGTTGGGTTGCGAGTGAAGTGAGATGTTGACGCGATAGGGAGGTGAAGTAGGCGGTGGCAGCATCGTAGGCGGTGATGATGTTGGTTGTGGTGACAGCATGTATCATAGTGTGGGGTAGGGATTTGGTAACATGCGGATAAAAAAGCTCGTGGGGTTTACCCAAGCTGGGCTTTGGTGTCTTCTTTTAGGACGTGTGTGTGGCTGGGTCTCAGTGGCCGATGTGGAAAGCTGTGACACATCAAAGCGTACTGTTTGTGGTTACTGAGGTGATTGGAAACGGACAAAGGGGTGACCGTGAACGGAAAGTGGAACAAACACTGGTGATCTTTCCGTTGGCAACGCTTTCAATTGAGGAGAATGAGTAGGAGTAATTGAATTCATCCATGTATTCTCTGGGCCAATAATGGGTGCAGGATTTCTTGTTGCAATTATCATTACAACCGAGTGAGAATTTGTGACTACATGCTAACTTAGCCTCGGTTGGTGTTAAAGTAAGGGTCAAATAGTGCATGTATCCATGCAGTACCACATATGAAAAATATACTTTTCTAAAAAAGTACCAGAATGACTTTGGATGTTCTCATTTTCTGCTACCAACTACAGTCGTCTCCGGGTCAACGACGAAACCAGTTCGATGGCGAATAGGCCAATCGAAGCTAATAGAAGCTAACAAAAGCGCTTTGACTTTTTTGTTTTGACTTTCTATTAGTTTAAAAAGTAGCCACTCGTCATCGAGCCGGGTTCGTCGTTGACCCAGAAATGACTGTACATAAGTACAGCCACTCTGCATTCTCCATATGCAACCGCGGCGGACCATCCAGAACCCCCCAAGAGAAGACTTTCCCAACCAATGGCGCCCAAATTAATGAAGAATAAGATCAATGACCCATCTTCTTTTTATATATAGTCACAAACTATATTATATATTTTTCGTTGTTTTGAATCTCAACTTTAATAACATTAATATTACGGGTGCGCCACACTGCGCACTGACATTAAAACCATATCACGAACACTTTTGCTGAGTGGCTGTACATGTATGTATCAAATCCCATCCATGGCGCTAGCCCAGAACCATCAGCTGTAAAGATGGCCTACATGATCAGTCGGTATGCTGTTGTAGAATGAATGCCGTTACCTACAATATCAACTGTTGCCAAGAGCTTGATATTGTGTTTGCTATCTGAGGGAACTTTCACAATGAATTTTATTTCCATTTATCCAGATCTTCGGGCCCTGATTGGGGTGAAGGTTTGCAACTATCCAAGAAGCCATACCTTATCGTTTACCTTTAAATAATTCCATCGGTATTACTACATGCATGTATACTACTGATGTGTTTAAGATTGTTGTTGCCAATCATGACTATGCCCGGCCGCATCTTTTTTAGAGTACACGCATGCCTTAGATTTTGTGCATGAGGCTTCCCCTCCGCTCTTCGAATTTATTTCCTATTGGCAACTGGCCTTCACGGATGAGATAATACCTTGATATACTCACCAACGAATTCTTTACTCGATAACGTGCTACTAAGTCTCGTTTTTACTCAACATCAACTTTTGTACACGTCAGCTTTAGAACTATGGAGCGGTAAATGTGTCAAAAGTAATTTTACCAACGGTTGGTAAATTTTTTATCACCGGTGGTATAAGTACTGAATTTCAGTCCTTGTGCCAGTATAAACACTAAATTTCAATCTTTATGCTGCGCTATACTTCATTAGTAGATGTTCAATCATGAATGCCAACACTTATGAAAGTTTCCCACCGGTGGTAAAATACCTGTCACCAATGGTGAAATTCCCCACCGGTGGACAATAGGACTCATACATTGGCATTATATAGCCCCTTTTGGCCAAAAGGTCTGTGCTTTTATCCATTATAAGGTATAAACGACGGTATTATTTTCACCACCGGTGGTAAAACGATTTACTACCGTTGGTAAAATTACTTTTGACACATTTACCGCTCCATATAGGACTTCCCTTCATTTGACATAGAAGAGGATACTAACCTCACTCGGTACTTGCAGATACATGCCCCGCCTTGTTTTTTTTTATGCAGAGACAAGCCTCGAGACTTATATCCTTCTATAAATTGGAGAGCACTGTCCTGTAGTAAAGGCCGGACGTCAGTTTCAGCACTGGCTGTCCAGAACGAAGAGATGTCAACAACATGGTATTGTATGAAGCCCCCTGAGTGTCAGCTGTAGTCAAAGTCATTATGATCGTTATACTGAATAAAACTGTTTCGGGGTTTAACAAGATCTGATCTTATACGAACTTAAATTATATCAGATAATAACGGGCTACTAATGATCTGTACGTCAAGGGTTTATCGAATGTATGTTGAACCAACCCCCCCCCCCCCCCCCGGGGGGGGGGGGGGGGAGGGGTGATTAGATACAACGGGTTGTTGGTAATAGAGACTTTTATTGATTAAATATTGGTATTGGTAACAGCAGCGCGGTTTTCAGACAGTGAGCAAAAGAGAGAGAAGGAGAGATATGCGGAGGTAAGGAGCAGCAGTGCTATATCATCTACCCTAAGTCCGTCCTATCGTTTCCATATTCCCATTTGCTACAACAATTCGCTGTCGGACGCAATTGTAATGTGGCCTGCTAAAGCGACGAGTTTTCCCTACAGTACGAAAAAAAGGAGGTGGGATCACTATCATAGCATTACCGATATACGTGGATTATAGGAGTGATACCGTAATTATATAAGTGTAGCATTTTGAACAATATTTATATTTCAGAATACCGAATTTGAAGAAATACGGTAAGAATACGGTAGTTGCCAGAACACGTATTCCAGAGTATACTGGATTAGTGGCAATACCGAACTTTACCCACTACAGTAGTACTCCAGTAGAACTACAGGATATAACGTGTTTCACCGGGAAAGCGATCGTCACCGGGAAAGCAATCAAGGGTGACAACGGATCATCCAAGGTTGCTGAAGAAAGTTGAATATATACACAATTACAGAACCAAGTAGCCAGAAGTGTTATTTAGATGTCTCCCAACTATTTTTCACATCATTTACCTCTATCTAGCAAGAGTATTGCTTTAGAGAGGTCATTGACTGGGTTAGGGGGTGTAAGCTTTATCGACTTTACCAAATTTTGGTTTCTATTCATTATATAACTCCAGCATTCGGAAAAGACACAGAGAGCCCTCTTATATGTGCCTGCCCTCATATATTTTTGTTTTGATGCCCACAACCTCTTTTTGTGAGGTGAGGTTGCTTTCCCAGTGATGATCGTTTTCCCGGTGTAATACGTTACAGATATACTTAAAATTTTCATCACCTAACCCTAATTCCGCATTTCAAGCTTGAAGCATCTCAAATTTGACTATCACCAGATATTGATTTATCAATAGACACCTGTAGGTTCATCCTCTAATGATGGGCGTTCCAGAACTGGGATATAACTATTAAAAAATGAATTTTTTTGATCTAGGCATGACATCTCACATGAAGAAGGAATAATCCTCTCAGGTAATACAATCCCCTTAGGCGATGACGATATCAATTACAACCATCACCGGTGCAGACTTAATGATGATGGCGATGCATATGGTGATGTTAAAGTGTACAGGCAGATCCATGTATGTACATGACTGTGGCAGCTTGCTACAAGTAATGGGCTAGGTATGAGACTAAAGGCAAGACTAAACCCAAAACAAGCAGAACTAGTCCTAATCTGCTGTACCGGAAGGCACTAATTGGTATTCGTTGCAATATATATTTCTCCAAATGCCGCCATAAATCGGTATTGGAAAGAATATGGTATAGATAAGAATACTGTAGTACTACTGTAGTGTTACTGTAGAGATCCCACCCCCTTTTTTTAGTACTGTGCTTATCTATATGCGTATGATATTGCGTACGTAGAGCCGTCCTCGGGTACTATGGAAAACTCTAAAAATGGTGGGATAAAATGACTACGTATGCAGTGTACCTCTAGGCGTCTCGGGCGGCACTGAACGACTACAAGACCTCCCGAATTATGGAAAAGTCATGTTGACGGCGGTAGATATTAAATATACAAAGAATATGTCCAGAATCCTTGCCACAGAAAACTAGGAATAAGAAAAAAAAGGTTAGGGGGGCCAGTAGAGTAGGAAAAGAGTATATGTTGTTTCACTTCGAACTACCTCCCTCCCCGCGACTATTTGCGCAATTGTTGCTATTTGCCAGAGGGCATGTATGCCTCTAACGAGTAGATCACACATATGCTGCCCAACCTGGAAATCCGTTAGTTGATTAGAGATTTGAGGCTGTACTTGAATTTCTCACCTGCATATAGTACTGCTAGGTTTCCGACATCGGTCGCCTGCTGGATAAGTTCGTTGACGGTGGCCCCTACACTAAGTGTTTTTGATAGTTTTTTGGCCACTACCGTCAATGCACGGTCTGCTTCTGATTCACCCTCTTCTTTCTCCGGGTTAAACACCCGCTCAACTTGCGGTTCTTCCTCCTGCTCCTGCTTCTGCATCCTCTTCATTCTTAGTGGAGAAATGGTCCTATGGTCTGTTAGTTCGGCACCATCTTGGGGGTTTTGTCATTCCCACCAACTATAGAGGGGATCATATCGCAGCACATCTAGGATTGTGGTGATATTATAAGACTCGTTTCGAAGCACCGTCAGGGTAAATTCGCAGCACCGCCTGAAAACGCCCTCCGTCTTGGTAATGCCCATACCGTCTATAATATCGCGAGTAAGTCGAAATGGGACCACCTCTGGTACCGGAAGAATCCGCCCCTAGATATTTTATCAATTAGGGCAGTAAGGTTAATATTAGATGTATCGGTTTCTTACTTGTTCAAACGCCACACCCAAATCAATGTGCACGACTTCACCGCTTTTCTCATCTAATAAGATATTGTGGCCATGCCTATCTCCAAGACCCAAAACATGTCCTAGGATTGAAGTTGCAGCTGTACTTCGGCTATAGGCCAGTCTAGAGGTGAACCAATCATCCGGTCCATTGAAGTTGTGCATGAAGAAATATCGCATGACAGGCCTGAATCTCTTCATAACATCTTGGAACACCCTCACTCGAAATTCGCGGGACTTGAGTTGCAATTGTGCCTCAAATATCACTTTCCGGCAAGATAAATTCTTTAGATCCCTTGGATGGTAGCTTTCATGGGCTGGTAGCAAAAAGTCGTGAAGGGGAATCGTATTGGGTACAAATTCAATTATCCCGGAATCGTGAGTAAGGGGAACGACTTTGTATGTTCTGATGCCGAGATTCCGTTGGCGTGTGGTACGATTCTTTTTCAAAAGATTGCTAACTTGTTCAAAAACCTGTTCCATGATTGCATCTTGTCGAAGGTCGTCGGGCCCTCCTTTGAACTTCCCCTAGGTTTAGCAAGAAATCTTATTACACTAGGCGGTAAGTAACTCACCAGCATCTTGTATCTTACTCCATCTGAAGCGCGACAGGAAACAATCTTTGGGGCGCTGAGTCCTGATGCCATAGTAAACTCCGGCTCGAATTTCTCAATGACGGCTAGGTTCGTATAATTGCAATCCGCCCTGATAGTGATTTGCATTGTAGGCGGGGGGATTTTTAGACTAGGAATTTCCTTCATAAACTCCGACTGAATTTCCGGGCCGAGAACTCTGAACGGAATTTTGCCTGTCTTTGTATCTGGTTTATATTGTTTGAGGGAGATAGAGATGTAGGCTTTTGTTGAATTAAAGAGCTTTCCAAAAATCTCTCTCGTCCCTGCCCCCGCACCAAGTTTACTGATTAACTTAACAGCTGCTGCGTCCCGTTTCTCCGAACCGGCGCCCTTAGGTGATCGACCGAGGGCTAGAATCTGATAGGTTCCGTGGTGTGGATGGTTCTTACATATCCGGGCAATAAGAGGGGATAGAAGTTTTTGAAAATCGTCTCGAACGTCAAGTAGTCTGGAAGAAAGCTGATTCATAAGAGGTACAAACTTTCTAGAAGGAACTTCTGCGAGAGGTCGTTTAGCTGCATTATTGACCTTAGTATCGCCGGAATGTTCTAGCCAAAGGGCGCAAAACCGGACTGCATCGTTATCATAATCATCACAAGCTGCGAGGCAACGAAGATAGTTCTCAATACTCTTCTCAAGGAAAGCATCACTATTCTCTCGAAGTTTGTTCAACTCCTCGTCATCCAGACTCAACCATAACGTGGCATTGTCAGTCATCTTTTCCAGTCTCTTACGTGTATTACCGGCTGGAGTCTTGCGTAGTATCTTACTCAGCTCTTTCACTTCAGCTTCTTTATTTTTTCGAAGCTTAAGTGCTCGACGATAATCCTCAATATTACCAGGGTTTTGTAATTGCTGGTCGCAGAATGATGCAAACTCATGGAAGACTCGTCCAGCTTCTCGCCCAGAAAGATTTCCCTTCAGTTCCTCAATGGCAGGGCCTAGATAGGTACTCATGATCTTGTCTGGCTTCTCAAGACGGGCTTCGGAAATCCAGTTACCCTTCGAATTGTCAATTTTTGCCAGCAACAGCAATATGGCCAAAAAAAAAAGAAGAAAAAAAAAGACCACTTACCAGTTTTGCCAATAACTTTGCTCGCCCGGTAACAATACTCTGCTGATTGATGAGATCGTCCTCTTCGAGAATTTGTAGCATCTTAATTGGTGGGACACCCCGTCCCTGATCCCACAAAACATTTGCGGCTTGCAAGGTTGCAACTGCATCTATCTTTAGACCAACCTCTTTGCAAGGGCCAACAGCTTTGCTCAACTGGGTTGCCGCTGATAAAGAGTGCTGTAGGACCTTGTGACTTCTTGCCATCTTACAGGTGTCAACTAATGCTTTCGCTTCCAAAAACCTAGCAGTTTTCATGTCGACGTGTGTAGCATGGCGAAGATGTTCTCGCTTGGCTAATGAACTGAATATTGTTTGGCGCATTGCCATGATTTCTTCAACGTCGGAATATCTGATAGTAATTAGCCTAGGTTGGAGGGGAGGTGGTGTTTCTATATAATATTACCTCCCAATATGCATCCAATTCTCACGCTCTTGTAATCGGTCCCAAACATTCTCCAATTGATCAGCCTCCTTGGAAACAAGTATTTCCTCCATCTCTGTGAGTATTGCGAGTGTACGCATATTAGCCCCAAGCGAATGCCCCGTTTGCTTCTGAGTAGTTATCTGGAGCATCAATTCCAGGAAAGATGAGTCTAAATGGGATGGAATTGCCCGCGTATCGACACTGTTATTTACTGATTGAAGAGTACGATAGACTATAGCTGATCGTGTATTACAAGACGAGGGGCATGGCAGATCCCATTGCTCCAGCTTCCATGCAGAACGAAACATATTATCGGTGGTTGATGCCGGGGCCACTCCACTCTGCAGGAAATAGTGCGAAAGACCGTTCATACCAATGGAATTAAAGGCATCCACAAGCCCTCCAACATCTTGCCCATTAGAGCTGGATCCAAGACGCAACTGACTTTCCAAATTTGCCCCTCTGAAAGATAAACTTTTCCATCCATCCTCTTCATACTCGAACTGGCTGACCGCAGTTTCAAGACTTGGTGGCTGTGCCACACCATAATATGAATCAGGATCATCAATGTTCTTGAAGATTTCAAGGAGGAGGTCAGATTCAGAAAATTCCGAATTGCTCTCTGAGTGATGAATTTCTGCGAAGAGGAGAGACGTTTTAAACATCTTACAGGTGCAAGCTGCATGTGCCATGTCTAGATAGTCGACATCAAGCCAATGATCACGAGGTAATTGTGTGTCCTCATCTACCATCGGCTGGGTGCGTAAATAAAGAATTGTATTGATGAGAATGATTGTATGCGGAATAGTTTTTTCCGTACACGTCTTGAAACAATCTCGAAAAAGTTGAGAAAGTTCCATGTGCAACTTTGCTGATCCATGATTATGCAGGAGTAATACATGCACAATAAATGGGAAAAGATCTTTAGCCAAACCTTCGACCTTTTCAAGTATTGGGCGTAGATTTTTAACTATAGCATCCTGCTGAAGGTTTGTTGATATCGCTGCCGCCAGATCTTTTATCCATACATCTACAGGCAATGTTTCTGGCCTTCCGACAGTGATGATAGGGCGAGGAACTTCTGCTTCTGCAAGTGAAGTTGGAAGGACTGCCCATTTAAGTGCCGAGTAAAAGTCTTCCTTAAAAACGAAATCAAAGGTTGGAATGTCGTTGGCCTCTGTTTCCTCAAAGAATATTGTCTCCAGAGTTTTTTCAGCGATACCGATTACAACCCTGTCTTCTCCAAGTAAAAGACTTCTTAAACGGTGAAGGATACCGGCCTTCGGTACAATATCCAAGTCATAACGCTTATTGTCAAATTCAATCATCTTTTCCAGTTCAATCTCTTGGGTCCATTCGTTATAAATTTCCCCACTTGCAGCATACGATCTTCCTAGGACCCTGGCACACCAGAGTAGAAAGCCTTGATTGACATCGAACCGACGACAAGTCCGAAGAAGCACCCTGGAAAGTTCTACTGAATCTTGATCCTCTCCAAAAATATCGTCCCGAAAGCTTTGTGGCCTTTGAAAATCAGAACATACAAGGGAAAATGCTAGGCCCCTGGACACATCGTCTAATAGGCGATTTTTGCTGCGATCATCGTCAAGGAGATGGCGTAATAGGTCGCTCTCTTTGGTTCGGGCTGAAGCATTGCCGGACTTAAACTCAATGGCAGCCTCCACGATGGATTGGAACATCTGGTTTTGTTGGGAACTAAGCTCCGTGAATTCATATTTAAGAAGAAAGCTTCCAAGCCAGGAACGAAATTTACGAGCAGCAGAGTGACTTGCATAAAGTTGGCCATCTATTTTTCCACGATAAGATGTAGGTGCGGGAATGAAAGCTCTCAAGGGTGCTAAAATAGAAAGGAATGTGCCAGTGACAAAAGCAGGCTGCCGGGAGAGATAGTCTTTGCTCCTGTCAAGAAGATACTGCAAAACACCTATTGCATCTTCTGTGCAGTATTTATCGACAATGAACGGTTTAAGCCCATGGACAACCATCTCCAGGGCATAACCTCTTAATGCCTGTTCACGTGCCAAACATACGAGCAGTCTAATCTTTCGTAGAACTGCACAGGCATGCAGCGACCCCAATGCGGGGTCCATCGTGTCAAAAAGACGGCGGACCACAAAAGTGAACATTGCAGGGGACCAAAGACGGGAATCGTCGTACCCAACCCTAGTACAAATATGATGAACAGAATTCAAGATAACCTTCACTTTAAAGAATGGTTGGAGAGGGTCGGGAAGCTTTGCTGTCGAATGACTTATTCCAGTAATGCCTTTCATAAGATCACGAGCAACTGAAAAATTGGGATCCCTGGCCAAGAATTTCTCTGATGTGCCATCTTCTTGCATGATTTGGAACAAGCAGGCAATGATAAGAGCAAACTTTTTCTCGAGTAGTGTTTTATACTCGTTGGCGCCCATATGCTTTCGAATCCGCATATCAACCGACTGGTATCGGTTGTTTTCTTTTGGAGGCACTCCAACTGCCCATGCCGCACCATAGGCAACTATTTTGTGAAAGCCTTTCTCTAATAATTCATCGTATGTAACCCCCAGCATCAAGGCAAGCTCTTTGGCCGCATTATCCTTGCCCCTCATCAAGAGTTGAGCGACGAGATCCTCTTGAATGTCTGAGAACAGATCTTTATGACTTTGATATCCAAATACACGGAATGGAAACACGGCCAAATCTTCGTTTTCGATCCAGGTATAAATTATTTGCGGACTAAATTTTTTGAATAATGAACGGTGATCACCGAGCTTCAGTGATTTCGCAACGAATGAAAGAGATCGTGCTGCATATTTCACCATGCTCTCAAGTTGGCCAGTGTCGAAAATGTGGTAAACGATCAATTTGTTCATTGAAAATGTTGTATCTGCGAGTTGTGACAAGGTGTAGACGCGCATCGACAACCCCTCTACCCACTCAACTTCATCCGTGAGATGTTTAAGGAGATCATCCATGACTATTTGATGAGCTGCAAGCCCGTAGATTTTGAACAAAACCGAGGTACAATTAGCCATAAAGAACGTTACTCGAACATCTCGGTCCTGTAAACGTTTTATAAACTGTGATCGGGCTGAAGTGCTATTAGAGTTCTGCCCATATCCCGAATTCACTTCAAGCATGCGCCGAAGTAATTGGGCCATTGAAGTTCGTATGGTATGGGAGAAAAGAGATCTTTCAAGTGCAACTTTCGCCATCCACCCGTAGATTTGTTCGCAATCGGCGGCAAGCTCGCCGCCTGCCTTGTCAATAGCCCATCTGCCCACAAAAGCACTTAAAAGGTCTATACAGAGCGCTACCGCTGTCTCACACCGGTCTGTTTCATAATCCTGAAGAATACTGCCGCCCACATGTTGTGTTAGCTGATCGGCATCGTCATCTTTGAGGCTTGCTGCAGTGAGGAAATCCCGAAAGAGCGGCCGACACATTATTAAGCGAGAAGTTGGTAGCTGCTGAAGATAGCCTGCAAAACTTCCGCAGATCTCAGGTGAGGTTTCGAATTGAATTGATCTTGCGAAGAGTGCGAGTAGAGCTGTAGTTGAGTATCGAAAGGTTTCTGGAGAACACATTGCTTGAACCTCTTCTCTACTCAGTTCCCCATCCTTTTTATCCCCAAACCCACGAAGCTCCATCCCAAAGCCATCATCCAAATCCATCTTATCATTACCCCCCTCTGTGACTTCAATTATCGCAGAATTTCTTACCTTATTTTCAAAGGCTCTGGAAATAGTGCACAACATATTACCAAAAAAACCTTGAAAAACTTCTGGGATGGGGAAGGATCGATCAACTATGCTGGCAGGCTTTGGGAGGATCCCTGACATACATCTTAAGATGCCATCAAGATGTAATTCTCTGCAGTCATCTCGCTCTATGTATGAAGTGAGATATAAAGTTAGGATTTCAAGCTTCCTCTCGAGAGCGTCCACCTTCGTAGTATCTCTGGGCTTAATAGCGGAGCACATAATGCCTGCTGTGAAGACAAATCCAACATAATTTTGAACTATATCGGAGGATGGTTGCTGGATACCAGTCTGGGTCAACTGCTTCCACCTCTCGAGAATCCCTTCACACTCCCTATCTAGAAATTCGATAACCTGAAGTTCAACCCCTGGATGTGATACTGTGCCAACACCCGAAGACAGCTTGGGCGTCTTTAACTTGGGCGCGCCTACTAATTCGGCTTCGTTCCAGGAATCCAAAGTCTCTTGAAGCAGGAGAAAATCCAACAATTTTGAGCAACGTGCAACTCTAATTATTGCCTGTCCTACCAACCCATAGGTTCTCGGGCTATAAGAATCGAATTCCAGAGGCCTCTTCCCACAACATGAGAAGAGAAAGCTACAAATGTCCTTAGGGGTCCCGTGGTGTGCGTAGAAAGCAGCAGTAACACGCTCAAGAGTTTCCACTATATTCCCCTCCAAATAAGTCCAATATATTAATATAAGGCCATTAAGAAGTGCTTACCAGGTCTCCACTTTGAGATGAACCATTGAAAAAGTCGCTCCCCAGGTTGCAGCAACGATGAATGGGCTACCGTATTTCTCCTCTCGAGTATCAAACACCACACCGCCAATGAAGAATCTATGACATTGGAAGGGCCGCTCAGGTCTATAGAAAGAATTGTAGCATCGACCGATGCAGATATCTCAGAGTATGATACTAGATCAAGTGCTAGAAGAATGCGCATAAGGTGGCACGCAGCGCGGCAAGTTGATAGATTGGCCGAGTAACGGGCACAAAGATGCCATGTTTGATTCCATATTTGGGTATTTCCAGGATCTGAGGCAAACCGTAAAAAAGCACAACTGGAAAAAACTCCACATTAGCACAAAAAAAAAGAGAAAAGAGCGAAAAAAAAGAAGTATTATTTGCGTTAAATGCAAAGAGATGTGTTTGGGCCAACGGGTAATAATCATAGGGTAGTGGATTAGGGTTTCACCTTGAAATTGAGAGCATCGCCCAGGAGGAGATAACTGGACTGTCGTCGGAACACACATTCAAAAGATCAGTGATCAAAGACGAAAATCCCTCGAGGTCTACAATCTTCCGTGATTCCCGAATCAAAAATGGCAACGTTTGAAGCGCGCAGATTTTCCGTGTGTATATCGTGGATTTCGCATTCATCAGCAGCTCATCAAACTTTGTAGAGACCTTTCTTCTTTTCGAGCGATCCTGATCATCATTTCTGTCGAGATCCAGGATTTCTATGAGCATGGCCATTAAATACGGAACTGTCCATTGTTGCTCAATTCTTGAAGGAACATCGCTTCTCAAACAATATGCCGCAAGCGCAAGCGGGGTTGCTTCAATGTCCAAATCCTTGGACGGATCCGGAAAGCAGATGTCTTCCAATTGCAACTGATCACGCTCTGCTCTAGCTGAGTATTCAGTAAAAATAACCTCCGAAAGAGCCTCAATCCTTCTCCGAAAGTTTTTCTGGAGGGCTCCGGTTAGACTACGCATAAGCTTTCGGAGGTGTGGCTGGATATAGATCAATGTGATCATCATTTGCTCTTTGGGCGACTTTGAATCCCACATTTTTGTAATTACCGGCACAATGGCTTCGGCGACTTTGGCCGAAAGAGTTATGTTGTTCGTAGTAACCACTTCCAATATCGAATTCAGCGCCGAGAGTACATCCTGGTGGACACGGGTTACTGTTGACTGCGACGTTAGAAAGCCTAAGATGGTCCGACAAGTCATTTCGTTCGTTGCCACCACCGGGGCGTTTGGGGTTCTTAGAAGAATTTGGAGACACAGCAATAACTGTTCACTATGATGATTCAGCCGCACACCGGTATGAGTGGAGGAAGGTGTGCCTTTTGACATTGACGATGAATCTCGCGCCAAGCTAGGCCTGCCGCCCCGTACAGATAGTACTGAATCACCCATGCCTTCATCACTATCAACGTCCATGTCGACATCGCCGTCCTCCTCGGTGACAATTCGTAGCTGGGACTCTACATTTGTACAGCAAAAGGTGGCAATCATTTCCCAATCGTCTGGCGCCAAGTGTTCTGCATGTGGTGCATACTCGAGACAAGACCGTAGTGCTCTGAGGTAATCGAGGCTGATCGGCTCGCAAAGTCCGTCTTTTTGAGGCAGTATATCGATAATGTGACTGTAGACAGCTTTGAACGTCTTGGTCTTGATTTGCTTCACGCCGAGCTCCACGGCTAGCCTGAAAACAGAGCCGCAAAGAGAAAACCGGCCTATAATTATCGACGAAGGCTTTTTTTGCCGTGTGTACAGCGCCTTTTCCTTCAAGGCTACTTCGAAGATTGCTTCAAACATCTTGTGGTAGCCTTTGTCACCGAGGTCTTTGCTACTCAAATCAAAGCGTAGTTCAGTAACACCGCGTACCAATATAGGCCGGTGGTTTCCATACCTATTTTTGCTATGCGAAAGGATTTGTTTGAGCTCTATACGACATCTAGTTAGTAAATGTGAATTTTGGATGGGTATGACCTGTATGTACCGGCCAAACCGCTCGAACGCTCCGGGGGCTTGTCGGAGGATATCTTGTCTGCGAATATGTATCAGTATAAATTGTGCAACTTTTCAAGCTAGGAGGAAGCACCATATGTATCCAATAAAACTCTGTCCGCCATCTTTGACATGGTGCCGGTGAGACTACAGCTGGGAGCTGGTGCGGTATAGAGAGTGTTTTTTCCCTCAAATTCTCCAAAGAAGATTTAGGGATGAACTGTAACTGGGGTGGTATAGTGGGGTGAGACAGGTAACTGGAGGTTCTGGAATGTTTATATCGCTGTGTGAGTGGTAGTTGGATGAGGCTCCTTGGGTAAGTTTGGAGACGAGTATAGAGGCCTTAAGTGGCTTGGCATTGCAACCCCACGCCTTGCCTATCTCGACCAGATAATAATCACCACTGCTACCTATCTGAGTTAGAATGGTAGGGCGGTAACAATCAGGTCTGAGCAACAAACAATAAGGACAAACAAGGCATCAATGCGATAAGTACATAGTGTAGCATCCTTGTGTATATACGAATATGGATGCTAGTAGCTGGGCAAGATTCAAAAAATTGATGAAAAACGCAATAATTCTCTTGTGCCAGCTGAGATAGATCTGGCTATAGCTATTAGATTCGAGAAGTTTTGCTTCATTTTATTACTACATTTAGGCTCTTAGTCAATCCCTCAGTATCTACGGTGTGGATACTGCCTGTAGGAAAGGATATAGGGCGGATACATGCGTAATAATGTATGCGCGCTGGAATTGGGATCCCTTCACGGAAAGCTAGCTGAGTACATGTATTAGCCGCATGATTCAATCATACATCTCTGAGGTTAAACACAGACAGGTACATCTACATGTATGTATAGTTCTAGGCCATAAATCATGGGAAGGCGCGGCGTAGCAACCTCCCGGGCCACCACGACTACCCACCCAGCAACCACAATTGATCCTTTGGAGAGCTGGTTTTTCGTATAGTTGTTAAATAGTAGCTAAATAAAAATAATTTGACATTTAATATCTTGTGTACCAACCCCCTTGCCTTTATAATAGCTCTATTCTCCTAGGCATGCTCTCAACTAGCTACCAAATAAATCATCAGGTAACAGTTCCCAGCAATGAATTAGACCTTCCTCCATGAGGGGCTTTAATACTTAAGGTGATCTAGTACCATATGCTAAATGGGGGTACTGTTGATGGTAAAGCATCTTGAGGTGTACCCAAACATGTTCAATGAGATGGAATAGGCAAGCCAGTCCTCCAGAACATCTACCCTATTCTCCTCCAACCAGAGTTGTAAGACTCCGGTTTTTTGCCACAGCAGGGAGGCTGGTCATTCCCTCCTAGCTGTCTGGCGGGGTACATGGTCTCTGGGCGCCATCGGTGGTGGTGAAAGATTTTGTGTTCAGGCGTTGCGTGCGACCTCGCGCCCCTCGCGCCTTCCCATGGTGCTGTACCTTAAGCTGCTCAACTTAAACAAAGACACTTATAGTACAAGGCTCTGGCATTAAGTGAGCGAACTAAATGGGGTATTGGCTGGTAAGGATCCGTTCACTCACTTAATGCCAGAGCCTTGTATGTACTGATTTTGAGATATAACATCGTCTGCCACTTGATACCGTACTGACTAGAAACAGCCAGCAGGTACATACTTGTAGCCTCGCAACCTCAATTGCAAACTCTCTATGTACACCTCCCACAATTGAAGCCTGTACAACACGAGAACGTTCTCAGTCACAAACTTAACAACCAATCCTCTGACTCATTGAAGTTTGTAGATCCCGACGAATAATAGATTGTAGACAGAGTAAATACTTGTATATAAGTGACTACAATATTAATTGGATACAGTCATACATATAAGGAATAAGGGTATTGTCACCCCAGGAACGCGACCGGCCAGACAACAACCACAAGCTGAGCTTAGGGCGCCCATATCTATCTCAGCACAGTACCATCCCGCACCCTCTCGTAAGCCGCAAGTTTTACAATCCATAGACACATACAGCCATAGCCGTAGCTGGAACCGGAACAGAAGCCAATCCAGATCCCCCAAACAACTCCGCCTTCCCCCAAAATTTACCTCAAGTCGTACTTATTATATGTCCAGCAACCCCCCCGTCGGAGTGTTAGTTGTCCCATTTGCGCATTCTAGGTTAAGCTCACAACCGGCGCTGGCCCCCCGATGGGGGAATGTTCTTACTGTGTAGCCCGGCTCCACGGGTTTAACTGCATCGCACGTATACCTATATCTCCGGGCCCAGGAAGGCAGGCCCCGCAAGTACACAAGCGCACAACTTTAAATGTTTGCGCAACCCGGGATTCCGCGCTTGTGGCGCAGCTTCTGTGTATGGCGGCGGTCCTCGTTGTTGGGATATGTCGGTGCTGCATACATATTGGTTTCGGAACTCCGGACAAGGATGGATGGCGAGTGATATCCTGTGCACAAAGGACGATTAAACAAAATTATAAAGAGCCAAGCACTAACAATGTTGATGCGCAATATCATGATATCCAACAAGAAAGAAACTTTTAATTTTCAACGAAGCCGCTATCTAGGTATTTATCTAGGTATATATATGTATGATCGTAAAAAGGGACAAGCCAGAAGCCACCACCACCCCACGATCTAAAAACACAAAAGGCAAACCCCCGATATCCCCTCTACCCATCCAAGACCTCCAACAACCCACCCACAAGATGCAAGCTCCCCGTCACAAACACCTGCACCTCACCCTTCGCGCTCAGCTCCCCCACGACGCCGACCGCCCCCTCAATCGTGGCCCCGACATGCGTCTCCGCCTGCTTCCTCCACGCGGCGGTCTGCTCCTTCCACGCCGCTTCGAGCGTCTTCTGGACTTGCAGCTCTGAGACCTGTGTGGGGTTCGTGTTCATCGAGACCAGGTCGGCCTTGTAGCCGGCGTCCTTCCAGGTGACGTTTGTGCAGAAGATTGCGTGGTCGAAGGGTGAGACTGCGGCCAAGGAGGTGGCGAGGGAGCAGATCAGTGCGGTGGAGTCGCGGGTTTGCTGGTTGAAGATTAGGACTCTTGTGGTGGTTGCGTTTCTAGTAGTGTTAGCTATGGGGAAGGCAAAATAGTAAAAGAGAGGGAGGGATAGAGGGGTATTTACTTATCAACTCTACCAGAGAACCATTCACCCGCTACAGAAAGCGACTCAACGGTATGCGCGCCGTCGATGCACCACTCCACATTCCCCTCCACCTTCACCTGGCACCTCCCCGGCCACACGACCTCCTCCAGCCCCTTCCTAAACCGCTCCGGCAGCACCTCAGTCTCCACCGGCGCGCCCAAACACCCCAAATGCTCCGCCGCAATCGCCACCGCCAGCGACGCATTCACCTTCTGATACTCCGCCGGCAACCCCAGCCTCACCTCCCCGCTCGTAATCTGCGGATGCACGCCCACCACGGTGACCCCCGCCGCGCCCCTCTCCTCCACCCTCGCCCGAATAACGCCCAACGCGCCCTCCGTCTGCGGCGCCGTAAACATCGGCCTTCCCGCCTTCAGGATCCCCGCCTTGTGCCACGCAATCTCCTCAATCGTGCCCCCGAGCACGCCCACATGGTCAATCCCCAGGCTCGTGATCCCCGTCACCGTCGGCCGCTCAACAACATTCGTAGAGTCATAACCGCCGCCAATGCCCACCTCCAGGATCGCCGTGTCCACGCCCTCGCACAGATACGTATGGAACGCCACGAGCGTCAGGAACCGAAAGTACCCCGGCTTCGCAGCGGGATCGTGGCCCTCGGCGCGCGCCGACGCCTCCATGCGGTCCCACACCTCGAAGAAGTACCGCGCGAAGAGTTCCTCGGGCAGCGCCGCGCCATTAATCTGGATGCGCTCGCGCACGGCGCGCAGGTGCGGGGAGGTGTACATCCCGATCTTGGTGATGGGGGAGGGCCGGTACTGGGAGAGGATGGAGGAGATGAAGGCGCATGTTGAGCCCTTGCCCTTTGTGCCGGCGATGTGGATGACGTTGAGCTTTGTGAGGTCGGAGGGGGCGTGGCCGATGCGGCGGAGGGACTCGACGACTTGGGCGAGGAGTTGGGAGTCTTGTTTCTTTGTGGAGGTGCGTGCGGACTGGAGGGTGCTGAAGTTGGTTTGAAGGGTGTTGAGGGCGGTGACTGCGTCCTGGGTGTGCGGGTGGGGTGCGTTAGTGGGTGATTGTGTGTGTTTTTTTGGTGGGTGGTGGGGTGCTCACGCTGTAGGTTCTTTGGGGGGGAGAAGAGGTCGTGGTGGTGGAGGGGGAGGATGAGGTTGCCATTGTGCTGCGGTATCTGGGAGTGTTGATGTTGTTGGTGCTGATGCGAATACTGATACTGATACTGATACTGATACTGATGCTACTTCTTGCACTTCCAGCGAAGGAGAAGAAGAGAGTTTTTGGTGGAGATACCAGTTTGCAAGCAGCAGAGAGTGTGAGCAAGCGGGAAGCGCTGGTGTGGGGTATGATGCGGGGGAGCATATACCGGCAGCTGTGGTTGGCTGGTGAGGCGCTGTGGGAAAGAAAGCAATTATGATAATCTATTATCTATGCGACAAGGGTTGTTGGGTTTGTGTGAGTGCGATGTGAGTGAGTGTTTGTGATCAGTGGACCGTTGCTTGCTGGTTGCCTGCTGCTGCTGCTGCTGCGACCGAGTAAGACTTGGTGATGCAGACAGAGAAAAATTTGAGGTCCCACTTGCAGTACTTTTGGTACTGGGTACCGATAAGCCTCTGCCCGTCCGCAGTGGTGTCCGGCCACTTGGGTGGAGTTGGGCCCTGGGACTCTCACTCCCTGGCCGCAGCCAATCGGCGCTGTACCCTAGACGTTTAACGGTTCAAGAGACAACCCCGAGGCCTGTACCTAGCAACAGTTATCGGTGCTTGCTTTCAAAGCAAAGATCCTCTACATACCATGCACAGGCGACCCGGAACTCCTTCGATCACTTCACGCAGGTACATGTGTGCCAGTCTCGCGTAACTTTGATCGTTCGGAGGGATTAATAATTCCGACTTCCTTATCTGGGCTGTGTGTGCAAAATGTCCCCGTTCAAGTAACTAAAGGAGGTTTGTATTCGTCCGAATAGAGTTATGTCGATCCTTCCCATGGGGCAATTGTTCCTCCGCCTGCCTCATGTCACCGACCTACCGCAGTACTCTACGAGTCTACTCATACGCCCCCCCATGCCCGATCCCTCATTCCACTCATTCCACCATCCATATCCCCCACACAAAGCACAGAGATTAATTTATACCTATCTCTATCTATCTATGCACATAATGTACGTACGCCGGTATAAGCTGATAGGTACTCCCCATCCCAGTCAGTCACTACCAGAGTCAAGAAATAAAAACCCGCTTTATAATCACTAGCTTATAAATTGCCCGCCAAAAAATATATCCGCCCACTTTCTTGTGTCACTGGTCGTCAAATTAACAATTCTCTCCACATGTACCTACTATTAACGAACGACCCTGCCATTGAGGCCAAAAAAAAATTGATGTTCCCGCCCTGCTAGCTCCGGAGTTAAATAAAAAACTAGCTAGGGTGTATATGCGAGTGCATATACAACAAGTGTTAACTGTTGTTGTCTAATTGCATGTGTTATGGCATCATGGGCTCGGTGAAAAGCTACTCCATTTTTTTCTTTCTCTTTGCGCCTAAGACTAGTGGAGTGATTGCTAATGCTTTGGAGATGTGGGGGGCGTATGTATATAACGGGGCCCATATTCCTGCTCCGTGATGTCTATCTGATTCTACAGCGTTGCAAGTCAATAGTCACAAGTAACCCGATCATTGACCCTCTAAACCCACCTCTAAGAAATTAAAGAAAATGTCTACTGCAATCGACATCCTCTCCACCCCCGTAACGCTACCATGTGGGCTCGTAGTCCCAAACCGTATCGTTAAGGTACACACTCCCCCCACCTCCCCATAGAGAGAAGCGCCATCAAAAGACTAACCTATCCCCAGGGCCCCATGGCCGAAAACCTCTCATCCGGCACCTCCCACCACCCCAACGACCTCCTCAACACCGTCTACCGCATCTGGGGTGAAGGCCAGTACGGCATGCTCGTGACCGGCAACGTCCAAGTCGACCCGCGCTTCCTCGGCGGTCCCGGCGACGTCACCTTCTCGCCATCGGACCTCAAGAACCCCGTCGCCCTCTCGGCATGGAAGATCTGGGCACACGCCAGCCAAGACTCGGGCACGCCCACCATTGTGCAGCTGTGCCATCCGGGGAGACAGAGCCCGTTCGGCGCCGGCACCAGTGGCTTCTTCACAAAGAATCTTGCCCCGAGCGCGGTGGGGCTCGACATGAAGGGCGGCTTCCTGACGAAGGTGGCCCAGGCGCTGCTGTTTGGAACGCCCAAGGAGATGACGTTGAAGGATATTGATGAGGTGGTGGAGATGTTTGTGAATGGTGCGAGAATGTCGTACTTGGCGGGGTTTAAGGGTGTGCAGTTGCATGCCGCACACGGATATCTGATTACGCAGTTTCTGAGTCCTAAGGTATGTATACCCACCTACTCCCCGGAGGACATAGTAAGAAGAAGTAGAAACTGACGGTAAAAATTAGATCAACAGGCGTACCGATGCCTACGGCGGCACCCCCGAAAACCGCCTCCGCTTCATCCTCCGCATCATTGAAGAGACCCGACGCGCCACCAGCCCCGAGTTTTGCATCGGCGTGAAGCTCAACTCCTCCGACTACCAATCCATGGGCATCACCGACGAAGAGGTACTCGGTCAGGTCGCCGCGCTCGACGAGGCCGGCGTCGACTTTATTGACATTTCCGGCGGCACCTACGAAGACCCGCGCATGGCGCAGGAGTCGAGCGACAAGCCCGTGCGCGAGTCGACAAAGCTGCGTGAGTCGTTCTTCCAGGAGTTCTCGGAGAAGGCGAGGAAGGCTGTCAAGAATGGGTGCGTGATCATGGTCACGGGAGGGTTCAGAAGCCGTGTAGGTATGGCGGCGGCGGTGACAGACGGCGCTTGCGAGCTTGTGGGCATTGCGAGACCGGCGTGTTTGATCCCCGATGTGCCGAAGAGCGTGTGGTTGAACAAGGACCTGCCGGACGAGGAGGCGGTGGTGAAGGCTGTCAAGATCAAGGGCGGGAAGTGGGTCTCCAAGCTTCCAATCGTGGGAGTGGGGATGCAGAGTCTGTGGCATGGAATGCAAATCGGTAGAATCGCGGTTGGGAAGAAGCCAGACTTGGATTTGAAGATGTTTTAGATTGCTGGTTAATTGGGTTTGAGAATATTTGCAACTGGTCATGTAGAGCATCCTCTTCTTTCTTTTGTTAGCCATGTTTTTAGATTCATGTATTGGGGGTTTTCTTTGTTCCTTTTCTAGATATCACAGCACTGGCGGTACAGGTCGTATATAATCGAACGAATCAGAAAATAACCGTCCCAAAAAGATGTCAGTGCTGCTTACCATGAGATTCTGAATATCGTATAACAGTTGATAAGGGATGTGAAACAAAGACCCATGATGAGCCACTCGAGTGGCATGTAGCGCGCATGTTTCGATCTTCGGAATCAACGAGAGAGGAGACGGGAGTGATGAGCCGCTTCATTATTATCGGATCGTGATGAATGGGATGATCATTGCATCACAGGCAAGTCAGAGAAAAGAAAGAGAATAGGCCGTTGTCAATAGAACTACATAAGAAACAGGACAACAAAGACAAAGGACAGCAAGATAGCAGGGCAGGACCACGAACCCTTTACTGGCCAACCCGCCTATGAGCAGCCAACGTTCAACATTCATTCGTAGGCTCGGATTCTTACTGCTGAATGGATACATGTATATGCATCTCGAGGCGCACATGCACAAAGAACAGAATCGAAGTGCCCCAGTACACTCTGATAAAAAGGCCAGCGACGATTCGATCAGAGATAGCGCTGGATCTGATTCTATCAACAGACTTATACATAGAGAACCTCCCCTACATGCATCTATCACTATAGGCCCCATACCAAGTCACGTCTCTTCGGTCTGCCATCACCTTGCGACTTTAATTCTTCTGAGATACCAATTCATGTTTCCGAAATCATACTAATCTTCCTCCGGATCCGACTTGACATTCATATATCGCGTCATAGGAAATCACTCGATACCAAGAAACCACAAGTTGACTGCATTCGAATCTTGGAGTTGACATGCATGCAGTGTAAGAAAGTACTTATAAAATATTTTGTAAAATATAGCAGTGGGGTGCAAATGGGACACATAAAAATTATTTCCCCATGGCAGCAAGAAATAAGGTGATCAGTCTTATTTCCCCCCAAGGTGGGTGTCGAACACACGACCTGGCGGTATTCGGCACACTCAAGAACTAAGGTAGCAGCCCTGACGACTCTTGCGCCAGGCGTGATGGTGGCTCCCAGCCCATTTCCTTACTTGAGCCAACTAATGTAGGGTTAGGTGTATCCCTTTGGCCCTCAGGTCAAGTCTCAACTCATAAGTCTAGCCAAACCAGGCTCGAGTATACCATAACCGGCAATTCAAATAATGGATTTATATCAATAGAATGCTTTGGCAGGAATTTGAGAGCCTTTCGGAGCGGAAAGCTCCACATTGGGTTAGACTTATGAGTTGAGAATGGGCCTGACGGCCAAAGGGATTTTTTTTTTTTTAAAAAAAGAAAGAAAAATGTACGATGCCACGGATTTTTTTGTTATATTATATAACTTAAAGTACTTGTACAGTCGAATATAGCTATAAGGAAATTTCGAAAAATTGGGTCGGAACTAACCCTTATAGCGGGAGTACATTCCTTATGGGAAATTAGGTTAGGTCTGTATCAGTTGGTTTCCGGGTTAAGGGACTATAAATCAATGGAGACTTGGCCTTTCTATAAGAGATGTACGCACAAAAAAAACACTCAAGTTGCTAAGGGCAACGGGTTAGAGACTCTAAGGTCAAGTCTCAAGAAGCTTGAGGTCATAGAGGCAGCCTCCCTTTCAAATTGATTATGCATTACTGCCATTGTTTTACGTAACAGGGGCCTGCTGGTTAGTTAAGCTATACAGACTTTGGGTGTCACAAGCAATAGACGGACAATGATTTCTTGGCCAGGTTTTTGTGAACTCTTTAGAAACCTCCGTCCTTGGTTACCAGCCCATACACCCCAAACCCCAAGTTCCGCGGAAAGAAAAGCCAATGACCCAAAGAAACTTCTAAAAAATACCGCAGAAAAGAACTGCCACACAGCGCCAATTCTATCGCTATGTATATCTAGATACAAAAATTACTCCATCCCGAGCCCATGTCCCAATTACTGCCTTCACACCCACCTCAACCTACCGCTCTCTGCTCCTCCCCCTCCAAAAGCTGCTTCTCGCCCCCCTTCCCGAGGACCTCCTCCGCCTCTTCTCAAACGCCTCCACCATGATATTCACAATCTTCGGCGCCACCGCCCCGCTCAGCGCCGCATACACTGGGTTCTTAAACGCAAACTCAATGTGGAGCTCAACCTCACTTCCCTTCCCCTCGCCCCCCTTCGGCCTAATCTCCCACCGTGTCTTGAGCGAGCGGAAGAGCTCGTTCTGCGAAGCGTCCGCACGCACAATCAGCTTCGCGGGCTCGCACTCGACCTTGCTGCGGAACGTCTCGTCGTAGCTTCCCCAGCCCACGCGCAGGTCGGCCTCAGTGGGCAGGTTGTCGTGCGCAGAGTACTGCGTCACGCGCGAGCCAACGCAGTAGGGGAGGAATTTGTGGTAGCTGTTGATGTCGGATACGAGCGTATACAGCTGGCCGGCAGCGTACGGGAAGGACCGCACCTCGGAGAACTTTTGGGCGCCGCCGCTGACGCCGGCGATGTTCAAGAAGGTGCGGAGGAAGGGGGATTGGGGAGGCCGTGGGACGGTGAGCTTGGGGAGGCGGAGTGATATCCGGGGTGGCATGGCGGGCGGGTTGGGTTGGTAGGTTGGTGGGTTGGTAGGCTGGTGATGATCTGTGGTTTGGAGGTGGGGAATGTCTTACTTTAAGGACGTCAGAGGTGTTTCGGAAGGTAGCTTTACTTGGAGTAGTGAAGGGCTGCCAAGAGTTGTTTGGAGGCTTTTTGGGAGACGGTTTTTTGTTGAGCCTCGAAACAGAAGTGGAAAAGGTGTCAAGGCTATCATTGTTTCTGCACAGGGAAGAAGCTGAGGAAATGGTCAAATCGAATTATTGCTGCCTGCATGCATGCATCATAGTATTTAATGCGACAGTGATGAGTATGTAGAAGACATTCGATTCAACAAATTCAACTCCGAATCCGCGCGGAGCAATTAAGCTGTGGTTTGCACTATCAATTGTTAAAGCACAATTAAGTTCTTTTGCAAATCCACCAATCGAATCTGCCCTCCGCTCACACAGAATTATTATATGCGATCTGCAGCAGATAACTCCCAACATCCGTTTCATGCGTGTTTCAACGGAACAACGATTCTCCACCATTCGGACTCTGAGCCTCCAGGGATATTGTTCCGCACGTGTCAGTGAACATACATAAGAACACGCCGCATATTTCCACACATCCCAACAATTTGCATAGGTGCTCCGATCAATCCCTCAACTACTGACTGGGTTTAAAAAGAAACCCATCCCCCTCGATCCCTCCCCTCTGATCCCTACTACGATCACGTCTCCCTCCATATAAATATAAATAATTATCCCCAGAAATCTCACGATATCTAAGCAATCAATGGAGCGCTCACGAGCAAAGAGGTCCTTCAAGGACCAATAGTGAGTTTCCCCAATTAACTCTCGCCTATCACTCAATGGAAAACTTACTAAAGGCATATAGCCTTATCGCCTACAACGCACTCTCCTGCGTCCTCTGGTTCGGTGTTCTCGGCCGCACCATCCTTCTTCTCCCTCTCGTGGGCCACGAGAACGTCTATGGCGGTGTCGGCGAGTACACCAAGCTTACGCAGACCCTCGCGCTGCTGGAGATTGTCCACATAGTCCTCGGGCTCCTGCGCAGTTCGCTCTTCACCACGATTGTGCAGGTCTCGTCCCGCATCCTGCTCGTGTGGGGGGTCGCAAACCTCTTTGAGGCGCCTCAGGAATCGCTGGCGTACAGCACCATGCTCATTGCGTGGTCAATCACGGAGGTGTACAGGTACAGCTACTACGTTACGAACATTCTGGGCCGCACCCCCGGGTTCTTGACCTGGTTGAGGTATAACACGTTTTTTGTCCTGTACCCGTTGGGGGCGGGAAGTGAGGCGGTTTGCATCTTCCGTGCGTTGTCGGAGGCGAAGGAGTTCAATATCAACTATTACTACTTCTTGGTTGCGGTTTTGCTCACGTACCCTCCTGGTATGTTTCCCAAGTGCGGTTTTGTTTGCTGGACGAGAGCTGACTGGTGATGCAGGCCTGTACAAGCAGTACACCCACATGATTTCTCAGCGCAGGAAGAACATCAGGGGCAAGAAGAGACAGAACTAGATGCCTAAACCTCACTCTGCAAGTGCGCTTCGAAGGTCGATAGTAGTCAGGCTGTGTTATTTGGGCAGGATATTGGACACGTGGTAAGATGTAGGAGCAGAACTGAGATTTGTCACTGCGCTTCACATTAGATACCAAGGGAAATCTTTTGTTTTTACGCCGTATTATTAATGCTTCATCGACCGGTCCGTAGAAATATAGATTTCAAAAAGATTCTTGTCAAATTTTCGCTTGAATTTAGTCCTGAGTCGCATGTCCTGCATTTTGGTATTAAGAACGCCCTCTCTTCCCGTTCATTGTCTACATTCTTCCCTATTACTGTCTCCAAAAGTCCCGCAATCCATAAAAATTCGAAGTTGTGCGCTTAGTCTACATCAACGCCCTTCACTCTGAGCTCCTTCTTGGCCTGCTGGATTTCCTGCGATTCCACTCCGTTAGCTTTTGTCGCAAGAGGCATACATAACCCCCAAAACATACCGTAACAAGCTCATGGTACGCGGCCTCTGTGTCGTTAAAAGTAAAGATTCCCCATCCCAGGGAGAAAAGAAGATATGCGCCGAACGAAACGAGCGCCCAGAACGGAAGCTACAAGTCGCGCACGCATTAGCATAGCTCAGAGCCAATATTCAGAGCGGAGCGAGGTAGAACATACAACTGGGATAATCTCTTCCTGGACCTTTGCCGGAAACGGGATCAGGCCAAGAAACGCCGCGAGGTAGAGCTAGAGGAGGTTCAAATCAATACTCTATTCCACAAGATGTAGTAGATAGGGGGATACACACGGAGCTGAACAGCAGCAAGGCAGAGATGGTTTCGATCGCGCGAGTCATTGTAAAAGTTTTAAGATATAAACAAAAACAAGGTTTGTGAAAGGAGCGTGATTGAAAGCGGGTAGGTAAGTGTGTTGCAGGAGGATTGGAAAGATGCAAGTAAAGGAGAGTGATGATGATTTCCTGTGGCTGTTTCGGGGGTGGTTAGGTTAGGTGGCCCTTGCAGTGTTGGCACGCTAAGCTAACGTGCCCGTCAGCTGCTTCCCACGTGTGATAGCGAAACATCTTATATTTTTTGCTACCCCGCGATTGAACGCTGCAGCCATCATCATCACTTCGGTCGGTTTCTTACTTTTTCTAGCGGTACACGAAGCTTGTCGGATCGAAAAAAATGGCATCCCAGGACCCAGTGCAGTGCCTTACGGAGATATTCAAGGCAGAGGAACAAGAAGGCAAGGATTTGGTCCCGGTACTCGAGATGTTGAAGGCACTGAGGACTGGGGAGGATAAGAGCCCCGAGAAGGCAGAGGAAGACACGGAGAAGCTGAAGCAGGCAGTAAAGGCTTGTGCAGATGCTAGTCGTGATGGTAAGGGATTATAGGTTTTGCAGAGCTGCTATATTTCACACGGAGCACTCATAGCTAACTACAAGTGCCGTGTAGAGGAATGGCGTACGCCAATTGGCGAAGCTCAGATACTCACATTCTTCCAAAGTGTACTTGCATCAAACTACGAGGATCATGACATTTGTCTACACTCTCTCCGTCTTCTTGGGAACTGTTGCGCCGATAATGGTGATTCTTACCCTTCCCCGGTTGTTGGGAAAATCCTAACTCAAATCCAGACAAGAACCGCCAACGGGTTATCGATAATCCGGAGTCCCTTACCCCAATACTTGAATGTATAAAAAACTCAGATTTACAAAAAGTTGGGCTTATGGTCCTCCATAATATTTGCCTAGACTACGGTTTGTTCCTCGCCAGTTATGGAAGTAGCTTGGGTAAAGCTAACTCTTCAAGAGAGCCCTCCCAGTTGAAAGCTATCTCGGACGGTGCATGTCCTGTTCTACTAGAAATAATCGGACGTAAAGGGTTCCTAGAAGATGAGGAGCTTGACTACTTTGGCCGTGTCCTCGAGCTACTTCTTTCTCATGGTAAAAATCCACCCATGCCCTCGAGGAACTACCACTCGCTGACATAAAGTAGATGCCGGAAGGGAAACTTGTCCCTCTCGAGTCCGAAGACATTCCTCTCTCTCGCCATTTCCCCGCTATGCTCATTTGACGATCAGCTCTCACTCTCCACGCTAATGTCCTCACTCCTCACCTCGTCAGAATTCCAAACCACCCTAATCTCTTCTGACCTGTTCCCACAAACTCTCGATCTTTTCGAGAAGTCATTTACCCCCCGGAATCCGACTCGGAAAAGCAGGATGCTAAACTCATTGCCCACGCCCGCAAAGCTCTTCTAGAGAACATTGGTGACTTGTCCTCTCATAACGACTTCCGGGATGCATACCCTCTTTCTAGCCCGTCATCGCCCGCGTTCGGGGCTGGCTGAGCGAGACGGATGATGAGAAGATCGACTTGACTGTAGCTGCCTGTCTTATTCTCGGTAATATCGGTCGTAGTGATGAGGTTTGCAGCAGTCTGGTGCAGGAGTATGAGGTGCACAAAGAGCTGTTTGACATCATAAGACGTACGATCAAGAAGTACAACGACGCTAAAGCTGCGGCTTTGACTAAGAAGGAGAAGGCAGTGTCTATTCCAGAGGGAGAGGAGAAGCCAGGTGCGGGACAAGGTGCTGTGGCAGTGGGAGTTCTCCATGCCGCAACGGGAGTGCTAAAGAACCTTGCAATCGCGAAGACGAACAAAGCGGTGCTTGGAAGTGCAGGTGTATTCGACCTGATATGGGACATGTTGAGCATGGAGGGGGTGGGAGTGGGACAAGTTTGGTATTCGGCTGTTGGATTAGGGAGATTGGTCTGCGTTGATTGCAGTGAGTTCAGCCTCCTTGGTAGATGGCGTCATCAATAATTACTCACTAACTCATGCATCCTTCCGCAGTTGAAAACGTAACCCTCGCACTGCAGCCATCTCCTGAGAGAGACGAAAAAACAATTCTTACCCGCTGCCTTGAGATTTACAACACTGCGGAAGAACTACCCACCAGAACCGAAATCGCACGAACCATCGTTGCAATGTTCCGTGTTCTCAACGCCTCTTCCACTTACACTTCCGCCTCCCCCGAATTGGAGAAAAAGCTCTACACTCACAACATCGCGGCACCTCTTTGGGCTATGATAACCCAGGACAAATGGCCTGTCGTCCGCACAGAAGGGCTGTTTGGACTGGTCATCATGGCGAGAGGTGCAGCTGAGAGCGTGTGGATGGGATGCGGCGCGGAAGAGGAAAAGGCGTTGAAGGAGCTCAAAGCAAAGGACCTTGATAATGCCATTATCCTGATGTCTGAGATCAAGAAGAATCTGGGTGATGACGCGGATGATGGGGTTGGGGAATTACTGGGAGTCTTGGTGGAGAAGAAGGGGGGTGATGTGGCGGCGGAAAGTGTGGCCAGGCTGGCTATCTAATTATGAGGTGTTTAGTATTTGGGGGGAGATTACATAGTTTGAAGGTTTCAATTCATATCACTTTTTTTTTCCGCTAACGATTGCTCTTTCGCTACCGTAATTACGAACAGAAAGTAAGATGATGGGGAAGACTTTGCAGTGGATGAAGCTGATTTTCTCTCGGAACCCCCAGGCTCGTCTCGATATACATATTCCTCATGAGATTATACAATAGTACGGCGCCATACGAGGCTAGGGTTAGTAGGGATATACGCATAAGTATTGGCTGCAAGGTCAACTGCATGTACTTGCATGTTTTCCCGTTAATCCCAAGCACACTAGCTTCGATGGTGTAGTAATGCCATTGCTTCCTTGTGTTGATTCTGCTCAGGTCGAGTTAAGCAGGGTATCGAAGATTTGATTCCTCCGAGAGACTTTTTTCATTTTCATTATTTCTTTAACTTAGAAGAAGTGGCGCGGGAGACAGTGCCTGCTTTGTTGGTGAAGGACGTTTGATGTTGGGGCACCATTGCACTAAGAAGTACTTTATACACCTAACCCTACGCTGGCTGGCTCAAGTAAGGAAATGAGCTGGGAGCCACCATCACGCCTGGCGCAAGAGTCGTCGGGGCTGCTACCTTAGTTCTTGAGTGTGCCGAATACCGCCAGGTCGTGCGTTCGACACCCACCTTGGGGGAAATAAGACTGATCACCTTATTTCTTGCTGCCGTGGGGAAATAATTTTTTATGTGTCCGGTTTGCGTCCCGCTGCATCTTTTTTTTTTTTTTTTTTTTTTTTTTTGTATGTAGATTATCACATAAGCAGACAAAATGTACCAAGTACAACAGCTACAGCTACAGCTTTACGCCCGTGACTGGTATATACTTTGTAGGGATTAAAGGAACCTCTAGCTAATGACTACGATCCTCGCGAGCTCATTCTTCGACCTGCAGGCCTAAAGGTTATTGCCTCACAGGCCATCACTCGGGTATTATAATGATTTAGAAACCCTCGATTTGGCGAGCGGGTTCTTGATAGAAGTCAAGTTATGAATATCCTAAGGTTATTCTGATCTATAACCATTGTATATAGGCTCCCCAGGTGTGTAGAATAGATATCGATATTACTAGATAGACTCCAGCTCTGCCCATCAGTGAGGGTTTATGCTAGGTCCTTACCTCTGGTGTGGTGAATCACAGACGCAGCGATGACGATTATAATTGCTTTTGACGCTGTTGACTTTGGCTGGAGAAGAGATAGGGCGCTGTTTCGGCGATTATGCACCCAGGCTTCAACTGCTGGTAGGTGTGTTCGTATAGAAAGCCCTTTTTTCTGCGTACGTTTGGATACCTTGCTTTGCTTCTAGGAGGAAGCCAGGAAGAAAGTGGATGACTTATGGAGATGGAGATGGAGGAGAGGTTAGGGGCCGATATTGGTGGGAGTGTGCCGCGTGCGCTTGGAACATGGCGCGTCACTCGATACTCAGCGACAAGGGGCCTACACACTGCCAGGATGCGACCGTCGACACCATTTCTGCAGCAACTACGATCATTACCGCCCACCACCCAGCACAGCAATCATCCACTATTCACATTCACCCGACAATTAACAAAGCACAGCCATAAATACCCCCAATGCTGCCAATCTCGATATATTAAACCACGCTATCCATTCATTAGCCATTTTAAAAACAAGAGAAAAACTGCACACTCAATCTAGATACGTGGGCGCCAATAATACAAAAAACCACCACTACTCCTCCGTGAGAAACTACGCAGCAGGCACCTCCGTCCGCCGCCTCTTATCCCCATCCCCCGCGTCCTCATCCCGCCTCCTCGGCGGTGACCGGGCCCGCTTCCTATCCCTATCCCTATCCCTATCTCTGTCGCCATCGTCGCGCCGTCGGGGCGGTGACCGCGAGCGTCTTCGTTCCCGGTCTCTGTCGCCGGAGTATCTCTCTCGGCGGTCGTCTCTATCCCGCGGGGCGTCTCTGGCTCTGCGATCACCCCGTTCCCGGTCGTTGGGCGGCCCGCGTCTGTCTCTGTCGCCGTCTCTGGCTCCACTACCACGGTATCGGTCACCGCCCCTATCACCACCCTCACGGTCTCTGCGCGGTCCCTCTGGAGGTCGTCGATCGCCAAAGTCGCGGTCTCGGTCGTTTCTCGGCGGCGGCGGAGGGCCGCGGCTATCTCTTCCCCCCTCACCACCGCGGTCTCTCTGCCTGTCCTTATCCTTATCAGGCAAGAACCTCTCATCCTCCCTCATCCCGCCCATCTTCTCCGCCGCCCTCTTGTTACTCCCACTCTTCTCAAACCACGGGCTCCCCCCGCCCGTCAGACTCGTATCCTCGGCCGTCAAATGCGTCCACCGTGTCCTCCCCCTCTTCCCCACCTCGTCACCACGCACCTGCATATACTTTGGCAGCACATCCCTATTCTTGACCTCGTCCTCCACCGCCGCCGTCGCATAGTTCTTCTTCATCACCTCCGACGCATCATCCTGGTAGAACGCGCCCTTGTGGTAGTACTTCTGCAGGAACCCCATCTGGCCCCGGCTCTCCTTCTTCTCCTCCCGCTGCCGCGCAACATACTCCATGTCCTCGCGGCGCCGCAGCTCGGGGTCCATTGTGCGCCGCCGCTCAACCTCCTCGCGCTCCTTCTCGATGGCCTCGAGCGCCTCGCGCTCCCGCTTCACGCGCATCAGCTCGCGCAGCTTCCACGCTGCGCGCTCGGCGGCCGGGTCCAGTGCATCGGTGTCGTCGACGCCTGTGGCGTCCTCGTCGTCGTTGTCGTCCCAGCCTTTGCGGCCGGCGGCTTTGGCGAGGAGGTCGCGCTTGATGTGCTCCTCGAGGAGGGCTTTGGATTCCTCTTTTGCGCGGGCTTCTTCGTCGGCTTTGCGTTTCTGGATGGCCTCGGGGTCCTCGGCGGGGGTGTTGCGCTTGTTCTTGGGGATGAAGGTGGGGCGCAGGAGGAGCTTCTTGGGCGCTTCTTCTTCGGATTCCTCTTCTTCAGAGTCCTCCTCCTCGGTGTACTCGCTGCTGCTTTCCTTCTCCTCTTCTGCTGCAGCGGCGGCAGCTTCTTCTTCAGCGGCGGCGGCCTGCGCGGCGAGGGCGGCGCGCGCTTCTTCTTCCTTGCGGGACTGCTCGAAGCGTTTGTTGAGGTCGACCTTTTTGAGGGCGGAGGAGACGATGGCGGGGGTGGAGTCGGCTTTTGTGGTAGTTGTGGTGGTGCTGGGGACTTTGGGGGGCGCGGACTCGGAGTCGGAGGCGTCGCTGTCGGAGGTGTCGGAGGTGTCGGAGTGCTCGGGCGCGGTGGGCTTGCCGGGGCGGTAGCGCGCGGGCTTGACGGGGTTTGCGGTCATGCGTTTGGGCGGCATGGCGGCGGAGGGGGGGGGGGGGGGGGAGTATGGGGAGAGAGGAGTGTGTTTGAGGGGACCGAGGGATTGGGGATTGTATGTGTGTCTCTGGTGTCTGTATGATATATCTCTCTCTGGGGGGAGCTCTGGCTGGCTGTGCTGGACCGAGAGCTGCAGCTGAGAGGAGAGGGTTGAGGGGATAGAGAACTGCTGGACCGAGAACCAAGAGCTGTCAGCTGTGTCTTCTTTCTCTGTGACGCCCGATCTGGCTGAGGTCACACAACACTTCCCCGTTACCCGGCCGTGCAGAGCCGCACCGCCGCAGCGTTTCTCAAATCTTTTTTTTCTCGTTCAGTCGCAGAGAGAAATTGCTAAACACCACGACCAGAACCCGCAATTGCAGAAACCTCACCAGTCTATATCTTCTGATATAGCAATTACACACAATGTCCACCACCACCGCAATGGACACCGACCCCGCCCCCACCCCCAAAGTTCAAGTCCAATTCGTGACCCGCCACGCCGACATCGCCGTGCCCCCCGCGCCCATCCTCGTCCCCACAAACCTCAAGCGCTACGGCCTCTCGCAGATCATCAACCACCTGCTGGACACTCCCACGCCCGTGCCCTTCGACTTCCTCGCCGCAGGCGCCTTCCTGCGCTCCTCGCTCGACGAGTACCTCACGCAGCACGGCCTCAGCGCTGAGAGCGTCGTCACGCTCGAGTACGTGCGCGCCGTGGTACCCCCCAAATTCCGCGCCGCGTTCCAGCATGATGATTGGGTGTCGAGTGTGAACACACTCTCCGCCGATGGGGATGCACCGCTCATCTTGTCGGGCTCCTATGATGGCATCGCGCGCGTGTGGAACATCAGCGGCCAGGTGGTCGCTGAAGCGTCTGGCCACACCGCGGCCATCAAAGCCGCCAAATGGACGCCCAATGGCGCCGGCATCGTAACAGCGGGGATGGACCGCACGCTGCGCCTCTGGTCCTGCGACCCCGAGTCCTCCGCCATCACGCCGCTCGCCGAGCTCCTCGGCCACAAATCCACCGTCACCCACCTCGCCGTCGACCCGCGCAGCACCCACATCCTCTCCGCCTCCTCCGACAGCACCATCGGGCTCTGGTCCACCACCCCCGCCACCTCCCTCCCCCCGCCCCATCATCCCTCCTCCCGCCCAAGCCCTCCAAGAAACGCAAAACCACCTCCACCACCACGACCATCCCGCGCTACGGCGCCCTCGCGCTCCTAACCGGCCACACGGGGCCAGCCTCCGCCGTCGAGTTTGACGGGAAAGACGCAACAGTGGCATACTCCGCCGGGTGGGACCACACCATCCGCACATGGGACCTGGCCACGCACCGCCTCGTCGACACGCGCACGACGCAGCACCCGGTCGCGAGTATGTGTGTTTTACCATCGCTGTCGCTGCTGGCGGCGGGGAGCACGGCGCGGCATATCACGCTGCATGACCCGCGCGCGGGGGCGAGCGAGGTGGCGGCGGGGGTGCTGAGGGGGCATACGAACTGTGTTGCGGCGCTGTGTGCGGGCGGGGAGTGGATGATGGCGTCGGCGGGGCATGATGGCACGGTGAGGGTGTGGGATGTGAGGGCGGTGGGGAGTGGCAGTGTGTTTGTTGTTAGGAGGGAGGGAGGGGGTGGGGAGGGGGTGACGGGGAGGGAGAAGGTGTTTGCGGTGGAGTGGAGTGGGGTGGGGATTGTGAGTGGGGGGGAGGATAGGAGGGTGCAGATTAATGAGACGCCGACAGGGGCGGAGGGGGTGGAGCCGAAGTTGTAGATACCGGAGAGAGGGGGAGGGGGAAGGGGTTTGTATTATATTAGAATAAAAGTTAATGATTTTGTTTCTGGTTTTGTGGCTTTCATGGAGCTTGTACTGTAGCTGGGTCGAGTTTCATTGATAGTGATTTCAATCGTGCTCTCGCTCGTTGTTAGTACATTGTCCCCTCTCTCTACTTCTCAGTGATATTCGCCTTCTATGTAAGAATTCAAGTCCATACTTATATCAAGAGGGGTTTCAATCTGTCGTCTCCACGCACCGCCAAGGGGCGAGTGATAATCTATGATTACTCATACTTCTCTTTCCCAATGCACTGGGTCGAGTAAGGTTAGATAAACTATTACATGAGATGTCTACTAATTCTCCTGGTTTTTTTCTGGCGGGGTTTATCGCTTCCATTGTGTCTCCGGATGACTTGAATACTACATGTACATAAATATCTATTTTCTCAGAGAGTGGGGTACGTAGTGGGCCGGGTGTGTACCTGAAACCACGTATTTTGAGTTTTCAAAGTGCGGCCTTTTAGCACCTTTCCCCCCCGCCGTATCTGTTTCTAAGAGTTCTGATTTACTGCTCTAGTCTTTGCGCTTATATGACTGTGCCACCATTATCCGGGTAGCTTGGGGAAATAGGTCTTCTCTAACGACGTATCTAACGACGCCGCGGGCAAGGCGTCAATGATCGCACAGTGGGAAACTACATGTATGCCTCTCAGCTCTAGCTACGCCTGAGCGCTGCATGTATCGCTGCAATATAATAGATATAATAGAAGCTAGCACGTACCCACAAAGCATATTACAAGATTCAATATCCATCACCCCCACCCAGTAGCACAACCGATTAAGCTTTCAAGTATAGTAGAAAGGGAATAAAGAAACCACATGCACGCCCATCTCCTCTATGGGCATAAATACCACCCTCACTCCTCACCCCTTACTTCTCCCACCATACCCTCCAATACATACCCCCCAATACCCCCAATACCATAAACTAACCACCCCCCAGAAACCCCTACAACAATGGCAACCCCCCGCATCACCGCCTCTGCAATCCTCATCACCCTCGCCGTCTCCAGCATCATGAACGTCTCCTCCTCCTCCTCCTCCTCCACCTCCTCCAACAAGCCACTAACTAAGCCCTGGGAACAAGGTAGCAAGAAGCCACTAATCACCAAAACCCAGCAGACCCACAAAGCGCAAGCAGCGCCGTTCAAGAGCCAGCATGGCGAGCCGTGGAAAGGCTCGAGTGGCTTTCCGGGGTCGCAGGCGCCGTTGAGGGGTGGTGGTAGTACGAGACGGTAGAGAGAGAGAGGGGTTGTTTGGGGTGTGTTTTTATATGGGTACATGTAGTTGTTATTTTAAGTAGTTGTTAGTTTTAGTTTTAGTTTATGTTGTGTTGTTAATAGAATCGTTTCTTTGTCCTCCACCTTCCACCGTACCTCCGTAGAACGCCCCACGGGCGCCCACCTACCCCCAGGACAAAGTACGGCCATAAAACCATAATATATTAATCTACCCACAGCCTTCAAGGAGACCCACAACCCCAGCTGAAGAATACAATTCACCGAGTGATAACCTATGAGGCAGCGCCGTCAACGCATACTATGTCCACAGTAGCCGTGACGGGTCGACGGGTCATATGGTACAGTCCGGCCCCGGGTACACGGATACTCGACAAGGCTACCGTTCTGCTTCTAACCGTATGTACATGTATCTATAGCCTCGCGGCGGGTGCCTTGAAACTTATGGGCAGCTGTACCAGCTGTTGGCGGCATCGTGCAGTCATGTATGGGCTTCGCATGGTCTGTCTCCATCCTCAAATTTCCCTTTTTTACTATATGTGTGTAGTTATTATTTCTCGCTCTCATACTCTATCTCCGTCCCTGTACTAGCTGAAAAGAAACAAAAGATTCGACAAAAGGTACTGCAACGGCATCTTGTTGTCCGTTACTACCCCCACCCCAGGTCGAACCCAGGACCTTATATGTCCCTGGGTCAAACACACGGTGTCTCTACCTGACGAGCAGTCTAACCACTAGACCACTCGCCCATGGTGGATGCTGCGCTGGGGGTGGTACTTGAGCTTGGCGGTGTGCCAAGATGTACGTTGTGTACTCCGAAATCGGACCCTCCGACTGGCCTCACAATCATAACTTAAATAGGCAATTTTTATTTCTCTCTTGATTCTCGGTGTCATCTTAGAGATCAATGGCCGCTGAGATATCGTTGATCACCATGTGTTCAGAAAAAAAAGAGGAAAATTTTATTATTGAAGGAAATCTATCTATATCTACTTCTTATACGATATCTAAAGCTTCTCGAAAACCGCCTGCATCCAGCACCGATACATCTTCAGCTGTCGTTTTCGGTTTACAAGCAGACGTCTATCCACGCCCATCTCCCTTGCCACGAAGCCGCCAAAATCGCCTTCCGGGAACGTTTGCTGCTGCTCCTCCTTGGTCTTCTCTACCGTTGTGATTGGCTCCTCCTGCGTCTCTTCTTCCTCCTGCGGCACCTGCTCCTCGACCACAGGCTTCTTCTCCCTCTCTTTTATTTCCCCGTTCTCAGTCTTGTAGTTGACCTCCTCGGTCTCTCCTACCTCGCCGGTGAATATCTTCCTGAGCTCCCACTGCTCAAAAAAGTACACCCTCGTCCCGTCACCTCTGACATAGAAGTTCTCGTCGAGATACCTTCCTGCCTTGAACCTGACCTGGGCCAAGTCGCCTCTGCCATAGTCCCTAAACAGAACCTTACCGCCCTTCTTCAGCATCCGTCGAACATTCCCCAGCGCCGCACTCCACTGCTCCGGCGCCAACGCAGAAAACACAAACACCATAATCACCACATCCACCGTCCCCTCCTCCACACCCACCGGCAGCGTATCCGGCTCCGACAAATCATACACCTCCGCCCTAACCCTCCCTCTCTCCACATGCTCCTTATACAGCGGCTGCGCCCTCACCACCTCCACGGCCTTCGCACTAAAGTCACACCCCACGATACGAAAGCCCTCATTCACATTCTGCTTCAGCACCGGAAACAGCGTATTCCCGCGCCGCACCCCAGCTCCACCATCACCACGTCCCCTGCGCCCTCGCGCGTCGCCTCCGCCAGGATCGGGAACTCCTGCTGCAGCCACTTGCGGTCCTTGAAGAAATTCTCCTTGTTGTTCTTGTAGAAGAGGTCCCACCACTTTGCCGGGTCGCTCATGAAGCGCTTCTTGTCGCTCGCGCTGACGGGCTTGCTCCGCTGGCTGGCGTACTGCGCGGCGCTGTACGCTTTGTAGGCTGGGTCTGTCTCGACGTGGTCCCAGGCGTTGAAGGTGAAGACTTCGTCTTCGGAGAGCAGCAGGCGCGAGCCGAATTGGAAGGGCGCGGACACTTTGGGCCCGTCGGGGTGGACGTGTGCTGTGGCGATTGGGGCGGCTGTGGGGGCTGGAGGCTCCCCGCTTATGGCGGGTATGGTTTCTACGGTGACGGGGGTGGGCTCGGAGACGGTGAGCTTTCTGAGGTCGGGGAGCTGCTGGTCATTGACTGCTGCCTCGGGGGCGGGCGCGGAGTCGACGGAGAGCATGGTTAAGAGTACAGGTATGTATGTGAGATTTCTTTGTTGATTTCTTTTCGGGGTTCTTTTGCTGTATGTTTGTGGGTGAGTTTGTGGTGGTTTGTGTAGAGTAGCTGGTAAGGGGATCTACCTTGGTGGAATTATTTTTATTTCACATGCCCCACCGTGGGGTCTTGCAACCAGAGCCTCATCCCTGCTAAGTCGATCATTGGCACCTGGTATTGGATTTACTGTGGAGCAGCGGATTATGGTGTCTGATGCATTACAGCGGCATGACAGCTAATTCTTTGGGCTAATGGACCATATCGAGCACCTAGGTAAAAAAAAAAAAAAGATATATTTTACTAAGACTAGTGCGACGGTGCCTACGCAGCTTAAATGATGCCAAAATATTGCCTTACAGATACATTCTATTACTTCCATTGAGCGCACATAGTGGTGTAAGTGCTCAAAAGTATCTCCTACATGTAATCTAGAGTCAGCTACGCATCAATATTCGAGTCGTTCTCTCGGTATGGTTTTTATCGTTTCTATATTCAATACGAGTGATAATATATGATTCAACACACGCTAAACCCTCCAACCAAGGCTTATTTACATGTATCTATCACCTACATACGCAAAACCAACCTCAGTATAAAGTTAACGCCAAAAAACAAACAAAACTTTTGATTTATGAAAATGTATACACATTGTAAAGAAGTCCCGCTGTCCATTCTAAACGCACTAATACTTCCATAACCGCACTGCCTTCAAACAAAACATCAGCATAGTTCCAGGTTCTCGTACAAAGAATAATGGCATACCTTATCTTTACCACCACTCGCAACCTTCTTGCCGTCTGGACTCCAGTCGACTGCAAACACCTCGTCCTGATGTCCTGGGAGATCGGTGTGTAGTTTTCCAGTCTTGACGTCCCAGATCTTGAGGGTTGTGTCCTTAGATGAAGAGACGAGGAGTCTCGAGTCTGCTGAGAAACAGCTATTTTTCACGCCCCGTTAGAAGGCTGCCATACTCAACTAGATTGGGGGGGATTTTGTGTGTGTGTGCTTACCATTGATACACAGGCGCCACATGCCCGCGAAGACTGAAGATGAACTTCCCGTCTCTGGCATTCCACAGCTTGACGTGGTTGTCGAATGAGGCGGAGGCAATCAATCTTCCGTCGGGTGAGAACGTTACGTGGTTCACCAACTTCTGGTGTCCCAACAGTCTTGCAATGGGCTTCGTTCCCTTCTTTGGCTCCCAGAGGTACATTGTAAAGTCGTCGCTGGCAGTAACTAGCCTCTCGACAAGCTCACCGCCAATAGTCGCAGCCTTCTCGTACCTCTCCTTTGACTTTGCAACCTTCTCCTCGTCCGTGGCAGGCACCTGCCCCGTATGGTCATGGTACGCCGTCCTCAGCACAAAGTCCGTCGACAGCGCCAGATGGTTCACCCAATGCGCATGCGCATTCAAACTATGCACCAACTTCCCATCCGACGTATTCCAGATCTTGATCGTCTTATCCTGACTCGCCGAATAGATCCACCCCTGCCCACCCCACTTGACACACGTCACGGCCGCCGCATGGCCCGACATACACATCTCGACCCTGCGCAGCGCCGCATTCCACACACGGATCGTCTGGTCCTTCGACGACGACACCACCCTCGCATTATTCGGGTCCGACTGGAGATGATAGGGCTCCCACGCCAGGCCCGTGATCCACTTTGTGTGTCCCTTCATCGCGTCGCCGAGCGGCTTCCCCGTCTTTGCGTCCCACAGCCGCAGCGTGTTGTCCATGCTCCCCGTCGCAATGTACTTTGTGTCGGGGCTCCACGACACGGCGAGCACCCACGACTTGTGCCCCTTGAGTGTGTGCATGGGCGTCTCGGTGTCGCAGTCCCACACGCGCGCCGTGCCGTCGCCGCTGCCCGTCACCATGCGCGCCGACGAGGCGGGCGAGAACTGTGTTGCGAGGATGGCGTCGCCGTGGCCGCTGATTGCTGCTGAGCAGCGCGAGACGGCGCGGACGCGGAAGACGGCCTGAGGCGTGTAGACGAGTGTGAGGACGTCCTCGGTGGTCTTGTGCCCGGGCTTGAGGACGGAGGTCCACAGGTCGTTGGTGATGTCGATTATGGGCGAGTCGGCGTTTGTGAGTGAGGTGAGGAGGGAGAAGGTGTATGGGACTCTGTCATCTTCCTGTGGAATTGGGGGGTTGAGTTAGTGAGGTTTGTTCTGATCTGTAGGGCCAATGATCAGTGGGAGGGTAGAACGTACTGTCCCAAGAAGCTTGTTCACAAGTAGATCTAGCTGCTGCGCCGTGGTGTTTCCGGGGATATGGAGCTCGCCGCCGAGTTGCGCGCCGGTGTCGGAGGCCTGGAGGTGCACGACGACGTTGGGGACATGTTCGGGGATGAGGTCGATTTTCTGCTGTGCCTGGGAAATCTTTGACTCTGCGAGCTTCTGGCGCTTGCTTTTGGGGGGCAGAACTGTGGCCATTTTTGTGTAATATTAAAGATTGAGGGTGTTGGGTGTAGTTGGTTTCCTATATTCTTTTGTTTGGTTGCAATTGGCGGGGTGGAATGGATGGATGGTCTGCACGAATTAATTTTTCGAGATCACGTGGGGGAAGAGCCGCAGCTTATCGGGAGGGGGGCTAGGCTGCTTGGGGTTAGCGCGGGTATGTGCGTGTGAGTGCTTGGCAGGAAATTCGAGATCTACATCGAGGTAGAGTACATGTACCTACACCGTTTATGTCCAAGGGAAAACATCCCTTGGCTACATGTATGATCTATTCAATTCCAGTAACAACTGCTGTATACCAGACACAACTTCTTGCTAGAGAATTTAGATGCTGCTGATTACCAGTATCAAATCCTCCCCCCTGCGGTGACTTCGAATTGTAGAGGATCGAAGCGGTAATCATCTGCAATTAACGCAGCGGTGAATGGAAAGTACATGTACATACATGTAGTGATAGCAATTGCTAAGGAATGTGTACTCTATAATATACAATCTATCGACCATCGTGAAGTGAATCTATATGCACCTGCTACTCTCAACTTCAGGATGTACCTGCATACATGTCTCTGGTTCTTGCTGTACTCGTAACCAATTTCTAGCACAGGCATCATGTATGCACAGATGTAGGAGTACAGCGGTACATGTATCTTAGCGGCGCTCACACCTTACACGCGCCCTGCATTCCCCACCAAGTCCAAGTCCATCTCGAACCACAATCAGGGTAACTAACCCTCACTACTCCCACTCGACTCAAAAAAAGAACCCCCCCCACAACGTCATACATCTCCATCCACCCACGCCCCCAAAATGGCGTCCACACAAGCCCCTCAACCATCACCTCCCACAAACCCACGAAAGCGCGGCGCCCCCAGCCTCCCAGTCGGCTCCGGCAACGAGCGCAAACGCGCAAAGTTCCAAGACGCCCGCACCATTGCCGTCCAGAGCTCCAACCCAGCCCTGCGGTCCGGCGAACTCGACGTCAATGCCTTCATCCAGTCCCGCGAATTCGAGATTGCGGCGCTCCGGGATGCAATGAAGAACTCGAAGCGTGCGAGCAACAAACGGGCCTTCCAATTGGTGCCTAGGGACATGAGACGGCGCACGGCAAGCCACAATGTCAAGAGGGTGCCCAAGAGACTGCGAAAGAGGGCGGCGCGCGAAATGCATGAAGACAACACCCCTACGGTGACTGCCCGCCGGCGGAAGTCTGCAGGCTTTATGCGTCTGCGCCTTGAGACAGCGAAAAAGCTCAAGAATATGGCTACCAAGCGGGAGCTTAACCCAGAGATCCTCTCGAAAACTCCCTTGTCACGTAGTACGATCAATGAGCTACGGAGACCGCCACGGCCGGCAAACAAGTTTAGGAAGAGGCAGAGGGAGAAGACGTGGTTGCCGACGCATCTGTGGCATGCAAAGAGAGCAAGGATGGGGGTGAGGTGGAGATTCGCCGTAGCAGAAACACCCACCGAGAAGTGTTATCGCCCGACGCATAGAGCAAGTCAGACAAAGGGTGCCGTGGCATGGGATCAAAGCTACTTTTCAACAGTCATGCTGAGAGGGAGTGAAGAAAATTGCAAAGAGGTGATTGGAAAGGTTTGTGGGAAAGCAGTGGGCCCATTGAGCAAGCTTGTTGTGAGTGGAAAGAGGGCATGTGAGGCATGGATTTACAAGGCAGGGGATTATCCTACAGGGCCAATTGCACCCGTTACCATTATCTGGTGTGTGCCTAAAGACGTCAATGAGCACAGGGAAATATTTATCAGGGTCCACCCATCAGCCTTCCTTGAGCTATGGGACACCCTCCTTCCACTCTGCAAAGCTCACAAAACAGTCATTGAAGACCTGCGATTCGAAATCGGCAGTATCGAAATCACAGGGCCGTCTGCCACTGCTGCACTCCTCTCCATCCTCAAACCCACCACCCCCGGCTCGCCAGAGTCTCCAGAAGGCATATGGCCCCAACTACATGGGCTTACCAACCCCTCTTTTCTTCCTCTCGGCGCCCTACTCACCTTCAAAATCAGCGACCCACGCCTCCGTCTCCCTCCCCGCCCCTTCATCCCCGCACCCTCCGCAACACCCGAAGCAGATCTTCTCAACCTCTCTCGCACCTGGCCGCCCGACAGCACACTCCCACCATCACCTCTCTTTCTCCGCGAAGCACGCGCAACCGCTGTCCGCTTGCAATCATCGCACCGCAAGATAGGCCGCCGAAAGGCAGCCGCGCCGCCAGGTGAATATATCCCCGCACTGCCCACAGACCCAGAGATCCCACTGCTCCTGTTTGCGTCGCACCGCCAGATGCCTGTTCGTGGAGTGTCACAGGCAATAGGGTCGTGGACCCTAATGCTACCGTGGAAGTGGGTCATGCCCGTGTGGTATGGGCTCATGAATGTCTCGAGTGACATCAGATTTGGAGGCATAGACGAGGTGAGGCAGGTTTTCTTCGAGAGGGGCGAAGGGTGCTTTCCCGACGATTTCCCGGGGACGGCATCAGGGGCGGAGGAGGAGAGGAGGAAGGGGGCGGAGAGGAAAGAGGTGTGGGAGAAGAGGCCGAGGGGCAAAAAGGTGGTTTGGGAAAGGGTCTTGTTGGGAGAAAAGAGAGGAGAGCTGGGTGATGGGTTTTTATGCGATTGGGGGTGGCTGGTTGGTGACAGGAAGGTGAAGGTTGTTGGGAAGGAGCAGGTCGATAAGGCTACTGCGAAGACTACGGGGGTTGCGGAAACTGCGGGGGCTACGGAAACTATGGAGACTGCGGAGACTACGGAGACCGCCAGGACGACAGAGACTGCGGATAGCATGGACATAGATCCACCTGCCCCTCCCCATCCCCCGGCTGAACCAGCTCCTTCCTCCAAACCGGTTCCTTCTGTTGAGCCAGCACCTCCAGTAGAGTCAACTCCTCCAGTCGGGCCAACCAATCCCGCCGAACCAACTCCCTCCCCAATAGTAGCTCCCAAATACTGGCAAATACCCGCGCACCTGATCCATCCTCTTCTTACCTCCACCGATAATCTCTCTAGCACCCTTTCCACACTCCCCCCCGCTACACTCGCCGCTGGCCTCTTCACGGTAAAACTTACCTCCCTACAACGCGGCACACCTTTATCCCGTGCACGAATATACGCCCTCCCCGAATCAAATCCAGAGCTGTGTGCACAGTGGAAATCGCTCCTACCGCAATCCAAAGCAAAGAAAGACTCCAACCTCAAGAATGGCAAGAAGCAAATACCCCGGGCAGGGCAAGAGGGATACCCGCATGTGCCAGGCGAAGAAGAGTGCATAGGCTTTGTGACTACGGGTAACTTCAATCTCAAAGAGGGGATGGGCATTGGGGTTGGCGCTTTGGCTTTTGGCAAGGTTTTTCGGGAGGGGAGGAAGGGGACTGTGGGGAGAGTTGTGATTGTGAGGAGTGTGGGTGAGAGTCTGGGTAGGCTGGCCAGATGGGATGTTGTTTAATTGGGCTGGGTACCGGAGTTATATGGATAGATAAATGGCACGATGTATTTTTTACCTGTGAGCCTCCTGTTTTTCTGGGAGGAGGGGCCTTTTGTTTTGGATTATTTGGACTACTTTGAGTGTTGAGGGAATGATCACTATAGTATCAATATCCCCACTATCAATACCCCCACTATCAATACCCCCATATCATTATTACACATCGTATATTTTACCCCCTTTATAAATAGACATGATTTGTCTACCATCAATATTTCCAAAAGAAAAATGACACAAAAAACTCCAGTCAAACCACGCAAACATAAATATGGTGGCTCATTGGTCTACAAACCCCACTAGCTTGGCCTAAGTTTAATGAAACTTTGAACACGCTTTCCCGTGAAGTGCGGCACAAAGTATTCTTTCCACCTTATATCTCTTTCCCTATATCAGCAGCCCCGTCGTCATCAACACACAAACTTTAACGGCATCTCAGGAGTTGGCAACTTACGTAGTCTCATGCAACCTGAGATCAAACTTCCGAAAGATATGGGCAAACCCAATAGTCAACTCACACCATGCAAGACTTTGAAAAAAAGTCAGAAGTCATCGATACCTTTACATCCCCAGGAGAAGAAAAACGACTCACTTGACACCAAGACACATTCGTGGGCCCCGGGAGAATGGCACAAGCCAATGCTCGAGATGTTTGGAGTTTGGTTGCAGCCACCTTTCGGGGATGAAGCGATGGGCGTCTGGAAAGATCCCTTCGTTTGTATGGACATATGGAGAGCTCATACCTACAACTGTCTGAAAAGCGACATTAAGCAGCGTTTTAGTGGAGATACAGCTAGAAGAGTACTTACTCCTCCTAGAATATGGGCCCCTCCTATTGTGGCACCAGATGGAGGCACTACTCGGGGTAATGCGGATACGACTCCATGCGAGACCCTCAAGCTTTCCTTTATGACTGCATTCTACAGCACGTCAACACTGGTTCACGAGCTCGGGATGATGTTTGCATACCAGATATGGCAGTTTTTCCAGTTCCTCGTATCCTAGTGACTTTTCAAGCACTGGCCAGTTTTTCTTAAGCTCATTAAAGAGCTTCTCATAAACACTAGGATTATTCAAAACGTGGAAACCTCCTACTACAAGAGTATTTCCCACAGTGTCACTACCTGCGATTAGCAGCGCCATAGTCTCATCGAAAAGACCATGACGAGTTGGCAGTGACTCCCCGGCCCTTTTGTTTTCAGGATCAAGAAGTCTATGGTAAATGACATGATCAGCAATGGCTGGACTTTTTGGATTGGCAAGGAATCTATCAAGATGGTCTGAAACAGACTGTGATATATGTCAACACTCTCATACAATCTTATATTTGTGAGAACAGAAGTTACGTTTTGGACCCCCATAATACCGGCGGTTTCGGGGCTCGTTAATAACGAGAGCCACGTTGGAGTGTGCATAAAAATCCACTGGACCGGGCGGAAATGCTTGAAAACCCAGTACATTGGCAGAGCGACTTTGACGCCCACTAGAACAAGGTGACGGAATCCTTTGTAGTCCAGCGAATTAAGAGACTCTGCAAAGCAGAAGGACGTGATGATGTCCATTGTTGTGCATCGAAATGTAGAAGAAATGCCAGCAGCGTCGCTGGTATCATGGTATTCGGTGAGTTTCTCGCATAGTTTTTCCACCTAAAATTGTCTTAGGAAAGCGTATTGATTCTCCAAGAGCATAGGAGGAACCTTCTCAATAACTAGTCTTTGCAATGATATAATATTACGGCGAGAGAACAATGGACTCAACACCTCTCTTCGGCGGCGCGAGAGGTTGGGGTCAATAAAACCGAAAGTGGAATCGCCCTCGCCAAAGCATTGGTACATGAACTCGTCTTTTATCATCCTCGAATTACTACTATATATTTCGTGGTAAACCTCCGGTTCACTGAAATGAAGCTATTATCTATTGTCAGCTACAGAATAAGGGGATTTCCAAAGAATTGTTACCTCGTTTGGTTCGACCCTTACAATTGGACCTTCTCTATGTCTTAACTCAAATGCAAGCAAGAGATTTTCAAGCAACTTACCATATTTCTTGTGTAGCTTCTTTACTTGGTGGGCAAGTTCACCGCCCATCCATACGTCGTAGTAGGTCTGATACCATACTGTAGCGGCTACTAGTTTGGGCCTAGATACTTCGAAAGAGGATGGAAGAAGACTCTGTACAGACTTATTCCCAGTACGCAGAGAATATAACTGATTATAGCGGCCGATAACAATGAAAACCCGAATACCTTCTGCTCCAAAATCATTCTGATGGCTACTAATATGGTAGATGGTGTGTTACGCGCAAAATACTCTTCAGAACTGGGGAGTACCCCACGTATTAATATATCCCATGCGAGTATCTGATCTACCCTTGAAAGGTTCTCTTTCAGTTGGGTGCAGAATCTCATAGGTATGTATGTATGCGCGGCTACAGAGGAGTGAGTAACGTGAATGAGACATCTCCACCGGCGAAATACTAGGCTCTTTTTGAGACCAGGAAGTTTAACGCCTCGACCAAGAGATTTGCCTGGGAGCACATGTCCACTATTTGTGTAACAACGATTTCAAAAGAGCTCGAGACTCTTACACCTGGAATTCCCATTATATGCATGCAAGGGTTCGAATTCGATATCTTGCAATTAATCACGTATATCTATGTACATGCGGGCACTACAATATGTAAGCAAACCCACCTCATAAATCATAAATATGTACCACATGAGGACTTATCTTGTGAATTCATTATCTTCTCAGGGACACGGAGGGCATCGAGATATCTGATTTTAGCTAAACATCAAGCTTCTTTATAAATTGCCTGCAAATAAACGTCGATCCTGGTATATACAAGAAACTGCATGTATGTGCTATACTTATTGTAAATTTTTGCGACAAGAGAGCTCTAGTAAGGGCCTATCTTCTTAGCCCTTGGTAAATAGCTCCAATCGCAAGATCTCCTACCTACCTATCTTGACCGTTCTCGGCACTCAAACATAACAATTTTGGACCTTGATACCATGAGACACATCGGATATCTGTCCAATAAGATGATAGCAATTCGGACCGGCTATTATGACCGTGGTCTAGAAAGCCGAGACATTATTAAAGGTCACTGTTTTAGAGATTACCATATTTGCATGGAGTAGACGGGAGCACCGAAGGATTTTTAGGCTATTTTCAAAGTTTTCTGCTAATTACAGCGTTGATTCACATCACCAATGACATTTATTTGGAGAGACAGCTTTGATTTTTCCTAGTCTATGGGGAGTTTTGCCATATCCCAGCTTCGTCAGTGGTTCAAACCAGGGTGCAAACACGTATGCATGAATGAATTATAATTCTAGAAATAGGACCAGCTACATGAACTGTCAAGGCATCTAAATCTCCCCAAGAAATCAACACATACATGTAGATATATGCAGCAATTAACCCTTATTTAAGCGAAGCGGAGCAATCGCAATTGCAAGGAGATCTAGCTATCTGTTTTCGAAGTCCCCATTCCACAAGTATCAATTGCTTGTGCAGCGGTGGTATAGACGGCTAGGTTATTTTCGAAACTTGTATGTATGTATGTACTTGTATTTGGGAGCTAGATCTATAATCATTAGTGGATAGATTCGTTCATGAATTGTCACTCGTCCATTCGTACAATGTATAAGTAACTTGCTTTTTCTAGACACCTAGCTGACTGGTCACGGCTGAGCCATATATATTTAGGGCCCTGTATATCAACATTTAAACTCTTAAATTCAATATTCAATATAAGTAAACCCGAACACAATATTAGTCCCCCCTATATGAAACTTAGTCATTTCTTAGTAGTAGCTTCATTACATGTAGCTAGAACTCGGAGAGAAGCGATACATACCTTACCGTCGAAACGCATACAATTTTGAGCCTTATTCAGTCGGCTTATCCAGATCGTAGGCTCACAATAGCTTTATCAGTACAAAAATCCTTTTTTAAGCCTTATTTCATCCTTAAAACATGCTTAAATAATACTTATTTGAACCTTATTGGATTCATAAGGCTATTATGAGCCTACGATCTGGATAAGCCGACTGAATAAGGCTCAAAATTGTATGCGTTTCGACGGTAAGGTATGTAACTAAAGCCATTTTTAGGCTTGGGGGTTGAGAAATATGGCTTCGACGTTAGGAAAAGGACACCTTAACTTTTAGCATTTAGGACTCATAATACCACGATACCAGTAAATCATATCGTAACCAGGCTAGTTGTGTCTCTTCACATTTTTTTCCTCTCTTCCTACTTGTTGCATGCATCGCCTCCACTTTTTGTTTGCAATCATTCAGCCCTGTACGATTCGCTCAAACCACTGTTTCTGATTATTCAAATCATCTGTAAATCATAGCAAGAATTTACGCAGCTCAAGTACCGGCAGCATGACCGAATCACCTATATCTCAGATGCAACCTGTGAGCCGAGTCTCCACCATCTCTCGGAGGCTCGCCTCAAAAGTACTTTCAATGATTGAGAAGTATGAATCCCTTTCACATTCAAATACTCGCAACCAACCACTACCGCACCAGCAATCGGCAAATCCTGCTTCTCGGTCTGCTTTTCGCCGCCTTGGGAAGTCAGTCCTTGCTCGAGCCAGGCTTTTTGTCGAAAATGCTGCTGCGCAAACTACACCCAACCGGAGCCTAGGGAGAACGGTACCACCAAGAAGAAGATTTTTGAAGTTTTCAAGTAAAAAAAAGAAACACCGTGCCACTAAAAATGGGAGCAACGGCTTTGATCATGACGGTACAATCAGTAGCAATAGCACACTCACGGAAACTGGAAGCAGTATAACCGCATCCACACCCCCCGTAGCCCGAATTTTACCATCGTCGTTCTTCAAACAGCTGGCGTCGTCAAATGAGTCGTCAACTAGAAGAAAATCAAAGTCACGCGGTCAGCGGAGAAAGAGAGGAATAAGCCCAAAGATCAGGGATCTACGTTTAGATATGGCCAGGAAGGAATCCAGATTTTCTGAAATAACGAGGAAGCTTATGCCCCCAAAGGTATCCGTACGCGATCTCAAGGAACGATTTCAGGAGGCAGAGAGAGCATATACGCATAAAGACTTGAGATTAGAGGAACTCGATGGGTCCTCTAGAGTTCGACTACGTGGAAACATGATCACTAATGAGCCGGGAAAGACAACATCTAAACAGTTTTTACGTGATAAGTTGATGTCAGGAGGTATAGATGGTTCTTTTGCGAGCTTTGCACAAGATCAAAACTCGGGATATCGGGATAATGATAGCGATTTCTTTTATGAGGCTTTCGATAAAGAGTTTGTCCCCCGTAACTATATATACCTTACCTCCACATATCAAGCTCCTTGCTTTGCGGCTTCGTTCTTAAGGGTATGTGCTAACATTGACGGCAGAGATCTTCGGTTATCAAACTGCGAGTCTACTGAGTTGATGTGTAGAGATGACATGAACTATCTGAATACGGAGTATCATTGCATGGCAGATGGTTCGCTTTCAAACTTTGGGTACTTCTTACTTCGCCTGGAGTCCGAGGCTGGAACGCCTGACTCGAGATCGGAAGCAGAATCAGCAAATGAAAATGTCTTTTTCACAGCACCTATGCCCAGTACTGGGCTAGATTCTGCTCAGGGGACGAAGAAGATGTATAGGAAAACACCGCCACCAAGCGGATTCTTTTTCCATCCGGAAAATACTAAGAATGAGACCCAGAAAGTTAGTGAAGAGAATGAAGTAGATTCTTATGCCGCTCACCATTCTATAGCCATGGATATTGTGAGCCCAAAGCCGATGAATGCGGTACAGGCTGCACAACTTAGGAGCATGGTGTTTCGGTACACCTAAATTTCAGGAGAGGAAAAGTTGTTTATTTGATGAATGAACACATGAAAGTATACGTATCGTAAGAGATGGAATTGAGTAGGGCTTGTAAAAGTTCTGTCTTTTGGTACGTAAATAAGGCCTTGAATATAAAGACTTCTGCGTTTATGGGACTAAGTACATGATAATGATTTTGATGCTACAGGAAGTAAATGGGCCCCTTCTAGTCTTTACTATCAATATAGGTCTATTATCAAGATTTTCAGAGCGGTGGTTACGATATTGTTATAGACAATTATTGTGTATGGCTATATGCCTTTTGGCGAGTCCATAGAATTTCGTTACGACTTCATTGTTAAACTACATGTACCTTAGAGCGTTGATTATCCCCTACACTTATATCTCCTACACTTATGTGTATGACTACGTATAATTTTAGTTTATGATAAAAGTTTTCTTGAGTGAATAGCCCGTATCAATCCTTACATTCAAATGACACAACCTAAAGAATTTTACAACAATCTAAGAATGTACATGGTACTAAAAGAAGGTCATGATCACAAGGGATGCACATTCTCATATTCAATTAAATCTTTCGATTCTTGGAGCCTCAGCCTCCTTGGCAACGACCCGCCGCCTCTAGTAGAATCTAACCTCTTGGTAGGCTGATCACGGTCGCTCCCGCACAAAAACATTGTTCTAAAGAATACATGTATCTAATATTTTGTTTTAGAGACTCGTTAATCACGCATATAACCAGAATATGTATATACGCACCCACGCTGGTCGTTTCAAAGTATTTATATCAGTATTTGAGTACTTATCTTTCCTCTTTATTTAAAATTAGCATATCATTACCTCTGCATTATATTACTCGATATCCGCATGTTCATTCTCCTTCAGCTACATATACATGTATGTGTCTATGATGTACTTAATCTGGTTGCATCATATTATATCACTCGCGGTGGTGCAGATAGCAAAACCGTCCGCACAGCCAAATAAGAACCATACAACGGGTAAACTCCAAATCTTCCTAGAGCTCAGAAACCTTGATGAGGGCCCAGAATTAATTTTTTCAACTAGTTGTCCCATCAATTAAAGGCTGTACAGTGTGGTAGCGAACTGGTGAGGCCTCGTTGCGTTGCCAGTACACACCCAAACAGAGGACTATATGTATATGTAGTTCTAGGCCATAAATCATGGGAAGGCGCGGCGTAGCAACCTCCCGGGCCACCACGACTACCCACCCAGCAACCTTTGGAGAGCTGGTTTTCAACCCCTTGCCTTTATAACAGCTCTATTCTCCTAGGCATGCTCTCAACTAGCTACCAAATAAATCATCAGGTAACAGTTCCCAGCAATGAATTAGACCTTCCTCCACGAGGGGCCCATGACTTATGGCATGGCGCTGTACATACATGTATGTAACCTGACGAACCATCGCCGGTTGAGCCGTGATATGAGCTGAGCCTCTTCCTTTAAGCTTGTCCTCCGAGTTTATAAAACCCCAGACGCAGTCTCCGGGTAGAGATCAGCCATCAGATTCCAATTCGACGGGGAAATGTTGTGGATGTAGCGAATATTCGAGTAGAACGTAGTAGTCCTCTCAAAGGAGCCGCTTCTAACATTAAGTGGTTATAAAACCTGTTATTTCATCTTGCGGCGAAACTGGTAATAATATCTTTATTCAATAGATATTACAATTTTACATTTTTAGTGTCTCATCCTCAGTTTATCGCTGTGAATAGACATATGTGTCTATTCTGGTCGCTTATTCTATCACCGCGGGGTTCAACGATCATGAAGAAAAAGAAACAGCTGAAGAAAAAAAAATCCTTGCGAGCCAAGCCACTCGTTCCCCCACCATCCCTCGAGCTGCGACCCTGGTTTGCCCCACCATAGCTAGACTACATATATTTACAGGCACCCGCCATCGCCTCGTCGACTCCCATCACTCGTCAATTGCCCTTGCCAGAGAAGAAAATGTCCGTCATTCAGTCCCTATCAAACCTCGCCATGTCCGCTGTTCCCCAGACAAAGAAGTGCGGTACGATACCACTGCCCCTCTAAACATCCAATTCGCAATTGACTCATAGCTGAATCTAGGTGTTCTTGGATGCACCGGTTCCGTCGGCCAGCGCTTTATTCTCTTGCTCTCGGAGCATCCTTACTTCGTTCTTCACGCCGTCGGTGCCTCCTCTCGCTCGGCTGGAAAGAAGTACAATGATGCCACAAAATGGAAGCAGGCACAACTCATGCCCGCCGGTGTCAAGGATATGATTGTCAAGGAGTGCAAAGCTGCAGAGTTTGCAGATTGTGATGTGGTCTTCTCAGGCCTGGACGCAGACTATGCTGGTGAAATCGGTATGTTCTCTCGGGCTTAGATTCGGGGGAGATATGGGGTGGATGACTCATATACATTCTCAACAGAGGCCGAATTCCTTGCAAACAACCTCGTCGTCTTTTCCAATGCGAAAAACTACCGCCGCGAGCCCATGACCCCCCTCATGGTCCCTCTCGTCAACACCGACCACTTCTCCGTGATCCCCGCCCAGCGAGCTCACCACAAGCTCAACAAAGGCTTCATGGTTACTAACGCTAACTGCTCCACCACTGGCCTCGTCGTTCCCCTGAAGGCACTCCACGATAAGTTCGGCGGAATCACAGCAGTTACAGTTACTACCCTCCAGGCCATCTCCGGCGGTGGATACCCCGGTGTCCCGTCAATGGACATCCTTGACAACGTCGTTCCTTACATCGGTGGTGAGGAGGAGAAGATTGAATGGGAGACTGGGAAGATTCTTGGCGCTGTCAATGTCGAAGCAAACGGCTTCGACCTCCTCAACTCCGTTGCTGTGTCGGCGCAGTGCAACCGTGTTGCTGTTATGGATGGACACACTGCGTGTGTGTCTGTACGCTTTGCTCAGCACCCGCCTCCCACGATCGAGGAGATCAAGGCGGCGCTCCGGGAGTACACCTGTGAGGCGCAGACCCTTGGGTGCCCAAGTGCGCCTAAACAAGCCATCGTGGTGATGGAGGAGCAGGACCGACCACAGCCAAGGTTGGACCGTAATACTGAGGGTGGTTATTCGGTCTCTGTTGGTAGGATCAGGACCGATAATGTTCTGGATATCAAGTTTGTTGCGCTAAGTCACAATACGGTGATTGGAGCGGCGGGATCGTCGATACTGAACGCTGAGGTGGCCGTGGTGAAGGGTCTGATCTAAAGTAGACGGGATCGTCTTGACTTTCCTCCTACCTTTTTAGTGATAGAAACTTTTCTACGATACCTACATGTATTTAGAAGGGAAAAAAATCGATGTTAATTTTGATGTGCAGATTGAAATGTGTGCCGGTGATTTCAGTCACAAGTGGTCACTCGATTTACCAATGTCGCGATAGGGTAAGTGCTGAACGAGATTCCTTGCCCATCCTACTAGTAGATTCTTTTTGCTCGCGGTCGGCTCCATGAGTCGTTCTAGGAAAACCGTCCGCACAGCCAAATCCTTATTCCGAAGAACCACACAACCAATAAGCTCCAAATTTTCCTAAAGCTCAGAGAACCTTGGTAAGAGCCCAATTTTTCGGTCATTGGTTCCATCAATTAGAGCCTATCCCTTCCATGGATGAAACTTGTCAAATTCGCGACCTGGACCGTGCACCACTTAGTAGGGGAATTGTGTTGCCATTTACGGTTGATAACAACAACAGAATCAATTAAGAATTAGCAAAAGTTACCACACAAGGCTAATGATAGCTGAAAGAGGGAAGTCGCGAATTTGGCAAGTTTCATCCGTGGAAGGGATAGAGTGCCGTAGCGAACCGGTGAGGCCACACATATAAAGTACCTTTTGCTAGATTGACACAAATATGAGTGCAGATCCACAAAGACAACTTAAACGATTCGACTTAGAAGAACAGTATAACTACTATGGTATCCCCTAAATGTATTTGGTATACTTTTAACGTATTTCGCAGCTTGGCAAGCGACCCCACCCAAAAATGACACTTATGGATGCTACTTTGGAGAGTGGCGGAGTGTCGATTGTCAGAATTGGCGGTTAGTAAATACGCTCTAATTACTGTGAAGCTTGGGCGAAGGGATAGACGCTGTGGCGGCGGGTCTTCGCCAAGGTACCCTTTCCACCGCCATCTCAGAGCCTGGTGGAATTGAGGTGAGCGCAAAACATAATTATCTGAGAGAAAACTGTGAACCTTATTTTGCGCGTATTTTCGCTCACCAGGTGTGCCCTGAAGTTTACTTCAGGGTTAAGTCGGCATTTGGCATTTGGCATTGCTTAGTAATTTATTTGTCATCATAACTGGCATCTCTTGAACAGGGCTGGAGCCTGTGAACGAGCCTAGTGCTGAGATAAGCAATACCTGTAGGAATTTCATTCAGCCATTCCCTAAGGTGATCTAACACCTAAGCTCCACAATTCAACAAACAAATTGGGGCAGGCAAACAAAACGCATACGCAGAAAAATAATCTCCTCCATTCATTCTCGGAATACTCCTGGAGATGTCTTTTGAGAACTCGTCTGCAGCTGAGGCTATGGCTTTGGTTGAGCCTAAAGTCATCGAACCTCCTTCGACAAATGAATTAGCGAATAATCCCGCCTCTGAAAATACAGACCCATCAGCCCCTTCAACGGCTCTCGCGAAGCCAAAGAAGTCCATAAAGAAGAAGCGCCGACCGGCCCGAGCCCAAGTCGACCCTGCTACCTTCAAAGGCGGCGCGATTCCAGACCAGACAGGGACCGTTTTTAATATCTGGTATAATAAATGGTCAGGGGGTGATCGCGAGGATAAGTATATCTCAAAGTCACATGCTGAGGGCCGCTGCAACGTTGCTAGAGACTCTGGATATACAAAGGCCGATAAAGTACCTGGGAGCTACTTCTGTCTGTTTTTTGCCAGGGGACTTTGCCCAAGAGGTCAAGAATGTGAATACTTACACAGACTCCCTGCCGTGACGGATCTCTTCAATCCGAACGTGGATTGTTTTGGAAGAGATAAGCACAGCGACTACAGAGATGATATGGGCGGAGTTGGGAGCTTTATGAGGCAAAATCATACTCTTTACGTGGGCAGGATTCACGTCAGTGACGATATCGAAGAGGTTGTTGCGCGACATTTTGCGGAATGGGGTCAAATCGAGAGAAGTGAGCCAATGTCCCCCTTCCCTATTACGTGTTTTCATCTTTACACCTATAGTGCAGTACTAACAGCTCCTACTTTTTAGTTCGAGTATTGAATTCTCGCGGTGTTGGGTTCGTAACCTACACCAACGAAGCAAACGCTCAGTTCGCAAAGGAAGCCATGGCTCATCAATCTCTTGATCATAACGAAATCCTTAACGTCCGCTGGGCAACCAACGACCCCAACCCCATGGCACAAGCCCGCGATAAACGCCGAATTGAGGAACAAGCCGCTGCAGCCATTCGTCATGCCCTTCCAGCTGAATTTGTTGCCGAACTTGAGGGCAAGGATAAGAACGCTGCGAAAAAGAGGAGGATTGAAGGGTCATTTGGCCTTAGGGGATACGAAGTTCCAGAGGAAATTTGGTATGCTCGTGGTCCTGATGCCGTAAATCCTGCAGGACGCACGGTAGAGGGGAGTGAGAATACTTTGATGATTGAACAGGGCGCACATACAACGGCTGTAGAGGAGAAAGAGGAAGGGGGGATTATATCGAATGAGGTGATGGCGGCCCTGAAGGGCTTCCAACAAAGCGGGGCTAGAGTCACAACAAGGTCGGAGAACACTGGAACCGGGCTTTCCTTGGTAGATTATGGAAGTGACAGTGATTGAGTGGTTAGTTGATCCTGCCATGAGGTGCGTGATGCACTGAAGCTGATTGTGGTTTCAATGACTAGCTATGTACTCTGTTACTATTTTTTTTCTTTTCTTCTTTTCCTTTTCTTACCAGCGCCTAACTTTCCTCGCTGGCGATTACGCAGTTCTCTTTATAATTAACCAAGCATTCCTTTAGTCTGATCATGATGTATAATAAAATATCGTAGACGAGCGACAATAGGGCGTTGGGGATTTTTCTGTTACAAATGTGGCAAGTATGAAGCATGAACTGTGAATATATAAAACCACTAGAGACTACACTGCTCAAAATCTCGATCAAGGGCTTTTAAAGTTGAATATCCCTATGGGGATACGAAAATTCCGGAAAGTCATATGTTATGATTCCAAGATTAAGCAGAATTTCAGGTTTATGGCAGGTTTCAAAATGGCATATATATATTGTAGTGATGCACTTAGAAGAAAACAAGTCTCCGGGCGGCTTGCCTAAAACACGGACTAATTGATATATATGGAAACAGAGGGCAACTTGGGCCAGCCCGGACCAAATATATCATGTACTTGCATGTATATAGGGAGGGCTCGGGCCAGATTGAAGATCTAGTTGGACTGTAGTAGGTTATATTTCTATACACATGTAACCTATGCTTTTGTCTCCCTCTCGGTAACTAAAATACACGTAGTTCCCGGGACCTTGCAGCTTGACGGAATGTATGTGCAGGCTCGTGAAATAAAGAAAACCCAAAAGTGTAAAGGCCCGGCCCGACCCATAAAAGAAAATGGTAGGCCCAGACCCGTCGTTGATCAGCGGGTCGGCCTAAGTGGCCCTCTGGCTGAAACTACCTGATGTACATACAGTAGACTCTCGCTGTAAGGATATTTAATATAAGGATATACCCGCTATAAGGATACCACCGGCCAGTCCTAACAAATTTGTATGGGGTTTTAAGGATAATTGGTTATAAGAATATCTTATGGTTTTGGTGTGGGTATTCTTATAGAAAGTGATCTTGACGTGTGAATTTGTAGTTCTCCCCTCCCAAAATAATAAATAAAAATCTTAAAAGTTACAAAAAACAGACTATCCTGCCACTGACCTAAATGGAATAGGTATTAGACCCCACTCTCGCAAATCTCTGGGTATTCTAGACCGTAATTTTTTCTCATTGTTCCTGGAAAACCTAACCCTGAACATGCGTGCTGTAAGGATAGATTGGCTATAAGAATTCGAGTTTCCGGACCGTATCCTTATAGCGAGAGTCTACTGTAGATATACAGCTACACCCCGCTATAAGAAACGCGGGCAATTTTCGTTTCATAGCAAAATATTTCTTAAAGCAAGATTTTGGTGTAGAGCTGTTAGCGTGTACACTATGGGTGTTTTTTACAGCAAGGTTTTTTTCTTATAGCAAGGTTTCTTATAGCGAGGTGTCGCTACTAGTATACATTGCAAGATTGGGATATATTGACTAAGCCCGTGAAAAAACTTTACGAGTGACAGACAATGAAGGAAGCGTGGCATTGCCAAGCCGCGGATTTTTTTCTGTTCGAAAGTTTGAATCTCAGTCATAAATAAAAAAAAGGAAGAATTTTTTTTTTTTTTCAATTTCTAACTAATTATCTCTACATGTACATATTATGTAGGATTGATTATCCACAGATCATCACACTGGGGATCACCACAAGAGATAAATAAAAAGGGACATGATGATGAATGAATGTACTGTCCCCCTCTCATCAGAGCCTTCGTAAAGCGAAGGAACTGGTTGAGAGGGAGACAGACTTCAATCAAGAGAGCCGGGAACGGAACGAAGTCCACAGAGAAAAAGGACAACACTCAGCAAGCCGCACTATGGCGGAGCTCCCATGGTTATTTTCATAACCTCTACTGATGATGATGAGAGAAGAGGAGTGTGAGGGAAACGACCAATTTATAGTCGGGTGTCCATTCTAAAATTTGGCCGACCGCCGCTCTTGGCGACGACAAGGACGAGGCGGCTCAAGCCAATGCCAAGGGAACCTCTTTTTTCTGATTTCCTAAGCGCACTCACTACTCAGATCTAAGGCACAGGATTCAGGCGACCTACACCTAACTTCAAGAGCCACCTGGGCAGCACAAACCCGCTCTCGACATACTATTACCGGTCGCGACAGCAAAAGAGTCAACTCCAGTTCAGTTCCGGTCACATTCCTTCCTCTAGCTACCGCACTCCCCATCCTGAACTTACCTAACCTCGATCACAATGGCATACGAAGACAAAAAACGAAGAGGCAACGAATCTGAGTACCCCTCGAAACGGTCAAAGTCAGAGATGGACCCTTCACAAAACCCTTACCTCGCTCACATGTACGAAGAAGATACTGGGAGTGCCGGGCGTCCTGGAAAGGGCGGAAATACTGGGAGCATATTGAACACCTTCAGGCGCCATCAGACAACTACAGAGCAAGCCAACAAAGCCGAAGATGGCCCATTGAACCCTTTCAACGGGAACCCATTGTCAAATCAGTACTTCAAAATTCTGAAGACGCGAAGGAATTTGCCAGTTCATCAGCAGAGGTGGGTTGTAATGCTCTTATCGGGGGTGCTTCCTTTTATCGTTGCTGACTATTTGATCCAGAGATGAGTTCCTTGAAATGTTCCATTCAAGCCAAATCCTCGTTTTTGTCGGGGAAACCGGTTCAGGAAAAACTACGCAAATTCCTCAATTCGTCCTGTTCGATGATCTCCCTCACCTTAACGGTCGTAAGCAGGTCGCATGTACTCAGCCCCGTCGAGTCGCTGCCATGTCCGTGGCGAAGCGTGTCGCCGATGAGATGGACGTTCAGTTGGGGCAAGAGGTTGGGTATAACATTCGTTTTGAGGATAAGACCGGACCAAATACCATTTTAAAGTACATGACAGACGGTATGCTTCTTAGAGAGGCTATGAATGATCACAACCTAGACCGGTACTCCTGTATCATTCTTGACGAAGCACACGAAAGAACACTAGCCACCGATATTCTTATGGGACTGTTAAAAGATGTCGCCATAAGGAGGCCGGATTTGAAGATCATTATCATGTCCGCTACGCTGGATGCGCAAAAGTTTCAGCGCTATTTCAATGATGCGCCACTACTGGCTGTTCCTGGACGTACACATCCTGTAGAGATCTTCTATACTCCTGAGGCAGAGCGAGATTATGTTGAAGCCGCACTTAGGACAGTCTTACAAATACATGCAACAGAGCCTGAAGGAGATATTCTTCTCTTCCTTACTGGTGAAGAGGAGATCGAGGATGCATGTCGAAAGATTTCTCTTGAGGCGGATGAATTACTACGAGAGACAGATTGTGGTCCTCTGAAGGTTTATCCGCTTTATGGAACTCTGCCACCTGCTATGCAACAAAAAATCTTTGAACCTGCACCACCTCCGAGACGTCCAGGTGGTGCGCCAGGGCGCAAGGTTGTTGTATCAACAAACATTGCAGAGACATCCCTTACAATCGATGGTATTGTTTATGTTGTGGATCCCGGTTTCTCAAAACAGAAGGTCTACAACCCTCGAATTCGTATTGAATCGTTGCTTGTCTCCCCAATCTCCAAGGCATCTGCTCAACAGCGGGCCGGTCGTGCCGGTCGTACCAGGCCTGGAAAATGCTTTAGGCTTTATACTGAAGCAGCCTTCAAGAAAGAGTTGATTGAACAGACTTACCCTGAAATTCTGAAAAGTAATCTTTCCAATACAGTCCTAGAGCTGAAGAAGCTGGGGATCGATGATCTAGTTCACTTTGATTTTATGGACCCCCCAGCGCCAGAGACGATGATGAGAGCACTGGAAGAGCTTAACTTTCTTGCTTGTCTGGATGATGACGGGTACGCAAAATCCACCTCGTCCAATTACAGGCGGTCCTTTATACTGATGCGACTTTTCATAGTAATCTGACAGCACTTGGAAAAATTGCTTCCGAATTCCCTCTCGACCCCGCGCTAGCAGTCATGCTTATTACCTCTCCCGAGTTTTTCTGCTCAAATGAGATACTTTCTATTACTGCTCTCCTTTCTGTTCCACAGATTTTTGTGCGTCCCCCGCAAGCTCGTAAGCGGGCCGATGAGATGAAGCAGCTGTTCGCACATCCAGACGGTGATCATCTTACTATGTTGAACGTCTATCACGCTTTTAAGTCCCCGGAGGCTCAAGAAAACCCAAGTGATTGGTGTTACAACCACTTCTTGAGTCTGAGGTCTCTCCAGAGCGCTGATAATGTCAGAAGTCAATTGGCAAAGATCATGGAAAGGAATGAACTGGAACTTGTTTCTACGCCTTTTGAAGACAAGAATTATTACACCAACATAAGGAGAGCGCTTGTCTCGGGATTCTTCATGCAAGTTGCAAAAAAGGCGGCGAATGGGAAGCAGTACGTTACTGTCAAAGACAATCAGGTACTTTCAACCCCCCTTAATCCGCAAATTTTGTTTTATAACTAATTCTTTTGTAAAGGATGTTCTCCTCCATCCCAGTACAGTACTCGGGCAGGAGTCTGACTGGCTTATTTACAACGAATTCGTATTGACCTCTAAAAACTACATCCGGACAGTGACACAGATTAAAGCAGAGTGGCTACTTGAGATCGCGCCGGTCTATTATGACCTTAATACATTCCAAAAAGGAGATGTGAAAACTGCGCTGCAAAGGACGGCAGAAAAGATGAAACGGAAGGAGCAACTTGCTGGGAAAACTAGTAGGATGGGTAATGGATATTAAAACTTTGTGCCGTGAGTCTGGGTATACTGCTATTATTTTTAGATGTTGTGCCAGAAATGTACGGCAAATTTTTCTTCTTGGGAGTATTGTATTTTTAAAGCCCGTACTTGGTATTTAAAGGTTAAAGGCGATCAGGTAAAGATAAATACCATTCCGTAATCTTTTTAGTTAACTTAGGACATGTTTGGCTGTCTTATATATCCTTATAACTACCTGTTTTTCCTCCGCTGTGGCTAGGCCATACCTTGTGACAACTATAAATTTCACATAGTTCTGGAAGCCATATTTAAATTCTTTGTCTGTCATATCAAACGAGTGATGATACATGATCCAGTAATCACGAGAACAGAGTAAAATTATGGCATGATTTTGTGGTCCACTAAGGGCAATATAATCTGACCACGTCAGGTGAATCATGATTCAGATTCTCAGTCGAATCAGATAATCTCGCTTCCGTCCTCATCGAATTTCATCTATTAGGAGTCGAGAGGTGCACTAAGCTGGTGTGCATGGGATTGTCATCAGGAACACATCTATTACCATAAAGCCAACTGAACTATGGCAGAAACTCACTCTATTGTTGATCTCTCTCACTTTGACGAGGAAGACGTGTGCGACTACCGCTTCGGAGGATATCACCCGGTACGGCTTGGGGATATCTATAATAATCGGTACAAAGTTGTCCGGAAGCTTGGGTATGGGCAAAATTCGACAGTCTGGCTTGCGTTGGATCTCCAGTATGTATATACAGTACTCGGCCACCTTTATTTCATCTGAACCTTCTCTGACTCTCCCTTGAACAATCGCAGTCTTAATCGCCACGTAGCTTTAAAGATTTTAACATCCCGCTGCTACGGTGGGAAAAAGGAGGTCTACGAACTAGCCATACTCCAACGTATCACAAATTCCGATGTGAAACATCCAGGGTGGAAACATGTCCTTAGTCTACTTGATTCCTTTGTCCATACGGGGCCAAATGGAGATCATGTTTGCCTGGCGAACGAAATGATGTTGGGGAATCTCCACGAACTCTCGTTCCGTTTTGGTCCGCGACGGCAGTTGCCGGTAAGGCTTGTGAAGGAGGTCTCGAGGCAAATGTTAAGCGGGTTGCAGTATTTGCACGAGACCTGTGGGGTTATCCATAGCGGTATTTATTTCTTTATTTCTTTTCTCGTGGGTGATAGTGAGGGCGCAGGCCGGCATGGACAGGGGGCTAATCTGAGGTAGATCTGAAGCCGGCGAATATATTGATATCGATAAAGGGGCTTGATGTGGAGAGTGTGATACGAAAACATTTGGAGAACAATCACCCAATGGTTTTCCGGCCGGATTATCTTATTATATCTGATGCATTACAGCTTACCTTACCTGGCTCCCCGTCCGATTTTCTATTTAAAATTGCGGATTTTGGCAACTGTGAGTGGTTCCTCACATAGTAAACTACTGGAAAATTGGTGCTAACCTGGGTCACTGTAAAGCATCTTGGGTTGATAACCACTTGATGGAACTAATTCAACCCGTCAATCTTCGGGCACCTGAAGTTATCATCGGCGCTAAATGGGATACTAGTACGGATATATGGAATATAGGATGTGTAGTTAGTTCACGCCGCTCTTCGCTGGTGGTATGCTTAGTCTACTAACAAAGAGTAGATATTTGAGTTGTTACAAGGTAGGCCGTTATTTCGCGGTCGAACAGATGAAGGTTTAGGCTGGACAGTGAATGAAGACCGATTAGCCCTCATGATGGATCTTTTTGGTCCTTTACCCAAGGATCTGTTACAGGAAGGAAAGGTATCATCAAGATATTTCGATGATAATGGTATCATTTTCGGTCTCCTTTTATACCAAAACCCCACTAAAGAGTACTATAGGGAACTTATCCTCTATAAGGCCAATCAGCAACGAGTTCTCTCTTGAAAGGGTAGTGAAACTCTGGAACCCGGGTCTATCGGAAAAAACGGCACTCGGATTCGTGGAGTTTCTTAAGCCAATGCTAGAATATCGACCTAAGGACCGGAGGACCGCTAGACAGATGCTGGATGGGGCATGGCTTCAATAGACCAAATACGTTGTGCTACTTTTCATTTCTTCTGGGGTCATTTGGAATATTATCTTGTAATTCTCTGGGGGTTTATTTTTACTTCTTTTATTAGGGGATCTTGGATTAGTATTTTTTTTTTTTTTAATCAAAGATGAACGCTGAAAATGTAGGCAATTCTTTTCATTTCTACCACGTTGGGCATATGAACCCTGAGCCAGAGGTATTAAACAAAAACAGCTTCTATACACCTATTATAAGCTAAGATAACGTCTTAGAAGTCTCTCGCAAATAAACCACCTCAATCAGTCGTAGACCGTAAAACCATGAAAGAGCGTATTAATGCCGATACAGCTCAATCATAGAAGGTCACTCGACTGAGGAGAAATATCCCTCTACACATTTTAACTCATCGATCGTACCCTCTACGCACATAGATAAGAGTGAATTCAAAGGTATAAATCAATAATTACAAACTATATATTCCTGTTATTTCAGTCTTGATACCACCTTTTCATACATACTGATTTGGTAGGGCTCATAGGCGGGTTATTGCTTGGCTTCCATGACCAAACAAAGCTCAAAACGCTCAGGGTCACGGCCTATCGAGCTTCATAAGGGTTGTATCCCTCCTCCCCAACCCCGGTAATATTATATCACCTACAAAACGTTCCACAACCCTAAACCCGCACTTCTCAAGAACCCTAATACTGCCCATATTGAACGGGTCTACCTTTGCTATAATGAAATTGATACCTTTGGAGTACCCCCAATATGCTTCTATGTATGCAACAAGCGCTTCACTTGCGTATCCCTGACCCCAGAAGGACTGGTTAAAGATATAGCCTATCTCAACCGTGTCTAGGGAGAAGCGAGAGGTGACACCAATGACACCAATCATGGCGCAATTGGTCGTTGTGTCGGAGTTGGAAGCTCGAATTAAAACCCCGTAATTGAGACGCTTGGGCTTCTCTGGGTCAAAGAATAACCCATCCATGCGGGCTCTACTCTCTCCAAGTGAATGGGAGGTTCCACGAGTTCTAGGTAGTAGTTATTAGCATTTGAGGCTATTAGCAATTTGAGACTCGAGAGGTGTCTGATAGAGAGTACTCACGACCACTTGGCTACAGAGGGATTGCTCCAGATAGCGTGGAAATCATTGAGGTGCGACTCTTCAAGGAGTTGAAATTCGAGGCGTGAAGTTTTTACAACTGGAGGTGGTAGGGGGAGTTCGCTCATAGCTTTAGATGTGTTTTTTTTCTGTCCGGGAAGAGACCATTGAAATTTAAGAAGTCGATTGACTCAGACATCAATATGACTCTGAATATGTACAGGGATTATATCTACAGGAGTAGTACCTTCCTTATTTTGATTGTAGAGGCAGCTATAGAAATCCATGAAAGGCTGTTTTTGAACAAATGAATAGTAGTTGATTGTTCGAGGGGTTTATTGTATTGATAATGGTGAAATTGTCTATCACAGCAGATTCCAACTGATCAATCTATTTAGCTCGAAAGCGATATTTCATGGTAGCTATAGGAATATCTTGCTTGATAAACCCTAACCACCAATCTAGATGAAAACCTATCTTTCAAGATGCTCATAATCGATCATTTCCTGCAGGTACTTCTATATATATGAGGGAAGAATCGTAAATCCTGCCAACGTAAACATCGGACTTACAAGACATATCGAATCTAAAAACATCTCCAACATGGCTCACCAAAATGCACATATAATTATGCACCTCGCACAGCAGATCCAGCGCCTCACTTACAAGGACACATTTATGAGAAATCAGTACTATGTCCTTGCAAGAATAGTTTGCGACCCCTCTCCCCAGAACTCGTACTCCAAGCTTGTTCAAATCATGCATAAAATTGCCGCATATAATATTCGGCATTATGCTTCTGCCTTAGAAGCAGAAGAAGTCAGAGTGCTGATTATAAACATGTGCCTCGAGATGGTCCCGTGGGAGAAGAGATCATTGTTTAAGACGTTTGTGGAGCAGATGGAGCATCTGCATGAGTTGAGGGTAGAGGTAATTGAGGAGTTGATTAGGCTCAAGTTTGACATGGATGTGGAGCTGCATTTAGGTAAGTGCGATGGCTGTGAGGAATGTGAGGAACTTGGAGAAGAGTGAGCCAGTAGGCGAATTCTAGGTTTTGGCACATGCGCAAGAGAACGTTCTATGCAGGCACGAGCTGTCGCATCGAACCTTCAGATAACAGGCAAAATCCCATTCGGGCCTCGAAAACTATTGATAAAAAAAAAAAAAAAAGAAAAACAGTATGAAGAGAAAAGAAAAAGAAAGAAAACTGGGAACTAAGCATGGGCACAAGTTTGTGTTACTAAGAGAAAAGTTTAGTCTCAAAGAATTTAGTCACGTAGGATTTAGTCACATAGGATTTATTAAAGAGATGCAGTTTTTGATAATGAATTCCGTCGATTTATTTATATATATTCGCCCAGATTGGTGGGCTACATAAAAATCGTTTCCTAGACGTTGGTTTGGTTAGTACAATCTCAATTCCACCTAGAACTTCCATCGTTCGCATGGCCAAAATTATCCTAGATAAACACTTTCCAAACGTTAGTGACAATGTCCACCAGAAGTCTCAAAGAAACCTAAAAGGTGCAAAGTAGGGGGGGGTTCGTCAGAAGTCCAGGACTATCATCGACCTACACACCCCTCCGAAGAAGAATATGTAGGCCTCGATAAAGAGGTACCAGAAAAATAGTATATATGTGATTGATCATCATTCGGAATTGTAGGGTATGGAATGAATGGCGGGAGGACAGAATGATTGCAACTTACATTAACGTGCACAGCTGCGCACACCGATCGAATGGTCGAAGGATTGATGAATGTTGATAGGTGAGAGTTCGCATTGGCTTTAAGTTGAAGTTTTCTTTCGCATCAGAAACCCGATTAGTCATGTCGCCGCCAAGTGTAGATTCACCGCCTTAAGGGCAGGGGGCATAGGGCTAGGATAACATGACATGGGGGTATTCGAGTGAGATTGGGAGATGCATTGATGAAAGCTGTGTAGACTTAAAAGTTTATTAGTGCCCATGACCTTAAAAGACTTTGGGGGTAATTGATTGCTTGGTAAAGTATCGAAAGAAGAAGAAGCTTAAGGGTATGAAATTTAAAGCAAAAAAAAAGCATATATAAAAAGCATCAACTAACTCTGAAATCCCGCTGGATCCCACAGAAACACTTAGGGAGATTTTTAATGTTTGTTTCGGATTCTTGCCCGAAAATTTTGGGACTTTGTATAAAAAATATCAGTTATCTCATCGCTGGCGTTTGGGTATTACAGGTCGGTGGAATATTATTTGTATTCGCACCGCGGACCACCCCATCGTCGCTTCCTTGTAAAATAACAATAACAAACCCATATACCGAGACAAAGGAAAATGAGAGAGATAAGGAAAAGTCCGCAGATAAGGTATATCAACGACCAAAAACAACAGGTCATTCAGTAAAGTAGTCAAGGCTTACTTCAACTAGCATTTGAGAACTAAGAATGGTGATAAGATGAAGAGGCGGAAGAGAAGGGGTAGATAATTGAATTGAGGTATGAGGAGGTGATGAGTTAAGGTAGTGCATAATATATCAAATAACAAGACGCAAACATGAACTATGGACCAAGCACCTTACTCAATAAACAGCCGAGGAAACAGAAATAGATAGGCAACTGAAAACGCCCCACTTGATATCCAAGAGCCCTAAAGAAACATAACAAAAAAAAATACGAAGAAAAAGGGTTTATAATAAAAAAAAACAATGTCCAAGAAATATAGAAAGAAAAAAACCTAGTGGAAATAAGTCCGCAAGATGATGACAAAACCCGTGCCAGAAAGAAGAAAAGGAAAGGGAAAGGGAATAATTAGAAGTGCCCCCGATTAAGAGTGCCCAAGAGTGTTCGCCGCCGTTGCACGAATGGCCAATATCCCAAAATTGAAGTCCTGCCACCAAATCGCTGAGTCCCATTCATCCAAAATATCCCGCTCCGTTCTTTTTTTCTTTTTTTTCTCGCAATGTTCCCACACTGGGCCACAGATAGTCAAAGTAATAAACGAAATAAGAAGGGAAGTGTATAAAACCAATAAATGTCCCCACCCAACAAAGCAGAACCCCCTGATATTCTCCACTCAAATACTTTTATGATCCGTTTGTCTTAACTCGTTTATTCCCGCCCACCCGTGGACTCTGCTTAACTTTATTGTTGACCGTACCATTGACACCGCTGTCACCTGCGTCCTCGTTTTGCTTCACCTCGCTAGTGGTACTTGCTCGCCGCCGTTTATTCGTTTGATTCGGAGATGTGTTCGCGCTTCCTACTGTCGTGCTCGTTTGTGAGCTCGGATTGCTGGTGGGATGACCCTGCTGCGAATGTTGGGTTACTAACCCTGGGGCCTGAATATGTGGACTTGGAGTTGTGCCTGGTCCTCCTCCCACTCCTCCTACACTTAGATGCGGTGAAGGCGGTACACCCATCCGCATCTCATTCGCCGATGGTGATCGTGTAAGACCAATTGGGAGTCCGCCCATCATTTGGTGCTGCTGCTGGTTAGGGCCACGCGGGATGCCGCCAGGTCCGCCGGGGTGCCCCTGCTGTGGCTGAAGCCCCTGAGCTAGAGCTGAAGCGTGCGCTGCTTGCTGCTGCTGCTGCTGCTGCTGCTGCTGCTGTTGCTGCTGTTGCTGTTGCTGTTGCTGTTGTTGTTGCTGTTGTTGTTGCTGTTGCTGTTGCTGTTGCTGTTGCTGCTGTTGCTGCTGTTGCTGCATAGCTGCCTGTTGCTGCATCGCGTGCTGATGAGCTATATGCTGCTGTTGCTGTTGCTGTTGTTGAGTCACAATACTTTGGAGAGCTTGGCTAGGTGTTAGATTCGCATTCGCTTGTGAAAAGCTGAAGAGGTCGCGCATTTGAGATATTGTTTCTGCGATCTACTCTCGTAAGCTAAATGTACAAGCTACATAAACATAGTTTCAAATAATGACGGTACCTCCAAACATCTAAAAACAGTGTCAGGAACCCCGTACGGGTTCACTAGAGTTTCAGGTACATCCACATGACGTTGCGAGGGTCTCTTTCCTAACGATTTGCTGCCAGGCGATGACTTTATCTGGGCATCCTCGTTGGCGGATACCAGCGCACTCACGACTGACCGGGGCACGTAATCAATATGCTCGTTTGTCTGAAAATCCAACGCCTCCATCTGGGAATGAAGGTTGAAAGTTGCCTTCAGCACTCCAGTGGCAATCAACTGGAAAGATCGAAACTATGGTTAGTGCGCAACAAAGAGGGTTGGATATGGACTAACTCACGTGACAATCGTTTTGGAACCAATACACGAAACTTGCTTTCGGGGATTCCACAATGTGCCCTTGGTTTGGAAGCGGCGTCTCCCGAGTACCTTCAAGCATGATCTGTACATTTCTTACACCGCTCTCGAATAATGTGTAGTAGTAGCGAGCTAGAACCTGGGTTGTAATCTCGAATTGCTTTGTTTCCCGCGTTGTGCTATTCCAGAGCGCCTGTCGCATTACACCGCCAGGCGAGTAGAAGTTTGAAACGAATGTTCGCCAATAGTTGATGTCGTTCGCAAGCCGAGGAGTCTCAAACGCAGCTAGGTGACTACAGAATTGGTGTAGTTTCAGTACAGAGGCACCTCGTAAAGATTGACTACCCGCAAAGTCAGCATTTGCTCAAGACATAACAGAACCAGCAAGTGAGATTTACGGTTGTTGCTGAGCCTGTTGGGCTCGGGCCTGGGCTTGGGCTTGGGCAGCCTGGGCAGCCAGTGCTACCTGTTGCTGCTGTGCAAGATTTCCCTGCATGCTCATCTGTGGTTGTGGGGCCATGTTCATTGGGGAAGCCTGAGAATGAGCGGCAGCATTCGCTTGGTTCATGGCTATCTGTTGCGCAACCATTTGTTGCTGCTGTTGCTGCTGTTGCTGCTGCTGGGCTGCTTGCGCCTGTGCCAATTGTTGATGAATATGTGGTGGTAGACTCACATTTCCTCTCATTTGAGGGTTTCCACCCCCATATCCCCCCATATTAGCACCGGGTACACCTCCTCCCGGCGGACCGCCTGTGTATAAACCGTTAGGAAGACCGCCGCGGACTTGAGGAGACCCGTTGTTCTGGCCATGAAAGATCATACCCGGGTTTCCCATACCCACATTCATTCCGTTCATCATCGCATGCTGTTGTTGGGCCTGCTGTTGTCGCTGCCGTTGCTGTGCTTGTACTAGCAACTGCTGTTGTTGTTGTATTTGGGCCATCTGTGCTTGTCCTGGATGTAACCCAGCTACTACTGGAGACGCCATGTTAGTGTCATTCATTCATTAACAATGAGAACTCCTCCACGACACCTCAATTGAGCCTCAACCACCTTTGAGGTAGGTCGCGAGCTTAATTAGCGCGATTCTCGCGCGCCAATTGAGATAACTAGGATCGAGCTCCTAAACTGAAATAGGGTGCTGGGGACTACTAACGCGCCATCTGATGTTGCTGTTGAGCAGCAGCCTGCTGAGCAGCATATACCTGGGCTTGTTGAGGATGTAATTGCTGCATCCCATGAGGCGCCGGTTGTCCTGGATGGCCTTGAACATGTTGTTGAGGACCCTGCTGCATACCTGGGTGCTGTTGCAGCTGGTTCTGGTGTTGAGGGTAAGTGGCCATCATGGTTCCGTGATTGTTTACGGCTCAGCGGCCGTTGGGGAAGGGAGGTTTCTGATGTCTAGTTGTGTTTATGTCCGAGTAGGTTTTACGTATATATGGTGGTGATATAGTCAAGGGGTATATATGGCTCTGGCTAGTGTGGGACGTATTATGAAGGTTGATGCGTAATAATGGGATTAGGGTCTGAGTATAATAATAATAATCAGATGGCGAGGGACGGGCGAAGCGAGTAGTTATTCAGACAATCGTGTCGATGGGGGCGACGAACGTACTGGGGGGGAGGGATACCTGGGGAGGGGGAGATATCTGGGGGGTTGTGGACTGGCTGGGTTGGGTGGGTAGGTCAAGCAAGTAGACTCAATAGCGGGTGAGGATCGATGTGAAAGAGGGGTTTAGGGTTGATTTTGAGGCTCGCGGGATGGAAAGGGAAAGGGTTGGCTGGTTGCTTGCTTTCTCGAAAGGGATCGGTTCGCGTGAGATGCACCGAGTAACGTCCAAGAAGCTTTTCCGGCCCGCTGGACAGGTCAGGAGTGGAACGGCGACGACGGCGGCGGCAGTAGCAGCGAAGTGGCAGCAGCAGCCAGAAGTAATGGTTGAATGCGGCAACAACAACAACGGGGAGAGAGAACGACCACACGTAACGGAAGGCTCTTCCGGAGAATCAGAAGGGAGCGTGTGTGCGAGAAGAGAGTGAGAGAGGGTTGGGATGAGGAAAAAAGGTGAAGGGAGGTGAGGAAGGAGGAAGGAGGCGCGGGAGAGCGTCGGAAGTATTGGGTGGTGGGTAGGTAAGAAAGGGCTAGCAGTATGAGATAGAAAGAAGGAGCTGCAGCAGTAATAACAATATGATGTATGTAGTTGCAGCCAGCAGTAGTAGTAGTTGCAGTAGAACTGGACAAAACGGACAGAGCTGCTGCGACCGTGAACAGCAGCTACAAATAGGATATTATTATAGACGTTTATGAGATCTCATGACTTCTAGGACGTAGATAGATAGGTGGACTGGTATTCTCCTTCTCCCGCTTTTTTTTTTTTTTAAGAAGTACTTTCTTTTCCTGAATTTACCTCGTCTCTCAGCAGGGCATCATTTAAATATGCAGGAAAAAAAGTAGTGAATACCGCCGGTATCAGGGGGAGGAGCAGGCAATAATCAAAATTCGAGAGGCTGCACTTTGCTGGGGTAGAACAAGAAAATGTGCACTGTACTGTGGGAAGGAGCAAGTACTTATAAGATCAGAGAACCAAAAAATGGATCCTCAGAATGACACCAAACTCGAGCAAAAGAGGAGGGGAGAAGAATTGTGTGCACCTTTTTTTTTTTTTTTGTTGCAAGAGCAGAGCCCTCGCTGTTCGCGCTCTCTCTCTGGGGGGCAACAGTGGTGGTCTTTTTTCTTTCCCTCCATTAACACTAATTTAATAATTAACTGTCTTTTTTCTTACCAAAATGAGATGATTTGTCAGTAAAATCTTGCATGACAACCCTAACCCGCTTTGCCAAGATCTCTTACGTCGGTCAAAAAATTTTCTTTTCCTTCCCGTGTGCCTATAAATGACCCGATGAGCCTCTCAACATCATTAACACCATGTCCCGCGACCGTGAACACCACGAAAAGGAAGTACTGATGCCAGTGCTTCCATCAAAAACTTACTGGTATGTACCCTCTCCTCCATCTTTCCGTTCCCTACCGTTCACAAACTTCTGAATGATGAAAACCTACGCACACCTTCTTTCCCAATCTTATTCGATCATGATTGAGGCCGCAGTGCTGTTCGGGCTCGATCCAGCCTTCGGGCTGGATTGACCTGTCTACTTGCCAGTACTTTGTTGTCTGACCACTCAGAAGTCAATTCACTACATCTTGCCCCACTTGTCATTACTGTTATGACCATTTGCTAACTTAGTGGCAGACTTGACAGGTTCCATCGATCAATATCAATAATCCGTACGGTCAACAGGTTCACCACAAAAGGTCAGTCTAATTTTTCTACAGTTTCCCCCTCACTGCTCAATTGCACCTCCCCGCCTCCCCCGCGTTCAGATGATGAAAGCATATCCTACATTCGCAGTTTCCTCGGTAGCATACGCAAGAACCCATTTTGTATTGCCAGTGACCGCTGCAAGACCTTTCTTGGAGGTCTGATTCGAACGCTCATATCCCCCAATTAAAATTTATTGCCTATCATACCCAAACCATGATCAGTCATACTAATATCTTAAAGGTTATACTACAGGTTTTATCGATTTGCGGTCCATGCAATCAATCAAGTCAATAATACTATCACCACTAATAGTAACACATAATAACAATGCTAATACTAATAATAATAGTAAAAATCGATTAATAGCCTTTAAAATGCAATTTGTAAAATCTGTCGTGAAAATGTTCTCTGTGATACTCCATCTTAATCGTATCCGTCCCTGCCTGTGATCCCCTACCATCAAATGTATCCATCTCCCTTCTCCATCAAAAAACTGCATGTCTCGGCTCGTTTCCAACTGCACTGGCTTACTTCGTGTGGAACCTATGTAGCCTCGCCAATTTGCAGTTGTGCGTTGTTAGAGTATGTAGAATTTCGTCATGGGCACAAAAGAAATTGCGGGGAACACATTTTTTTATCCTGTTCCTTGCATGAGATCTTACTCTAACAGCGGTCAACTTTGGTACCTTGAAGGGAGGGAATAGGTGATGCTCGGACCGGGTATTTGGCAGATCATTTTAGGTCACCCGCTCTTCACTCGACGCCATGGGTTGATGACATGTATCTATCAGGGGATGATACATGTACCTCTACGTAAAGGATCAGATTGTGCTTCTATAGGCCCATGGAAATCCAGAGACTATTACCTGAAGCAGTAGCTAAGTTGCATGATCCCAATATCGGCGTATGAGTATTCAAATTACATATAATTCCTATGTACAGAATATTAGATAATACTAGTTCATGCAACTTTGCTCTGTAGACGGAAAATAAAGACATCATAACCCAAGGCTGCTGAAGACCATGTAGTCAGTGTATCAAGTTTCCTCCATTCCAAAGTTGTTTCGTCTCCTGTGTTTTGATGCTGCATGATACTGTTATTCGTGGGTTAGCATAAACCATAAATCGCTGTTGTTAGCTTCTAGTACTCTAATCCCGACTTGCACGGTTTCTGTTTAGAGAGCTGTGGGTTAGTACAAGCACGTAAGAGAAATCATCAGTTGCCCATATTAGAGCGGAAAGATGCATGTGCTATATGCTGTTCAATGTTACCTAGTGGTGGCCAAGCTTTTCAGAAGCGGTCTTCATAAGATCTCACTCGACGTAGTCATAACGAACTTACAAGATCAAAGAAAATAAACGAGAAACGAAAAGTGAGAGAGGAAACTCAGTACAACCATCCACATAACCCTAGTGCTTACAGAAGGAAAGTCACAGATATTTACAGTACGAACCTACCTTATCTTTTCCCTCTCCGGCGGCGCGCCTTTTTTAATTATCATATCATGTCATGCAGCTTTTTCTCAGTACGTTTTTGGTTTTGTTTCTTTCACATAATCTTCTCTCTTTCGCAGACATCAAATCAATCAATCAAAAACCAATCACATCATCAATCACCACACGCACACATCTCACACTACGAGATTTCACCGGCAGAAGCGAAAATCACGGTGTCACGACTCACGTAATCTTACGTCTCCGGAACGAGAGAGAGGAAGGGAAGAGGGGAACCTTTGTCCACTCCCATGGCCGTGTGTTCTCCCGTCCTCTCTCCATCCCGGATTTCCGCCGATATGTGTGCGCTCCCGCCCCTGATTCCCTGACTTCCCATATCTGCACCCACCAAACCACCTACGACATGATAAGAGACGAGGAACGATTAATGACAAAAGAGATAACATCGAAAAGAAACCGAGAAAAAAACAGAACAACAAAATGCAAACCACAAAATTATTCCAGAGAGAATAAGCTGCAGCCCAATAGCTCCCCGGATGTAATCAAAGAAGAGGATGGTGACGACAGGAAGATTCCAATATATTAGGTCCCCGGTGCGGCACTGCCCGTATTTCCTGCTTGCTGTTGCATCATGGCAGCGTAATACATTGCGCAATAGGCTTGGTATCCTCCATATGGCGCATATGGGTCACTAGGGTCGGCAGGTACACCTGGAGTCACACCAGCAACACCAGGTGGCGCGCCAGCTGCAGGCTGCTGTTGCTGGGGCTGCGAATAAGCTGCCCATGACGGTTGCTGGTGCTGTGTCTGTGAAGATTGGTTATAGGAATCATTGTGGTGCCCACTTCCACTGCTATGGTGTGAATGTCCCCCCCCTCCTGCTGCGTGAGAAGGCTGTGGGCGGTTTGGTGGCCCATTACGTGACTTTGAGTACTGGGTGAGCGAGGTTAGTATATAGTTTGCTATGGAGGGAAAAAGGAATAGAAAAGAGAAGGGAACTATGTACAGAGGCTTCCACTTTTTCTTCGATAGCTTGGCGGGCGCGGTTGATTGCGTCGCGGGTTCCAGCGAGGGCGATTTCTCGCTCGGGGTCGTTGGGGTTGCATTGGGAGGAGACATTAATTCTGCATCCGGTTGAGGATTGCATTTCTTTGATTGTTTCTCCGCCTGTTTAGACAATTAGTATGGCATAGAACTAAATTTTTGAAAAACCAGGATTACCTTTTCCAATGATCATTCCCACCGCGTCAATAGGGACTTTAATGGTCTCTGTTATCCTTCCATCCGCCCCACCACTGCCCCCACCGCGTCCACCGTCACCATGACCGCCGTAGTATCCACCACTGCTGCCTGCTGGGGGGCCTCGCTCGGGGCGGCCGCCTCCGATACTAGGTGGTGGTCCAGTACCAGCATTATCGCTCTCGACAATTTCCATGATCAATCGTTTGGCGTGTTCCGCAGCAGCTACCGAACCAATGAGATTTACAGGCCTCTGGCCATTCTGCGATTTAGCTTCGCCGACAATGTTGACATGACATCCGGACTTGTCTTGGATATCCCTAATAGTTTCACCGCCACGACCAATAATCAAACCGACTGTACGATCTGGGACAAGTATCTGTATTGAGTCCTCTGCACGGTACGTATCAAGTCAGAATTACGTTCCGCGGATTTCCATCAAAGTTAATGGGGATGAAGAAAGGATATTGAAGAACGGAAAAGGAAAGAATCGCGCCAATTCACCACTGCTGTTACTTATGCTGCCATGGAAATTGGACCAACCTCCGTCTCTTAGGTTGGGCTGGCCGGCGCCCCCACCACCACTGCCGGCGCCCCCACCGCCGCCAAACTTGCCTCTACCACCACCTGCGGGCCCACCGCCCATACCACCTCCACCAGAAGGACCATTCTCGGCAATAATAGCTTCAATGGCTCTTCTGGCAGCAGCGATCTGAGGGCGGCTTCCTTGAATATTACATATTCTTTCGCCGCCGCTGTCTCGGTCTTGACCATTAGTCAAGAACTGCACCCTTGCGCCAGTTTCTTGTTCTACGCGCCGTAAAGTCTCACCACCGCGACCGATAATAAGCCCTACGAGTGTAGATTCAATGTTCATTTGTTCCGCATCCGGCGGTGGAGAACGAGTTCTATGCCCACCAAATCTAGTCCCTTCAGCGCGCGCGGGAGGAGGCGAGTTTTGATATCCACCACCACCTCCTCCGGGAGGTCCACCGCGGCGTTGCGCGGGCGGGCTGTATGAGCGCTCTCTATCACGAGTGCTATAGTCGTTTGTAGCGCGACCACGGCGCTCGTCGCGGAAAGGGTTATATGCGTCTCTAAATTCAGGTCCACGGCGAGCAGGGGGAGATCGCGAGCGTGAGCGTGAGCGACGAGGAGGAGCGCCATAGCGGGATCGAGGATCTTCGTAGCGAGTGGCTAGATAGAGGAAAGATACCGCAATATTAGATTAGATAACTTTATATCAAAAGGTTGGAATTGACTCACGTGCTTGTTCTCTATAGCCCTGTTGAATTCCCATCTCTGCAGCACGAGCTTTCGCTCGCGCGACAGCATCATCAAGGGAAACTTTCCCTGAGGTGGTAGGCTTTATGTTTGAAAGATCAAGGGAACCTGATGCAGAAGGCTGCGGCAAGTTGTAACCCTGAGGAGGAGAAGTGATGTTTTGACCTGGCTGCCCAAGTCCTTGGGGCATGCCATTATAACCTTGTACAGGACCTTGGCTTCCAGGCGGTCGCGCAGCTTTGGAGAGGAAGAAATTTCAGTTAGCGACAAACTCGGAAGTTGAACAAGGGAACGAAGAGTAGAGAAGACGGGTATAGGAATAGAGTGAATTTACTTAGAGCTGCGAGTAATGCAGCGACATTTTGATCGGCAGCCATATTAGGAGGCTGAATTAAGCGCGATAGATTATGATATTGCCCTTCTTGAGGTATTGTAGTAACAGACGCGAGATAGAGGTTGTGATGGTTGGGAACAGAGGTTGAACAAAAAAAGGAAGCGCCGGACGAACGTATTAAGTGGGAAGGCCGAAATGGTGTGTGTGGGGGGATGGACAAGTTCTCCAAACCTCTCTGTATGATATGATGTGACGTTCCTTGGTGTTGCGCTGCCCTTATTCTGAGGGGGGGTGAGAGAAGTGAGGTCAGAGGTTCAAAGGCCAGTCAGCGGGAGGAGAAGAGTGAGTGAGATCAAGAGGTGAGCGAGTGAGCGAGCCGGACAGGGAAGTCTCTGTCTGTCCTTCCTTCACTCGCGCAGGCTAGCAACAAAATAGGAAGAAAAGGAATAGACCCGCAGAAACAACCACAAAAGTGTCACGTCAATTTGTCAAGACTCTAGTGAGAAAGAGATGAATAGATATATACAAATGCATATGTAGGCAGAAATTGGAATTAAGGATACATATGTAGATTTCCAGCAGCCAGTCAGCCAGACTTGATTTGATGTCAGCCAGCAGTCATCAAATTGAGCGCCAAAGGAGATTGCCGATGTTCTTCATATTGTAATTACGTGATATCTATTAGCCACAATCTTGGCTGTGCATTGTGCCACGCCACATGGATCGAAGTAATGTACCTACATGTACTTCTACTTATACCATGGCCATGGCCAGAGACATTAATTGAGTGCGATAGCGCTGGGAACCGAATTTCTGCTTCGGTGGTTGGAACTATTACCTCCTAATCGAGGCCAGCTGTAATTTTGAAGTCAAATCCCGGTTCGGTTCTATAATGTGAGAAATGATAATGGTTGCATGTTTTAGATAAGTGCACCACTAACGGGATCCACTGCTAGCTCGGAACAAAGCCCTAGACAATATATATGGCATTTATATAAGATTTGTATATAGTGCCGTATTTTTCAGAAAATGATAAGGGTATTCAATGCTGAAAATGTGTGTCTTTATGACATAGAATATACAATAGCGCTTAGGCTTATACCATGCACGGGATTTCACAAGAAGCTGAACACCCCCTGGTCACACATGCCATATTATGGGGCCGAGAAAAATCTATTACCATATTAATTTAAGGTTTCTATTTGGCTTACTTATAGTCGATGGCATCTATGTGGCACACATATACGGTTTATGTTTTGGACAATAAGATATGTTAATTAGGGATACGCATTTCCCCTCATGATCATGACCGCCCGCGTTTCAGAATACACAATTACCAATTATTGGAGATGGTCAATATATGGAGGTGGCTATAAGAATACGTATTCCTAGAAGTAAATATACATGTATGTACCTAGCTCTGATATCTCTTGATATAGAATCCATTCCAAAAAGATTTAAGAAATGCCTATACAGCGAAAGCTTTCTATAAGAGTACGCTCGGGACCGGAATTTTGGTACCGTTATAGAGAGATTACTCTTATATAAATGGTGCTAGTGCTGAAAGCCGGGCAAAAAGGACCGAGAAGTGCTACCCTTATAGAGAGATTACCCTTATAGAAGGTACCCTTATAGCAAGCTTTCGCTATATTAGAGTAGATTTAAAGTACACGGTTCTTTTGGGCGATCAATATGTAACAGAGGTGCCCAGAACAGCACAGATACATGTACATTCCCAGAAGTGAATGTACGCCCGCAGGAAAAAAGTGAGGAAACAGCGGGTGCTACCCGTCCGGGCCCCAATGCAAAATTGGGGATAAAAATGAAAAGAAGTAATATAACTAAACAATAAAATACAGAATAGATACTATGGCCTCTAAACTATATTCACCACCCCCTATGATCTCCCTAGTCCTTTACTACTGCTGCAATTCTCTTTGGCATGCTGTCAATGATTTTTATATACATTTCCCCCAATCCGGCCTTTCCTACTCTTCCCTAGCTTGGGCTTCAATAACTTTTATGTTTTCATTCAGAGTAGCCTCTATCCACTTTCCAGACTTGTGAAAATGCATGGCCACGGAATACTCGTGGGGTTGTATTGCGGGTGTGGGGATGTCAAGTTGGAGGCACCCGTTGTCACGCTACTCGCTGTTTCCTCACCTTTTTCCTGCGGGTGTACATGTATCCACCTCACCTATCGATGGTCTACTACATAGAACTGCGTAACACATGTAGTTTAGAGCTTCTGTAGCTTCGAATATGCACATAGATTTTTAGCCCTGCGTATTAGCTTTATAGTTTGCTCGAAGCTAGTCGTCAAATTAGGTCCTCCATAATAGAGTGCTCTTATGCTGTGAATTTGGGGCCATTAACGTCGTCGAAGAAACGGGCGTAATAAAAGGGTTTTAAATTTTTTTTGATAGCCCAAGATAGTGGTAGATTTTCTAATAAAGATATCTTGATTGCCCTAGAGCTGTCTTTCGTCGTTTAATTTATCTTGTCGTTGGTCCCAGAGAAATTTGTTAAAGTCAGTTCGTATATGTGCTTATATGGCTATGGAACTACATGTATGTACCTCTAATTATTATTTACGTAATTATAATGCAATTTTTGCCGTATTCCAAGCCTTTAAAACAAAGGTGTCAGTCTTAACGTCGTTGAAGTAGACAATGTGATGGGATTGGGCGAAGTGCAGTTGCGCAGGTAGGCTTGCTGCCCTGAGTGACGTTATTGCATGTATCTTGCTCCCGCTGTGTCCTTTCCCCGGTACCTACACCGTATCTACATAACATCCTCTACCTACACTTCCCCCACTACCTACACCTACCCACCAACATCCCTCAGAACTACATCTTCTTCCCATCTTCTTCCCATTCCAAGCACTCTCTCAAAGTTTACTCTTCATCAAACCTCCACCAACCATTCCATCATCCTCTTCCCCAACATCAGAAAACACACTTTGCTATCACGATTCCACTCTTCAAAATTTCCTCCTCTATCTCAAGCTCTCTCATTGAGCTCTTGGATATAATAATACCATCAGTTATTCCATCCATCTTTGTGTTCATTATCACCATCTTGACAATTCTTGTCACTTCGCCTTCTACCATCCTCGAATTATCATACTTCCAAATGTCTGGCTTTAGTGCTAGTTTTGATCCTGGCAAGCAACCTGTTTCGATGGGATCAGTAAAATCCTCTTCTTCATTTTCTTCATCGTCCTCTTTCACTACCACCTCTTCCCCCTCCCCTTCTCCCCCTCCTTCACCTGCCACCGAAAAGACTGTTGGAGGAGGTGAGGAAAATATCGAAGGAGGTGAGGAGGGCATCGAAGTAGGAGAGGAAAACACAAAAAAGTCCAAACACAAAAAGAAAAAGAGAGGTGCCCAAGCCAGAGCGAACCATGAAGCACGTAAAAAAGAAAGAAGAAGTTTCAATGGAGGCTACTCTTCTCAAAGCTTGACTTCCTCTCGCAATGTTACCCCTATTATATCTGGCACTGGTTCCTACTCAGCCACTGGGAGGCAAATCGTTCAAGATCTCTTCTCTGTTTACGGGCTACCTAAGCCTAACAAGTCTTTTGATTTGAATACTGCTGTCCCTTCGTGGGGTAATCAGCACCAGGTTAGTTTATTGTTTCCTTTTCATTCTTGTATAACACCCTCTAACCGTAAACTTCTAGATCAATTACCATAACAACATGTCTGTACGAAGAGCACCAGCTGGTGACCATTGGAATCTATCACAGCAAGGATATTATACTACGCAACAGAATGAGCCAGGAAACAGAGCTTTTTCTGAAGCCGTTGGGCCTGGAAACTCTAGCTTTGAAGATACAATTATGGGAAACACTACCAGTGATGGACACAACAATGGGAGCGGTTATGACGATTACCATGATGAAAGTCTCTATAATCCTACCAGATTTACGCAAACATATTTCTCCAGGCCGCAGGAACTGACGTCCCCCGTCTCTGACACTACACCTTGCCATAATACTGATTCCGAGGTTGATCCTGATTTGGCCAAAGTTCTTAACCCAGTCGACCGCGGGATTGCGACCTCAACAGAGCTTTCCAAAATCCAACACCTTCTGTCTAACATCCGGATAGACGATGATAACCAGGAGCAAGTTACTAAACCAGTTGAAAATGGCACTAATGACGAGTGTGCAAAAGCAATAGATGGAGGTGTTGAGCTCGTCGAACGCAAAACTGAAGAGGTTTTCGAGCCAGTTGAGAATAATATGCTCAGAATTACCGAGATCATCCAAAACGACTCTCCTGAAGCCAACAAGCTGAACCAATGCCATACTAAAGAGAAAGCCACAGAGCCAATCGAGCCTGTAGTAGACAAAGCGACTGATTCAGTTGGCTGGATTTTGATTGGGATCGTCGAGCCAAGTGAAGGAGGCTCGCTTGAGTCCATCAAATCAGGTGACTGCAAGGACGTAGAAGGAGTTATCCGGCCAGACGACTGTGTTTTGCCTGAAGCCAATGAGTCAGTCGGGCACAAAGTAGAAGAAGACATTATTACGCCAGTTGGGAGCAGCCCCCTTGAAGTTACGGAGCCTACCGAATGTCAAACTGCAGAGGAACTGAGCAAGCCAGATGAGTATAATGCTCCTGAAATTAAATCGACTGAGTGCGAAGCCGGGATTGAAACCATCGATCAAGCTCAAAACGAAAATATTGAACTCATCAGGCTAGTGCAATCTGATCCGATTGGACCTATAGAAGAGACCTTCCAAGAATTGAATCAAAAAGTTTGTCTTTTGATATCCCTGATTTATTATTTTCTCAATAGAATTGCAGTTTTCTAATTTTCATCTAGATCGAATCCGAAACAGAACATGATACTCCGGGAAATGAAGAAACTACAATTTTTGCATCCGAGAAAATGTTAGAAAAGCTAAGAGCTCAAATAATTCAGGAATATAAAGAGAGGATCAAGGATTGCGAAGCTGAGCTCAAGGATAAGGAGTCTGCACTCCGAGATCAAAAGCTTATTTCTCAGAAAAAACAAGTAGGTCTTATTCATCACTCAGAAGAATTATAGGAATTACAAAAGTAATGTCTCTAACTTTTTCTAACTAGGATTGTCTCGAGAATTACATGAGTATTACTGAGGGGCTTACCACTAAAGTGTCAGAATTGAACAAAAGCCTGGGTCTAGAGACGAAGAAAGCCGAGCAGGCGATTGAGAAGGAGTTTGAAATTACTAAAGCACTCACAATCACACAAGAAGCCCTTCATGATATGCAAACACTTGCGGATATAGAAAGGAGAAAGGCCCAGGATTCGGCCAAGAAGGAACGTACTGCTACCAGCGAGTTGCATATGTTTACGTATACCTTCGATAGCTTGCAAGCCCGGGCGGACCTGGAGGAGGCAAACACGAAGGCCGCAATAAGAAAAGAACAGGAAACTGCCAGACAGCTTAAAACCATGATAGAATCCTTCAAGACCACCAAAGCGCATCTGGAAAAGGAGGAGACTAAAGCCAAGAGAATCGCTAAAAAGGAATCTGAAACAGCCAAACAACTTAAACTCATGACGGAATCATTTAAGACTATGCAAGCACAGGCCAGCGAGGATAAAAAGAGGGCCGAACAGGCGATTAAGAAGGAATCTGATACCGCCAAACAACTCACAATTATGACAGAGTCTCTCAAGGAAATGCGCGCGAATTCTGATAAGGATAAGAAGAAGATAGAAAAGGCGGTCAAGAAAGAATCAGACGCGGCCAAGAAGCTCGAGGCTAATATGGAGACTTTGAAGGAAATGCGAGTAAACATGGAGAAGGAGAGAATTAAGGCTAAAAATGCGGCCGAGAAAGAGGCTGATACAGCAAAACAACTTGAAGCCATGGCGGAGTCTCTCAAAGAAGTTCGTGCAAGTGCAGAGGAAGAGAAAAAGAAAGCCAAATCCGAGATCACCAGGGTCAAGAAGATGAACAAGGCTTTGGAAAAAGCGGCTGCTGAGAAAGAATCAAAAATCACTAAAGAACTCGAAGCCTTAATGGAATCACTCAAAGAGATGCAAACATTTATTGACGAAGAAGAAAAGAAGACAGACAAGGCCGCCCAAAGGGAGGTCGATACTTCTAAGCAAATCGAAGTCATGGGGAAATCCCTACAAGAGCATGTCTCCAGGATTGCGGCCTTAGGTAGCGAAAAGATTCAGATGCAAAGGATTCTCAACGAACTTGCTCAGCAGAATTCTTTTCTGAAAGCAAAAGAAGAAGCTGATAACGAGCTTCTGAAAAACAGCTACAAGATCGTCCGCAATCTCAAAGATCGATTCAAATCATTTCTCCCTAGGCCCGACTCAAATGCAGCGATTGTGAAGATGCCCGTATCCATAGTCATCATGGTAAACTCCAATATCAAGCAACTCAAAAAACTTATGCAAACAAACGAAAGTATCGAATATGAGCAGGCATTGGCAAGAAAAGAAAAGTCCGATGCAATTGATTCAACCATTCTGAAAATGGACACCGACAAGATGGCACAGGATCTCGTCTTATGGAGGGCCAAATGCAAGGAGTTAGAAACAAAAACTGCCGTTCTAGCCAAAGCCGGTCCGGTAAAATCGATTCGTACCGCCTATAAAACGATCAGCAACCATACCGCCGTTGTTAGCACCGACACTACAAAGGACAGCGATTTCAAAGGCCAGGCTCATACTACAAAGGCCAAGCGTGGTGGTGGTGGAGGAGGCAGAGGAGGAGGCAGAGGAAAGGGGAAGGGGAAGAGGGTGGCCATCATGAATGTGTTTGACTTCACCAATGGGATTCCAGAGGATGTTAACTTAGAGGATGGGATGCGCACTCTTTTTGGTCGGACGTCGCCAAATTTCGGGGAACGCAGCAATCAACAATCCAAGTAGGGACTCTGTTTAGGCTTTTTGGGCGAGGAATACGGGCGGTAACGGTGCAAACGGGGATCTTGAACCGAAGCAATAGATCTCATTAAACTGCCCTTTATCCCCATCTCACATAACTTGTTATCTAATTTTGTGTGGTCTCTTTTGAACCCTTCTGTTATACATGTACTGTACGAGTTACTACTACACGTATATATCTGTAGCAACCTCACCAGGGTATAGTTACAAGTCTCACAACCAAGCATAGAATAAACTGTTAACATCATTTACGTTTGCTGCATGCGCTGATCTCTTGGTGTATCCAAAACTACATTACGTTTAGGCCATATAAACTTGGTAGGTTATGCAGTAGAATGGGAAGCGAAGTTTATTGACTAACTTATTGATTCGTACGTATGAGTACAGTACTATGGTAGTTGGCGGCATTGCTTATGGAATTTTCAATACATTATGTACGATAATTAATGTATAGCTTCTAGCTCAACACCTAGGTCCATTAAATGTACTTACACAAAATACCAATACGTCATATTCAAGTCCCTTGTTATTATATCCCTCCGTGACATTTGTAACGTTCAATATTTAACCAACTTAAAGCCACTAGACATAGAGGCAATAACTATCAGACCAACCACCTTCTAGGTATACCTGCCCAAGAAATGATATACCAAATACCGCAACAGATGCCCAAGGGATGGAGAAGAGATCGTTTCATCACCTAGCCAACACTTTGTAGCTTCATGAGCCATCACTCGACTCATGTGCTAGCAGCGCACACGCACACTTTTTTTTTTTTGTTTAATTCATTAATTGCATGCAAGTGCACGCGCACACACATGGGCCCAACGCGCGGGGAGGTTTTGTATCTAGTTGCTGGTTGTAGCGGTGACTTTGAGTTGACTCTTTAGCCCCTTCTATAAGAGGTATGGGATCTATGATGTTGACGTGGTTGGTATATATCACTATGCGGTCATGGTAGGGATGGAAGGTTCTATTTTAATTAACTATGTCAAGGATTATGAGGGGTATATAAAGCCTAACTCATTACTTAGTACCTAACCTGGTGCATGGCGCTTGGTGGGGAAGGGAGGTCTCTTTTGCTGGATTCATATGCGCAGATGTGGAGGAAGGGGTTGAGCGAGTGATTATTCATGAATCAAAGGTTGGGATGAGATTGGGGGGAGAAGACGGAATATTAGTAGGATTAAGTGGGTGGGAGCTGTTTGATAGAACAATAGGAGAGATTTGGAGTTGGTTGTTGTCTTTCAAATGGAGCTGGGATATATATATATTAGGAGGTAGTCAAGTAGGTACTTGGATCAATGGGATTTCGGGGACCTGGAGTCGGAATATCGGCACATATCAGTTCTACAGTAAACTCATTACATGGATGTGTGGTAAATATCGCAAATTGCTTAAATTGGTCTGAATACGGGAATATTAATAAACCAGCTGCCTACCACTCTGCATATATTTGATAACCGAAAGAGCGACTTTGCAGGACAGAGTCTATAATGATTCGAGGAGTCAAAATATGTATATCGGGGTAAGGGTACGAGGATGAATGATTGTGTAATATGGGTTTTTTTATGCATATGGTCTCCGGGTGCATCGGTTTACTCCACTCCTTAGCCGGCCCAATACATCTAGCCCTACTCCAACATTTCCATCCCCATCTAGGGACCATAGATATCATCAACCACCGATAGTAAACACTGACCCGCGCGATCCACCAGTGACAGCCCAGCCTATAGTACCATTGGTATCCTGTTTTGAAGCCTTGCAGCACCAGTGGCCACTAAGAGTGTGGGTCTGAGCATCTGGATTGACAGGAGATGCCCTCCGGACTCTGGGAATGACAAATAGGAGCACAATATTTGAGCTGATACTAGGTACTAAGTTATACTATAGGTAAATGATTGTTCGTCTTCCTCTTTTCTCTGAACAGCATGCCCCACGGGGCAGTCGATCCACACGCTATTAGATGTGGATTTGCCAATGATATATCGGGCCAGTAGAAATCACATTCCACAAAAAAACTGAAAGTACAGAACCAGAACCAGTAAGCTAACCCTATATGCAAACCCTCGATGAGCATCGCCGGTAAACCGGCAAGACCGCAAGGATAAACATAAAAGTATCGAAATAAACCGACACCCGTCATGTTTCAATCACAATGCTTTCTGTTTCTGTTTCTGCGGGTTAGGTTTCATGGTCACCAATTATCACTCGACTCGGAACTTTCCAGTGGTGGGTGGGGGTGTTGTCACAGCGGGGAAAACTTAAGATGTCCACATCATAGGTACAATGAGTCGGAGTTTTGGGGTACGCAGGAACAGAACAAAATGTGAGAGATGCGAAACATCAATGCCGACTCTATCACTCTTCCCATAGCTCCTCACCCCATACAGAGAGGACGTGGGCGTTGTAGTTGGCTGAGATGCATTGGTGAAACGCAACGTATTCCGGTACCAGTGTAATGGGGGATTGCGAGATGGCCCGTAGGTATACCTATGGGGGTGGAGTGTAGGTACAAGTATGTATGTACACGTACCGGTTTTACTGTATATGCAGGAGTGACAGAAGGCAGACAGACAGGGTTTTGAACAGCAGTTGATGCTGCAGTGAAGTGATCCCGGTTTATAAGACTACATACTATACCCTTCTGGAAGACTCAATGCTTTTGGGCCCGGGGTGGAGGATATCGATGGCAAGATATATATCTAAAGTATGCCTTTTTGGGCGGGGACAGAAGTCGTTGAAATTTTATCTGCCCTGCATGATGCAAACGTACGGTACGGATGGATATGTGCTTACTCTAGAGCACAGGTGGACTTTTTTTTTCGAAACGGTCCCTTTCTGCAAGCCACGCGTAATTGTAACCCAACCCACGCAGCCAGCCATACGAAGGGCTCGGAGCAACGATCTGCGACATGGATTACAGATCTTTAATGTTTCATGAGTCGCTTGTGATTGGGTGCCATGCAACCATGTGGCAGTGTCTTTTCGTTTTTTTCAGCCTCAAGAGGGATGCTATGGGGGAGGGCCGGGGGTTTGAAGGATGCGGTGTGCGATGCCATGGTGGTAGCGAGTGATAGCTTGTGGTCAGAACGATTTGCGGGTTTCATAGTGGGGAGATCTAGAGGAGGAGTGGGTATCAACCGGCTTTTATCGCTAGTGTATTTCATTCCCCCATCGTTCAGTATTCACCGGGGAGACAGAGTATGGAGATGGCATTGGCTACATGTATCTAGTCGTATGAGAGCTCTGAGCAGCTGAACGGCCAGCCGTGATAGGTACTGACTGGCCATGTTGTGGATATTTGCAATGCCGCGAGCGCGCCCCAGACAGATGGGAAACACCTTCACAGGCTGTGCTTATTGCGAGACCGCAATATCGTGTGTCCCGGGGTGTAATGGTGTGAGTATACCCATCTGACTGAGAATGTGAGAGAGACGGCTGATTGTGTTAATTGTTAGGGGAAGCGCGTAGTGAAAAATAAAGAGATCACGAGAAGACCTCTAAATTTCCCTCTTAGCTCAAGAATACGAGCGCCTATAGGTTGGCAGGGCTTGCACATAGTTAGTTGGAGATGTATGTATCTATCCAGGTAGAGTAGGCGCTCTAAAAGGGTTCATTAGGTGCCAAATATATCCCATTCTACTGCCGCCCAACCAGGTGCCAGAGTTGGCTGAAGAATAAATTAGAGGGTTTGGTTTTCGCAGAAGGAGCGGGTGAGGGGAAACACGCCTTTCCGAAACGGGTGATATTAAGGGACGGGAGAAAAGAGGGATAAAAGACACGGAACGGGAAGTGAATACCTCGTTTGAGGCTTATTTATAGTAGGCAACCAACCAGACCCTGCACTGCAAGGATCTACCATGCGAGTCACTATAGTACCGAAAGCAGGCAAGGGGCGGCGGCTTCTAGTGACGTTCTACCAGGAACAGGAACCAAGATTTCTTTCTAGCGAAACTTGACGTCCGTTAATACTTAGCCCAGGGGTCTCTAATATTCTAAGATCGACTACTGTACTTTAAGCACATCTTACAAGGTCTCGCATAGGGTACATACGAATAGTAGCCAGAGAAAGGGTATTGGCCACCCACCGCAACCTCTGGTAGCCGCGGACAAGAGCACTACTCTGCTTTGGACCCAGAGCCAGGACAGGGCTGCAGTGAATTTTAAGAGAAACGACGTTAATGGAGGGTTCTATTGGCTGTCAACGCCCCAATGACCGCTGCACTATGACGGGCAAATTCAGGCCACCGATTCCTCAGGCGGCCGATCTTAAGCAAAAGTTCTGCTGGCTAGACACTTCTGGTTGGTTGCTGCTATTCAGGTTCAGTGAATACTAGTGATTCAGATGTGGTTAAATACAGACACCTTTGTCTAGCTAGGGTTATTTGGGTTTCATGTCCCCTTCGTCCCCGGCCTCTCCCATCAACGAGATTCACATATTAAGCCAACTGAAGTCCACTTCTTTCCACAGAGGCAAGCCAGGCAGCGTGAGAAGTTGGTACTTTTTCTTTCTCTTTTTCTTTCTCTTTTTCTTTCTCTTTTTTTTCTTCTTTTCATTTTTCTTTTCATTTGTTTCTTGACTGCTGGCCAGATACATTCTTCTAACGACTCTTTTTTAACGGAAAACAAAAGACACACGTGCATAATTTAAGAAGTTGAGCTTTTCAATAGTATTTGGCATCCTCGTATAACATACACCGGTACTACACTACCTCGAATTCTATCACGACGATACTACCACCTTGCTGGCCAGAAATTATAAGTCGCGTCCACAAAGCCCTCCCTCCAATTGGCTGAGCATATTCCTTGTCCCTCTTAATACTCTTTTTTTCTTCCTTTCCCTTCTCTTCCACCATGTCTGGAATGCTAGATACTACAGCCCCCCAGCGTTTCGCTCCTCATTACAATAACGACCCCATGAACAGCTGCCCCGCCGAAGCCCCTAGCTACGAAGACGCTGTAAACTCAAAACGAAGAATGCCCTCTACAAACCCAAACCTCACGCCCTACCTGGGTCTCCAGGCCCGCCTCTCACAAGTATGGTTCAACAGATGGACCCTCCTCTTATTCCTAGTCCTAGTGCGTCTTATCCTTGCAACCAGATCACTCGACAGTGATCTTGTATCTGCTAGGGCAGAAGCTCTGTCGGCTTGTACAAGTGTGGAGAGCATGGGCTCGGCCATGGCCTCTATGCCGTCGTATATGGCAGCCGGCGTGAACGAGCTCGCTGCAAAGAGTATCGAGACAGGTGTCAGGGCGATGGAGAAATCGCTGCTGCTGACCATCACGGCTGTCCAGGAGATTGTTGTATTCGTTGTCAATCTCCTCACGTCGACTTATGTGTGTTTAATTACTTTGGCTGTGCAGGGCTCTCTGGGAGCTGTGCTTGATGCCACGGAGAAGATTGCGGACTTCATTAACGGCACGCTGGATAAGGTTCTGGACGGCATCAACAGTGATGTGCAGAAGTTTGAGGGCGCGTTTAATGAGATTGTTGATACGGTCAACAACATGCCAACTCTTCTGGGAATCGATATCAATATCCCGACCCTGGATATCCCGTCGTTGGATGGGTTGAAGAATATCAATATCCCGGACGAGTTTGATAGTACCTTGAATTCTATTAGGGACAATATCCCGACTTTTGACGAGGTCAAGGAGGCCGCTGACAATGCTATCAGAATTCCATTTAAAGAAATCACCGTATGTAATTCTTGCTTTATATCTGTAGTCTGTGTGTCTAGAGCTAATTGTTATTTCAGAAACTCGTAAATCAATCCATTGGGGTCTATGAATTTGATCGCTCTGTATTTCCTGTACCACCAAAGGAGAGACTCACCTTCTGCTCCGACAACAACTCCATCAACGACTTTTTCAATGGCCTTGAGGGAACCGTCGCAACAGCCAAGAAGATTCTCATCATCGTTATCGCCATCCTTGCTGTATTGGCAATCATCCCCATGGCATACCGTGAAGTCTGGAACTGGCGCACCACCCGTTCTCGTGCTTACATGATCGCCGACCCCAGCCACACGTGGGACCCAATAGACATCATTGTCATTTCGTCAAGACCGTTTTCCTCCACCGTTGGACTCAAGGCCTCCGGTGTCTTCCAGTCTGCCCGTAAGCAAACACTGGTTAGATGGGCGGTTGCATATGTCACCTCTACACCTGCTCTGTTTGTGCTCTCACTCGGTGTTGCCGGTTTGGCCGGTGTTGCTGCGCAATACATTGTCCTAAAGCAGGTTGAAAAGGCCGCCCCCGAGCTCGCTGCCGAAGTCGGCGAGTTTGCGGAGATTGTTGTCAAGTCGCTCACTGCGGCGAGTACGGCATGGGCTGCTAAGACGAACGAGGCAATCAACAGTACGAATGCCGAACTGAACAGGGAACTTTTTGGATGGGTAGTTAATGGGACTGATGCGGTCAATGACACCCTAACTGTCTTCGTGGATAAGATGTACGATGGAGTTGATACCCTCTTTGGGAAGACTCCTTTTGCTGAGGTACGTACACATCTGATTCCTCGACCAAACCACCAAAATACTGACTTCGTTTGAAAATAGCCAATCAAGGATGTCCTCAACTGCCTCATCGGCCTCAAGGTCAAGGGTATCCAGAACGGTCTCACCTGGGTCCACGAAAACGCCCACATCACCTTCCCCCTCCTCCCCAACGACACTTTCTCCCTCGGCGCCGAGAACTCCATCGGCCCCGACGCCGATGGCGCCCAATCATTTCTCTCCGACACCTCCTCTGTCGCTGCTGACAAGATCACTGACATCCTCGTCAAGCTGATCCAGAAATGGGCGTCCATGCTCCGAGAAGAAGCCATCCTCTCTGGTTGCGTCGTCGCTGTATGGCTCCTTGTCTGCCTCATTGCCATCATCCGCACTGCTGTTCTATGGTTCGGAACCGACAAAGTTCGTGGCGAGATTGGTGACCAGCAGCCAACTGCTGCTGTTGGTGGAGCAAGGGCCCCACCGAGGTTCCCGTCGTTTGGCAGGTCGACAAGTAATAGCTCTGGTGGCTCGGGCCCGAAGGACCCGCGCGACTATAATGATATGGAGGAGCAGTACAGGGGCGAGCCGAATGAGAAGGCGGACCCGAATGATTACGTCCATATGGGCACTGTCAATAGTAGAGTGGCGGGCTATGGGAGGGATAATAGGATTAGTGTGCATCCGAGTTTGAGTGTGTCTTCTTCTAGAGAGAAGGTATAGTGCAGTGGCGTGTAGAGCGAGACTTGTGTTTTGGGGTTTATTATACATACATAGCTTTTATGTATTTGTACGTTCGTTGGCCTTTGTGTGCCTACTTTTATTTGTATTTTTATTTTTATTTGTATAGTCATAGCGTTGCATTGGGTGGGCAGGGCGGTATTTGGAGTCTAATAAAGTTCGTTGGTAATTTTGTCTATCTTATCGCGCCTTCTGGTGGGTGGAGGTGGTGTTCTGTTGTTGGGAGGTGTGCTTGTACTTCTAGTGAGTACGGGATCCCGTGGTGGCACGCACATACACCTTTTTACTCAAGTACAACATGTACAGAGTACTAATGTTTGATGTATCTCTATCAGTTGCAATCAGCCACCGGGTACAAATACCACATAGAATCTTCGCAAAAGCCCACGGGCAGTAAGTAATCATTCGATGCAATACTGAAATTCAGATCGGTTGCAGTGATAGAGTACAGTAGTCTTAGTATGTGGATGGAGGAGGATGGTTCCCGTGGGTATATGCCCTTCAATTTGGTGCTGGCTGGACTTTCTTTAGCTGTATTAAACATAGATTATCGGTTTTCACAGAGAATACCATGAGCACAAGCTGGGTGACTGACCCGCAGCAGTGTATTTAAAGCTCAAAGCTCGTGCTCATGTCTCTAACTTTGGTATATTGGTATTCCAGTGATCAGTACTGTATGCTATTGTCTGATTAAACTTCACCTAACTACAGAAACATTCAGCGATTGAAAGAAAGAGATCTCGAGTCTCACATAGTCCTAACTCGAAAACCACGGAACTATATGATATATCGAGTGATAATTCATGAACCATATGTGCGATCGGTGTAAATACATGTAGCCAATAGTTGTATTTTACATTTCCTACTACCTGCTCCAAAACATTAAGAAAAGAAAGAGCTACGACTAGAGTGAGTACGTACAGCTAGATGTGATGATATTCGTAAGTGTTTTTTTTCTTTCGGTTTTTTTTTGTCGTTCATTTCAAATCGTTAGTTAGTCCCACTTCACCCTCCCCCCCCACACACTTGATAACCCATGGCCAGTAATACCCCGCTTCCCTCACGCCAACCTGCAACCCAAGGTATGCAAATAAACAGACAAAAAATCGGTCCCCAAGAAATAAAAAACAGTACACACTCCCGTACATACGACGCCATTTTTAAAAAGAAAAAATCAGTCCCTGATCATCCTGACCAAAAAATCTTCAAAGTTGCCGTCCTCTACAGCATCCCGCATGCGCTTCCCTAGGTCGACTTTGAACTTCTTCTTGTAGGCCTGCTTGACCCTCTCGAGGTGGTATGGGTCCCAGTGCACACGAACGCATCTACTGATGAGTAGATCTTCTCTTCCGCTTTCTATCAATGCCGAGAGTGCCTGCTCCATCAACTTTGCGTCTCGTAGCGGTTTATCGATTGCACCGTTGATTACGTGGAGCAATGTTTCGCCCTGCCCGTTATATTAGTCTCTGCTAGGTTCTAGAAATAAGGGATATACGCACAACAAGGTTCTTTGAGTGCCTCATGATTGCTTTTGGAAGATCTCTCCCATGTGTGTTTCGATATAGCGCGGCCACCTCTCGAATCCATGCATCACTGCGGTTTACAACGATCTCAATCATCATTGTCTCTCCACCGCCCCTCCCGTCCTTGCGCTCTAGCACCTCCCCTAGCCGTCGCACATCGTCTCTTACGCCGTCTAAATTGATTCTGGCGCTCTCCTCCATGCGCATGCCCTCCAACTGGATCAACACTGCAATTCGGAACTTATTGGCAACCAGCTCGTTGCGCACTGCCTGCATGAGTGAGTTCTCGTACTTGGCATCCTTGAACCCGTCCTTGATTTTTCGGATCTCATCATTCGTTTTTCCCATAAGCGCCTCGATAAGGAGTTCGTTCCGGGTCTCGCGCTTTTGGTACCAGCAGTTGGCGAACCAGGCCTCGGATTCGTAGGGGCCGAGTGCGACGGCAAAGGCAAGTTTGCCGAAGGAGGTGTTAGCGAAAACAGTTTTGATGTGCTTTGCGATGTTGACCTGCCGGAAGATGCGTTTATATTCGCGTCGGAGTAGGACAATTTGGGATGGTGAGAGAGTGGGTAAGATCTGAATTAGTGGTGCCGCAGAGGGGCGGAAGTGCTTGAGCGAGGAGAGAAGCTCTTTGGCGTCGGCGGACGGATCATATGGTGGCGAAGGAGGCCGCGAGGGAATTACAGGCGTTACCTGGATGCCGTGAGATGGGTGTGAGGATGGGCCAATTGAGAAGCTGCCATCGGAGCCGTAACCACCACCGGTGGTAGAAGTTGTTGTGGTAACGGTGGATGTGGAGGAGTAAAACGAGGAACCACCAGAAGGTGAAAGGACTGGTGAGGGGAGTGGAGATATGGATTGATATGTGCCGAAGTAGGGTTGCAGTGACGGCGATGGTGGAGGAAGACCTCCAGGTCCCAGGGGGCTGGAGCTTAATGAAAGGCCTGCCATTCCAGGAATTGCCAAACTACTCAGTGATGTGGATGTGTAGGAGTCTCCCCCAGAACTGCTTGTTCCGCCAAGTACGGAGAGATGTGGAGGTGGTGGAATAAGAGACACTGATCCGGAGCTGCTATGCCCAGGCTGGTACTGCGAAGATGGTGGTGGTGGTGGAATCTGATAGACATTTCCCGACGAATCAACCTTCCCTGTTGACGGTATTGGAGAGTATGAAGGCTGCGTAGTATAGTTAACATTTATCGACGACGAGGACCCGGTGTGCTGGTGGTTGGAAGTTGGGGCTGCAGCAGATGCAGCAGTTATGTCCCCGTAGTAATCAGGGTTAATATATTGCGTAGGGGTTTCTCCTGGCGGGTACTGCCCGACACCAGCTCCAAATCCTGGGATTGGAGGCCCGTATTTCGGATCTAATGGCGGCGGTGGCTGTATAACAGCAGCTGATGCTGCCTGGGTATATGGGCCTGGAGAAGGTGGAGGTAGTGGCGCAACGTAGCCGGAACCTTGAGAGGGAGGCGGGTATCCGTACCCTGCTCCAAATGGGGCCAATTGTGCGCCATATTGCTGACCTGATTGTGGTTGAGGCGAATATACCCCAGGTGAAGGAGAAGGTGCAGCTGGGGGTGGATATTGGCTTGGTGGTGGTGGGGGTATCATTGCCTGCCCTGATGATGCTGGAGGGTAGTCTGTTTCCGTGCCGACAATTAGAGAAATTCGAAAAGAAAGAAAAATGAATACATAAAGCCATTGCGCAAACAGAGCCGGGTTCAGCTTGATTGATCGACACCAATCAGGTTACCGAAAACTGCAGCTGGCTACATATATGCTTGCGCAAAGGCTCTATTGCATACACCGAAATAGCTCATCAACTTACTACTAGTATACTGCGGCACCATGTATGGCTTCCCACCAGCACCACTCTCAGAAGAAAAATCCGAGACAGGGCTGTAGTGAGCTGTGGTTGAGTGTCCATGCCCATATTCCGCTCCCGAGTTTTCGGAATAGGACGTGTGATACCCGGCAGTACCACCTCCGAACTGAGCCCCAACCCCGACATATCCTTGGACGAACGCCGTGAGACCCCTACCCTCTCCCTTCTTGTCTACGCCGCGACTCGTATTGCCCTCGTCGTCAGACCCTCCCTTGCTACTGATAAATGAAAATTCGGAGCCAGCTCGGGACACCGGACGCTCAACCGTCAATCCGCCTGCGCTCGAAGGCTTCAGCTCCTTGCGCTCCTTGCGGTCCTTCTTCGCCTGCTTATAGGCCGCATATTCCGGCGTTCCTCTTTCTGGCTTCGGCATTTCGGGAATGTCGTATACGAAATCAAAAGAATCGGTTGAGGAGACTGATTGTGAGTACGGAGGGGGGACGTCGCGATGTAGATAAGGAAATAGTGAGTAGGTAGCTCTATCGAAAGAGTACTGGAGCGATAGCACAATCGACGACAAGTTGAAGTCGCGCACCGCCAAGTCCGAAGATAGCAGGGATAAATTGAGGCTCCGCTGTGTTACAGTGAAACCGGCTCCTCTGAAGGGTGACTCCTCGTTGCTCATAATAATGGTTGGGGAGGGTTCCGGTTTAACTGGTACACGTACTTACACGTACACAGCATGAGGGGGGGCGTGGGGGGAGCGCGAGCGGGGAGGAATAGAAATGATGATATAATTGCTACAAGTGGAGAGGATAATCAAGAGTGAATGCTAGATGTACAGAGCGGCTATTGACACATCACGGAGGCGAGTGAGAGGTTGTGAAGCCAATCATTGCACGCGACTGTTACACACGTGGTGGTTGGGACTTGGGGTTGACACAACTGAGCTGAAGATGAGGAAAGTGCATCACCGATACAGCAAGGACAGACGGGCAGACACACACACAGCCGCCAGCATAGAAGGGGGGGGGGGGATATTCAGAGCGGGGGAGTGCCAAGATCAGATGTTGGAAGTGGGCATGTTGATGTCGTACTCCAGGAACGAAAATCAAGATCAGAGGGACTATCGTCGATTTATGTATGCGGGAGTTGGATGTTGTGCGTGCAGGATAAGTCGACAATGCCTCGAAAGTATTACTAGAGATTTCCGAGTAGCTGACTGAGTGGACTGACTGACTGAGGCCGGGTGTTGGTGCCTTTTTTGACAGCTGACAGACAGATACATTGATATCGTAGGCAAGCAGATACTCCACATGGCGGAAAGCTCAAGAGTGTACAATTGTACAACCAAGTCCTTTGGTTCTGGATGACGTGCAAATATAAGGGACACTTGGAACAATAACTGCAAGAAGCCGTGTCCGATCTCATCTGCAGTGCGTTAGAGACCGGTTTGTACCAAAATACTGAGTTTTTCTCAAGGAACGAATAAGCAACAAGAGGGCATAGTCCAATGGCGATCTGTCTTTGGGGAACCGGGTACGTAAGTTACCACGAGTGTTCTGTGTTTCAGTATGGTAGACATTGGTAAAATGCACACCACGTGGAGTGGTGTTGAACAATTCTTTTGTAGTGTATCTGGTGTCATTTCATCCTCGGCTGGGTCTCGACTTTCAAGCATCATCCTCGGTCTGTATGTAAGATAAGCGAGGCCATCCCTGTTCTATAAGATCTGGTAGAGATTGTTTTATCTGATTTTAATTTTTCGAAATTTCTCTCTTGGGTCTCGGGGGTATGTATGAAGAAAGAGCAACGTGGTCTTCGAGATGGAAGATTGTTGATTATTGGTTTGATATTTGTTGATATTAGACGTGCAGTTAAGCATGCCTGGAATCATGTAGTTACATGTAGACTATGTCTTATTCAATTAGTCCGATTTCCAACTATATGTAGTGGTAGACAGTACTGTCGTTCACGGGGTATTGGCGGATACTGGGTGATGGCGGACAGGGCAAAAGAGAGACAGCCAAGCCAACTTTTACCTGTAATTCGCCAATACCCAGTATCTACCAATACCCCGTGAACGACAGTACTCTACTACTTACGGAGTCACTTGTATGGCCATCTGATATATCGATAGCCTGTGAAGAGCAAGGTCGGTAGTCGATCAAAGACCATGCATAGGTCCAGCTTAAAATTGAGCGGTTACGTAGCCCTTTGGCGATTAATATTGGCGAAAGGTAATGTAGGTGATTCATAGAGCGATCGAGCGATAGGGCCCATTAACTTTAATCCACATGCGCCACCAGGAATGGGGTGAAGGGTCAAAAATTATCACGGCAGCCTACATATTTTTGTTCCAAACGTCACAAGTATCTGCGACCACTCATACCGGAAGGGAGCCTGGAGTAGATATATCAGATTATGGAGAAGAGCTCGGGCGTCGGACCTGATGAGCAAAATTGCTTCTGTTTGTCCCAAGGACATAAAAATTGGCGAAAGATCCAGCAACGCTGAGTAATCACCCGCGAACTCCGGTCCATCTAGTAGTAACTTCTGAATCTTGTAACATTATCCCTAGAGATGGAAGGTTAATTATTGAGTAGGCATGGTGTGATATAAATAGTTAATTATCTCTGGGATCATCCTACATGCGTGATCACTCTTATGTGTACTGCGGTGGCAAGTTGCGGTTACGAGGTGAACAAAGATTAAGGCGCCTTATACTCTACATATACATGTATATAAGCTAGGCGCGCGCACGTCTGTCAATTAATAATTCCGCCAGTGCGCCCAAATTACAATAATGATGAATTAAAGTGTTAGTAGAGTGCTTAGTAGACTATGTACACAAAGCCCTAGCTAGACATGTGCATGTTCCCAGTACAGTAGCAGTGCATTGACTCTCCAATATAACTTATAAATTCTAGTACGTTACAGAAACATTTCTACGAGTTTGTTTCACAGGTTGCGATCGCTTCAAAGTTTCGATATATATATACACTCATTCATGAGCTGTAGAGCTATAATGCTCGAAAGAAGAGTTATCAATCGCGAAGGGATACTCGAAAAATAATCCCAGGCTCGTCCCCAACCCGTCTGCTTCCATGTTTCCATTGCTGCAAGTAACGGGCTGGGTGCGGGACTATCCCAGGGCTCAGTTTAGAATATAATGTGTAAGAAGGAGCAGAACGTACGTAGCTTTTAAACCTCCGCCCGTGATATCAGTCCTAAACACTGAGTTGTAATTACATGTAATTATACGTCTCGCTTTCCATCGATCCTCTTTAGCCAATTGGTCTGAGTGTGTGTTTTGATCGGGTCCTAGTTCTCTGGCAACGCAAAGAACACATGGCAGCAAATCTCCATGTTATGTTTATACGCCTGTTTAGCGAAAGTGGTTTTTTCAGTTCATCCCATATGACCCGGCGCTGTCTCTAGCTAGGTTTCTGCACGCGCATACACGCATGTTCATGTAGACCTCCACGCCAAGTAAGGTAATTGGATTATTACGTTGCCTACACATCTACAGCCTAAAATATTCGTGTCAGGGAGCATATTCGATCACGATTCACAATTACCCTGTCGAGGAAAGGTACCGAACGAGGATTCATGATTGTAATTATCGAGACGTTAAATATTTAGATATATAATAACACTTAAACTCTGGGTGGTTGTTTAAAAAATGCAGCCATCTTGGCTTAACGTACGAAGTCTCTGTCTTAAGGTACAGCGCCTGAGCCGGTTAGGGCATAACCGCGAATTAGCACGTCGCAGTGCCCTAGATCTAGATGCACGCTCCACAGATCACGATAGCCAAAGTTAATTATATACTGCTGACTGAAATATTTCTCGTGACTTGAGTTACTCTCTCTCCCTCAACTTCACGAGAAAGAAAATTTCCTTAACCTAGTGCGGGTTCTGTAATCTTGGACTCGTTCTAGGCTGAAATATTTCTTGAATCTTGAACTCAACGTTAGCTTCGATCGACTTCAGCCACAGCAACCTTACCAATTTCCACATTTGCAGTCAAGATTGGCCATAACTGTACCCCGCCATTTAAACGGTTAGTATTTTTCCGAATCTCCCTGGCGGGCCTTGCAAGGACATGAATATATAGTTTCATATATATATGTGTGTGCATCTATACATCTAGCTGTTGCTGGTTGACAAGTTCATGAGCCTCACTAATCACCATCCATATCTAGTTCTTTGTCTCGTTTGCGATCTTTCATCCAATCCTACTAGAAGAAAAAGCGTAGTGTGTAATCAACTATCTAATTCGTTAGTCTATGAGTGCATGAATAAATACCCCACCAAGACTTGTTGAAACTAAATAAATCGATTCTAGATCCTTGAAGCCCTAGCTATAATTTGACTGAGATCCTTGAATTCATTCTGATTTTTTTCCAATCGAGTCAGTTAGTCTTTACGTATAGATAGATACATGGACCTTACGTTTTACATAGTAGCTAATATAATGGAGAACAGGTACAGAGTGCACGCGGATAATTACGAAACATAATACCAACAGAGAATCCGGAATTTTATACCTATTCCACTGACTTCAAACTACCCGCCAAGTTCTTAAGTCAGTTTATCCATACACATTTCTTTCAGCCCACAGAAATTAACCAACTGACACGTGCAGGGTTTAGTACCAAGTTATCCAGAAAATATCTCTTGCTGAAATTATCCATCCGTGCGAAGTTTCAGGTCAGTTGATCCTTCATGCATATCTATTGCAACAACTATAGAGACTGACTTAACAAAACTAATTCCGGATAGTTGGTCTTGCTTTGCAATTCGGTTCTTAGTTTTAAGCAGAGTGTAAAGTTAGATACCAAACAGAACGCCATTAGTGAGTTTGATCCGCGCTTTAAAATCCAATTATTTTTAGAAGAATTCTAAAATCTTACCAATAATCATAGAAGTATCTCAAAATGTCCACCACCACCGGCAGCTTGGAAACAAATATCAGAGATCTAGATCGTCCCTGGATTCACCCTGCGGTCCAAGCCTTAATTCTTAAGGGCCATACCTATCCCGTTGTTGAATACATCGACTGTTTAGGGCACAAACCTGACCCAGAGACAGCAAATCAAATGCTGGACCACATCGCTGGGGTCCTTAGACCAGTAATGTTTTCAAACGGCTATAGGCTCGCAAGCCTCCGCGAGTTTTGCCCAATTGATGCCAAGATAACAAGTTTGGTCCATCATGGAAATGATAAGATGGTGGGTACCACCACCATCTTTGTCCGTCTCCGGGATGCGACCAGTGATGAAGATTTCTTAGATATGGAGGATATCATTGATTCCATAATTATTGAGCTCGCGAAGCTGAGTTTTCCCAAGCCGAGTCAAGCCCGCGAGCATCAGAAGCTTACTCGTAAGCTTCAGAGCGAGTTTGCTGTATATAACGACCGGCTCGAGATCCGGCGATACAAGAGACCCGACAACAAGGGGACATTAGTCGATGGCATTAAGTTAGGTGCTAGGGGCTTGTTCGAAAAGCTCTTCAGAATTTTCGGGTAGGGGATCGATGGGTAGGGAATTTAGTGTTTGGGGGTTGTTGGCTGGTCGATATACTGGGGCGCGGGTAATTATATATATTAATCAATCGACTGGGTAACTAAAAAATGGTTTCATATCGTGTTTAATTTCCTCTTCTTTTTCTGCCATATTTTCATTCGCAGCTAGAATTGGCGGGGCGACGTACGTTGGTGATATTTTGTCTTGTTGGAGTTGGGACGTTATGATATATATATATATGTGTGTGTGTACGTGTGTGTGTGTGTGTGTAGAGAGATTCTTAGATGTAATTAAGACGAGATAGTATAGCTAGTACCTTGGTTGTGGAAAATAAATTTTTCGGAGAGTGTCAATATCTTAAGAGCTTCAGCATGCAGGCCGGGAGCCTAGATCATGAAAAGAAGGGGAAAGGGGCGAAATAAGTGAAGAAAGGGTGTTGAAAGATATATCGACCGCCTAAATTAACAGCAGAGGCCGTACGTATACGTAGCTTAATTACATGTAGCTACAACACAATTCGGATATATGTTAATTTCCACTCCTCCAAGAAACCGCGGCCGAGAGAACTCAGAAACACCTATACATAAGATTATAAAGATCTATTCTTAGTGTAACACAAAAGAAAGTGAGCCTTTGGGTAATAAATGATACTCCTACGCACTCCCAAATACCGCCAGCTGCAGACGCAAATCTCAATTTATCCCTTAAGCTGTTCCTTAATTATAATTGCTGCCAACTTAAGACATGGTAACATATATCAAGCGAGCCTCGCACGCAAGCCACAGGATTGAGACATAATACTTGGTAGATTTGGCAGCTTTAACAGCATAAAAGATACCAAAATATCAAGGTTATAAAAAAATGTGCTGGTTTGGTCATCGACGTCATGTCACCTACTAGCACGTGTAATCAATAGTGATTGTACGTTGCTACGTAGTTCAACCTACAAAATCCCTCACAAGTACCAGCTAGGATTTGGAACCGAAACGTCAAGTATACTATATCCGCTTAAAGGTGAGTTGAGTTCTGCGTGACCTAATATTCACTCCGTTCTTTCTGGAGCATGTAATGTCATGTTCGCTAGCTTTGTAAAGCCTTTAAGCTACGATCTAAATAGCTGGAAAGTAATACCCACGAACCCTGATCCGGGGGTTGGTCGGCCTACTATCCATCACCTAGGCATGTGGTGTGTGGGAAAATAGATGTACATGTAGTTATGTCGATGTTCACCTAAACGCAACACACCTCGACTCTTTCTCCTACGTCTCTCCATTCTCCTCCTTAGCTCCTATTACTTTTAAGCCGCAGCAGGGACTATAGGAGAAATATATATGATCAGTGTGTTGAGAATGTGCAAAAAGAAGAAATGTCAGAAATGAGCAATTCACTTAAAGAAGCTCCACTGACCAAATACGCAGATATTGCTGCAGATCTCCTCGGTGGGCCTATAAAACGTCTATTCCACTTACTAAACAGCCCCCGAAACGACCAAGCATTTACTCCACTGGCCAACCTTGTGTTAGGAACGGTAGTGCACGAGTCTTAACAGCTCGGGACCGTTCAGTACACGTATGCCATTCGACTAAAATGGGCCCCGGTCTGTAAATTATAGCACTAGTAGCTAGCACTGTGACGTTTATGGTATTCTATTCTTTCCCGCTCTTTCTGAGGCGTATATTCGAGACTAATATATAATTCTGTTGTAAGAATACATGTAGGTTTGTTTGTTGGCCGTAGTCAACATTCATATCTATATTAGAAATTCTGACTACTCTTTTAAGAGCCATGAAGAGATCGCCAAAACCAGTATGAACGACACCCACAAACCGGACATTGGCATAGGCGGGCGCGTCGCGGCGACATCTTCTGGGAGCGCGGAAACATAGTCTATTTTCCGCGCGCCTAAGGGTCCTCAAGATCGGGGTCCTAGACTGCGAGGCGAATGTATGGGCCCTCCTGAACTTGCCGCCTGTGAATTTCTTTCTACTCGAAGATTATATGGATGATGATAAACTTGAGGACTATCTTCTTGTTCTTCCGCCAGTGGCACCTTGTCTGTACTGGTTCTACCTCGGTCACCCAGCGCACCAGTACTCAATTATGTTGTTATACCCATTTTCTATATTTATAGGCTTGGCTTGCCTATGCCCGCGATCGTGGTTTCTTCTCTCTAGGTTTCTCTTCCCTGCATCTGAGCTTTCCTAAGATCTGGCGCGGGCCGTGGTAAGGAAGTAGTTAGTTGCTGATTATCTGTAGGCTGTGGCCGGTTGTTACTTTGACGGTTAACTTGTCTGGCAAGAAAGAAACGGAAATTTAAAGGGGGGGGGGGGGGGGGGAATGCATTTGATTTTTTAATAGCTATCTATATCTATTTGATTCTTTCCGTAATTAACTAATTTAATTAATGATCCGACCTGCGTTTCATAACGCCAAATACATGTGTAGCTACATATCTTGGGTAGGACGTTTTTTCATTAGCAGTAGTTGTCTTTAGCACTTTCCCTAATGAACGATAATTGATCCACTGCAGGCTCTCAACGGGGCAATAAGCTATGTAATAAACGAGTGACTGTCGATGGAGCACTAACCGTGGTACTATTATTAAATTTGCAGTTGCAATCCGAATTTGTCGATCTAACGTCATTGGGAAATCCAACTAATGTGTCCGGATTTGTGATGGCGTGGAATTCTTGACTAGGCGACATGCTCGAGCACTCGGTTTTTATTATCTAATCACACCGAGAAAGGACGCTAGAGACTTTCAACATATTCATCGGTACGACCAAAGTTATTGCTTTATTTACGAAGACATCTCCAAGAATATAATAAAACTATCATATGTATGCGTGTTGTGTATAACCGACAATTTATCACTCGCCAATTCTTTGCCAAGGATTACAACCTATAACTTCCACTTCACCGCCGGTTCATCGGCCAAAACAGCTTCAATGATTTCTTCACGTTGTCAGCCATATTCCTTGCTCGGGTCCGCTGGTATCAAGAACTCACCTGAAGACGGCGGACCACCCGCCTCGCCCCACTGCTTCAACCTAAACCTTAGATCGGCCTGCGCAAATATCTTCTGGACCTCGGCAAACGTCCTCTCCCTCGCGTTCATTATCTGGATCATATTCCAGTTCTATCGCACCCTGTTAGCTGCGCCCTCACCCTCAAGCCAACTCTACTTGTAAAGAACCTGCTACTAACCTGGTTAAACACATAGCGGTGCTTCGGGTCCGGCATCACATCGCACTTCGGAATGATCCCATCAGCCACCAAGATGCGGCTCCCTTTCTTCATCGCCGGAACAATATTCTTTACAACCCTAACACAGTCCTCGTCGCTCATGAAATGCAGGATCATCCTCATGAAGTAGACATCCGCTGGTATCGTCATTTTCTCAAAGAAGTCCACCACGCGGTACTCGAACCTATCCTTCAGCTCTACCGGACAGGTCTCCTTCGCATCCTTGACTGCATTCTCCAGGTCCGCCAGCACGAATCGCAGCTCGGGCGCTTCGTACGCAATTTGGTGCGAGATGTGCCCGTTACCGCCTGCCAGGTCGACAATGGTAGATTTGCCGAGGGAGCGCCAGGGGTATACGGAGCGTAGGCGGGCATAAGAGCTTTCGGCCATGACGCGCATGATCTTGTTGAAACGTGTGATATGTGCGGGGTGCTCGAGGAGCCAGGGGAAGAAAGGGGATGATGTCTTGTGCCCGATGGTGAAGGCAGTCTCAGTGGGGTTTGTGGAGGCGGGCCATTTGCGCATGGCTTCGGAGACTTTGAAGGCGCTGGGGACTAGGACTTCGTTGCTGGAGGAGGTTAGCTTGGTGGGTAATCAAGAGGGCAGAAAGATATACCAGTGGCCGATGAGGAGTTCGGTTTCCTCGCGAGCGAGGTAGACTGAGGAGCTGTTGTGTGCGACTGGAGGGTTGTTAATACCTTTCTTTGCTTCTTGATGTATCATTGGTCCTTACAGTATCCTGGCTTCAACTCTGCAAAGATGTATTGGGTCGTTAGCATTCTCAACGCCGAAACTATTCACATATCCACATTAGCCCCGGCTCTCAGCGCATCAATAGAGGTACCTTTACAAACTCACCAAGCTTGTACTCGTCCGCTGCCGCCCCCGCCCTCTTCGCAATCTCCGAAATATGCATCGGCGTCCCGTCCAACTCCAAGATATGAGCAATCTTCCAATCCACCACGAGCACCAGTGCCGCGCACTCGTTGAACTACGCTCCCACTCCAGTAAGCACCCAACTGACCTAATCCAGCACATAAAAAGAACCGTACACACCTGCAAAATAGTCTCCCTCAAATGGGACAACGGATCATGAGACAGCACCCCCAGTGCCCTCGACGCAACCAGCAGCTGTTGCCTAGCCTCCTTGATCTCAGGATCATCAGGCAGCCCTGCACATGGCGGATGGAGCCGCGGCTCAGCGACATTTTTCTCCCTCAGCTGCTTCGCAATCGCCGTCGCCGCGGCCGCAACCTGTTCTGCGAGCTCGAGCAATGAGGGCGTGGTCTGCTGTGAGATGCTTGTGGCATTTATGCCAATATGCGAGTTGGGGTTTTCAGGGAGCATTTTTATATATGTGTGTATAATACCGAGTGATTGGGTAGGTAGGGCAGGTGAGTATTAGGAACCAGGTGCCCGGTCCACTCCCTTCCATTCCCTTCCCTCCCTCTTATAGACCGGGTTCTTGGGTCCTGTAATCATCAGCATCTCACCGGTGCCAGAAGGGTGCTAAATGTACTAAACGTGCTAAACGTGGCTTTTCGATTACTTCGTCTAGTGCAGACACGGGGGCCAATGATAGGCTCGGCGCGCTAGAGGGTCAGGGATAAATAGGCCGATATCGACACTGCGGAATGAACTGTCATGCTAACTAGCTAGCTAGCCGGCGGGCCGCGGAGAGAAGAAAAAAATTCTTTGTAGGTATCTTTTCTGATATATGCATTCGATAACTATTTGAGCGCTTAGTGGCTGTGCGTCTGCGGGCCTTCCGCGTATGGCGGTCATTATTTGAAATCGGCAAAAATATAGGTCTTTTAAGGATCTGATCTGCTAATTCGGTGCGTTCCGATTGATGGAAATAGCATCATAAGATGTCTAGACCGGGCCAAAACCGAAAGAGAGCTCGGGCACATGTACTCATGCGGCGCAACTACTTTAAAGGTTTCTTTTAACTTTTTCTGCGGGAAGAAATGGAGTGTCGAGCATATGCGCATATGATATCTGCTCTGTAACGCCTCAATCATAAGCTGAGATAAGCTGAATTGGGAACTAAACGTTAGTCGTGAAGACTAAGTTTTATGATTTCTATAACGGCAGACGATATCCCTATATCTGAGCGGAGAGTGTGGAAGGATCTTCGAAAAGGACTCTGTGCCCTAAAATGAATCTCATTCTTCTTTTAAAAAAAATACACTGTTCTATATGGGACATATGAAAATATTGGATATACACCGCGCGTACTTGTGGGGTATCGTTAACTAGGGAGCGTACCGTACTTTGGGCGCCCGACTTTTCATCCGCTGCGTCGTGAAACCTGACATGAAGTAGGTTTGGAGAAGAGAAGTTGACTTCTCCCACTATGCGCACTTTCTTTACATGCGATGTCGCTTTGTTTCCACGTGTGTTGCATGAGTGGGGTGCCGCACTCACCCTGAAGTTTGCGGGGTTGCTCTTGGCGCTAGGGTGGGAAGCCAATGAGTGCAGGCGGAGTGCATGACATCAGTGGAAGGAATTGCACTTTCACTTCGGAGAATTGCGCTCTAGATGCAGAAGGCGTCGTCCTCGCCGACAATGCAGGACGGACATCTCTGATAAAAGTGAACTTGAGAGAATCACTAGCTCAGTAGATGGCACAGAAAGGGAGGCCAAATACATAAAGTAGTCGATAAAATTTATAAAGTTGAAGAAAGTCGTCAACGTATAAGTACATAATTTTCAGGCGACATGACATAGGTATGTACATATATAAAAACGCGTGTCACCCACTCATGGCCACGTAAAATAATGGAGGACACGACATGGATTAAGCGTAGGCCACTAGCTCCATCCAAGTCATTAGGACAGCTACGGACCTACGGCGTAGCTTTTTGTGGATAATATTATAATACATTTGGTAGGTAAGATGCTGAGCTACTCTACCATCATGATCCTTTACCCCCTGCAAGCCTTTCTTGTGGAGTTAAGTGAGTATATTAAACTCTAGAGTACCTACCGCATATCGCCCGAAAGGTGTGAACCCTCCTCAAGATGACCCCCTGACTTTCGCTTTCATCCGAATGATGGTGTCACTTGCTTTTGTTTCTGCAGGTGCAACATCTCCTAGCTGGGTCGGATCGACGATGTGAATCAGGGACAGATGATCAGGGCACGTGCTGAAATAGCTCATTGTAAACAATGGAACACCAACTCCTATAGGTAATTTCACAACCAAACCACGAGGAATCAAAGAATTCTTCTCTAGTTAAGAGGCATCTACATGGATATATCACTGGACTAAAGACCCATGAACTCTTCCCCGCAATTACACCAGGATCCCCTCTTTGCGCTCCTTGCGCGGCGCTCCATGTAGGCTCATATACTTGTATGTTTCTATTTACCAACAACAGCCGTAAATAATGTACATGTATATTTGTAGATTTAGGCATTGCTATGCCGTGGAAATAGGATCGACATTCCGCAACATAAGCTTTCGCAAATTATGTGGAGAAATGCTGCGGAGATGATTCCCTTCTTGTGGTCGCTCCGCTAGTGGACAGCTTATTGATGCAGTTAGACAGCCCCGGATATATCTTAGATATTCCCAAGCTCAGCTTGTGATAACAACACATACAACAGCCATTGCCAAAAGGAACTTAGATTAGGGACACTAGCATGGGGCAGCAGCGATCTTCTGGGCACGGGGGCATGAACACAGATCCTTTTGCTGGATGGAAGATATCGAGTATTTATATGATGGAGGGCTTCCGTCCGTCTTAGAGAATGTCCTAAGCACCGAGTCGACCACGGATACCCTCTTTTTGTCCCATCCCTTCATTCTGTGCCAGTCATTATGCGATTCCAAAAGGCCCTACTACCCGCTATACTTGCTGGCGGCTTCGCGGCGGAAGCGGCGGCGCTGAATATCCCTCTTCACAAGAAGCAGTCTGATGTCAACAGAGCCGATGCTATTAAAGAGGCATTCACACACTCATGGGAGGGATACGTGAAGTATGCTTATGGAAAGGATGAGCTTCGGCCTGTGTCAAACACAGGGTCCAATTCTAGGTATTTAAACATTGACATATTGCGCGTTGAAAGAGTTTTTCCTTACCAGCGTGTTTCGGCAGAAATGGTTGGGGGGCTTCGGTGGTTGACGCTTTGACCACGGCGATCATGATGGGGATGGATGATGTTGTTTTGCAGCAGTTGGAGTTTATCGCAGTGATTGATTTTACAACTACTTCCAGTACTGTCAGTTTGTTTGAGACCACGGTGCGTAGTTCGATCTAACCGACTGCCTTGTAGAAGAAGTATACTGATTTTCCTTTTAGATCCGCTACCTTGGTGGCTTGATCTCTGGATATGATCTCCTCACCGGCCCCTATGCTGGACTGCTGGCAACTGTAAGAATATCATCCTTACTCTAAACATCTCGAGAACGCGCCAACTAATCATGCTATATATTTAGAATTTGTATAATGCTGCGCTTGTCGAAAATCTCCTTACCCAAGCCGTAACTCTCGCAGACCGTATGTCCTTCGCCTTTAACACCGCCAGTGGTGTCCCTGCCAACAATATCAACTTTTCCACCAACAGCTCCACGGACACCACCAACGGGATTGCTACAATTGGCACCCTTGTCCTCGAATGGACGCGTCTCTCTGATCTCACTGGGGACCCTAAGTACGCTGCGCTCGCACAGAAAGGAGAATCCTACCTCCTCAACCCCAAACCCGCCTCGTCCGAGCCCTTCCCCGGCCTCATTGGCTCAAACGTCAACATAACCAACGGCCAATTTCTTGACGCCTCCGGTGGCTGGTCAGGCGGCACAGACAGTTTTTATGAATATCTCATAAAGATGTATGTCTACGACCCCACCCGCTTCAGCACCTACAAAGACCGATGGATTTTGGCTGCTAAGAGCACAATGACTTACCTGCAATCGCACCCAACCACCCGTCCAGACATCACCTTCGTTGCCGAGTACAATGGGCAATCATTGTCGCTGAACGAAGGTCATCTCACATGCTTCATTGGTGGAAACTTCATCCTCGGCGGACAGACCCTAGGGGTTGAGGATTTCACGCAATTCGGACTGAACCTCACATCCGGTTGTCACGACACCTATAATGCCACAGTGACTAAAATAGGCCCAGAGCGCTTCTCGTGGAACCCGAATAACGTACCGGCGACTCAGTTACTTTTCTTCCAGCAGAACGGTTTTTATGTGACTGGCAGCGACTACATCCTCCGCCCCGAGGTCATCGAGAGCTATTACCATGCATATGTGAACACGAAAGATGAGAAGTACAGGGAGTGGGCGTGGGCAGCGTTCCAGGGAATCAACAAGTATTGCAGAACCGATACTGGATACTCATCAATCACTAACGTCAACGCCGTGGGTGGTGGCTCGAAGAGCGATGTTCAGGAGAGCTTTTGGTTTGCGGAGGTGCTCAAGTACCTCTACCTGATCTTCGACGACAGCAAAGAAGGTGGCTTCGTGCAAGGAACTCAAGAGTGGGTATTCAACACAGAGGCACATCCGTTCAAGGTTGCGGCGAAGTAGAAGGATGTGGCGGGCTTTGTATAGAATAGATGTATGGGTATTACATGGTACGAGTGAGAATCTGTGATGGGACTTTCTTTCTTTTGAGCTCGGTTTCTCGGTTTATGCACTTGTATCTAGTTTTTGTACGTTTAGGAACCATAATCCCAGGGCGCCTACTTACTCAGGGCTTGAGACTTAATATAGAGTTGGCTTAGGAGTTGCCAACCATAACATATGCAAAGTATATATCCTATGTCGATTCTAGCTCAGATTTATTCAAGCTGTGGGGTCGACGGACGAAAGACCCTACCTACGTCTAGATAGTCACAGCCACTAGCATAATGCAGCGCAACACACGAAGAATTACTATTTAAGACCCCGAGACAGCTCAAGATGCACTGTTACCAAAACAGCTTTAAGCGTGACTTTGACCTTCCCTAGGCTGCCGATGCACAGGAAAAGTCTGCATTAGAATTTAGCTCACCATCTTGGTGTTGGTACAGTGTCCAGCTTTACAAACATCTCGACTTTTGTTCTATCTCGGAGCGTTCAATCTACACTCTAAAATAGAGATTGTATAATTCTGGATCTATTTCAAACTTACTGTGCCATACGTCGTACGCGTAGTATAAATCATCCATAATTAAATGAAACTGCCTGCACCTGCCTTCGATCCTCCTCACAGGCAGACCAAAAACATATTTCATTCAACAATATTGACTTCCTCGCCTCTCGCTACCGGTGGCATAATGACATGTTCTGTCGTGGACTGAATTTCTCTTAAAGTAAAGATGTTGATTTTTCACGAGGTGCCTTCGTTTGAGCAGTGTCACACTTTGGCTTGGCAGCCAGCGAGTGATAGACTATGACCATATCCATATTGCCTGCATGTGTGTACGTTACACCACCCCCTGCTAAACGATTGAGAGATTCATCCCTCGGAACATATATGCGAGGATCTAGCTTGTAGGCCGTAAAAAAGGTTGGTGCGGGAATTGCGCTGCTGAGGTGTGGAACTGGGTGAAATAATTAGAACACGGTGGAAACAAGTGTCACAGTGCAGCTCTGTTTTCACATTTTCGGGCAAACAAAATCCACATACTCGCTCGCCAACGACGGCTCCACAGGCATCCAAAACTCGATAGATCTATACAATAGAAATAAATCCACAAAACTACAACTAAAAGAACTATATAACAACAAGAAACACCCCCATCCCGCACGCAGGACATCTAATAATTACAACCCCACCTATCTACTCCCCCTTCTCCTCCCCCTCGCGCCCCTATGGCCAACCCCCTTCATACTAACACGCTCCTCAAAACTCGGTACACATATCCCCACGCCGTTCTCAAACCTGAAGCACTGCAACCCCTCCGCACACGTCCCATCATCCGCACAGGCCGTCCACGCGTCTGCGCCTGCCGTAGGCGTGGCAACAATAGTCTGAGTAGCCAGCGTGGTGGAGACCGTCACGATGTTTGTGAATGTTCGGGTTTGCGTCTCGACGGCTGTTGTGCCGGCGGCGGCGGAGCGGGTGATAGTAGTGGTGCCGGCTACGCGGGAGCGGGAGCGGGTTTGGGTGGCAGTGGCAGTGGCAGTCTCAGTGGCGGTCACGATGTTGTCAAAGCTGCGGGTGGGAAGCTCGGTGAATGTTTCGGTGACCTTTGAAGTTGCGGCGGCTTTTGAGGATGTAGGATCTGCATCAGGGGTAGATGTGGCAGATGTGGCAATCTCAGTGGGGATATCGGTGGCCGTGACGATGTTCCCGAATGAGCGGGTGGGAAGCTCTGTTAGGGTTACCGCTACAGATGTTTCTATGGCATCTGTGGAAGATGAAGCAGCAGATTTAGAAGATGAAGCATCAGTTGATGTGGCAATCTCAGTAGGGACATCAGTGGCCGTGACGATGTTCCCGAATGACCGGGTAGGAAGCTCAGTCAATGTCACTGCTACAGATGTCTCTGCTGCGTCTGTAGAGGACGAAGCAGCGACTTTCGAGGACGACGCGGCAACTTTGGAAGACTTAGCAGCCGTAGATGTCGCAGTAACGACTTTAGAGTCAGTCGCCGTCACGATGTTTCCAAATGACCTCGTGGGAAGCTCGGTCAGAGTCACTGCCGCAGAAGTTGTAGCATTAGTAGAAGAAGCTGCTTCCTGGGTGCTGGTCGTGCCAGCATCCTCAGTTGAAGTTACAGTCTCTCTTTCTGAGGAAGCTGTTACGGTGGTTGTGACCTCGCTGCCATCCATGGTGGCAATGTTATCGAATGTCCTTGACGGAAGCTCGGCTGTTGATCCAACATCGGTCTCTGAGGGCGCTGTGGCTTCCGCGGTGCTACTGACAATCTCGGCAGCTGAAGAGGAAGAAGCTGTGGCCGCAATGTCTCCAAAAGTACGAGTAATAGTCGTAGCAGCGGTAGTCTCATCCTGCGCCGATATGAGAGACGACGTTGCCGGTACACTTGATGTCGCTGCCGCCGCAGCACTCGTCGAAGACGATACTGCGTCTCCGCTCCCACTCAAAGAAACACACGCAAACGACATCTCCTTTACATATGTCCCATTTGCCTTTGGCGCACTCAGATCCCACACCATATCCACATACGGCCAACACACCTTCTCTCCCATTGTCACCATATCCCCTGCCACATACACATCCTCACCAAGCAGTACCTTCTCGCCCACCTTCTCGCCCTTGCTCCCCACTACCTGCGCCCACGTACCATTAAAGGTTCCCGTGCAACTCAGTGGCACCGGCTGACAATCCGGGTCCGCCAGCTCCTCCCAAGTCACCACCGCATTGCCACTATCAAGTGTCGCAACATGCACATTCTGGTGGTCCGTGGTGTCAGACTCGGTGATCCATGTGACCTGAGTGTCGCCTTCGGCGGTACCAACTACGGAGCTGGCTTGCTCGCCGAGGAGCTTGTCTTTGGATGTGGTAAGGGAGACGGCGACATTGTGGTTGAGCCAGCGCGGGGAGCAGGTCGTGAAGCCTGTGCCGAGCCAGGAGTTTTCTTGCAGGTTGAGAGCACCGCGGGACTGCCAGGCGAAGATGTAGGAGGTTGTGTCGGGGAAGAGGGCGAGATTGCTGTATGAACCGCCCATTCCGCCCACTAGAGATTGTTAGCAATTGATATTCAAGGGAAAGAGGGAGGGGAGGGAGGGTGTACTTGGCTCGCCGCTGACGCCGTTGGTGGTATTTTCGTTGGCGATTTTGATACCGTTCATGGTCTGCGTGTCGGTGTTGAGCCAGATTGCGCTGTGGGTTGTATCATTAGCTGTCTATTCTCTACTTAAGTCTTTGAATATAGATAGTAGCACTAACCCTTGATCCTCAGCACAAACACTAGCAAACGGCGCCGCATCAGCAGCTTCAAGGCCGATACCAGTGTTGTGACTACACCCCCAAGTGCTACTAGCACCCGCAATAGTCTTCAGAGCTCCAGAGTCGTCCACATACTGAATCGAGTCTCCAAAATGGCCCGACGCAGCGCCAGTGTAGGCCGTGACGACAACATAGGCCGCATAGAGTCCTGCGGCCTCAGAGTAGACAAGGTCTCCGTTCATATCCGGAGATGCAGAGAGCTATATACACCAGTAAGTATTGTGCTTAATGGAAATGATATAATGACAGAATTGGAACATACCCCATCAGCTTCATGCACGCCCGGCCCATTAACGGGCGTTCTCCACGCCTGAGCGCCGTCCTTGTAGCGGACTATCTCGGCGATTGGATAGCCGTTTGGCGGGGCATCCGTGGTGCCGGCGTCGGGAATGAAGTTTGCCAGCAGCGCGAATCCATCATTCTGGGCGACGAGACCACCAGCTGTATCATACTATATTAGCAATTGTAATACATATATAGAGAGAGAGATTCTATGTATATACCTTCCCGGGCACTCTCAACCTGAACAGCATCACCAACGGCTGCGAAGGTGGTCGTATCAACTTGCTGGACATAGACGGCGTTATACGTCGTGTCCAGATACGCAAGATATGCAGACTTGCCATCCGGTGATACCTGTACGAGGGTCAGTATATAGCTATTTTAAAAGCTGGAGCTTGAGTTGGAGAGCTTACTGAAAAGGGCGTCCGTCTGTGGTGCGGGAGGCCGGTCCAGTAGGCGGCAATGATCGGGTCGAAAGACGCCGGGAGCAAGAGCGTGTTTGCGAACTTTGTCACAGAAAGCTGCTGGCACAGCGCAGCTGCGGGGAGCAGGAGGGGGAGGAAGAAGTTCAGTGACTTCATACTGACTCTAGCAGTAAAATGAAAAATAAAATAAAATAATGAGTGAATGAAAGTAGAGGTTAGTAAACGAGCGAATGCAATGAACGTGTAAAAACCGCACTCTTAACCAGGAGGCGTAGCGAGAACAAAAAAATCCAACAATCGGCGTTACAAGTTCGCTCCCATCAGAAGTAGAAAGGGTGAGAGGAGGTGAAGGGGCGACAAGCAGCAGTATTTGTATTAAGCTACCTGTATCTCCCTGTAAAGTAAAGTACCTCCAGTGGTTTATAATACGAGTTTCAGATAGAAACCCTCTATAGTGGGCTCGGCAAATCATATCTGGGGCGATTGGGATTGGCTGCGATATAGAATGATATTATCTAGACTAGGGATGGATGGTGTTTGAGGTTCCTGGCACTGGGCGGTAGGGTTGCGTGCGCTACTGGTACTGGGTACTGAATAGACGCTTGGCGGAAAATAGTAACAAGGGAGAGGCGAATCAGAGGGCGCGTTTAATTCTCCGGTTGTGTAGAACACCTATTGTACCTGCATCTATCTTCATGTAGGTGCTTGAGAAGAGTTTAACACGAGTATCATACGTGCTCTATCGCGATAATAGTAGTTACGTACGTACGTGGCTGTCCTGTCCCGCAGAGCTTAATTCTGAGCCTCAGCTGTTTCTGCCTGTTTCTGTTTCGCTTCTGCGACTTTATCGTCTCGTCTCCGGTCTCCAGCCTCATCTATTTCTATTTAAATATGTATTAAGCCCTACTCTAGACCACATGTAGCATACAATCATCAGTAATACATAGTAATAGTAAAATAGTAGCCTGTCTGTCAGAAAGCCATTGTTTCTGCACGCGCACCTCTCTCTCCACGCGCTCTCCCTCTAACACCCCGTCCCTCCCATACCAAACCCGACATTACGCAGCCCTACCCTGCGCCGTCATCAGACATCACTCACCCTTGTGGATAAGCCACCCAAGGGCCAAACATCTCACCCTCGAGCTCTTCTACCCTATTACGTACCAAACATCTGGTACCTGACATCCTACTTTGCCCACCACCACCACCTATCTCACCTGGCTACTCTAAGCAAGACAAACCCCGCCAAAACCTCCCCCGTGGTTTCCCAGCCAAAAGTCCGACCCGTGTGGTGTCCCACCGGGGCAGGCTAACCCCGTCGCGGTGGAAAATCTCCGAAGCTCCGGGCCGTCTCCGGGGTCGGCGATTCGACGTGTGTGGGTCGACGACGGTCGTGTGTCGTGGGGTCGTGGGTCGTGCTGGCTGATTCGGGAAGCTAGTAAAGCAAGGTAAAGTGGACAGAACTTTAAATTTGTCGGGTCTGAATGGTGGGGCTTGGCGCCGGCGGGGGGTGCTTTGTTTAATAAGGGCGGTCGGAGTGGGAAATGGGGTGAGGCTAGCTAGGGGGAGAATGGGGGTGGGGGTGGGTGGTGTTGTGCTCCGGGGTTGCTTGGTAGGGGGGATGGGCACCCTGGGGGTCAATTGACAAAGTGTAGAGAGTGGAGTGCTATGGTACATGGTTTGTCGTCCGACACTACTCAGATCTCTGGCCGAAAGGATGAGAAAAAACAGTTGTACAGTAACGGCAGCCCAAACGTCAAGTCAAGTCAACGTCCAGCCAGCGCGACAATCACACACCCACTGACACCACCACCGCCGCCATGATGAACCGATACTGACACCATGAACTTACTCACACTCTACTGACACCACCGGTCAACCTCCAGACCACTCACAACCTCCGACCCCAGACCCTCCGCCCAAAGCTTAAGAAGCTGTCCCAGACACCTTCTTTTCTTCTTTTCCTTCCATAGAGGACAAAGACCAGAGACAGAGACAGTAGAAATGAGATACCGAGCATGCGACGCGCAGCTATTTAAGGCATTGCACAGGTGGGGATCTGTAGAAGAAGGTTAAACTTGACTGTGGACAAAGTACGTGAGACTGACCTACGGGGTGAACCGGGTGGGCGGGGTCTGGAGCTGGGTCTGGGGCTGCGTGCGGATATGGAGATGGGATGAATTGATGGATTTGTGATTTGTAGTCGTTTGTGCCTGGCTGCTGGTTACGTCGTATATTGCAATGGTTTGGTGGTGTCTGTGGTAGGGGGTGTTTAGTAAACATCACGATTATTATGGCTATCAGTGAAAAACCACAAGAGAAAATCATTATTGTAACCAAACTACTCTATTATAATATATATATAATTATTAAACTATGAACTCTAAAAATACCAAACAAAATACATGTATATATGTTTTCTTTCGTGAATGTCATGACCCACGTAGCCCGCCCTATCCAATATATTGTTCCCCCCAAAACCAATCATTACCCATCCCGCAATAACCAAAATTCCAATCATTGTAACAAGCCAAACAAAAAAACACCCCCAAATAAGCAAAACCAAAAAGCGCCATCCGGAATTTTCCGCCCAATAAGCAAACCCAAACAAGCCCAACAGTAATAATGAGATATAGATCATCCCTCAATCTCCTTCTCCCTACCCTCCCAATACCTCCCCGTCTTTGCTCTCGCCCTCAGTGACCGCGGCACAATGGTGCCTACAAGGCTACTCTCGTGCCCGATCGGCTCGTACTCGACGCGGTATTTACACCCGTCGGGGTACTGAAGGAGATAATTGCAGATCTCCTCCGCGAGGAAGAAGCCGCGCCGCAGATAAGCCCGGGGGATGAAGTTGATGAGCCAGTGCTGTGGGGGGTTTTGGAAGTGGTGGTTCCACGAGACGAGGGATGTGCGGAGATACTTATTGTTGGGGAAGAGGTGCTTTAGCGAGTCGAGAGGTGTGAGCTCTTCTAGTCCTGATGGTGATTTTGTTCTGTAATCATATAAATGCTTTGTTAGTCAAAAATGCTTATTACAATAATCAGGTGAAGACCGGTAGAGACATACACTAGATAGACGCAGTTCCCAGTCTTGTTGTTCTTGACCCTCAATGTCTGCTCCGTGGGCCTTTCCACCACTACTGTCGTCCTCGAACTAGCCATGACGCCCTCCACCCTCTCAACCCATCCTTTCGCAGTCTTCTTGATCTCGTCTACACATCTCCCGCCCGTACTCATCCCCAGACACCCTGTCGCACCGCTGATACTCCTTCCGCCGCTGGGTCCCGGAGCAACCACGGGGCCTTCGCATACCGAGTGGTCCCCGAACCCCCCTGTGCTGACTGTCTGTATCAATGGCGGTGCCGCAGGCGTGGCCGCATACTGAAATGGTCGAGGGAGCTCTCTGATTTTCTGGTAGCTGTCACGCGAGCGCTCGCGGAGGGAGCGAAGGAGATTGTCGGGTGCTATGAGGGAGCGGCGGTTCGAGGAGGTGGTCGTGACGGCTCCAGAGGGACTGACGTCGAATTTGATGCCGGAGTGCGGCTCGAGTTCGGGGGTTGTGTTGTGGTAATAATCCATTTTACTTTTTGTGGGGGTGTTTATTTCGATACGATCTGGCGACTCTGGCCAGTTTGCTGGTTAAATGCTGGAGTTGAGAATTTCACTCTGCTTTGCTCTCTCTATAAGAAGGTAGATTATGATAAAGTGCAATCTACGATCAACACGCTGATCTAAAGTGCGGGGAGGAAGAGGGGGGGGGGGAGAGGGTTAATTAAGTGTAGATGGGCAGTAATAAGCTCATAATGCTCATAATAAGGGTGCCGAGGAGCGTATGAGGAGTAGCAAAAGGTGTGTTCACAAAAAATTGGGCTGACCGAACGTAGGCACAACTGGCAACTGAGGCAAAATAGATGCCTACATGTGTAGGGTCCGAGAATCCGAAGGTTAGGCTTAGTGAGTTTTTTCTGTTGATGCAGCTCCTCTCGCGATGGGACATCCCGGGGCGCTTGCGGGGATTGGGGACGATACATCATAACGATATGAGGAAATGATCAGCGTTCCCTATGTCTCAGAATGCAAGTCTTAGAGCACGCATCACCGCCGGTTACGCATGGCAATCAGGGGTTCAAGAGTTCTTCGCGTACCGAAAATGGAAACAGAGAGAGTCGATCCGGCTCCCGTCAATTTGTTCACGACCATGCCTATCTGGTTCCATTGGATCCAGCAGTAATAAGAGTTGGTTGTATGATATTAGACTTGTAAATGCGGGCCAATGATACGGACGTGAACAAGTTCAGATAAATATATACACCTGCGGTATTGTATCCCAGATTTTGTGACACCATTTCAGCCGAACAACAAAATCGGCGCCGCGGGAATTGAGTACGTTTAGGTATCCGGATTAGGTATACTAGATCGATGAATGTGCATCACAACATCGACCAAGGCCTGCACAGTAGTTAGAAGCGGCTATTTCCTAATAATCATTCATGAGTCCGGGTTCTCATAGATCTAAAGATAGGATTTGGAATAAATGATTCCTTACTCCTAGGCCTGGTCATCAAACGTGATCTAGAAGTAAGCCAAAGATCTCTTATTCGTTAATGTGGCCCAGGGATCCTGGATAACCAATTGGGAGACCACATCCGAACACATTTATTAATCGTTGTTGAAGTTAGTATATAAAACTCGATGTATTTGTGCGTCGTTGGTAGGAAAAACTGTGGTTTGATTGATTGGCCAGACATCGCCGCGTATTAATTCTTGGCAAGGACACACAACCAAGTTAGTACTAGCCCCAGTACCCAGATTGCCTCCCATCATATCAACAAGCCTCTAATGCGTTCAATGACATATACAACGACAGGGACGACATGTAACACACAGCTACGCCTGCGAATCATGAAGTTGGTTCGAGGAGGCGTTTATTTTCAACTTTTCCATCAAGTTTAGGGCACCAATCCTCTGCTGATGAAGCGACCAAAGAAGCTGGACCTAGGCGTATTAGAATCCCTGAGATTCTGAAAACCTCAGCAGGAGGGAGAAATGAATATTTCGAAGGAATAATGGAGGAGAGTACGCGCATTCGTTTGGTTTAGGCATTGAACGGGATAAACTATCATGGCTAGAGGCCTATATGCCCGCCTGTCTTCCCATACTACCTACGGTAAGCACTCACTCACCCTTCGGCGCTGCAAAAAAAAACAAGTAAACATACCGATAGCCACCCCGGGGTGGCAATGATCCACAATCTCGCGATAGAATCTGAAAACAGCTCATGCCGCTTATCGCACGGCCAGTGCGCGCTAGAGTAATTTCCGTGGACGGTTTGTCTCTGATGCTGCACAGATATCCATTCCGGACGCAGGAGCCTCAGATTTACCGAATAGAATCATGGCTCGAGGGGTCTATGCACCCCCGCCCGACGATCAAACTTGAAAGAAGATTCCGCCTCCATGTCATGGGGAATTTGGATAGGCAAGTACTTAAAGATTCCACGCATGTGGGTGGCCGTGCTATCATAATGCCTATGCTACAGTTCTCGGCAACGGGTAGATCAGGTAGCTGTTCATTAATTGAACTAGTGCCAGTTGAACGAATCTCCGTATGTATGTAACTCCCCGTTCATAGAAAGCAATTTAAGAGTAGGCGTGACATCGCTACAAAGGTTTGTAGTGGTCACCTGCCCTGCCACCTCCTGCATCGCGAAGTGGTTAGCTGCACTGCGCAAGTAAAATAGAGGACGTGGGGTCGAACCTAATCTGTCTATCAAAAGCACAGGTCCTACCTTACGATAACGCACGGAATAGAAGTATGCTTGACTGAGGCAAGGACATAGGTGATATCTGGTAAACACTTAAATAATTGAACTTAACTCAATTTATATAGATGGACCCCTTTTGAGTTTGAATTTCAATAATATATCTTGCGTAGTATGGTAATCTATGAATCGATCTATTGTCTATCCTAAGCACAGATGCTTGGAGCACCCTGCGATAAGGTGCGGGATAGAATATCACAACAAAAGCCTCTGTGATTGAGGCGAAGGGTCATGGTTGAGGCGAAGATCTAGAGTGGTTAGCATAGCTGACAAGCTTCGATCTATGGACACTTTGGCCTACCTGTTCGAGTTTGGATCTCTTAAAAACCATAGCTCCCAATCGAAGACCTCCTTCTAATAGCTACAGCCAGTGCACTGGCGACGAGACAGTGTACCGCGGCTCTTCCTGTCTCATATGCAACGGGTCGTGGGTATATTATATTGACTGGTTTTGGTCACGAGCTTTCACTCAATTGTTTCTAAAGTCGAATACGATGTTTACTACATCGGTAAAGATCCAGACAAGATCTGATGTAGAATAGCAACTGAGATAGTAGTGTTGAGAAGATGAAATAGGGTCGATACCGTATTAAACAAAATTCATTAGGCTATGAACGAGCTCAGGATCATACACGGCGCCAGGCTACTTCAATTGATTATAATCATGAATCTTGTTTAAATTATAGAAGAAGGGCGGCTTTTTATTATCTGCTTGTCGTTATTTCCTCTCTCGGTCTTCGGCTCTAGACAAAAGTTGAGAGCCGAGAATTGGTATCAAACGATACATTTGTTCTGGATTGAAACGGAAAAGTACATGTAGGTATGCATTTAGTAAGCTTTGTTACTGCTCCAAGAGCTTTGCCAAAGCATGATTTTAAGTGGGATCGATATTAACAACCCTAGTCTCCTAGTGCGATTCTGCAGCACAAGAATGAGGAACGAGTTCACAACAAAAGTCTGGGCATGAGACTATCTTAACCCCCTTAGACCATTAGTGCGTGCGCAGGTGTGGTACACGAGTCGTGGACCTCAAGGTCTCGCGAGGTAGTCCGAAGTTCAAGCGCGCCCCCTCGTCTCGAAGTGCCTTGATCTTCTTTTGGTCGTATAATCTTGGTCGACCCAATTCTGTTAAACATGTTTAGTACATTAGCAATCAGATACAAATAAGTTCAGGATCGAATTGAGACAGCCCAAGGTCTTAATACATTACTGTCACTGTCGAGGGATAATACAATCGGTAGGCATAACCTACCTTTGAAGGCGTTCAACATGCGCCTTGGCCTTCTACCCACCGCCTTACTTGAAGCCCATGAGTCTACTAGCCCGAAGTAGCGGTATATAAAGGAACACAAAATGTATGGGAAATGCATGTGCATATATCTGGTTGAAGTGTCACTAGATACACTTCTTTGTGATGTCTGTAGTTAAATATTAGTAACACTACACAAAAAAACTGGCTGGGAGGAAAGCGGACCGATAGATGTACTTGTGAAATAACTGATGATCGATCTAGGTAGTAGATATGTGGGTATCTGCCCGACACTGTCGCTGGGTCGGTATGCAGTACCCTCCGGGCCCTCGATTTATGTAATAGGTTGAAAAGGATGTAATTGGCTCCCCAAAGCCCCAGCCCACTACAAAGCACATGTAGCTATAGAGAACCGGGAGCAATGAGTGTAAGGGACATGTGATAGTCCTGGAATTACGGAAGACGCTAGTATATTGGAAAAAGAAGGAAAAAAGAGAAAAATACCGTGTAGATTCAATAGCTGAGATGGCCACAATACATGTATTAACAATGCGATGAATCTTCTTCTCTTATACATTACATCGTTTCCTAATCATTCATACATATTTCTTGCATGCTGCGGCATGTCAGCAGTATAGCCTACATAATCCCCCCGTGATTAGAGATAGATCCCATGATGATTGATCAATTGAGGAGAATCGGCAATTATCTCCAAATCCTCCAAATCCCCAAAACTTCCCATCCTCCCTTCTTCCCAGAGCTCCCAACCTTTTCAACCTGCCATCTTATGCCTTCCTCTCCGTATCTCCCAGATCTCAACCGCTCAGCAACAGCTTCCGGTTTATTCTGTGCACATAGCAGAATATACGCTACTCCGCGATCCTTGCTCAGTACCTTTTCCAAAGAGTCCAAAAGTCGGTCCGTTGTGAGCATCCCATCAGGTCCCCCGGCGTAAGTCAGCTCTAGCAAGTCCAGCTTACGCCCTCCCTCTGCATCCTCCTCGCCCGGAAGAATTGGCAGCTCAGATGTTGGCACATATGGGGGGTTAAAAACAAGCATGTCCACGGTCCCATCTCTTAAGGGCGACACAAGGTTCGCAGTCAGAGAATCGAGGTAGTGTCCCCGCGGCTTGTTCCTAGAGATAGTCTCATTCGTGGCTTTATTTGCAGGGGTCGAGACGTCAATTCCTAAAGTAAGGACCGAGTCATGTCCAAAGATTGTCGATGAATTTGTCGTGAGAAAACTAAGCACTACACCTGAGCCCGTGCCAACTTCGAGAACAATAGGTACTGCATTTTGGGTGGGAAAGCGCTCTTTGAGAAATGAGATTTCAGAGTCACTGCTTAGTGTGTCTAACAACAAGTAAGAATCTTCACTGGGCTCGTAAATTTGATCATAATCGACGTGAGAAGTATCGGGTGTTGGGAGAAGTGGCATGGCGGTTGTTCTTTTAAGGTTTCAACGGCCTAAGTGGGAACGTTATAAAAGCTGTGGAGGGTAACCCTTGGGGTTAGGGTTGCTCATATCAAGGAGCTTGAGCACCAGCTGTATGTACGTACTTAAAACCATCGAATGTATACATGTATATTAGGAACATGCAGTACGGAGGTACATGTACTCAATTAAACTAATTCATCGAGTAGCACATCCTCTCAACAGAAACCCGACTGGAAAGTAAAGAGGTCATGTGATATCTGCGATTCTCTATATAGCTATGCTTGTATTATCTCTGGTTTTAATATGAGCTCAATTAATCGCAAGGATTTTAAACGTTGGTTATTGTGGCTAATTTGGTTTCGGTAATTATAGCAGAGTATCCGGCTAATTTTGTCAACTCGCAATACTATTCATTCTCTCCCTGTCTCCAGTGGAACGAGTGGAGCTTTCTAGCGTGTAAGAAACTCGAGGACAGAATAAACAGGAACTGCGTTTATCAGAGCATAGCTTATACGATATCTGGTTCGGCCACGATTTTGATTTGGACTGATCGCCTAAGGAATCGATAAGAACAAGTAACCATCAAATTAGTTTTGTCCATATAGAGAAACCTATCATAATTCCACCCCTCGAGATACCATCCCTACCAAGCTTCCAGCGTTCGGAAGGAACAAAATTTGCGGTTTGCTAACTATCTCTAGCTCTCTCAATTCCATCCCTCCGATAATTCCAGCATCATTTGGCCACCGCGGGGTAGAATTATGATATAGGTTTTGCTGTACATGTACAATATGTAGTAAATTTATAAAGTGATTATCCGAGCTAGTAAATCGACTTTTCAGATCGGCCTGATGGAATATTAAATGTAACCATATATATAGTATATATTAAGAAGTTTCAAATTAGGAGTCAAGACTAGAGCCGCTAAATACTAAATGATCGAATGCCGAAATGAAATATACATATCTACTTACATGCTTAATCTTAGAAGTAATATCCAAGTTTTCAACCCACTCATAATATAAACTTTAATAACCAAATGAATCCTGACTAAGTACCTTGGACATAGGTGAGCCGTACGTCAGGAGCTTTATTAGGGTGCCAAGAAGTATTAATGCCAGAGCAATACCTAAGTAGTAGTGAACTTCTCTTCCTTCTTGTTTCCCCTCTCCTTCTACGGCCGATCATCATCATCGTCACATCAAGGCATTAATTACACATCCTCCCTTTACCCTTTACAACTCAATCAAATCTAATCTATATAAACATCAACAACTGTATTTATTAAAAATGACTCGTCCACCCACAAATAAAGCTGAAAACACGCAGCCAATTGGTCGTGCTGTTCAGTATGATGATCCACTCATCCATCATGGAGGTAATACAATTTATTTCTAATCTAGTTTTTTTTCTCTTCCTCTTCCTCTTTTCTTTTCTTTTCTTTTCTTTTTCTGACATAACTAGACATCATAAACCCTGAGAATCCAATGGAGCTCAGTGTACAGAACTTAACTGCGTTAAATACACTGGATGACAATCTTAATCACTCACCCCCCTCCCTAGGAAGTAAAGAAAATAAACCCGATCAAGATACAGTGCTTTCAGCTATGGAGGAATCACCAACTGCTGAAAGAATTTCTGAAAGACCAGTTGTGGTATCAATGTCCAGCATCCAAGTTGATGACAGTCCCGACAAGATCAAATGGAAGAACCGAATCCCATTAACTATCGACGTCCCCAAACTTGTCAGTCGAATGTTACAAGCTCCAGAGGGATCCTGGTTTAGTTTGTGTGATTTCTGCGTGGGCACAGATAACGTCCATAACCCTGGAGCTACCATTACACTCAAATCTAAGACAATCTCCGCATGCTACAATCTATTTAAAGATTGCAAAGATGTTCTTGATATTCCAGGCGACTGGAGAATTTTTGTCAACCAAGAAAAGAGTTATTATAAAAGATGTGAATCTTGCAATAAAGATATTGATCGATCGATGGCTGTTAAAGTCTTCATTCACCACTACAGAGAAGGTGAATTCGAGAATGGTAGTATGTGAACCCTCTCAGAAACTTCCAGTCCAGTAATATCTTTCTATCCTTTCTTTCATTAGGAGCCAGTACTGACAGTAGCTAAATGGATATATAAAGCAGATCTGTTAGTTGATAACGTCTCGCTGCAGAACATCGAGCCAGTTCTCAGATGCAATACTGAGAACAGCGAGACTTATATTACATTTACGGTCATCGTCACTATATCCGTGAAGACCAAGACAGTATCCGCAAATTTTTTTGTCACTTCAAGCATCAAGTCGTATAAGCCTGTCGACACCGGGATCGAAGGGTCATCCAAGAATAAGAGGGTGTTTAAAAAACGCGATTTCAAGAGCATAGACAAAGCAGCCGAGCTTACCGACGCGTCAAGATTAAACAAAAGCCGATACTAAAGTCATGCGTTTGCTCCTTTATTGTAAGATTCTCCCAAGAAATTTTAATCTCCAAATTTTAACCCAACTCTTTCGGTAGGGCAATAACCGACCGTTTGGACACGACATTAGACATAATTGGGAGGTATATGATTACCGTTTGTTTTCAACCAGATCTATAGCATGGAAATCGGAGGAAGGGTGGCGGAAAAAACTTAAAGTTAGCATGATTGAATCTTAGGACAGCCGGTATATCGGTAGGAAGTATACAATGAAATTGCGGGTAGGAGGAAACCAGGAACAATTATAAAACACATTAATCACTGTTAAACGTTCATACGCGGTAGTACTAGTAATCACTACCTACAAAGCTCTAATCATAGTGTATTAATCGCAAGCACGTACGTATGTATGATCGCTATCAAATTTTAACCCTGTGATAGGCTTTGTATGTGCATGCACTTTTAAATTTTAATTCCTGAGAATTCAAAGGATTTTAAGCTCTAAAGACCATGACAAAGGTATTTAGAGGCCTAAATGAACCCTATGCAGTCTCATTGAACAACACACTTGTAGAATTAGGGATATATGTAGCTGCATGCATACATGTATGTACAGTACGATGCCAGTCGTGAGCGTCAGGCGCGGCGTCGCAACGCCGCGCGCGCAACCAGATTTCCACAACCTTTTCACGGAGGGTTGGTATACAAGATATTAAATGTCAAATTATTGTTATTTATCTACTATTTAACAACTATACAAAAATTGTGCTCTCCAAAGGATCAATTGTGGTTGCTGTGCTGGTACCCATGATGGTTCGGGGGCGTTGCGACGCCGCGCCTGACGCTCACGACTGGCATCGTACTGTACATATACAGAGAAACCTATCATAATTCTACCCTCTCGAAATTAATCCCTACCAAACTTCCAGCGGTTGGAGGGAACAATACCTGTAGATTTCTAACAAATACCACTCTCTAAATTCCATCCCTACGATAATTCCAGAAAAATTCGGCCACCACGGGGGTGGAATTATGATTAGTGTTGGGCACGAGCCTGTTCGAGACGAGCTTGAGTTAGAGCTCGAGTTGGCTCGGATTGTGCAAACGAAGGCTTGGGATGTTCGAGCTCGTGAGTATGGCTCAAGCTTAGGCCCGAGCTCCAATTAAAGAGCTAAAAATGGTCATCTCGATATAAGTTTCACTTTTAAGGATGAACTCAAGGGGTTTATCTTCGTTATATTTTCCAATTTTGCCATTACTGATAGTCCAAAAAGCTCGAGTCTTTCTAATACTAGTTCGAGCTGGCTTGCGCTCGTAAGAAGGAGAGCTTGAGGTGTTCGAGCCAGCTCGGCTCGTGCCTAACACTAATTATGATAAGCCTTGCTGTATCGACTATCTGTCGTTTGTCCACATATATTAGCTAAAGCCTAGGAGAGGAATAAAATACTATCCAACCTATTTACGTTAATCGTTAAAACCTCTGGCATGAGTATGTAACTGTAGTTGTATTATCCCTTCGGTCGTAATAACGTTCCTACAACAACAGTGGAAATTCGAAATATCTCAACAGTCACGGACGCTATGCTTATTGCAGATGGCTCAAAAGAAAGGAGCCTTCCTCCGAACGTCCCTGTGCAGTCGAATCTTTGTTGGAAGAGCTTGGCGCACCATAGGTGAAAAAAAACCGGAAGAAAATATTGGTCCAAAAGGACCACAATATCGGCTGTTACGACCCAGGGGATACTAGTTCCCATTTCTGAATAAAGTGCCCACAATTGGGGTTGGGTACTGCTGCGCGGCACACTGGCCCCTCCTTGCTCGCACGATTTCTATGAGTTTATATAACAGTTAATCCTATCTGTGAGTGTTTGTCCATCCATGTACGTCAGCTCCCCCCCCCCCCCCCCAGACATTAACTCCAATCTCAAACCCGGGAAGACCAAAACATGTATATAAGAACTAAGCATATAATCTGTATCCATTCAGCGGTCATGCCGAATTACCTGCCAGGATCTGGTTAAGAATTGCTTCTTGAAGATGCTTATGATATAAAAAGCTAAGTGATTGAACATAACTTCACGAATTCCAAGAATTACACCATGATAAACTATTTAACTTTATACGTGTAGTTCTTCATATAAGCGCTTCCACGTCTGGTTAACGTGACAACTGTAATCCCAAGGGGATAGATGTGAAGTTTGACCCTTTGCATCTTTGCCATCAAAATAGCATCCCCAGACGCTTTCAAAGTATCAATACATTCCCCGTCATCAGCATCAAGCCATCTAAAATCTTTACCGAGCTGGGCAGAATAGGTTTTTTTAAGTCATAGAAGGTTCCCAAAGTTCGAGTGATATATTGTGACTCCATCTCCCACTAAGAAACCGGTGTATTCTACATGTATATATGTCCTGAATCCACAAAAATGGAGATATACATAAAACCTAAGACAAGTCTTTCATATCTTACAGTATCAGAAATTTAGTAAGAATCGTATTTATTGTAATGACGGTTGCAGGGATGTTGATTCCCAACGGTTTGAGTATATCGAGACATATTTTACGCGTATTGCGTATGTATGCTCGATAAAACAAACTTTTTAGAGATTTTTAACTATCAATAGCTGGATTGAAAGATTCGGTTATTAGTTCCAGCCATCATCAACGGTAGCATCGCCACCTGCGCCCTCACCCCAACCCGCACCGCTGCCTTTGCCAGGTTTCCCCCATTCATCATTTCCGGCGGTATCCTCTGCGACTTCTGCACCCGCGGCTAATTCCTCTTCGTCGGTATCTGGTTCCTCATCAAAGTTGACCTCGCCATCAGCAGGGCGGTACTCGTCGAGAAAGGATGGAACTATCTGTTCCGATTCCAGGAGAACCTTAACGAGATCTGGTGCGATTTCAGGATTACGATCATTGAAGAAGGAGGTAGCGATTCCTGCATTTCCGATGCGAGCAGTACGACCTAAAATAGATCATATATTAACATAAGAAAATTTATGAATGAAGTGGTCCTACCGATGCGATGGATATATTCGTCAATATTTTGCACAAGATCATAGTTGATAACATGCATCACACCCTTAATATCGAGTCCACGAGCAGCTACTCCAGTGGCAATCATGATAGGACATTTTCCGGAACGGAAAGAAAGCCTGGTTGCGGTTAGAAACGAGCAATATTAATTCTGATAGAAATACCTACAGAGCATCCTCACGTTCACGCTGGGTACGGTCACCATGGATTGATGTTGTTGGAAGGTTAACTAGTATAATAAGAAAGGTTATTAGATAAAAAAAAGCAAAGAAGAGAAGAGAAGAGCAAACAGGGACATACGGTTGTACAAATAGTCATCCAAAGAATCGGCAGTACGTTTATGATTAACAAAGATTAAGGTACGGGCAGGTGGAGCAGTACACAAGAGGTCATAAACGGCTTCTTTTTTCTTATTTTCATCAACCCAAAGCACCTAAATGAACAGAGACTAATGAATTAGTACTTTTCAAAGTCTAAAAGAGAGTTTAAGAAATCAAAACTTGCCCTTTGGGTGATGTTTCCGTGAGTGCTCCCAACACGTCCAACCTTTATCTGGACATATGCATCTGCCAGGAAATCCTTTGCAAGCTTACGGATTGGCTTTTGAAATGTGGCACTGAACATAAGTACTTGCTGGTCATCATCTTCATTTGCATCTGTGCCTTGAAGGATCTTGCGAATCTGCGGTTCAAAACCCATGTCCAACATCTCATCTGCCTCGTCAATCACCACAAACCTGTCAAGTATTTATATCAGCATGACGCATATACTCGAAAGAATACTGTGGGGGAACTATACTTAAGGCGCTTTAGTGTTAAAATCTTGCCGCGCTCCAAAAAATCGGTCAGACGGCCAGGAGTAGCCACAAGGATATCACAACCCCTTTCGAGTTCCATTTTCTGAGTAATTGCGTCTGCTCCTCCATATATGACGCAGGGTCTCAACATGCTTCGATAACAGAAGCGACGACACTCGTCAAAAATCTGAGTTGCTAGTTCACGTGTTGGGGCGACAATAAGAACGAGAGGTTCAGCGACGTAGCCACGCTGCCCATCATATGGACGAGCAGCGGCAATGCGCTTTGCCTTGCCCATCAATTTTGACAAGATAGGAATCAGAAATGCAGCAGTTTTTCCAGAACCTAACCGAGAGTTTTAGTGAAGATATTCCTCAAAGAAAAGCTACATCAAGGTAATTTAAACATACCAGTTTGTGCACAAGAAAGAATATCATGTCCCTCAAGAATAGCTGGAATACAGTATCTCTGGATAGGAGTGGGTACTTTATACCTAGAAAATGTAGGTTAGAATTTTAAAGAACGGTAAGGGAAAAGGAAAAGGAAAAGTCTACCCTGCCAGTCTGATGTTTTCCAACATCACTGGATGAAGTTTAGCCCCATCGAACTAGTTAAGCCCCAAGTCAGCTCTTGTTCAGGAAAGAAATCAACTTTAGAAGCCCAGAGAGACTGGATTCTGAAGTGATCCGTCAAATAATGATGAAATGTGGTCAAATGTCGAGACTTACAGATGAGATAGGAATAAGCTGCTCGTTACCCTCAGTAGAGACATTCAGTTGAAAAAGCCTATTGATACAACATTTCTTTAGTAAACGCATTAAATTTCTCGCTGATAGCTTAGATGGGCCAGCTTGGTACGAATACGTATATTTACGAACCTTTCAAACTGGATGCCGCTACTGGTAGTTTGTGGAGTGTCTTCGACTTCCCCAAAAAGCATCAACTCCAGCGCCTCATCCCTTGGAGCAACATCACCATATTCCTCTTTCCATTCATAACGACGGCCGGAAGCGGCCCATTGACCAGTTGGTTCTCCTCTAGGGGCCTCTGGGTCACGATCAGGAGTTGCGTAAGTCTCATAATCGTAAGGTTTACGCTCAACCCAACCATCAACCACTGGGCCTTCAACCCCATCACCAGGTGGCAAGACGGGGTCAGAAAGAGAGATTGAGTCGACTTTAAGCTCAATGCCAGAGATACTACCAGAAGATCCAGCAGCAGCCTGGGTAATGCCCGAGCCGCTGCGTGAACCAACTATGGGGAGTTTACTACTTTCCCGAGTATCTTTGTTACTGGAAGTAGCGGTGCTCGCCCAAGCGTCATCATTATTAGAGATATCATTCATAGTGCCCCAGCCGTCAGACATGATGATGATGATGATGTATTGTTGCTTATTTTAAAAGATGAATGATGGATGGAAGTGGTATAGGGTAGAGATGAGATGAGGTGAAGTGAGATGGCGGGGGTGAACTTTTAAAGGAAAAGATGGGATGTGGAAGAAGCGGAAGGATTAAGGTACTTGTGGTGGGAGGCAGCAGCGGAAAGAATGTGGTAGACAGAGCACAGGCGGAAAAGTTGCAGTGTGGTGCCTAACACTAAGAACTGATATGTTTCATAGGGTGACGCACTCTCAGGTCACTAGCAGTACGGAATAGAGAGTTCTGTCGAAGACTCTCTCTATTTTTTTGCGGCATACAAGCCACTTTGTCGAGTGATATCTGGTGACTACAGTGGCATATACTTGAACCCTATTCAAAGTGGCTTGAGTATACATATAGACGATACAATTATAAGCTCTGCATCAAAATCTCTTTTTACATACCTGTTCTACGATTTTAAACAGGTGTAGTTCTACACACGTACATGTATACACAAAAATGTTGGTTGTGTTTACTCTAGATTTTGTCTTGGCGCCACTAAGGGTCAATTGAAAAATAAATCTGCGAACACCTAAACAAACATTCAAATAAAAGCCTTTCATGTGAGAATTTTCCTGTATCATTAAATTCGAATCTTTCTCCTCAATTCACAGGTATTAATTTCTTAAAGAAAACTACACCCAAGGTAAGCATCGCCCAGCCTTCCTCTCTGTATGTGGTGATCCGCTAGACATTTGCATAGCTCCTATCAGATAATGTCAGCCAATACGCCCCTGAAACCGCGTTCGATGAATGCCAATTCTACCCCAAGATCTTCCCGTCAAAAAACACACTCCAAAATTCCTTCGTCACCCGCGCTTTCAAAAATGAGCAAAACCCCAGCAACTCCCTTGAAATCACCCTTGAGGACACCGTACTCGGCCGGCATGTCAAAACTTTCACAAAGCTCGGCAGCATCATCACCGTTCTTCTCATCACCACCAGGAAGAGGAGGGTCCCCAAGCAAGTTGAGCGATTTCGAGCTGATTGGCATTGATGATGAAGAGTTCGATGAAATTCCTACTGGAACTGGCGATGGCAATACCAACAAGGCCGAGGCCGGTGATGTCCAACTGGGCACTGATGTCGGTGATGATACAGTGTGTTCCAACTTCTCCGACGTGACAGTCACCCAGTATGGAGCAGGCAAAGCAGCTGCGCAAGAGTCCCCAATTCCAACAGAGACTTCAGCAGAAAAAGAGTCCCCAATTCCCAAAGGGACTCAAACAACGCGAAAGCGTGCACCGACCCTCTCCAAGATTTCGCAAGATGCCTCCTCTCCCACCGCCGTACGAGAATCTACATCCTACAAAAAACCGCGCCTCGAATCACGCCTCGAATCACGCCCCACAACACCCAGCCGCACACCCGTGGGAACCCCGCGCAAACATAACACTCGCTCATCCTCCAAAGGCAGCAGTGACCCTCTCTTCACTCCCCAAAACTCACACTCTAAACTCCCAACTGGAACCCCCAACCTCCTAGATTTCACTACTCAATTGCCCAGCACCTCCGCAAAACCATCCAACCAGACCCCCTCGCGTTCCGCATCACCTAACAAGACCGTGTCGTTAAAGAAGCAACCACTTCCGCCAAGCACGCCAGCAGAAAACCGCTTCTTCAGTCTCCTCGACTTTGATTCAGGCCCTCTTGCAACTCCCCGCAGCATACCGTCAGTAACACCCCGCGAAGTCGAGACACTACAAGCCACCTTCAATGCCCAAATTGCACAACTAAAGGCTGAGATATCCGGGCGTGAGACCGAGGTCACAGGCCTCCGCTCCTCAATTGCAGAAAGCGAGTCTACCCGCGCTGAGCTGACAAATAATTTGAAAGAAGTCGAGGCCCGCATTGAGAAAGAACGCGAAAATTGGCGTAGCGTCAAGAAGGAGCTCGGCGAACTTTTTGAGGCCGAAAAAACGGAGAAGGAGACATTGAAATTGGACGCTGAGAAGCGCGAGATTGAAGTAACGAAATTACGGGAGCAGTTAGAAAAGATGGCAAGGGAACTCGCAGATGCCAAACTGCGCATTAGTGATGCTGAGGAAGAAGCTGCAGCTGCAAAGGATGAAGCATCAAAAGCTAGGAAGGAGGCCGACGAAGCTATAGCTGCATCTTCTGCGGAAGGGAAAGTGCTCAGCGCTCCCGTTGTTACTACTGGCAACGTACAGGCTGAGGTCGAAAAGGTCGCTCGAGAGCTTCATACGCTCTACAAAGCTAAACATGAAACTAAAGTCGCGGCACTAAAGAAGTCTTACGAGTCCCGCTGGGAGAAGAAGGTTACTCAGCTCACAACTGATCTTGAGGCCGAGAAACGCAAAAATGAAGAATTTGCAGCTGGGATCGTAGAAAAAGGCGCCGATGATATGACTAATGAATTTAAATTCTCTGACGCTGCCGAGAAGGAACTTAGGGATGAGCTTGTGAAGTTGAAAAGGGAGCTTAATATAGCGATGAACGACCTGGATATGGAGCGAAGAGAGAAGGGCGAATTGGTCGGCGCTGTAGAAGAACTACTCGCCATTCAGACGGGAATCAACATTAATGAGGATCAGGCAGCTGCCGAAACAGAAGTAGTGAAGAAGAAGGTCGCAAGGGTGAGTGGTGCAGGATTACCATCAGCAGCTCTACCTCCTCCTCCGCCAGCAGCAGCAGTAGCTCGGCCCAACGGTGCGGCTACAGGATTCGGGCTTAAAAGCGGGATTGCAAGAATGGGCGGTGGGGGAGGGATCAAAAGGAGTGCCGATGAACAGAGCTAGGAATAACTACGTTTTTTTTGTGAGAAAATGGGTATGGAGTTTTATTTTGATTTAGAGGCCAGGAGGGTGAAGGATGGGTTTCTTTTTCCTTTCGTTATTTCATGAGTGCTGAATTGTTTTGGTGTATTAGTCAATTCATTATTGACTGAAAATACATGTAGTTCTAACGATACCACGGGTACTAAGTATACTCATTAATGCGTCTCCTATGTAGCCGCTTACTCGGCAGCTACATTACCTGCTACCTGATCTCCCTCTATCTCCATTTTCCCATATCCCAAAACGCGCGAACCCTACAGATCGTCTCCAGTGTCAAGTCCATACACTGGGGATCACTGGTTCAGCGCAACATAAACACCCGAGCTACCTTTTTCTCTGCTTTCTTACCCCCATTTACATAGCGGGCAGGAAGGCGGGGGAAGAAGGGGGGCACCGATTTTCAGACTCGAACTCATAAGTTGTGGGGTTCGGACTAAATGTTGGTGCACATCTAAGTTTGTAGAGATAACAACAGTGACGGTCCATAAAGCTATAATACCTTCTGAGAAGGGTTTCAGGGATATATCTTGCCCTAAATAGAAATGAAGTCTAGAATTTACCTATTTGGATCTCCGTCATCAGATATCACGACGGCCCCGTGTACGTGACTTTGACGTCAAGCCGCTTACTCTGCTCGGAGTCTGCTAACCGGTGATCCCAACCTTGCAAATAATTGATAGCTGCCTCACCCTGACCGCGCGATTAGTAGAGTAGAGTAGTGTTTGTTATATACTGTAGGTACTATTATCGGGCCAACGTCGGAGGTTGAGAAGTTTCAGCGGAGCCGAAATGTTTCACCACCACCCCACAAAAGGAAGTTGCTCGATAGTTATAATTATCGAACATGGCGCCTGGAGGTTTGACATGATTTGCGCTGGTGTGACGTGCGTTTCCCTGTCGTTTGCAGGTTGATACTAAAGTACATGTACAGCCGCATTCGAAAAGTACTGGCACCCTACTATATTGAGTCGTTCATGAATTGTAGCCCACCAAAATCCATGGCACTCGCGCATACTCAACTTATTGATAGGTATGACCGCAATAGAGTCATGGCAGCTCTCTCTGGCAATTGTCTCGAATATGAGGGTTGAAAAGCAGAAAGAACTGCCTCGTGAGCTTGGCTCGGAGGTGCCAATACTTTTCAAATGCGGCTGTACATCTACTAGAGCACTCTATTCTACTCGTATTTTCGTGACGTTTGTAAAAGGAACCGCTATTGCATACCATACTAAATTGTGGACTTGGCGCGTAATTGTATGGTATGCAATAGTGGTTCCTTTTACAAACGTCACGAAAGTACGAGTACATGTACTCTCCCGGTGCAGATTGACTTGACTCGAGTAGAGTACCCTAGTAGAGGTGCCTACTAGAATATACACATAAGGTACTCTAAATACCCGACGACGGACCTCATCTAGATTATCCGTCCGTCTACTATATCCGCATTAAGTAGAATAATTTGTACCTGTGGAAAGGAGGCTTTTTCAAAAGATACTCTGGCCGGAGTAGTATGTAGATATTAGAGTGAGTGCCTACTTCCCGTATCAAATATCAAATCCCCCTCACTCCTTACCGATAATATATATATGTATCTCTACCCTTCCTTCCTTCGTTCCTTCCTTGCTTCCATCTCATCGTTCATCTAGAAGAACACAGCAGAGATACATCGCATACGTATTTCTCTGACGTTTGTGGACGCGACTGATATTGCATGCCATACAAAAATACGCCAAGCTCATGGTTTTGGGTGTATGCAATAATGGCCCAGTTCAAAACGTCAGCGAAATACAGCTTGCGGTAAGATTATTGTAGAAATATGGGAGGAGTTCTATTGGCTTGCCTAGCTATAGAAACCCTGTTTTTAGACCCCTGTTTCTACAATAATTTTACCTCTCGCTGTACTAGTAGACATTCACTTATCATCTTAAGGGAAGGGAGAACCAGTGGACGGAAAAAGCAAAAATAAAAGGCTTGTCCCATCTGTGCGCTCTCATTCGGCGAACCAGACTACCGGGACCTTCTGATCTGCTGGCCTGGACAACGCATAATTCTGTCTTGTCTGCTTCCCACCAGCCTTTCTGAGGGGAAAGCGCAAATACCTAGGCAAATATCGGAGACTGGAGAGGTTCGGGTTTCCTTATTCACGCCTGTCCATCCAGGCGTCGTTATTTGTTTCTAAAGACATTTTTCCCTCTCTCGCTGGCCATTCGTTTGTCGTCTGCTTCCAATTGGTTTTCGAGGGTTCCACAACGGGCGAACCAGCCGAGCTTTCACACGCGGCCCATCCTCGATAAGTGACCAGTGAGCGTCCAGGAATAGATTCCAATACTCAATTGGACTGGTCTATTATCCGCAAGAGTGTCAGGCTAGGAAAAGTCAGCGGTATCCATCTAAGGATCCATCTGACAACTTTCTTTTCGTGGGGAAGGAAAGAAGGCGAGCATATCAGGCTTGTGATCCAGTGATTTCTCCAGAACAACACTGGCTACAACATCATCCTGCTCACTGCCAGCATCATCAGTCAGGTTTTCCTCCCAGCAACCTACGTGTTGCTGGAGAAAGTTAGAGGATAGAGGTGGGTTCTCTCTCTATAGTTATGGCTCTTTGCCATCCTGTCCATCCCCCCTCTACCCCAACCCAGCCCCCCGAATTAACATCACCCTATCGTTCGCACACATATTGACACACTACTGCTCCCAACCTCTTTATCCTCCCCCCGTACCCTCGCTCTTTCTTCGAAAAAAAAAAAAAAAATAGTGAATTAACTCTGTACGCTGTGGATACTGATGTTGTTGCTGGACAGGAAGTTTAGAGACAAGCTCAGCACTAATACACAACGCGCCAAACTGTCCCCATTTCCTGCCATTCCCTTTACTAGTTTCTCTTTCCTCCCCTCCCCTCCCTCCCCCTCCCAGCCCCCTTTGAAGTAATTCACCCATTCACGTCGCCAACTTGTTCTCCTCCTCCTCCTCTCCGTCCTCGTCGTCACCGACACCGACGAGAGGCGAGTTTATCAGAGGCTCTGAATACGCTGCCCGTCGAAGATCTACTACAGACTCGCCCACTCTTCCCGAAGTTGAATCTGCACGTCGAGTTTCCCGACACACACTTTCGGCCATCCACTTTGCCCTAGAAGAAGCAATTCGCACCCCATATCCGTTTACCCCAGATAGTGAAGAAGAGAACGCGTCCATGTCAGCGATGATGGCGGCAGGTACATCTGGACCAATACCAGTGACCCAGTTCGCATCCGTTCCCAGTGCGCCTCAGCAACGCGGTCACTCACGCCAACCCAGTTCAACCGCGAGGTCACCTGGCCAACCGTCGCAACAACATCAACAACAGCAGCAGCAATACCAACAACCACAGCAACAGCCCGCTCAGTCCCAGGGCGGCGAATCATCAACACGACGAGAAGGCGGCGGCAGGGCGCGGAGTAATAGCCAAGCCCCACCGCAAAATGGGGCAGGAGGTAGCAGTAGTGCCCAGCAGGAAGCTTATGCAAGAGTCGCTTCGCAGCAACCAAAGGTGCCCGCAGGATCGGCGAACCAGCGAGTGCACGCACCAAGGCCCCCACCGATAGCAACTTCGGCTACTAGTGGCGCACCCGGTCCAGGAGCATCGGCATCATCTAGAACACGCCAGGCCGAGCCCTCAAGACAACCGGAACAAGCACGTGCGCAGGCCCAACCCGGGGCGCAAGCTCAACCCCAATCCCAACGTCATGCCCAGTCTCAGCAGCAAGGCCAACAGGCAGGTTCGTCGAGTCGTCCTGCGACCAGTGCTGCGCCAAACCTGGCAACTGCTCCTGGAGCCCCTTCAAGTTCCACGAGTCGTCAGCCAGGCCAAACCGTAACAAGTAGTTTCCCCCATGCTTTTGAGCGATGGGAGAGATTATCTTCTCGATGGGAGGGATTGACCGGCTACTGGATCTCACGCCTTGAACACAATCGCGAGGAGTTGAAGAACCTGCCACTTGAGCAAGAAATGGCGCGTCAGATTAGCGATTTGTCAACCGCAGGTGCCAACCTTTTCCAAGCTGTTGTAGAACTTCAGCGTCTTCGCGCTTCATCGGAACGTAAGTTCCAGCGTTGGTTCTTTGATACAAAGTCTGATCAAGAACGGGCAAAGGAAATGAGCAGTGAGCTTGAGCGCTCTCTGCGAGTCGAGCGACAAAAGCGGGCTGATGCAGTTACTAACATTCAAAAACTGGAGAAGGAAAAGGCAACAGCTGAGAAGCTTGTTGAAGAAATGCGTCGGGAACTGCAAATCTCAAGAGAGGAATGTAGACGTGCCTGGGAAGAACTTGGTAGGCGGGAACAAGAAGAACGGGAAAGAACCAATAGTTTGAGAGAAGGCCACCCTACTCTCGTTGGTGGCGTTCAGGTGCTTCCGATGCCCATGCCGGGAGTGCCAATGCCTACTCGTAGCGGAAGCGGTGCGAGACCCAGAACCTCTTCGAGTTCCCATGCAGGTGGATCTGCACAACCAGATGCTCAGCCATATCAAGAGCATTACGATTACTATGGTAGTAGCCCTGTACAGAGTGACCTTGGCCGAAGTGATCTTGGCCGGAGTGATCTTGGCCGGAGTGATCTTGGCCGGAGTGATGTTGGTAGGAGTGATGTTAGTGCTGGGCTACACCATGAGCCTGCTTCGCCCGCACATGCCCAACACACATCAACAGCGGCAGCTACTGCTCCCTCGTCTGGTGTTGCCGGTACTCCCTCCCCAGCCTATCCCCCTCCCCAGACCCTCAAGGTCAAAATTCGAAGAGACAACAAGCTAAGTTTTACCAACAAGACCAACTCAACATTCATCCTGACCCAACACGTACCTTTTCGCCTGAGTCCGGCTCATACGTGACCAACGGTTCCGGTGTTCGATCACGCCACTCTGGCTCGGTAACCATCTCCGATACCTCTGACGTTGGCTTTAACGACACCAGCGGGGCGTGGGAGTTAGACGCGCAAGGCCAAGTCCTCCTTGATGAAACAGGCAATCCTGTACGGCAGTATGAGCGTCGTGAGCCCTCGCGCGCCGAACTAGATGATGAAGATGAGGAAGAACTATCGTGGAACAGAATGCCAAACTATGATGGCGCGGCGTATTCTGACAATGGTGGTGGTGGAGTTCCGGTAGGATATGGCCCAGGATGGGAGACGATTCCACGGGCACCACATCACCACCCGACGAGATTGAGTGATGTACCAGAGGAAGAAGAGGAAAGAAGGACACTGATGGGAAGTGAAGGGGGAAGAATGAGTCGGTGAGTTTTGTGAGGATGGCATGGATATGCAAGGGCGAGGAGAGAGCAAAAGGAAGAGGAATGTACGAGAAAGGAAAAGGGAGTATTAATGCTGTGTGAAGTCCTTAGGTGGACGGACCCCTCCTCACTCTTTAGTTACTACACGTATTGTTCATTAACATGTTATCTGTTTGCGAAATATCTAGTCCTGTCTTGGTTTGATAGTTAGTATACGGTGGGGTTTGTTTTTGCTGTTGTGTTATGGGAGTTTTCCTTCTTCTTTTCGTTTGACATATCTTTGTTTTTCCCTGTACTGGCTGCTTTTATCTTGTCTACCCGGTACTTTTTCCTTTTGCGAAGGACATTTAAAAAAAAGACAGATTTCCTGCTTGTTTCACTGTCTCATTAATACATCTTTGCTTGCTGGGTGTTTTGATATTTATGCATTGTATCTGCTTTCTGTGTACTGATTTGTCTTATTTTTTTTTACTGTTCTGTTGTGATGTCCTTTATGCGGCGGGTGGTTGTTGGGATGCGGCATGGAGAAAACTGTTTTATAGACCGCTTCAGCTGGTACGATCGTGATTGAAAAAAGACGTGGTGTGGCGAATGATATTATTTTAACCAGATCTTGTGTGAGAGCTTTTTAACAGGCAGTGTGGGGGGGGCACCTAAGTCCGCTCTCAATATATATCCTTTGATTGTGACGGCTTATGATCCAACCTCGGAGCTGTGATAACATCGATAACATCACCTGTTGCTTTTCCTATTTGGGAATAGACACCGAGTGATTTGTTGTGATGCTAGAGTTTGGAGTGTTGGGGGTTTTTGGCAATTTCGTGGGATTAGCGTTCAACCACAATTATGACCCCAAAACTGACAGAAACGCAGCACTACCTTTAGGTCTATTTCTACCTGCCCCTAATTAGTCTCGTACTAAGGTGATAGACGTACGAGAATATGAATATTCGTCCATGTCTTGAGTTGTAGATCTCTCGGCCCCATCGTAAAGTTGATTTGGGTACACGTACTATGTACATGTAGTTCTTCTCCATTTCCGTAAGACAGGCGGCCATACTTGTAGTCAGCTCCCCATCCCTGGGCGAGTGGCGTTTTTTCTGCGGCTGTAGATCGTCATCTTCGGCGGATCCTTCGCCTCGAAGACATAGTCGTGGTAAACATTTAGGTGCCTTTTGGTTTATTTTTCGCCAGCGTTCTTAACGCTTGAGTCGAGTATCAATGATGGGGGGACTGAGGGGGGTGGGGGTGGTTGATCAGTTAGTGGTTGCGCACTGTCATGTACTTTCAGCGACGTTGACTAACTGCGACACAGCTCTGGACACGTGCCTACAAGTATCTACGGTCACCCAACAGCAAACTCAGCAAAATTACTCTCTGTCAAATTTCGCACTTCCTCCCCAAGCAACAGGAGCCCCAGCCCTCTCCAGACCCCCAACCTGTCCAACAGAGACAGGGCTTAAAACTACTCCATGGCCACCCCACTCAGCCGCCATACTGTCCACCCATTCACGCATTCACTCCTCACCTACCCATCTCCAAACGAAACATTAGCCTGCTCACAGGCAAGACATGGGAGAAAGGAGTTTTCGAGTTACCGCTAATGTCATGATCACAGTCAAGCATTTTGGGTCCGCGGGGCTTTGTCCATTGAAACTTGTGTAGTCCGCCCCCCCCCCCCCCCCCCCCCCCCAATATAGTGCACATGCGTACCTCGCTCTCCCTAATACTACATGATATCGGCTGAGCCAATTCACTTATAGAAGAAACTCTGCATGTGCTGATATGGAGAATTTACCGTGACTTTGAGATTTTCTGTAAACCAGAACTAAGGTAGGCTAAATCGCCAATTATTAGCACAAGGTATCTCCTTAATTACTCATGGAAGCTCTGGTGATAGAAAAAAGCGGTCACCATCTCTACCAGTATGATCAGCAAAGTTATATGCATGTTAATGCACTCTTACAGTTATGTCTTTTGATGTTCTTCATAGCAAAACACAAAAGGATACTAATTACCCGTATTGTCCACGAGATAGAGGTGTCTTGTACTTCAAAAAAATTTCGAGATATAACTATGGTTTAGCTGGCCAGTTAGACGCTATACAACCTCCTCGGCTTGAGCCAGCTTGTGGTTGTTTTAATCCCAGAACTATTTTTTCCTTTCACCCAAGCTTTTGCGCCTCCTGCTGTCCTCGCGAGAAAGGATTATTGGGTTCCGAATCGCCATTGCCTACACTTTTATGCACAGAACGGCCGTATATCACGACTCAATCCAGTATTTGAATTCAGCAATCAGCAGTAAAATATCTCATTTTAGAATAAATTTGTCGGGAACACCATCCCAACACCGGCAGAGCTCCCTGTACCTAAACTTTTAAGCTCCACTGGGCATTGACTAGATGCCCCTGGGGCACAGAGAACACTGATATGGTAATTCTGCAGTATCATCAGACCAGGCAAAGGTTACTCACTGGTGGGACATTACGATCATATCATCTAAGTACGGCGGAAATAAAGGCACATATATATGTATGTAACTCAGGCCACAAATATATCGCGAGTGATGGGTGGTGATCATCACAGAATCCGGTTGCTGCAATTTAAATTGCAATAACACCGCGGATTGGCCAAAAACTTATTACAAGCCTTTTATAAGAAAAAGAAACCTCCATGCAACCGATAATTGTGTAGTGCTTGGCTCTTTAGGAAGAAGTGCAAGGCCCCGTGTATGCACATGTGTTAATGTGCACAAGAAGTACATGTACTCAAGTGCTTTACATCAAAGCCTAGATTTAAGTTTGCCGTACTCAACGGGATGTGCAAGGATGTCACTTAACGTCCGGCCAAGTCCGTATATATGTGTCTGAATTGAGGCAATGGTTACTCGGAGAATATGATACCCAAACACAACCCCAGGCCCCTGAGCATGAGCTAGAGTTTAGGTCCCATTTATCCGGTTAACGGATCCCGGCTAGAAATTCGACTTTGTACAACCATGGAAATCACTAATAACCTGCCTGCAGTCCTTTAAATAGGCCCGTACCTGCACCTGTACATACATGTAGAGTACTCTACCTGCACTCGTACCTGTACCCAAATACGACAGGGAAGCCCAGAGATCAACAACATGTAGCCAAGTAACTAGTTAGCTACCGGCTTTAACTAACTTTATCTACCGCGGTCGCTGTGACTAGCCAAAAATATAGCCCCTGTGGAATCGTATGGACATGTGTATTCCTTCCCATCAAGCTTAAACGACAGGAGCGGACTATCCAATTCCTGATCAGCGGGTATATCACGACTAGGACATCCTTTAATGCACATGGAATACACAACTGTGATCTCCCGTGTGGTGAATTAATTTTGCCTTCCAGGCCCCGCCTAAAGGGTAGGAATCCAGGATGGGTGTCACAAAGTTGCTTAATTCACCCCAACATGTACATGGGAGCAAATTACTTGCCTGCAGTGCTATGTACTGCAAATATCTATATGAGGTAGAGCTTGCCTAGAATGTATGTATGTTCTTCAATATCAGGATTTCTTCCCCTGTCCACACAGCTGAGTATCGGGGGCTGAAATTCGGGTGCAGAAAATGACCTATGGTTTTCTATTTACCTGCCCCAATTGGTTGTTGGAATTGTGTCATGATAACGATACCGTTCAAGGCGGAAGAAGAGAAGAGGAAGCCTGTGCTTCTAGATCAACCGCTTGACCTGTTCAAACCAATTGGGGCCCGGTTTTTTTTTTCTTTATAAAAGGCCTTATCCCGCCGGTCCCGGTCACGGAAGAGTACCTCGCTCTCACCCTCATCTCCCAGAACGCTCTTAACATCTCAATGTTTTCCCTCCTAGGTTCCCTTCTTCTCCTTGTAACCGGCGTGACCGCAGTCTGCCCTATCCCCGCCATCTACATTGAACCTACAATCACCCTGCCGTTCGCGATCCAAGTCCAGAATGCCTCCTACCCAGTGGTTCACAACCGCCTCATGAACCTTTGGCAAGCAGGTGGTGGGGATCAGCATCTCTATCTCAGCCCTGCTGGAACACCTACTAGCAACCTCACTCTTGTGGACGGGGTCATCACGCGGCTACCTATCAGGGCGGTCATCAATGGCGAGGTAAACTACATAAGACGAATTAAGCTACGCAGGCGGCTGATTAGAGTGATGGGTGAATAGTACACGGCGACAGACAACACCACAAAACTGTTCATGACACAGCGCGGCGATCCCAGGGCGTTTTTCGATGTCGGATATGGGTGCAACCAAACTAATGATAAATTGCAGACTGAGCTGCATTTTAGGGGTCGGGGGACACTACCAGGGGGGCACATCTGTGTTAGGTTGGCGTCGGGGAATAGGTATGAGTTTAGGTACTCGCCGCCTGGGAATACTGGTTAGTGGATTCTGTCCTGATGTGTGAAGAGCGGGATGCAATGGGCGCTAACGTATGGATGAATGTATAGCGAGTGGGAGGTTGTGCATCAAAGTTACGTTAGCTATCATGTTCCAGGAAACTGCAGTGGTAGAGGAGACTCGAGAGCTAGACGGATAGTCAGTGGTGCTGTGAACTTGGTTGAGTATCTTCGAGTTCTAACCTGCAGCGGTCGATTATTTGCGTTCTGCTTGATGTATACTCTGCATATACTAGCTACTAGGCATGAGCAACCTAGCGAAAAGGCGAGCATGGGGAGTGAATAAAGATAAAAGGGATAATATAAAGACACCTATATGAATTTGTGTAGCTCAGCTAACGTATCATACTGTGGTACTACTTTAGATCCTCTAATAATTTACGAGGACTTTCCTGCCTATTTACTGAAAAATATAGATGTCGTTTGAGGGCGAGTGATTTTTTGTGATCAAACATAGCCTGATATGTGCATGACTACATGTAGATACAGGTACTGTATGTATGTATGTAGCTAGAACATATATGCTCAGGTTTGTTGTTTGTTTCAAAGATTGGAGCCAACACTCACCTAAATGTTGATATACACAGAAGTTACATATACCTACATCGTAGACATTTTGACAGGACTACCACCCACGTGCGCGGCCTTGCAACCGCACGAGCACGCGGACACGCACCTGAAGGTATCGAGTGTTGGGCATATTATACTTCCTTTATGTAAACTAGATTTTTCTCTTTCCCTTGAATCTGTATTTCCCTTGATGTGGGGGGTTGTTGATAAACAACGCGTGGCACTAGATGTTTGAAATCTCGCTTCGTCTCATGTTCTTAGTGGTGGTAAATTATTAGGGGGTGCTAGCAGTCTTGGTAGGGTTTAGCGACTAATAAGCTTGGACTAATATGGCCGGCGCTAAGCCACTTTTAGTGAGTAATTCTAGAGCAAACCTCAATTGGCAAGCTAGGAAGGTGAGTAGGGAAAGTCAACAGTTAATACGATGAAGGAAGGAAAAAATCGGGTAGAATTGCAGGTACCTAAATGTATGTAAAGTATGTATGTCGATAGAGGTTCATCTTCGGGGATTTAAAAAGTCTGTAACGTCGACTGGATAGGATGTTTAAAGAGATAATGCCTGACGCAAGTGCCATGTACTCTAAAAGCATGCAGAATTCCTCCTCCCGGCCCCCAATCCCAGTCCTACTCCCACTCCAGCTGAAACCATCAGGCTTGAGACATGGCTTGACTGAACTGTGGTAGCTAGGGTTGACTGAGGTGGGGAAGCGAATGGCATGGCTACCGTCACCTCACCTGTTGCGTTGAATGCACAAACCAATTTGGAGGGAAACGCCGTTGTGTACCAAGGGTTATGAGACTTATGAGTGTTGGTCTTTACTACTTCAACTCTGGCGATATCCGTTTGAAGGTTCCTAAACCGATCCACGCCAGTGAGCGAGCTCCTAATAAAGAATAACTGACTCTCTAGACTCGTCGCGAAATTCTATATGGTAGATCCTTGAGCAGTACGGTGCGACAGGACCCTGTCCTAGCAAATTTGATTGTCCCAATTGTATTTTAGAGAGGAAAAAAAAAAGTCGGGGAGGAAGCCCTGGCCAATTTCAAGGTGGAGGGAAACGAAACGATGATTTCCCAGCTTTCCTTCCCTCTATCTCCCTCCCCTTCCCCCTCCCTCTTCGAACCATTTTTTGCCCGATCGCCCCCATACTTCCCACCACCTCCGTACCTACCTATTCTCCCCTTCTCCTTCCTCCCTCTCTCTGACTGATCCGTCATCAATCGCCGCTGGTCGTTCGCTGTTGTTTGCTCGGAATCTTTACTATACTTCCTGTCCCTGACGTGTTTGTCAATACGTTACGTTGCTCTAAGACATACCCCTTCGATAAACAATCGGCCAAAAGAAAAAAAGAATAGTATTCGAACCTCGAGTAATAATTCGTTTTTGTACGAATATATATATCGAGCTATCCTTTTTTTTCTTGTTGCTGCTCTCGTCACTTGTCACGCCAACTGAGACTCATCTGGTTTTACCGGTCGTCGCGCTTCACTAGTAAATACAGCTACTGCAAGGTAGCTACTGAAGCGAGAGCTTGAACCTCACTACAACCTGCAAGGGGCTGCATCACCACCTGCTGCCAAAGCTCTTATCGCGAACAGACGTTCTATCTCTCATACCGAGAGCGAGAGAAAGAGAGATCTTGGGTTTTTAATGAACACGTGAGAGAAAAACGGTCAAACAAAATAGTACGTAAAATTTCCAATTTATCAGTTTAATTTCATTTTAAGCTATTCGCCCTTGCCCAACCACACAAAGGACTACCACCGCTGACCATGTCAAATAGATACACTACAATATATCCCTCACACCTCAATTAATTCTCTAAGACCCATCAGTACAATGGCTTCCGTCAACGGCTCTTCGTCAACGCTACAAAAGCGGCCTCCAACCCCCAAATCTTCCTCCTCGGCCCCTAAAACTATTAACGGTGGTCCCCCTCCTCCTATCCCCGATTCCAAGAAAGACGTTCATCCTCCGCGGCGCTCCTCGCTCAACTTTCTACGTCGTACAAAGTCAGGTGATCCAGTCCGCAAGGTCCCAGTCGTCGCCGCGGAGGCGCCGAAGCTACCCACCATCTTCAACGGCGCGGCAAATAACGCTGCTATGCAGGCGCCACCGTCGCGAAATGGGTTTGGGAGGGAAATTAGAGACTCAGTCGCGATTATAAGCGGAAGGTTCGGTGCGGACGAGGAGTACGGTAACGGTGTAGGAAAGGCCAACCCGCTGGGTGGGTATGTGCCTGGAAGGAAGTCAACCGATAGTGTAGTGGGGAGAGAGAATACGTATGTGACCACCAGCACTGTGCCATTTACAGAGGATCCGTATGCAAAGGAAGGAAGTATGGCACATAGAGGGAGGTATTCGTACGCGAGTAATACCAGTAGCAGTACTTATATCAATTCCCCAAGACGGGTCAGGAGGAGGAAAGATCCAACGCCATTCAAGTAAGCCTCTCTCTGACCTTTTTATGTTGAACCAATTGCTAACCCCTCTCAATAGTGTTCTCGTTATTGGCGCTAAAGGTTGTGGTAAAACATCATTTCTACGCTTCCTCCGTCAGTCACTCGCCCTGAAGCCTAAGCGCGGGCAAGTGATCACCGCGGATGAGAGCCCTGAAGCTCCCGCACAGGCGGCCGACTTGACCGCCACATTCAATTCTTCATACCTCGAAACTGACATTGACGGCGAGCGCATCGGACTCACCCTCTGGGACTCTGCTGGCTTGGAGAAAAACCTTATCGACTTGCAGATTCGCCAGACCGTTGCTTTCCTCGAATCGAAATTCGAAGAGACATTCACCGAGGAAACTAAGGTCGTCCGTGCCCCCGGAGTAAGGGATACCCATATTCATTGTGTATTCCTGCTCCTTGACCCTGCACGCCTAACGCCGAATAACCATTACCATGGTAAAAGCGGGAGTAAGGAGGATGTTGGTGGTCTTGACAACGATCTCGATATCGCCGTTCTCAAGGCTCTACAGGGAAAGACCGTCGTTATTCCTGTCGTTAGTAAAGCGGATAACTGCACTCTCGCACATATGGAATCTTTGAAGAAGCTCGTCCGCAAGGGTCTGAGCCGTGCTGGAGTCGACCCTCTAGATGCACTCGATCTCGAGATTCCAGAGACCGACAGCACTGGCAAAGGCAACAGGGGCTCCCTCGCCGAAGTTGATGAAGAAAACGATGATCTACCGGCAGCCCATAACTCTATCTCCTCTGCCGGGTCCGATAACGGAAGATACGAGGAGGATGAAGGAAATTTGTCGCTGTTACCATTGTCGGTGATTTCCCCGGACTCGTACGAACCAGGTGAGCCTGTGGGCAGAAAATTCCCTTGGGGATTTGCGGATCCATACGATGAGGGCCACTGCGACTTTGTCAAGTTGAGGGAGGCTGTTTTTGTGGATTGGAGAGGCGACTTGAGGGAGAAGAGCAGAGACGTGTGGTATGAGAACTGGAGGAGTGATAGGTTGGGGGCCAACCGGAAGAAGTGAGTTCTCGGTGGTGTGTGAAGGTGTTCGTTTACGTGAGAGGGAGCTTGGTTCCCTCAAGTATTTTATTTGTGGTGGATTTTTATTATCATTTCCTTCCATTTCATACTTATTCTCATATTGAAGCAGCCAGAAAGTCATTCTGGGAGTTATCAAGCGGTCATTCATCCTTTTTCTTTTTCAATTCCATTTTCTTTCATTCTATTCCATTTTCTTCGGGCTTCTGGATGGAGTTCTTTTTTTTTCGGTTCTGTCGGAGTGATGTGGGGACTGCTGGTTATCTTTTCTTGTATGTCTTTTTTTTTATCATTACTGTAGCTTAGCTTAACATAACTTTTATGTCTTATTTTCTTTTCTCTTGTCTTCTTGGTACCCCCTTCGTCGACTATGCTGACTACATATGTCTGTAGTTAGTGGTCTTGACCCTTAATCCTGGATGTTGATATCTGGGTATTTTTCTTTTTTTGGTAGCCACATTAGGCGGCTTATAACTATACCTATCTTTTTGGTCGAACTAGGGTAAAATTGGCTCGCAATGGCCATGGTGATAGGCGGTGACAGGCGATGAAGCGAGGTGTATGGGTTTGATCAACAGTGAATTTAAGCTTATCCTTATCGCCATCTCATCTCATCTTATCTTATCTTGCCATGAATGGGGGAGCTCCCAATTACAACCCCACTCATCAACTCCAATTGATTTCAATTGATATCTCGCCCTACCACGTAACCTGCAATTAAAGATTAATAAACCTCTCATAAATCCAAATGACATCCCCAACTCACCACGGCGGTCCTCCAGACCTCATACCCGAAACTGCCCAGTCCCAATCCCTCTCTGAGGCGGGTATTCATGTGGAGCTTACCCACTCCACGCTCGACATCACCGCTACACTCGCTCGTGTTCGCAGCCCTAAGGCCGGTGCTCTTATTCTCTTCGCTGGTTGATACCCTCCTATTATTATATTGTGGGTTAATAGTAGTCAATTAACACCGTGCAGGCACAACGCGAGACAACTTTGACTCGAAGCCGGTCGAGCACCTCTCCTACACTTCATACCCTCCGCTGGCGCTGCAGACGCTGCTCAAGATCTGCCGTGAAATGAAGGAGAAGCACAGTCTGATTGGGATCTCAATCATTCACAGGCTTGGAACGTGTCCTGTGGGTGAGGAGAGTATATTGGTGGCTGTGAGTGCGCCGCACAGAAAGGCGGCGTGGAGCGCGGGCGAGGAGTGCCTGGAGATCGTGAAGGAAAAGGCAGAAATATGGAAGCTGGAGACGTTTGTGGGTGGGGAAGGGGTATGGAGGGCGAACAAGGATGGGGTGCAGGGTGGTAGTACCACTGCGCATGTTTAATGAAGTGCAGCTAAGGGGTGGAGAGGTAATGATTGTGGTGCGGGTTTTTGATGTAAATAGAATTTTAGTGGGTGCAATTACGGGCAAAAATTAAGCAGTATGGAGTCGCGGGCTCCTTAAATTAGACAAAGGTACAGCGAAAGCTTGCTATAACGGTACGCTCAGGACCGGAATTTGGTACCATTATAGAGAGATTACCCTTATATAAGAGGTGCTGGTGCTGAAAGCCGGGCAAAAAGGACCGAGAAGTGCTACCGTTGTAGAGAGATTACCCTTACAGAAGGTACCGTTAAGCAAGCTTTCGCTGTAAATACATAATTTTAACGCACAGTACATCCAAAAGCTTTTCAAAAAGAAAGAGAAGAAAAAAAGGAAATTCATCGATCAAAGCCATACTCAAGCGTGTTGAAGTTCTGTGAAAATAAAAGGCGATTCCAGGTACCCTCGCGATCGCCCTCTCCCATCGCCACGTTGGCTAGCCGAGAGACCTCTCTCTCTCATGCTCACGGCGCATCTGATCTACTATATCTGGACCCCCATCTGCTAAGCAGGCGCCCTTGCCGTGCTTACAGCAGGCGCTTGTGTGATGTTGATCAGTTGACCAAGTAGATTGCTCGAACGACCAGGCAGGAAGTGCTTTCTGGTTTCTCCACTGTTCAAGCTCGTGAGGTTCGAGCTCGACCAGCTTATCCATGGGAACCACGCCCGAGTAGCGTGTGATCATGTTTCGGCCAAATGTGCACAGGTGGGGTGTGCTCTTGCTCGTGCCTTCTGGGGTCCAGCTCATGATCCATGATCTCTGCCCAATCGTAAAAATATCGCCGACTTTATTTTCAACCTGGCCGCGGTCTGCAGTGTCTGTACATGTAGGAATGGCAATTTAGCATATAGAAGAAGAAGGAGAAGGGGACCGAAGGAGAAACTCACCCCACTTGAAACTTTTGGCAACCTTGTAATGAGGAAAAAACAATAGGCATGTGGCATTCACGAACCCAATCTCGGCAGTATTTAAGGAAAACACTTGGACGCTGGGATCTCTCCTTGCGTACAGGGTTTCTTGGCCTTTCGAGGTATCCTCGAAGAGAAACTGGTCATCCATGGAATGTTGAATAATCTCTCCTCCCGGGGGGGATGCTCCCAGGGGGGATGCTCCGTCAGGGTTCTTTTTGTGCCTGCAAATCGCGATGGCGTGGGCAAAGATTTGGTGGCCTTCAGGTTTATCTGTGCCCATGTGGTAGTGGTCGAGATTCACCTTTTGCGCTTCCCATGGCAGACGCTTTTTGCCCATCTTGCCAGAGCTACAGAGTCCGGGGGGCTGATACTCTAGTCCGATGACTTCGTTCACAGGATCAAGGGCCAGCAAGGAGACAGGAACAAAAACCTGTCTTCCTTCGGAATTGACCAAAAGTTGCGTATCTACTTTAAAGGTTGATCGCTCCATATGTATATCTATAAAGTATATTGGCGGATGGTGGATCGTATAGGTATGTATGCTTAACAAGCTTATAGCTGTTTATTTATATGATATTTTCACATTCACATACTCTATATAGCTAGGCCATGGATGCAATTTTTTCATTATTATTATTATTTCTACGTGGGAAGCTCCATATGTCAATAATGACATATCACAAGAGGATCGACATGGCGCTGAGCTTACAGGACGTACGAGCGATACTCATATCAACTCGTACGATCAAGGACAATACTAACCTCCGAGTCAAGACAGGCAGGGCCCGGGCGTTGAGACCATATCACACTTGTACGATCCAGAACAGACAATAACTAGCTAGCCCAATATTCCACTCAATCTGGCTGGTAATCACTAACCACCATTTATGCGGGGAGCTATGGGGGAATAGTGGAGAAGAGTGCATGATCCTGAAGGAGAGCGGGGGGTGAGATTTATAAGGCCCCCCATTCACCAGCCTAGCAGCTCGCATGGGAGTTTCAGCTTAATTGGCCAATCATATCAGAGCCAGTATAATTGCCCCAGCGACCTGTCACGGAGGTTTGAGCCAGTCTGAATCCATAGATCCACCTGGGGGGATAACGCCTACTCGATCCCACTTAAGGCATCCATGATTAGCGATCTTCTTGCATAAAGCTAGCTAGCCTTACAGTTAGCCACTACCAATATATACATATATACAATCCGACTTGCAGTCTCGAGACGTCTCACATCTGTCTGTCACTGCGCGGGTCGGCGGATGGAGAGGATGTGAGCCTATCTACACACTTACACATAAAGGTGACACGTCTAGTTAAGCTAGACTGTGGATAACGTTACTAAGATCATCTTACAGAGGCGGCATCCCACAGCCGTTATCACGAAATGTCTATACTACCATTCGACAAACAGGGGTTACAGTCATGCCAAATTAAAGAAAAAGCCAAGATAAGGTTTTTTTTTCATTTCACTGATTATATTCCCATTGGCCCAAACCTCCCCTGTAACTACTACTAGAGTGGAAGGGAGGGTGTTTAAACTTAGGCATGAATACAGACGTGTAGAGTGTTTTAGCTCTTATATCTTCGGCCACATCTTTGCCATATTACTAGCTATCTGTCCCTTAAACTGTTACTTCAATGCTGCCAACATAAGAGACGGTAATACCAGGCCTAGGCGAGCCTTGCACGCAAGCCACAGAATCAAGACTACTTGACAAAGTTAGCAGCTTTAACAGCGCCGCCATATATAAGGGATACACGTAGTACTGCTGGCCTAGAAGCTACCTACCTATATGCGCCAATATGTGCCTTTACGGCAAAAAAAAATCCGAATACCCCCGGAGATAATCTGTTATCATATTCATTTGAGGTTTGTGCTTAGTGTACTAGTAGGGGTATTCACTTCTAGAAATGTGTCTTTATATAGCGCTGCATTACAACGCTGCTTATATGGCACTGAAATTTTCAAAAATCTGAATATCTCTGGAGTGCACATGCCATATTATTGTGGGAGATATATACACGTAATCCGTTGCCATATTAATTTGAGATTTGCGCTTAGTGTAGTGGTCAATGACCTTTGTATGATACACATATATATATATGGCCCAATATATTTTGAACAATAAGGTAGCAGCTATAGGTTGGTGATCATACTTATTTCTACTCATACATATTTAATAATACGTGACTGCCGATTATTCTAACCAAGCGGTTCATATAAGCAGTACACGTACGTACTCCTATAAGATCTAGAGCGCACGTATTCCGACAAGTGAATACTGACCCCGTATGTTGTATATATTTTACGTGTAAGAAAAAAAATGATTACAATTACATTAAGGAAAGGTTCACTAATACACTAATACACTACTAACTGTAGTTGATATTGATATCGATATTGCTATTGGTTGGTATGTACGTACATACATATATACAGATTGAACGCAACCAAGCCAAACACCATCCACGCATCCACTCATCACGCATCACGCATCACACATCACGTATTCTCACTCGTACGTCCCATGCACCCCCCCCCCCCTTTTTTTGGTTTAATTCATTAATCATCCGCCCGGTGCCCACCCCCCCCCCACCCTACTTACACCGGTGCAGGAATAAGAACCACAACGTGGCGTACGTGCGGGCGGCGATATATATATACAGGGATTGTTAGTTTTGTATGGAGTGCACTGGCCATGGCAGTCGCTAGGGAAGGGGAAGGAAGGGGATTTAAAAACGTGGGCGTGAATACATATGTATGTAGCGAATTAAAAGTGATGCAACGTTTAATTGACCTAACGCCAAAAGGCACCCCCCCCCCCCCCCCAGATTCCAATGTTTTAGCACAACACATCATGAAAGCTTTATAGCTAAACAAGATGTATATTCTGATCTGATAATACACATGATATGACACAGCTGAGCATGAGGAGTCTGTCTCTAGGATAGAATTAAGCTGTGTTTTTCAGAGCCATTAGATTTTTTTTTCTTTCTTTCTTTCTTTTTTATAAGCCTACTATATACATACAGAATGGACAACATCTAGATATTCGATCATGATATCTCTTGCCAAAAACTATGGTCTCCACCAGCCTGTAAACTATGTACCACAAATCCACGGATTATATTTAATTTTATAATCGTTACATCACTTATAAGGGGTACGTTTTAACTCTCGAGATTCCATCTCATACATCCGGCCATACCTCGGCCATATTACTACATATGTAGCTATCCCTTAGACAATCAGGCCGAAGCTACCTGCACCTATTGTATGCGCCACACTGTAAATTTGCGTGGATGGATGGAGGATGACTATATATTTTTACGTGGAGGGGGATCTGACGAAATATAGCTATTTTACGGGGAAGGAAATATGACTACATGTATATATTCTACGTGGAAGGAAATATGGCAGAGTCGACAAGGTTCACTAATACACTAATACATACATACGCTACCAACTAGCTGTGGTTGATATATAGTGATATTGTTATTGGCCAGTTGGTACAACGATGTATCACAGCCACATGTATGTACATGTATAAGCTACTATTACTCTATGGACGGACGGACGGACGGATGGGTTATACGTAACTACCTATTAGACACGACTAATTACGCTGCTCCTCTATGTAGCTAGCTCGCGAGCTGTTTATTAATACACATACCTGTACCTACACGGACAAAAGAAATCGAGACAGGAAGCGTACAAAAAAAAAAAAATACAAGAGGCCAAAAAAAAGCCGGGCCAAACACCATCACGCATTCTCACTCGTCTTCTAACCCCCAAACCCAAACCCTACACCTACGAATAGAACCAGACCATACAAGCAAGCGGCGCTAAAAGGCTTATCTGCACGAGTAGTAGCACCGCCCGGCATACAACCCCCAACCCAACAACCAGCATCAACACCACCCCACCCTCCCCGCCACCCCCTCCAACCTCCCCCCCCCGCCCCCGACCCCACCCCCTTCACCCTCCTCTCCACCTCACCATACCGCCTCCCCCCCTCCCCACAACAACAACCCTCCCACCCCTCCATCCTCACCAACACACACCCACCCCGTCACGCCGCACCCCCACCTTACCACCACCACACTAACCGCCTCGTCCCACTCCACGCCCGAAACACGGTTCTCCCACCCCTCCGTCACGTCGCCCACGCGGCCCGCTGAGAGCGCTGCGGCGCGCAGCGCCGTCGCGGCTGCCACGCGCCGCGCGTGCAGCGTCAGTTGCCGTCGGAGGGTGCGTGCTAGTGTGGGTAGTGGTGGGAGCGGCGTGGGCAGCGGGAGGAAGGGGGGGAGGGTGTGGCGGTGGATGGTGTAGGGGGCGGATTTGGGGTCGTGGGTGGGCGGCGGGAGGGTTATGTGTAGGTAGTGGGGGGGTGGAATTGCCCTGGGTGGTGGTGTTGGTGTTAGTTTTTGTAGCGTAGAGGGGCGGGGGAGAGAGGGAGGAGAGGAGGGGTGGGGAGACATACGGTTACAAAACACCTCGATCCTGACGCCCAGCAGCGTGGTATGCGGCGGCGACGGGTCGCGGATGGTAAACGTTGTGATGCCGGCGATGCGGTGGAGGCGCGCGATTGAAGCTGCGGCGGAGGCCGTGGTGGAGGCGAACACGGCGCTGAGGTGGTCGGCGTCCGTCAGTGGCTCTTGTGTTGTCTTTTGCGTACTTGTAGCGGTTGTGGTGGCGGAGGCGGGGGAGGAAGAGGCGGGGGATGAGGAGGAAGAGGAGGAGGAGGAAGAGGAGGAGGAGGGCGGGGTGGGTGGTGAGGTGTTTGAGAGGGGGTGCGTGGCGCGGAGGGAGAGCAGCTGCGCGGTCAGAGAGGCCTTTTGGCGCTCGAGGGTCAGGAGCTGGTCGTGGAGGGTTGTGAGTGCGAGGGGCGGGGGCGGCGGGGCGGCCATGGGTGCTGTTTGCGGTGTTTGTGATATTTGGTATTATGTGGGATGGGGATTGTGATGGGTTTCGCGATTGTTGATTGTGGTTAGGGTTTGTGTTTGAGTGTTTGGGATAGTGGTGGTTACACAGGCTGTCTGTCGAGCGATGGACAGAGGCTCTGTTCTGACTTCTGGGCGAGGAAGGGTGATTCAGCAGGGTCGGGTCAGGGCTGGGTGGCTTGCAGGACGTGAGTGAGTGTTTGGGTGTTTGGCAGGGGGAGAGATGCAGGTAAACTACCATACACATGTCGATTCTTTCTTTATTTAGAAGCTGGGCAGGGGTGTGTGAGGCACAGAGAAGTTACATAGGTGGTCACTGCTGGGGAGGATGTATTGTATAGTGGCCGTGGGATATTGCCTATTGCACATGCTCGACACGACACGGAGCTTTGGGGGGTGTGTTTAGCTTGGTGGAGGCACTCTACTTGACGGTGATTGTGGGTGGGTAGGGGAGATTGGAGGGAATTGTGGAGCCGAGAGTAGAGCCTCAGTGTTCAGTCCACGATGAGTGAGAACTCTAGCTATGCGCAGTGCATGCCCGGTGAGAGTGGGCGAGTGAGAGAGAGTGAGAGCTAGCGGGGGCGGGCACCGACACCTCCTACGCCGAGTGAAAGAATGTAGACGGATAGAATTAGGAGAGAGACAGAGAGAGAGACAGAGAGAGAGACAGAGAAACAGAAAGCGCTGCTCTACACCACAGGGGAGAGAGAGGAATACGCGTCCCCCTCCCAGTTACCACATCGATATAACCTCTCTATATCCCCTCCTCCTTTGCACGAATCCCCCTTCGCCCTTTGTCCCCTCTCTCCCCCTCTCTCTCCCTCCTCCCTCCTCCCTCCCCCACACACACGCCCGCACATCTGGCATCTTCCACCGATCGCCGCCCCCCTAACCCTCCTCGTGGCTAGCCCCGAACGAGCCCTCACGACTAATCGATCATTGCCCCCATGTGCCGCTAGCAGCAGCACACTAGCTATAACCAACACCCAAACTGACTGACTGAGTCGTCGTCTGCATGTCTCCAGTACCCTTCGACGACTCTTCCCGCCATATTCCCCTTCTCTCTTCCACACTCCCTCTGCACCACCGAAGCAACAGCCAGAACAACCACCACCACCAACACCACAACGACGACGACCCAGACTACTACGACGACGGCGACGACGGCGACGACGACGACGACGGTGTCGAACTCAAAACAATCCACATCACTGACCACCAACAGCCTCGATACAGCACTGACTACGACGACAACGACAACTCAGACGCCGAAGGCCACGACCCGACGACTATGCCCGAAGTCGCAAAGTCCCCACTACAACCAACAGCAGTGAGGCCAAAATGAACACCTCCTCCTCCGTCGAGTACCGCCGCAAGAACGGCGCCTCCCTCGACAACGGCGACGACGGCACCCCTCAAGCGCACACCAGACCGAGGCCCTTCTCGAGCGCAGCTCCTTCAGCCTCGACGACGACCACGATGTCAAGCCCGCCGCCGCCTCCTTCCTCACGCTCTCGCTCGCCGACCAGCGCAACTTTGCCCTCCTCGTCCTGCTCTACTTCCTGCAGGGCGTGCCCATGGGGCTCGCAATGGGCTCCGTCCCCTTCCTGCTCAAGCACAAGCTCAGCTACGGCGAGATTGGCGTCTTCACGCTCGCCTCGTACCCCTACAGCATGAAGCTGCTCTGGTCGCCCATCGTCGACGCAATCTGGTCGCGCCGCATGGGCCGCCGGAAGAGCTGGATCGTGCCCATACAGACCGTCAGCGCGTGCATGCTCATCTGGCTCGGCGGCAATGTCGACCGCCTCATGGAGGAGGCGAGCAGCAAGCTGTACATGTTTACCTTCGTCTTCTTTACGCTCGTCATGCTGTGCGCGACGCAGGACATTGCCGTGGACGGGTGGGCGCTCACGCTGCTGAGTCCCGAGAACCTCTCGTATGCGTCGACGGCGCAGACGGTGGGGCTCACGGCGGGGCAGTTTCTATCGTTTACCGTGTTTTTGGCGTTTAATGCCCCGGAATTCTCGAATAGATACTTTAGGACCGTGCCGCAGACGTATGGCCTCATGACGCTGAGCGGATATCTCAAGTTCTGGGGATGGGCGTATCTGATCATTACCCTCGGCCTCGCGCTGATCAAGAAGGAGGAGAAGAACTCCAACCGCGACGGCATCGCCGCAGTCTACAAGACAATGTGGAAAGTCGTCAAACTAAAACGTACCCCCCCCCCCCCCCAAACCTTTCCCCCGCACCCTCCTCACCCCTTCTACCAATTAACCCCACTAACACACCGCAGACATCCAAACCCTCATAATAGTCAACCTCATCGGCAAAATCGGCTTCCAAGCCAACGACGCCGTCACCAACCTCAAGCTCCTCGACAAGGGCTTCTCACAAGAAGACATGGCGCTCACCGTGCTCATCGACTTCCCCTTCGAGATCCTTCTCGGCTACCAAGCAGGCAAATGGAGCAGCACCTTCCCCCCCATGACGCTCTGGACATGGGCGTTCATGGGCCGCCTCCTCGCCGCCGTCCTCGCCCACGTCACCGTCGTGCTCTTCCCCAAGGACGGCGTCGTCGACACGTGGTACCTCCTCGTCGTCATCGCCGAACACGTCTTCTCCACATTTACCAGCACGGTCATGTTTGTGGCGCTCACGGCGTTCAATGCACGTATTGCGGACCCCGCCATTGGCGGCACGTATATGACGCTGCTGGCGACGGTGTCGAATCTCGGCGGTACATTTCCGCGGATATTTGTGCTCAAGGCGGTGGACGCGCTCACCTCCGCCACCTGCTTCCCGCCGGAAAAAACAGTGGGAGGAGCAGCGGCGGCGTTTGAGCCGTATAGTTGCGCGCTCGAAGCGCAGCGGCAGCAGTGCGGCGAGATGGCGGGGCGGTGCGTGGTGGAGCGCGACGGGTACTATATCACGAATGTGCTGTGCGTGCTGGTGGGGCTGGTCACGTTCGTGGCGTATATCAAGCCGGCGGTGGAGCGGCTGAGTGCGCTGCCGTTGAAGGCGTGGAGGGAGTATAATCCTGGCCGGGAGTAGAAAAAAAAAGGTGTTATAGAGAAGGCGGAGGGGGGAAAGGAAGGGGAAGGGGGAGGGAGGGGGGGGGGAGGGATAAAAGGGACATTGTAAGATAGAAGTTTTTTAATATGTTTTTTTTTCTTTTGTTCTGGTTTTACGGGACTGGATCGGAGTATACTATAGGTAGGGCAGAGCAGGGCAGGGAGGAGGGGGGGTTAGCTATAGATATTGGATACCTGGTGGTTGGTGGTGGTGGTGGTGGTGGGAATTGAAGATGTAGTTTTTGAGATGTGATGTGATGTGATGAGCCTATACTTATTGCCGGGGTGAGGTGAGATGAGGTGGCGTGATATGATGTGATATGATGTGGGGGCGCGATATGGGGATGAAATAAGGTTATCTGGGGGTGGTTCGGTATTTTTGTGTAGTTTGATCATTGGCCCCCTGACGGCACGCGCCAAGGATGGCCACACTACTATTGTTACTGTTACGTTGATACTAGGTATTGTTATTATTGCTAATACTGCTTGTATGTAAATTAGCAAAAGTATTCTTACTAGACTAAACACCCCCGGGTTTCTTTGATTCAGTAACGAGTCATCATCTATGTTGGTAATAGACCAGATATTTACAACCAACTATATACGCACAAGAAGCAAAACCAAATCAGAGCAGAGATTTCTTTTCCACATTGCCCCAGCCCCACGTGAACCAAGCGGCCGGCCATGATATCATTCCTATCTTACATTTTTTTCCCCCACCCCACACATCCCCACCCCACCTCACACCCCCTCCCCCGCCTTCTCCCTCTCCATATCCTCCTTCACCCGCCTCCTAATCTCCTCCTTCCTCTCCTTCCTCGCCAACACGCTCGCCAGCCACTCCTCAAACTCCTCCTCGGCCTCCCGCTCCTTCGCCAGCTCCTCCTCGCCAACAACACTCTTCCTCGCCCGCTCCCGCAGCTCGTCAACACTGCACACGTCCAGGGCCACCATGCTCCCGCCCACGAGGAAGATGGCAAACGCCATGGTGTTGAGCGTCGCGAGATTGAGCGCCTGGAAGGCGTCGAGCGCGCCGTTGGGCGGCACCAGCGGCGGCCGGTTGTTGGGGTGGTAGAATGGCGGGATGAGCGCGAGACGGCGCTTGGCGAGGGTGCGCCGGGTTGTGAGGATGGAGAGTGCGAGGAAGGTGCTGCCGCTGAGGAGGAAGGTGAGTTGCTTGAGCTGGCGCCGGGTCTCGGTGAGGCGTGGGGCGGCGGCGGGGGTGGTGGTGGCAGAGGGGTCTCGGGGGTGGGGGGGATGGCTGGTGGGGGGGAGACGGCGGAGGTGCTGCTGCTGCCGCCGCTGGCGCGGGAGTGGGCGTGGGGGAGGAGGTGAACCAGGAGAGTGGGTTGAACGGCATGGTCTGTGGATGGTTATTATCGTGCATGTGGACGGGATCGGGGTATACTTACTGTTCAATTGCACGTTGACTGGTGGAGGAGGGGGAATCTGTGCTTATCACCGGCAGTCGATATCGAGTTTTGAAAATACCCTGCTAGGGCAGCTGACTAACCCACCACCCCACCATCCATCCCATCCCACCCATCCCACCTCCCAACTCACCCAACCCCCCCCCCCCCACCCACACTGCCAAAATGTACCTCGACCGCCCCATCGACCAGCAGTTCCCCACCCCGCCGCTCCGCCGCTCCCCCTCCCCCGTCGACCCGGACGAAGACGACGAAGAAGCAGGCGAAGACCCCGACCTCAGCAGTCTCCGGCGCACCCACACAACACTGGGCTACCGCGACGGCATCACCGCCTCAAAGTCGACGCACATCCAGAGCGGCTTCGACGAGTCGTACCCGCTCGGCGGCCGCTTCGGGCTCAAGATTGGGTGGATCAAGGGCGTGCTGGAGGGGCTGTGGATGCTGGATAAGGCCGACGAGAGGGTGTCGAAGCTGCGCAGGGAGGCGGATGTGGAGCTGGAGCTGCAGAAGGTGTTTGCGAAGGAGTGGTTTGATGAGGGTGGTGTGTGGAAGTATGGGCTTGGTGAGGGGGAGGAGGAGGGCGTGACGCTCGATAGGGTGGTGGAGAAGCATCCAGTGGTGGAGGCTTGGATGGTGAAAGTGAAGGAGGAGGCAAAGAGGTGGGGATTGGAGGTGGAGGAGCTGGTCTACGATGGCGAAGAAGAAGAGGAGAAGGGGGAGCCCAGTACTGGTCCGGTTTCCAGCTGAAGCGGTAATGTCTCCATCCCCGATAGCAATTGATTCCACTGTCAGCGAATGAAACCTGACAAAGCATTTTAGCTCGATCATGTATATATAGATTCAGGGGCTTAATTCGGGTTTAATAAATAAAATAACCTACTAATCAATCGCCGCCGTCTCTTTGGCAACGATACAACAATCTAATAGTCGGTTGCGAGTGATATGAGATATTTGGAATCCGAGTGATATCGGATGATCCAAGTCATTTCTCAGCACAATAGAGGGCCCCGTTGCACCCAAGACCCTCCCCATTCTGGATATAGTAAAACAGGCCTAAAATCCACTCGCAAGACTCAGAGTCAGCGCCTAAAATCGATATTTAGCTCTAGGCCTTGACTACCGGGATCCAGTCTCACGTTGCACCTCCTCAGCTCTTTTGGAAGTGATAATTAGTGTTGGTGTGAGAGTTTATATAATGGTTGATTGATCGGTTGATTCATTAACCGTATGCAATCCGAGGGGCTATGGGGAGTGTACAATCGGAACGGGACGTCAAAACAGCGAGACAAACAAAGCAAGAACCGGAGCTGTGCACCCTTATTCGAATTGACAACATATCCCAGAAAAGATGTATGTGATCCATGGCCATTTGACTGTAGCTAGAAGCCAACGGGTGTGTATCCAGCCTAAATTATCCACCACCGGCCACATACATGTAGCCCATCTCTCTTTTAATTCAACTCCTCGAAACTCCAGCCCAACCTAACCTATCCCCTTAGATCCCAGGTTGAATCAAGGGCATAATTGGCTCAAAGGCCGAAATTCGAAGATCAAGCTGGATATATTCTACATACCGTAGCGACCAGTCAAGTTCGTACATCAGGTGTCAGGTCCAGCAGTCTTGTGCGAACAAGTGTCAGGAAAATGGGGCAGTGTACGAAGTACTTTGGGCGTCAGGACAGACTCTGTGTACGAAGCTTCCGGGCGTCGTTTTTATCAATCCCCGTTTTCCTCGCGATAGAGATTGCACATTATAAACACACAAGAGGGCGGCCAGCGAGCACGCCCGTGGTGGATTATGACTACAGGGTTAGGTGTCTAGCACACTTTTTCCACTCTCTCCCTTAAATATTACTTCCCGGCCTGTGACAGTTGTGCGAGCGAGTGTAGTCTAGTGGTAGACTCCTCGTCTTGCTACACCGCGTGGGTTGAGCCACCATGACCACCCAGAGAAATCCGGGCCCGGAGACCTCCGGAGGTCGTGGGTTCAACTCCGGGGGTGGGAGTGATGCTTTGCAGGCCTGGGGAGCGGGCAACGGGGAGCAGAGTTCAATATCGCGAATTTGAACCTGTAGACCGTGAGGGACGCATGGTGGCAGCATCACTTTTTGTGTATTTATTGTCCCTTTTTGGTTTTCCTTTGGAGGGTCATGAGGAGGGCCTTAGTTTAGTGGGGTATATGTGATATCGATTGGAACTCTATATCGCTCACTACATGTATTTGGCTAATCGGTCTCCAGGGCCGGATGTAGGATTAGGCCGGTTTAGCGAAACTCTTCCAGGCCAGTATACCGCAGTAATTCGTCTCAGCGGACACTCACATTGACGTTGAAATTACTTGTTCTAGTCATTTGTCTTGAAAACGCCCCCTAATCTTCCCCCATACGCGCTGTAAAAGGCAACTTTGACGTCTGTGTAACCGTCCGCTAAGAAGAATTACTGCGGTAGTAGATGTATTTTTCTAACGCTACGATGGATGGATGCCACCGACACCCAGAACCCGCAACTCACAACTCATCACTCGCCCCCAGCCCTTCCTTCCCCTTACCCACCACCCACCCCCAGCTGATCCCCTGCCCACCACTTCCCCCACACCACCCACACACACAAAAAAAAAGAAAGAAACAACACGGTGCCTTCGTGCTACGAGTTTATGTATTATCTTGAAGCTATTTCAATTCTAGCCACCAAGGAACCAGCCAGGAAACCCTAATCCATGCCCATACACTCATACAACTACAACTACAGCTACAGCTACTGCATTCACCATTACCACATCATCTACATCACCTCTTACAATCCACACACACACACACACACACACAAACGCACTCGGAGACATACTTGTATACTACGGAGTGGGAAGCTCTCAACGTAGCTCCGTAGAGATGAAAAACCAGACTCTCACACCCAGACTCCCTCTCGCACGACATGCATACTCAATACAACACACAGACACAGACACAGACACACACACAGACACACAGACAGAGCCACACGAAAGCGTACTAATTTTTAAAAAAAAGTGACTTACAACAGTTTAGTGTAAAAAAAAAAAAAAACCAAGGCAGAAACAAAACAGAAGGTTGGGTCGGGGAGGGGGGGGGGCAAGGGTAGATAGACTATGCATATATAGTTTAAGTATATAACGGTTTTTAGAAAGCAAATCAAAAAAAAAGGAGGTTTTGTTTTTAAAAAAGGAAAAAAGAAGAGACAAGAATAGTTTTTCTAGGGTCAAGTTTAGGTTCAGGTTCGGGGTCGTATCGCGAGTAGATTGTGTATGGTGATGGTGGGGAGGTGGGGTAGAGTGTATGTGTCTGCCACTGAATCCATTCCACCGCCGCCGCCGCCAAAGAAAAGAAGAGAGAAAGGAGGGGAAAACACGGCATTCATCGCCCGTCTACGAGGACCCGTAGAAAAGTGCCTCCCCGAGATATATAACCCCAAACGCCAAAAACGCCGCCGCACCACCGAGGGTCACTACAACACACACACACACACAGTCAGTCAATCCATCTTCATCCCACACCGCACAACCCACCCCACCCCCAGAAGCAGAAAGAAAAAACTCACCATTCCTAACACTAATCCTACTCGCCAACATCCTCCCGCCTATCACCGCAATACCCGTACAGATGGCATGCCCAGAGATGGCTCCAATCGTCACATACCAATAGTCCTGCCCGGCCGCCATCGCAATCGTCGCAATCTGCGAGCGGTCCCCCCACTCGCCCAGAAACGTCATGACAAACGTCTGCACCCACGCGGGGCTCAGCAGCAGCCCCGCGAGGTTCTGGATGCCCTCCAGGCTCGTGACGCGCGTGTTCTGCGCCTTGCCGCCGCGCCCGCGGGCACGCGCATAGTCGTCCTCGTCGCTGTCGGAGAGCGACGGCGAGGAGGTGGAGCGGCGGAGGGCGTGGGTGTTTGAGCCGCGCGGAGAGGCGATGAGGCCGCCTTCGAGGGAGCGGGCGCTCACGCCGCTGTGAGAGGCTTTCTCTTCGAGCTCTTGCTCGACCTCTTTCATCTCCTCCTGGACGTTTGCTGTGCCCTTCTCCATCTTGAGGCCTTCCAGCACCATGCGCACGCCAAAGACGAGGAACAGGCCGGCGGCGAGGAAGTTGGTGAAGTTCTTTGGCAGCAGCGTGGGTACGGCGTGGCCGAGGAGCGCCGACAGGATGGACATGACGATGAGGGAGCCGAGGGCGGCCGAGAAGACGAGCAGCCGCGGGTGCTTCATGGCCATCAGCGCGGCGATCAGAAAGGTCTTGTCGCCAATCTCGGAGAAGATGATCATGACGAAGGAGAGCGTGAAGGAGTGGAGGGGCTGGGAGATGCCGCCTGCGCCGCCGTCGCCGTCGTCGTCCTGCGGGGAGAGGTGCGGCTGCGCGGCCGCGGGCGGGTCGGCGAGCGTGTCGGTCTGGGATTGGTATTCCTTGTGGCCGGAGCTGGACACGGGGCCGGACGAGGAGCCTGTGTGGTCGTCGTCGTCGTCGTCGTCGTCGTCGTCGGAGCTGGCGGTTTTGGCGCCCTTCTTGAGCGATAGCTGCATCTACCGCATGTTCATTAGCCACATCCCCACTCCCCCACTACAACCATCATCAAATCACAATGACAGAGAAGCTACGAACCGAAGATTCATCCCCCTCCGCCGGATCTTCAATGTCCACAATCTCATGCTCCCCCGTGTGCGGCGGCGGCTTCTTTATGTCGACGCTGCTGCCGCCGCCACTGACGCCCACCTCGCCAGTGCCCTTCTTGTCCGAGTGCTCGGGGTAGAGGCCCGGGCCCGTGTGGGGCTTTCCGTCGAGCCCGTCGACGGGGGCGTCGACGGTGCCGGCGGAGGTCTTGAGGTCGGTGGCGGAGCGCGGGGGCGGGACGGTGGAGGCGAGCGCGGTGCTGCTGGTGAGGAGGAGGAGGAGGAGGTCTCGTGTTTTGAGGTGCATGGTTGGCTGGTTGGCTGGTTTGTGGTTGTGGAGCAGCCGAGTGAGGTGAGGGGGGGTTTGTGCGGTTGTGCTGTGAGGTTCTGTGTGTAGGTAGGCGTGTGCAGGTGCGTAACGGAAAAGAAAAGAAAAAGAGGATGAGAATAGAGCAGAGCAGAACAGAACAGGGCAAGAAGAGGATCGAGGATAGGGATAGACAGACAGACAGATAGACGCACTGACAGACAGACAGCCCACAGACAGTAAGAGATCGATAGAAAGGGGTGATCGTCCACTCGTCGGGTTTAATTGTTGGTCGTTGCAACTGGCAAATCCCGTAACTGACTGACCGGGGTTTGAGCCGCCCGCCGGAGAAAGCAATATTAAGAATCTCTGTGGTGTGTTTCGTCTCCCCCCCCCCCACTTCCCCTTCTTTCTTCGCCCCCCCCTTACCTCCCCTGAATTACAGGAGGCATCATGGCCCGTCACTCGGATTCACAGCCCCCCCCCCCACCCCCGACCGACCAAGACGAAGGGCTGGGATGTGTACCCTGGTCCCTTGTCGGTACTTCGGGACATACATGTAGCTAGATAGAGTACTTTAGAGGGGCCTGTCACTGTTGCTGTACCTGGTAGCGGGGTTGCGGTTTCCGATCGGCGAATACATGATTTGTTCTGGAAGGTTTTTTCCTCACGATCGGATGAAAGCCCAATACTCACCCAGCACCAAGCTATAGTACCACAGTGGGTGAAACCACTATTCGGCAATGATAACACCCGTCAAGATAAATAGCACACTCTTGCAATTCCCTGATGCGGTATCAGTTCTACGCATTTCCGGTACTATAAGCTACATGTCAATGATCGTCTGGATGTAAAAGTATGTAGCTACTCTGCAGTAGTATAGCAGTAATAAAAAGAAAATGAAAAAGAAAAAAAAACAAGAAAAGAAAACCCTGCATATATTAAACCCATACAAAACAACCTCCACTATTGCACCCTGCTTCCCCCCTCCTCCCTCCTTCCCGTCCGCCTCCCCTCCACCTCCATCTCCACCTCACCCCCATCTCCACCTCCACCTCCAGAAAAAGAAACGAAACGCAATAAAATAAAAAAACGGGACGGATATATAATATCATATTCATTCTATAACCAAACCAAAAACGGGCCCCCGCCAAAAAAAAAAAATCAGCTACAAATTTAAAAACCCCACACACAACAGCAAGTTAAGCCAGCGATGATCAGAGGAGCAACTGACCCGCACCATTCTCACCCCCGCTGCCGCTGCCGCTGCCCTTCCCGGCGTCCTCCACCGCGAGTAGTCGGTACATGCGCATCTCCTCCTCAAACTCCCTGAGCGCCCTCAACTCTACAGCACCCAACACGTTAGCCACCACCCTTCACCCCCACCATCAACCCCCAAAAAAACAACACAGAAAGGACAAGCTCACCACTCCCCATAAATAAAAACCCAATCAGCCCATCCAGCGTCCCCGTCACGGCCACCACCCACGCCACCACCATCAGCGCAAACGCAACGGCATTATGCGGGCTCCACCACACGGCCACATGGCACCCCACCAGCACCGGCACGCTCGCCCAAAAATGCGCAATGCGCCAAAAATACTCCCCCTCCTCCCTCCGCGTGTAGCCGCGGATCAGCGCCTGCACCTCGTCGATGATGCCGACGGGGAGACAGCGCTCATACTCCACCTCGCCGACCTGCCCCGCCAGCCGTGCCTCGCCGGCCCGCGCCTCGCCGGCAACGTCGACGAGCATGGCCTCGGGCACTTTTGCGGGCGCGCGGGCGGCGGCCAGCGCGGCTTGCTGCGCGGGGTTGGGCGTGAGGGAGAGGTGTACCTCCACCGAGAAGTGGTCGGAGAGACTGGCGTAGCCGCCGGCGCCGCCCTTTCCGCCCGTCTGCGAGGGCATGCTCATGGGCTCTGTCATTCCCACGGTCACGTCGCGGACGCACGACGTGGCGGGGCTGTGGAAGACGTAGTCGAGGCGCTTTGCGTTGTGGTTGTCGTAGGTCTCTGGGGACGGGAGGACGGGGCCGGGCATGCGCCATGTGTTGAGTGCCGAGTCGCAGGTGATGCCGAGGTTCTCTATGTTTGACTTTGCGGTTGAGCCCGGGGGCGAGACGGCGGGGGTGTCGGGGTACATTGACAGCCAGGAGTCTGCGACGAGGCCGTGCGTGGTGATGAGGCGGTGGGCGAGCGAGGAGGGGACCATGTTGAAGTCGCCCGCGCCAATGACGATGGAGCCGCGGAGCGCGGCGCCGCGAAGGAGTTTGGCGATCTCCCAGGCCTGCGCGGTGCGGTGGCACAGGTAGGTGTCGTTGACCTCGTAGGGGGCGTGCAGGTGCGTGTTGAAGACCTCGATGAGGCGGCCCGAGGGGTGGCGGATGGCTGCGCTGGCGACGCCCTTGCCGACGTACCAGTCGCCGCGCCAGAAGGCCGTGGGCCGCCCGTTGAGCGGGTAGGCGTGCATGGAGCTGGACTCGATGGGGAACTTGGATAGGATCACGAGCCCGCCGCCGAGGGCGCCTGAGAAGTAGAATTTGCCGTAAGGGAGGAGGGAGCGGGTTTGCGCGCGGAGGTTGAGGTAGTCGGCGTGCACCCAGAATTCTTGGAGGGCGACGATGTCGTGCGTGGGGGCGGCGCGGGCGATGCGGAGGGAGATCTCGTGGAGGCGGGCGGTGCGGTGCTTGGCGATGTATTTGAGCTAGGGAGATGTGTTAGCTGTGGGGTATATATGGAGGTATGTGGGGGGGGGGGGGGGGAGGGGGGGGATTGGAGTGCTTACACCCCAGCAGTTCATGGAGAACACCCGCACGGTGTCGTCTGTTGTTTGGGCCATTGCAGATATGCTGTGGGTGTGTGTGGGATATGTGAGTATGTGGATGGGTATGTGAGTATATATATGGCCGAGTGAGATGTCTGTAGCTGGTGGTGGTGAGGTAGAAGGTGAAGTTGAAGTGAGGTTGTAGATAATGTAGTTGGCGTAGATGATGTCGATGGCACTGGCTGAGAGATCAGATGGAAGGACCCGGGGAGGAAGAGGAAGGTGAATATTTAAGAGCTTGGCCGGGGTCTGAGCTGAGGTAAACAAACAGCTGCATCAGGATGACACCGCGGGACTTGACTAAGTAGTATGTATGTAGACTCTTCTGATCGGGGCAGTTTCTCTTCAGATGTGTATCTGATAGTTCAATTCAGTTCAATTCAGCATCTACAGCTCACTAAGCACTACAGCTCTCTCTCCCCAAACACTCCCTCCGAGTTCTTCCCTGCCCCTGCCCGTCTCTACAACAAGCAGAGCCTCAGCTTCTTGGCCTGCATAAGCATTCCCTTGGCGACAACGCCAGATCCATTCACTACAGTAGTATTCCCACTAATTCCACCATCACCAGCACCACAGCACCACAGCACCACAGCAGACCCCCTCAACACACAATGGACATCGACAGCTCCTCCGCCCCTCGCCCCGAACGCGCCGACTCCCCCCCCGTGCCCGCCGCCCCGAATACGAAGCCAGCTACACTCTAACCGGCCACACCCTCGCCGTCTCCGCCATCAAGTTCTCCCCCGACGGCAAATGGCTCGCCAGCAGCTGTACGCCCCCTCCCCCCCTCCTACCCCCCGCCACAGCAACTAACACCCCCCAACAGCCGCCGACAAGACACTCAAGATCTGGCACGCCAAAACCGGCAAATACGAACAAACCTTCCACGGGCACCTCGCCGGCATCTCCGACCTCGACTGGTCTCCGGACTCCCTCACCCTCGTCTCCGGCAGCGACGACAAGACCATCCGCCTCTGGGACGTGCAGGCCTGCAAATCCATCAAGCTCCTGCGCGGCCACCACAACGCAATCTACTCTGTGTCGTTCTCGCCGCGCGGCAACATTGTCGCGAGCGGGTCGTACGACGAGGCCGTGCGGCTGTGGGACATCCGCTCCGGGCGCTGCATGAAGACGCTGCCCGCGCACAGCGACCCCGTGAGCGGCGTGCACTTTAATCGCGATGGCACGCTGATTGTCAGCTGCTCGCACGATGGGCTGATACGCGTGTGGGATGTGAGCACGGGGCAGTGTTTGAGGACGATTGTGGAGGAGGATAATGCCCCGGTCATGGGGGTGAGGTTTAGCCCGAATGGGAAGTATTTGGTGGCGGGGACGCTGGATAGTTGTGTGAGGCTGTGGGATTATCATAGGGGCAAGTGTCTGAAGACGTATATGGGCCATAGGAATGAGAAGTATAGTATTACGCCGGCGTTTGTGGTGGGCGGTGGGGGGAGCTTTGTGTATGTTCCGTTCCCTTCCTTCTTGGCTTTGGCGGGTTGTGCTGACGGTGACGGGTAGGATCGCGGGCTCGGAGGACTCGGACGTGTATCTGTGGGATGTGCAGAGCAAGGACGTGGTGCAGATCCTAATCGGCCATGACGACGTCGTTCTCGGTGTTGCGGCCCATCCCACGGAGAATATTGTGGCCAGCTGCGGCCTGGACCGGACTATCAGGATATGGATTGACGAGAGCTGCTGAGCTAACTGGCCGACTGACTGGGTTAGCTGGCTATATGTGTGGGGCTTAATTGCAATTGGGGGTGTAATGGCTGGCGTAATAGGGCGGTGGGCGTTATGGGGGCATAATTGGAATTGATTCTTTGTTTAATATAGGGTTTATAGAATTAACTTTTTTTTTTCTTTTTCGTTTTCTTTCTGTACAGGTCTACAAATAAAAGTGGGGCTTTTAAGTTGATGGAGGTGGTTCTTTTGGTACTAAGTACTATATATGCAGTAAAGGTATCTCGATTAGTAGCCTATACCTACCGAAAAACAATTCCCCTCCTAAGTACTCAGGTCTGCAGGCAGAGCACTACTCTACTACAAACCCCAACCAATCAACTCCGAAGAACCTATTAACTCCAGCCAACCAAACAAACCGCATGTACCAATCCCCAACCCAACCGGCCAACTGTAGAAACGACCGGCACTAACCGTATCCGTACTAGCTCCTTCTCGTGAGTGATAGCTCATGACCGTCCAATATCTACCACTGCAAACAGCTTCTGTCATGGAACAAATTCTGTCCTCTTGTAAAAGACAAGTATGATTAGTCACTGTATATTAGTAACTCTCATCATCGAGGATGATGAGAGACATACTCAATCACAATACCATTATACACCGTTCATCGGATCAGATAGCGAGACTTCGGGCCCGTCCGGACAACCTTAGATTATTTCTTCGGGTTATTGGACAGACTGGATTATCAGGTAGCGGAAGTGATAATCATAATACTCAAAAATAGGTGGATAATCTACATGTCCGGATAACGTTAGCTCTCGGGATATCTGTGTTGTGTGGGAATAATTACCTCCAAAGGTGATTGTTTTCTTGGCGGATTATTGGGATAATCAGGAGTTCCGAATGTTGGATTATTCAATTGCACGAACAGCATAGATATTTACCAACCATCAATTCCGACAATTGGCACTTCGCCACTCCCAAAGCGGCATCCACAAGTGTAATTTTTGGGGTGGGGTCGCTTGCCAGCAGGCTGTGAAATACGTTGTAAGTATACCAAATACCTACACCTAGGAGATACATAGTTACATGTATGTATCATACTGTTCTTCCGGCTTGCGCGTTTCTCAATTTCGAAGTGTCAATTGTCAAAAACGTCACTTAGTAAATACGCTTTTTATTAGGAAGTTTTTTTTTTTTTTTTTGTCAACGGCTGGGAACGTATATTGTTATGAGCAATATTATTTCTATAGCGAGAGGCTGCGCATGGCCAGCTGTAGTTACTATTTGTCGGCCTTGGGCCATGATCTTCAGAAACAGAGAAAGTCTCACCTCCACCGTTGCGGTTTCAACCACTTTCGTGTTGTTATTGACCCCTAACCCTAGGGTTGTGATGGCAACCCAGATAACCCTAATTAACCCTAGCTAACCCTAGCTAACCCTAGGGTTACGTCGTGCGCGTTGTTGCGCTTTGTTTGTTCTCTCCATCGTGAAGTTCTCCACGGCGCGTGTGTACGTGTTGATCAATTGTGCAAGCTGGACACTCGGGACAGCTAATCGGGCATCGTGTCATCGCCAGTGTCGTGTTTACATCCATCTATCTCATCCACGTCCAGCTCTTCCTCTCCATCATCACCAACATTATACAGAAGCACAAGCACAACCCTAAAACAACCACCCCCAATCAAACCAAGCAACCAAACCCCAGCCCCCCCCTAACCCCCTCTCTCCCCCGCCCCGTCGCACAAGAAGCGCAAGCACTACTAGCACCAAGTCAAAAACAACAACACCACACCACAGCGACGCATCACCAATCACTCGCACCCCATCCACCACCACCACCACCAACCACCACGAGCACAACTAGTACATACAGCACAACCACCGCATGGCAAAACCCAGCATGAAGTCGCGGCGCGTAGCACGCAATACCTCCCAGCCGCCGAGCAGGAACCGTGGCGGCGGCGGCGGAGGCGGCCCACGACACCGCTCAGCGTCGCCGGGGCCTGTTGTTGCGGGAAAGACGCAGTTTAGGAGTGGGCAGCCGATACCGGTGCGGCAGGTGCGGCAGCAGGGGGGAGAGGAGGAGGAGGAGGAGGGGGAGGGGGAGGAGGCGCACGGGAGGCGGGGGCGCAATAGTCAGCAGCAGCGGCGGGGGGAAGAGGAGAAGGATATGGAGGAGTTGGTGATGGTGCGTAGGAGTGCTAGGTATGCTAAGCAGCAGCATCAGCAGCATCAGCAGCAAGTGCAACAGCAGCAGCAGCAGCAGCGCGGAAGACTGTGTAAGTGACTTTCTAATTAATTTGTGAGATGTCCTCTCATCCTGCCAGCCCAATGGATGGATGGATGGATAGATGGCGGGGTGTGTGCGTGCATGTAGTACGTGATTGAGCTTTGTGCCACCTCTCATGGTCATAGCTTCCGTCTTGAATGACTGCATTGCATTAAACCTCCTGCCATCTTCTGCACTACACGTTATACTACATGATGTATCCCCCTCCTCCTCCTCTCTTCCTAAAAGCACCCCACCCCCTTCGCTCCTGCACCTTGCCGCGTCATGTTTGCTACATATATATGATTCTCCGCCCCCCCGCATGTACCGTCTTCCTCCATCGCTCCTGAACAATGTCACAGTCTCCCGCAGCGGTCGAGGAGAGAATACACCGTATATACAGCTGGCTAACAAGCTCCTCATCAGCCCTCTCGCTTGTCCCCCAATGCAGCGGGTCCGACACTGAGGCGGAGAAGCAAGAGCAAGAGCCCGATTCACCACCACCAAACCCATCAAGATATGAGCCACCCCCCAACCTCCTCCCTCGCGACGATACCGTCTCATCCATCTCCGTCTCAGAGTTTTTCTCAACACCAGAACCAGATCTATCCAATACGCAGATAGAGATTGAGGAACTCGATGTGGGCCTCATGCTTGAGATGTTCCCGCACTTGGACGCGCACAGCAAGAAGATATTGGACCTGCTCATCCTGAAACCCCCTTCAAGAGACCTGAGACGGCTTCTCCTCGTTCCGGGCTCAAGCGCATCCAAGCGTCTCCGGACATACGAGCAGAACTTTGCTGCATCCAAGATGGCCTACGGAACTTCTGACTACATCTCTGTACGCCAAGTCGAGAGTGCTTTGGGCGGCGACGAGAGTTTCCGCCCGCTCCTCCATGCCTCTAATCTCTCCATTTTGGCGGACGTTGCATACACCAGCCAGGGGTCTGGCGAGAGCGCTTTCGAGAAGCTGAAGCAGATCGAGAGGGATTTCCCGGTGCAGTTTGGCGATGTTGTCCGTAACGTCAACTTCCAGGCTGCCTTGGACCTCAGGACACAGTACTTGGTTTTGGCGCTAGTGAACAACCAGGATATGGATGGCTTCAACCCTGATATGTGGCTGAAGCTCATATTTTTCGATGGTGACACGGCCGTCAAGCGCTGGACAGAGATGGAGGATGTCGACAACTGGGAAACACGAGTTCTTGAAAGGGCGATGAAGATTAGATCCGCCTTTGCCCAGAAACCGTATGATGACGACCCACTAGACGTTGCTATGCTGATGGACCTGTTCCCGTGGGACGACTTTGTCAAGAGGATCTCGAGCTACATCAAGATCCGCTTTTCCGAGCTTGAAAAGTCACGCGCCGGCAGGAGCGTCGAGGACTTGGTTGAGAACGCAAGGAACCCGCAGTTCGGGGATGATAGGGAAAGAGATTTTCTAGATGATCGTGAGATCCCAGAGACATTACCAGATGGTACACCCGTAAAACCCCGCTCAGCGCGTGTTTCGCAGAAGCTGCCCGAAGCTGAGCCCGAAGCAGTTGCTTCGACTGCGCCTGCAGTGGCCGCTGATTTTGAGAGGTTAGTTTAAGATTTGCATTCCTGCTTCCTGCACCCCTTCCTTGGCAATGCGTTTAATTTCACTCCATGCTAACAACCACCCCCCGCCCTCCCCTTAACAGCTTTGAATCGTATAAGCTCAGGAAAGAGCAGCAAGGCCGCGGAAGGCTGGAGTCGACATCGGTCGCTATCAACGCAGCACAGATGAGGGACCTGAAGAGACGTAAGACAATGCCCGCCCCGGAAACAGTGCCGTTTGTCAGAGGCACGCCGAGAGTGGCGACCTCGCTGGGCTCCAAGGATGCGGAGGTGATGACCATGGAACAAATGAAATTCTTAAAGTGCCTGAAAAACGCACCAGAGAAAACTGCTGGAGAAGCGGGGCCTTCCAAGCAGCCGGAAGCCGCCGGGGAGGTTGCGGCCTCTAAACAGGCAGAAGCACCCAAGCAAGCGGCGATTAAAGAGGTAGAAGCTTCCCAACCGGTGGAATCCGCTGAACCAATGGAAAATGCTCAGCCGCTGGATGATGAAGGCGATGTAAGCAATCCTGTACGGTGGATGACCGCTATCAAGAAGGGAAAGGAAATGAAGAATAAGGAAAATGATAAGTCAGTGGCCTCGACTCTTCCTCCTCCACAGCAATCTCGTCTCATGAAGCGAAAGCGGTTCATCGACCCCCAAGAAGGCGCAACCCGCGTCTCCCAGATCGACGACGGCAGCCACGGAGCGCCCGCGAAGCGACAGCAGCTCCAAAAGGGCAAAGAAAGAGAGGTCATTCCCGAAGAGGTGGAAGAAAGCAGGCCCGCATTTGAAACCGAGGACCAGGAGGAACAGGATGAGGATGCAGACATGTACCAGGTGGACTCGAGGAAAGAGGACGAAGAGAGGACGAAGAGGAGCAGGAAGGGGCTGCCAGACATCGGTCCTTCGAGCGCTGCCGCTGATAAAGCGCCCGCTGCCTCCGCCGCTCCAAGAACATCAACCTCCTCCGCAAAGGCCGCAGAGCTGCAGAACGGTGCCAAGCCGCGTAAGATCGCGCCAATGAAGGGTTCCAGGAATTCCAAGGGCTCAAGAGCTTCCGGGGGCACGGAGGCATCCAGGAAATTGTCGGGTGCAGGTGAGAAGTCGGATGTGGACGAGCATAACAGCGAGGACGAGGAGTATGATGACGAGGAGGAAGCGGAGGATGAAGTGGAAGAGATCGACGATGAAGATGAGTCCGTCAACAACGAGGAGAGGCGTGCGGCGCTCAACCAGAGGGTTGAGAGAATAATCAAGAAGGATCTTGCGAGGCAATCGAAGCCAGCGCGCCTGATTAGGAAAAGACAGCCTTGGGGACGGAAACAGACGGCACTCTTGATTCGGATAATTGGGGAAAGGGGTTGTAAATGGGCGGAGATCAGAGATGTAAGTCGCCAGTGGGATAGGTGGGGTGAGAGTTTTTGTGGACGATGGGACCACTGACCTGTGTGTGCTGTAGATGAACGTTGCTGAATTCAGCGGCCGGTCGAATGTCCAGCTTAAAGATAAGGCGAGAAATATTAAATACGACTACCTCAAGTAAATCACCCCTCTTCTCCCCGCACCATCTACACCACGGCCTCATTACTAACAGCGTCACAACTAATCAGAGCAAGACAGCAACTGCCTCCCAACTTTGAAGACGTCACCATCAGCAGGACCCAGGTGCAGACACTGCAGCACATGGGCATCAATTGCGACGACTACATCTGAGCGGGTTTCTTAATTAGTTAGTTAGTTGTATTATGCTGCTATAATTCCTGGCGTTAATTTGTTTTCCCTATTCTTTTCCTAGGCGTTTGTAACTTTTGTACCTTCACGATCACGTTTACTTTGTTGTCTCTATATCAAACTATTGGATCAAGTTTTTAGTGTGTAGTAGGGCCTTTTGGGGGTTGGGATATGGTATGCAAAACCTTTTTTTCTTTCTCTTTGCTTTATTTCGCTTTTTTCTTCTTTTTCTTCTTTTTTATGAGTTATTTATTTTTTCTCATATCTTTATGCGGCGGCCAGGCCTTTTAGTTGTGGTTTCCTCCTATTTTTTCTTTTCTTTTGTTTTTCCGTAATTGGTTTCTCAATTAATAGAAACCATGGAGAAAATATGCGGTGGCCGCTTATCTTACGGAGAGAAAGAAAGAAAGAAAGAAAGAAGGGAGAATTCGAGATGGCGCGTTAATACTTTCTCACGTAGAGGGGCAGAACCTCTCTTGCGTCTTTGTTTTTTGTCAATTTCAATTGCCCTTCCCGCTCGTCTTGTCGGGCTGTACCATTTATCACTACCCCTACTACCGCTATTATTATTATTATTACGTACTCTTTGATCATCTGTATTCCCCCTTACTACTACTTATTTCTCCGTAGCGGCAGCGTTGATTGTTGTTGATATTGGTTACTGCAAGGTATGTAGATACACTTTGGCTAATAAACACTAAAAATTGTAACATGACATCAGCACCGTTGGTGAAGGGGTATCATAGTTGCCTTCCATTACACTATGACAGCAACTGGGAAGGGTTCGAGTCCCTTACGGCGCATTCTTTTTTTTTCTTCCATATTTCTTTTCTCCCTATTTACTGGTTGATATTTGTTCGGTTGGATTCTTCTATTGACACAAGTTCGCATATATGGTTCCGTCATGAGGTATCACTCGGTATGGTTTCGGACCGAAATGGTCGTTGTTTTTTTTGTTTTTTTGTTTTTTTTGTTTAATGAAATGGTCGTTGGGGACGGTAGTGGATAGAACTAAGACCATGGACAGGTAATATGTGCAGCACTAATAGGTAGAGGAAAAACTATGATCTAAAAACAAAGAACCTTCCGCTAAAACTTCTAAGGCCCGTGTTATGTATATATGTAGTGACTGTGAAGTTTACTAGTATTTTAGTGTGTTGTGAAGATGGTGATCTATGACTAAGAACTATAGTGAGTACGAAATATGTTTTTCTTCTATATATATGTACTCAAATAAGAAGTACATATCCGTAGCAATCGATCTATCTTTTATACAGCTCGTCATGTAAATACAACCAGTTGGGAACACCGGACCACCCCATTTAATTTTCCACGATCAGCTCTTCCCCCATTCATAAAGGTTCTTCTGGGCCCTTGGGTCCTTCGGGCTCGAACTCTTGGTGACACGAGAAGAATGAGCCGGTACTTTCTGGGCTGCCTGGTTCCTGGTCGTCTTTCTTTTCCGGCTGCAGGGCACTGTCAGGATCAGGATCGGGGAAAGCCTTGTCTAGACCCTGCAGAGGCAGCAACGGGGGCGTGTTTCCCTGCTTTTGTTTCATTAGCGTTTGCCGAGCCGTAATGTTGTCGTTCGAAAACTCAATAATAGAAGTGCAGGCAGTTTTGATCTCAGTTATCTCATCTTTTCTACAAGTCAAATAAATTGATCTCAGTCATGCCTGTGAATATATAAAGAACCAAACAAAGCGAGTATGATCATTAAAACACCCAAATGAACAAGCAACGCAAGCCGAAAATCAGGTATTGAGTCCTCTTCAAGACCACAACGCCAAAAAGAAAAGGAACAAAAAAACGGAAATACAAATAGCATGCATCGTAAGTGTCAAGAGGAAAGAAAAAAGACGTAGAAAATTCAGTTGGGATGGAAGTAACGACTCCTCACCGCCTGACTGAGATTGGACATCCTGCTTGCCATGCCGCCAGCTTGCATAGTGCTTAAATACGCTTCCTCCATTGCCGATTGTGTAACGCTCGCGTCTAGGGACAATTAGTAAAAAAAATAGGACTACCAAATGATTGGCGTACGTACCAGAGAGATCACTAAAACTGCTTCCCATACTAGGAGAATTTGGTCCAGTGGATAAACCTGTGCTATCTACCGGCAATCGTCTAGGACTTCCCATGGGTGCTAGAGGCTGCTGTATTCTTGACCTTCTAGCTCTAACTGTACCCTGAAACTCCGACGACGGGTCAACACCAGTTCGAGAGCTGGGCCTAACGGATTCCTTCCCCTTTATTGTACCAGCCCCAGAGGTTCGTCGCCTTAGTGTCACGGTGCCTGTCATTTGGTCATCAGTGCCTGCAGCGGGCTTTTCGCCAGGTGAAAATGGCAAAAATGCCGGTTCTTCATCGCCATCATCCTCATCAGAGCTCTCACGGGAGCCCTTTTTATTGAGAAACGACGGAAGCCTCCGAAAGAGTCGGTTTCCACCATCGTCATCATCATCAGACGATGCTGATGCTGTAGAAGACTCCGTATAATCTTCGGATGCAGATGACGGGTGTTCTGGGGAACGACTGGGTGATGGATCAGGAGGAACATGATTTGAGAACCGGTGACTAATTGACGGAGGCTGTGCACTGCCACGAGTAGTCGTAGACGAGCCGGTTCGTGACATTGGCTGTGCAGAAGCTACGGAAACGTTAGGACTCTGCTATCTACATGTATTCATATTGGCTAGAATCCTTACGTCTATTCGTATTGGTCGGAGTTGCTGGAAGGGCAGGTGTGAGTCGGGGAGTAACAACCGGAATAGAGCGCACTGAAAGAGATGAGTGAGTTCTGGGCTCTATAGACAAGGCTCCCTATCAACGGCCATTTTGAGATAACTCCGATGGCTATTGAGAAGTGGTATAAACTTACCTGTACCAGCTGTACCAGTTCTAGCCATCGGGGCTCCTCCCATCACAGCCGGAGATTGCGGTCGCGAATATGGGGAGCTACTAGCAATATTGGCAATATTGGTATTCAGAGCAGATGTCCCTGCCCTTCTCATTTGAGCTTGAATCTGCGAGAGCTCCCGTTCATAAAGCCATGCTGCCTGCTGAAGTAGGAATTCTCGAGATACTTGAAGGTCTGTTGCTCTGTTACAACATTAGTACGCCCCATTCCGCTCCAATCTGGATTACTAGTGAGCTCACAGTTCATTCCCTGGACTGTCATATTAGCCATAGATAAATTCCAAGAACTTGAGAGAGGGGAAACGTACAATCAATATCCATGCTACGACCAGCTCTCGAAAGAACCTTCCACAAGTACCTCTCTTTTGCATCATTCCAATCAACCTATTTCAACAATCAGTACGTTTGTACCATAATTCTCGGCGTACATGACATATTGATACCCACCTGTGGCGGATCCACGAACCCATTCCTTTCGAATGGAAGGCGTATGTAAACGACATATCTCTCCTCGGCCGGTGGCTGAGAGATTACTGGAACTTGACCACGCCTGCTACCCTCTCTATCATTTCTGAGCGAGTTGGTACGCTGAGTTGGAGGAGCCATATTCACCGGAGAAGAAGCTAGAGCTCCATTCAAAGGCACTCCACCACCAGCTCCCCCACCAGCCCCGCCTCCACTTCCCCCTCCTCCAGCTCCAGCTCCTCCGGGTCCTCCAGCCCCGCCAGCACCACCTCCAACTCCTCCAGATCCCCTAGAAGAAGTCTGACGGGGCCCAAGGTGTCCAATCATTCCTGCTGCAGCCTGCGTGGTGTTCTTGATGATATTCGGAAGTGGTACCACAGGCATGGGGCTTTGTGATCGCGTATAAAACAAGCTTTACGTCACGGTAGACGGAAGATGGGCTTTCCAACCAACTGTGCCAATGTACGAGGCCCGGGAAATAGAGCCCGATATTCTTTGGTGCGACGTGAAAGCTCGCTAAATGATTCTGTTATCTATTGATAGACAAGCACGAACAGCATTGTGAGTTGAAACGCGACAGCTAGAGGCACGTGGAGGATAAATTGACTTACTAATCTTGGCAGCTTTGTACCCAAACCCTACCCTGCCACACTGTTCAGAGTATTAATCAGATTACATATACGCACATATGATTCACTATATGTAGGTCATGTAACCCCGCGCTTTAGTTCTAAGAGCTTAGTCTAGTTCTGGGGCAACTATGTACCTATGCGTATGCCTGTATTCATAGAATCTCTCCGGTCACAATAAATCACTCGTAGTCGCGCATAGAGCGAATCGACTCAGGTTCGCCCTTAACACAATTTTCCTCTGCAATACATCATATAGGACATGCACGTGTACTCACAGTCTCGTTCCAAGTCACACTTTATGGAGTCAAATCAAAATAGGTCTAGGTACGAGACTACATAGGGTACTTATATAGTAAGTGTAGCTAGTGCGTGGTATACATAAGTACATGAACGTATAGCACCGCTCTTTCGCCAAATTCGACTCCCGTGCCAAATATACCTGACCCATCAAAAATAACTGCTAGAATCCTATACAGTTTCCGGGCGAATAACGGAGAAGGCCAAGAAAGAGAAGGCTATAAGAAGCACAGAATATAAATATGCATGTACAGCGCCATGTCGTAAATGATCGTACGGCGTGGGGTCGCAACGCCGCAACGCCTGACTGCAATGTCTGACCACAAATTTTTTCCACAACCACCGATGGCGCCCAGAGACAGTGTACCTACCCCGTGCTCTTACAACTATTAAGTTTGTAAAGGTATACACCACAACCCTTATAACTCAGCGGTTGGAGGAGTGTGGGGTAGATGTTCTGGAGGACTAGCTTGCCTATTCCCCTGACTTAAATCGCATTGAACATGTTTGAGTACATCTCAAGAAGCTTTACCATCAACACTACCCCCATTTGGGATATGATACTAGATCACCTTAAGTATTGAAGCCCCTCGTGGAGGAAGGTCTAATTCATTGCTGGGAACTGTTACATGATGATTTATTCTCTAGAGATTTGGTAGCTAGTTGAGAGCATGCCTAGGAGAATAGAGCTGTTATAAAGGCAAGGGGTTGGTATACAAGATATTAAATGTCCAATTATCTTTATTTAGCTACTATTGAACAACTATACAAAAAAAACAGCTCTCCAAAGGGTCAATTATGGTTGCTGGGTGGTAGTCATGATGGGGCGGGAGGTGTCGAAACCCGTTGCTACGCCGCCCCCGTACGATGATTTACGACCCAGAACTATACATTCGAGCGGCGTGAATTGTGTACTTATGTTATGTAACATCGTATTTTGAACTAAATGCAAAGTGGAACTGGGATGAGCTTGGTTAAGTAGAAAGCAGCGATATGGATTTAAGAAAGAAAGGAAAAGAAAGAAAGAAAAAAACTAAACACCATATTTGACAATTTGAACTAATGAAAAAGCAATTATATATCGTCAATCATATCATCACTGTCGTCGTCCTCCGAAGCTTCCTGGAACCTCGGTCTCATCTGGGGATTATATCTCCTCGCGGTCACCTTTCCGTCCCACCTTGACTCCCCGCCGTTCCAGGTGTGTAAGCTCACTGTTCCTGTAGTGAGTCCATACCCATTCCAACAAGTAGCTAAGTTCCTTGTTAGACATCTTTTTCCTCAAAATGAAACGAAATGAGAAGTAATCTGGTGACAAACCTGCTAATACAGGTGCGCTAGGATGCCAGCTGACATCCCTTACACACGTCTTCCATGACGTTCTCGAGCTTGATCCCTCGTCCCAATCGCGATACCAGCTATTATTCAACCTTTCATCCACCGGTCTAGTATTCAACGTGGCAGCATTGACATCTATCTCGCCAGCAATCGTTGCATCAAGATTGTAAATTTTGGCTTTTCCATCTGAAGAACCAGTGTAGACGTATCGAGATCCAGTTGAGGTGGGTGGTGAAAAGTGGCATCGGATCAAGGTTTTATGGACACTATGCCCACGATACGTAACCAAAGAGGAATCGTGTGGTAGCTTTATAGGGGGTTCCCTGTAACTATTTGGGGGTTAGCAAGACTGCATTCAAAGGTAATTTTATATGGAAAAGTGTGAATCTACATCTGCGAGCGATAGTCAAATCCGCTAGAGTAATTAAATTCAGGCAACCCATCAAATTCTTTAGGATCCATCATTTTCCTACGTAATCATTAGCAATGCACTCGTGTCTTTGATTCAAAGCAACCCGCCTTATATCCCACAACTTCATAGTCTGGTCTTTCGCATTTGAGAGAACATATCTTCCATCTCCTTTGCTATCCACATATGTTAAACCTTCCGTGTGTCCGGCAAACACACCTACCTCCCGCCCATCTGCCATACTGCGCCGATCCCATACTTTGATTGTAGTATCATCAGACCCAGAGTAGAGAATATGAGGGGAACTTTGATCTCCATAGCAAACGGCGTTAACGTCTTCCTCATGCCCTTGAAGCCTGAGAATCGGCGTACGGGTCTCTATGTCATATACATAGAGACAACTATCGCTTGCCCCAGCTACAATTTCACGACCATCGCCAGAGAATCGAACAGACCATATCTACCAAGCACATTCGAAATTACTTCGTGTCCCCAGGGCTTTCTTGAAAAGAGGACTTACACCATAACGAGGATCCATAACATTCCTGTTTCCACGTTCTCCGTGACTTAGCTCTAAAGGAGTAATTTCATCATTACCAGGGCTTGTGTTCGCCATGAAGACACAGCTTGTTATGCTACTATAGGCCAAGTGGTTGTTATCTGGAGAAAGAGTCGCATCGGTGATGGTCCATCTTCCGCCAATATAATCCACAGACTTATAATATTTCCATTCGTATGGATTTGAGGTATCGTACATTCGTACCTGGAAATCTTGAGAACAGCTGTAAAAGAAATTCCCATCTTCGGAAAATTGACCAGAGTAGGAGCGATTGTCATAATGGATGATAAAGTCTGCTTTACTGCTCGGAAGCATTGACTATAAGCGTTATGAGTTAACGTATTCTATATTATTGGCCCGGAATATCAAAAAAAATGAACGCACTTGTGCCATCAATTGGTTTAAAATTCTACCTCGTTCTCCAACGTAGCTCCCAATCTCCCTTTCGAGTAACCGTCTGGATAGCGTAAAGCCTTTAGTTGGTTTTGAAACACCACCGGCCCCATAGCTTTGCAACTCATTCTGCGAATATCCGTCAGAATAACTCTCCATATCCTACTCAATCCCCGGTATAATAGGTGCACCAACAGATCCAAAGTCTCCCGACCTCATGAGTTCTTGGCCAATCGCACTCGGCACTGGATCGAATTCGCTATATTGGGGGGGAGGCCGGCGGCGCGGGTATCTATCTATCTCAACGAATGCGCTGTTTCCACTGCTAAGTCTGAATACCATATTTCCGTTGAATGGAATCCGTCCTTGAAGTAAGCGTGCAATCTGCACTGCTCTAGCTCGTGTATCAATTTCGTCGTCATCATCATCGTCATCATCATCAAGTTCCTCTTCGCTCTCCTCATTCTGGCCTTCTGTTGCATCTTCAAATTCAAGCACATCTGCGTACGATTTTCATTAGATGAATGAGAATTCTCAAAATACCTTTTGAAACAAATAAGAACGAGTTCTCAGACCGTAGCAAGCCTCTTACCTTCATCGCTGTTGTCATGGTCATTAGATGTTTCATAATCCATATCATCATCCTCCGGATTAGTTTCATGAGGATGAGCCGCGAGTGAGTTATTCATAGCGTATGCAAAGTGGTATGTATGCTGGAACAAAAATAATAATGGGAGCTTTAGGAGTTTAAGTAGTAAATGTGGGGAAGAAATACATGCTGTATAGCTAGCGGGGAATTGCCGCGTCCCGCAGTGAATGGTGACGTTCTTATCTCCGCCTAACTCCCTTTGATGCTGATTGAGAATGTCAATCGTTCTGCTGTGTATAATACGAGCATCGAAATCAATGATAGTCACCGGAAACTACAACAAAAGCCGATTTCTCGTTAAAGAGCACTCTTATGGCATTTATAGAGCTCTATGTAATTGAAATTAGCTGCCGGTATGTATTTAGCTTTTGTAGAGTTAGTCTTATCGATGCATGCATTTTTCCGGGGATCCCACATCCCCGGCGGAGAAACCACCTCTCCGATCTGAAAGACTGAGCACTCCTTAAGCGAGTGCACCAAATTTGGGATTGTCGTCACGAGGGTTAGGTTTATACTGTCTTGGCGAGGTAGCTACATGATGGTACATGTAGATAAGTGTTTCTACTCTACGGTACGTGTAGTTCCATGTTTCGAATTCATCATACCAACAGAGCGGGCATCTTACTTTGGCCTTCGCGTCAGTGATGATATAAAACTACATGTAAGTACATTTATGTACTTAACTTGATATCGAAGTCGTGATCCACGTATGTTAGATTAAGAATGTGCCCCTTGCGCAACATCAGTGTTTCAGGCAATGGAAGCAATCAATTCTAGAAGCGAATATCCCACGGCGACATTCTCTGCCGGGAAATTCTCCCAATAGAGTAGACCCTGCAAGGATTGTCAGGATCTTGAAGCCCAGATTCTCATGAAATCAGCGTTTGTTAGTAACAATACAGAATATACATATGTCTGTCCCTCTTATTGTCAAATGCGCATGTAAGATAAGGTGTAACCCTTTTGATCTCGTGAGCCCACCGGGTAAGACGCGACTGTTACTTAACACACAGGAAACGGCTTGCGGGACGAAACGTGGGCTCATCGGCAATTGATCCGGACCTAAACCCCAAGAGACTCTGGTTCTCAATAGCGCACTCGCTAAACGCGTAGAAGAGTCACCAACCTTTTCCAGATAATTCGAAACATGATTATCTCAGGTTTTCAGAATACAGATTAGTGGAGAGCCTAGAATTGCGGTCCGCCGTTGTTGCTGAGTGATGGTTATTTTTTTGTTAGCCCTGAGGTCCATTGCCCTTTGCTCATTTCACGTAATTAATAGTAGAAAAGTACGCGAATTTTCTCCACTTTATGCGGTAGTCAGCGCACAGGCGTTAGTTGGTTCCGTTGTGTTCGTATGAAGATCAATGCAATCGTGTTAAGTACTTATATCAGCCCACGCCCGCGACTCCCCTGACGTGCCTTTAAACTCTCCCTACCAGCACCTTCCCTACTCCCTTCTCTCTCAACTTCTTCCTATCACCATCACCATTGCCAAAGTATCGAATAAAACATCAATCTTCAATCTTGCAAAATGGTTGCCCGCGTTCAACACCCTGCCCCTTCTTTTAAAGGAACTGCCGTTGTCGACGGAACTTTCGCAGGTCAGTCAATCCATCCAGCTATCCATCCAGGGAGCTCAAACGCCCTTTTTCCAGTCAATTTCAATTCATCATATTAATGGTTGTATACTAATATCATTTATGGAGTTTAGAAATCTCGCTTGAGGATTACAAGGGCAAATGGCTCGTTCTAGCTTTCATCCCCATGGCATGGACATTTGTCTGGTAAGTCTTCAGTAATCTGCGGTTGTGCTATGTTTAAGCTTTATCATATTATCGCGTTGAAAAAAAAAAGCATTTACCGGACTAAACTGACTTGTGATCGTTTGGACATGCAGCCCTACTGAGGTTGGCCAATCCCGTTTCCACTCCACCGATTCGACCAATTCTGATCGAGACTATGCATTACGTTGAACTAACACATTCATGATAGATTATCGCATTCTCAGATGCCGCAAAACAATTCGCTGAACGCGGAGCTTCGGTTGTCTTCGCTTCCGTTGATTCTGAATATAGGTGGGTACTTTATCCTGTAGTCGGATATCTCCGTGTAACCCACATGCACATCCAAGTTACTGACTCTAAGCTTTGAAGTCTTCTCTCATGGGCCTCAACAGCTCGCAAGGATGGAGGTCTAGGAAGTGTCAATATTCCTCTTTACAGCGACAAGAACCACAAATTGGCAAAAGATTACGGTGTTTTGATCGAAGAGGAGGGCGTTGCTCTTCGCGGTCTTTTCATCATTGACCCCAAAGGAACTATCCGCCAGGTAAGAATATCCCGATTCAAGATGAATTTGAATTAGTTTGGAGGAATTCTTATTCACATTTTACCATTTTTCTAGATCACCATCAACGATCTTCCAGTTGGGCGCTCAGTTGATGAAACAATCCGTTTGGTAGACGCTTTCCAGTTTACAGAAAAGGTATATTCCACCAGCTACTGAGTTTAGGCTAGGTTACTGACGAAATTATAAAGTATGGCGAGGTATGCCCTGCCAACTGGAATACTGGTTCAGAAACAATCAAGGCCAATCCCAAAGAGTCAAAGGAATATTTCACTAAGGTTCATGGTTAAATTGGACTTCAAAATGGACTGAACTGTATTTTTAACTTGGCGAGGTAAATCATGAGCTGTTAATAGGTCATAGTGGCATGTAGAGTGGTGGGGCTTGACGTCGATCGGTCATCTATAGGTTAGATATCGATTGCATTCATCCGCCTTTCTTTGTTTCGTAGTAGAATTTAGTGGTAGTAGAGTTGATTAATACCAAACTTTTGCCGAGTTGGCACAGCTCAGAATGTCTTGATGGTCTGCATTTTCAGAACGTTGCATAAGGCTTACCCGATCAAAGATTTACGTGATGCGCTAGGGCATCTGTATTGTTTGGCAGATTATTGGGATAATCGGGAGCCCGGAAAGTTGTGTTACTCAATTGCACAAATAACATAGATTATTAAAGTAATTCAAAAGTCGATAATCTGTCAGATTACTACATACCAATCACTCGAATTGTTGGCTTGTCCGAACAGGTCCTTGGTCTGAATTACGAAAATTTTATAATGAAAATAATATAATTCTCGAAACTCTCCAAGCATGGCTCAACAAACATCCAACACGGCAAACTACATGTATGTAGGCACAACAAAATAAGACCTCAGAAACGGTAAGGCTGGAAGTTACCACAAAGAATGATGGAAAAGATAGAAATAAAAGTGTGCCCCGTGAAAGCGAAGAAATAAAAGAGGTCCCATGAAAGCGATGCACGTGAGGTTCGACGAATAAAGGAATGAAGAAAAAGCAAGAATGAAAAGAATGCGAGATAAAATCATGACATGAGCAATTTCCTGAATATTTGAAAGAAGTAAAATGAGAGGTAGTAACGAAAAGAAATTCATAAACCTAATTCCCTAATCCTAGTCATTGATCATTGATATCTCCTCAACTCACAGTTGAGAAGCGGTTTCAGAAAGACAACCCATCGAGTGAGATTTTATCCAAAGCCTCACTACTGATGTTGCCGTCGGTTCTATGGATATCATTGATCATTTGGGGTATACCGGAAGAACCACTCCCATCGCTATCGGGGGTGTGGCTGTTATGCTCTTTGGTATCGGTATCGTATCCAACGATTTCGTCTTCGTCGGATCGTTCACTGTAGTCGAAGTATTTGTAGGAGCTGCTGTCGTCTGAACTCTCTTCTGCTGGTATAGTTTCAAAACCAGCAAAATCGTCTGCAGCTGTATTATGGCGATTGGGGATCACCTGTGTGTAACGTCCAACCTCTGAGACATGGTGATATTCGTTTTGGCCCAAGCTTTCGGTGTTGAAAGGGTGTTCACGATTAGCAATTTTGCCTAGAATTTCCCCAAACAACCATGGAAAAGAGATGAGTGGCATCGCTTTCACATCTTCTGGAGTAAATTTCAGGGGCTCTCCTTCAACATAGCGTTCGCGTCTCTTTCCTTTGGCTTTTTTTGCTTTTAAATCATCCAATCCCGCATCCAATTCCTGCTTGGCCACTGTATACATAGCCACGACGAATGGCCCGAGCTTCAATTCGTCGCTACTACCAACCCTGTGTATAACAGCCTTTTGCCAGATTTCCTTCAAGCCACTGCGAATATTCCCAATCTCTTCATGAAACTTGTAGTCCCCCGCAGCCTGCGAATGGTGCATAACAAAGGTCGAATAGACCTCGAACTCTGTGTGGATTTCGTGTTGGGCCATGATGCTATGCATTGCCGCATCGTAATCTCTCTTCAACTCCCTTGCTGCCTCGAGAATCTCTTCGCCAGGAGTATAAGCGTTCAATATACGCTCATCGAATTGAAGCTCGTAAGAAGGCACAAAGTCTATCTTCTCCACCATATCATACAACTGTCCAAGAATTTTGTAAGAAGTATAGCTCTTATCCTTCTCTTTCTCCATGAAGTGAGGATACTTTCTGATCCTCAGACTGCGGGGCATGTCGGCCGGTACCCCCGTCTTGACGTAATCCACAGCGTCGGAGTGCAGGGCGGCAAGAGTTAGGCCTATCTAATGTCAACGCCATCTAGCTTAAGTAATAATACAGTGAGATAGAATAGACTTACAGTGATCGGACTTTACTCCCTCTTCAAGGTAGTCTGCCCAGGCAAGATGGGAATTCGCGATAGCCCCAAGCTTATCGTTTTTCATATAATTGACAAAGAATTTCGTGATATCGCTCACCTCAACATCACGAGGTAATTCAATTGGCTCCATTGGTAAATAGTCCATTGGTGGATAGTTGGTGACCCCATTAGTCAAATCCTTATCCCAGATAACGATATAGTCATCTCCATCCAAGTCTCCGCCAGATAACATGCTCGCAAGGTCACGATCCCCTTTGCTAGGAAATACGACAACGTTGCGAAGGTGCCGCAATTCTGGAATATTAACAGCGCGTACAGTCCGAATATCTCCAGGGTGAAGAGAAGGATTACGTGCAACGAGACATAAACCTTCTATCACCCTGAATTGACCTGGATTCTCCGGATCGCTGATTTGTAGAAATATCTCTGGCATAGTAGGTTTTTTTTTTTCCTTTCTCTTTTCGCGATTCTTGCCATCAACCTTATCGCCCTTGTCGTCCTCGTCCTCATCATCATAATGTCCCTCAAGAATCCCAGTCTCGTCAACCACGCCAAGGACAAACGCCCCATTCTCAACCATTATCCTTGCCTTTTCCTTAAGATATTTAATCGACCAAGACCGCCACAGGCTCAGAAGAGAAACCACGAAAGGTTCTCGGGTCTCCATGAAACCATCACGGACCATGGACGCAAGCTCCAAAGTGAATTGATTTGCATCGATGGCTCTGCAGAGCAGGTATCGTGCAGCTGCGGGCCTAATCATGGCATCTGCGTATTTCTGTAGCGTATCCTTTAGTTTAACTCTAAACACATGGTCTGATGCTCCAAGTGACGAAAGGACTATGATAAGTTGTCTGTTGAGACATGCAGTTGCAGGCTGCGAGCAACGAATGACCTCGAGGATTTTATGTTTTGCTTTGAATTTTTCCTGGCTGGGGCGAACATAGACCTCCCTCTGTTTAGCATCAGGCCATACAGTCAAAACCCCCTTACAACCACCAAGCCGGAATTGAAAGCATGATGGTGGAGGCTGGTCCCTTGGTAACTTGAGCTCCATGGAAATGAGGCTTGCGAGAAACTCTGAGATTTTACCAACACCATCCGAGAAATTGTACTCATTATCGGGGTACTCAATATCAGGGATATCCACAACGTCGGCCTGAACACCACGGATAGCACGAGTGGTAGCTATAATAGTTAGCGCAGCTAGAATAAAAACAAAACAAAACATTTTTCTGAGGAGAGAGCACACAACAGACGCCTAGTTAGGAACCACTGAAGATTCCCGATATGTACCGGTACTACAGCCACCTTTGCAACAAAGTGACTGGTTGGACGATAAAGAGGATATTCATCAACCAAAAATCTGGTTTCCCAGTCTTTGGTTGGCCGGAATCTCCTTCTCGTTTTTACTCCAAACTCTTCGTTACCCTAAAGGTGACTGTAGCTGGGCCTCTCTCCTCGGTCCATCGTGTGCCCTTCCCTGGGGAAAACATTATAAAAACAAATAAAACTCACAAAAACATTGTCCGAGCCTAGCAGCATGCTTGGCAACAATCCTGATTGACTTGAATTCCCCCATCCATTTGCGGATATCCTTTACTGAGACATGTTCATCTGAGGCGAAAAAATATGCGCCATGCTCACGAATTTGCGAGTTTCCAAAGGCAAGAAACTCAAAGTGCTCTCCACCAATAGTTATGCCGTGTGCCAAGGCTGTCATTATCCGTGTAAAGACTTCGTTCATGGAATTTTTGTTTGTTGAATTGATCCGAGCCTGTGTTTCAATTAGAATATTTCACCAAAATAATTGAGATTTTCTGAAGATACCTTGAACTCATCCACAAATTGTACCCTCAAAAATCTATCAGAGTAATGACGATAGTGCCTTATAACCCTGTTGGTGGTTTCAACAGTGGGCGTGGCGTAGTAAACCGTGGACGGTGTGACGCTGGCTTTTCTCACCCGCTGGTAATCACCCTCGAGCTTTTTGAGCTTTTTGAGAAGGGCTGCTGTGCCTCCCTTTACGGTGAGATTGAAGATATCCATGGGGTCATAAAAGCGTCGCTTTTCATTTTCTGCAACATGCTCTAATAAACGTACTGCCCTATCGGAATTCATGCTAAGTAGCTTATCGATAAACTCAGTCGTAATGTTATACTCGTTCAAGAAATTCCGAGAAATACAGACTTCTAGTTGGTAACGAGTGGGATATGGGAGAAGCGGTCGTAGTGCTGCCAAAAGACCACCATAATAAGAATTGGTAGATTTCGCATCAATGGTGTCCCATATAGGGGTTAGCCTCTTCATGGTAGTTTTGAGGTCGTCAACCACTTCGGTTTTGATATTGAAATCTCTCAGAGCCAAGAGCATTTCCCCAAAGCGACTAATTTGGCCTTGCTCTAAGCCGAATTGGAAGCGGTATGTTGTCCACCGACCTAGGCTTGTTAGTTATATTGGACATGTGAGCGTTGTTCAGTTGGAGTACAAACCTGTGTCAATGATCGGATTCTTTTGTCTTAAGGAAACCGGCGACGTTGATCTATCAACTTGGTCGAAAGCGATGCCCGTCTGCCGAAACCATTTGTCAAAGCTACTCCAGTAGCTTGCTTTAGGATCATGCGACAGTGCAACATTGAATAACTCTCTCCAGAACAATGGAGGCGACGGAAGGGAAATAAGTAAAGCCCTGCTTTCTTCTGAAATCCTGGGACCATATTCCAAGATCTGGCCAAGTTGAGAAAATGGAATCTGGAAACGGTAACTTTCCCATCTATCCTTGGCAGGCTCTGCTACCCTCTCATCCTGACTGGTAATTGACTCTCCAGACTCTAGGGAATCGTCTTCTTTGGCATGGTAGATTTTGAACTTGACATCAATTTGCTTGCGGAACAAGTTAACCTCAAAGACAATATCTTCTGCTACATTATGTATTGTGTGCATGCCCATAAAAACATTTTCCTCAACCATGAGTCCAAAGTCTAGTTGCTTGGGTTTAAAGATCTGTGTAGCAATTATTAGAAATATTGAAAGGTAGTAGTGGAGGAGGTGGGGACTCTAACAAATCTGTCGGAATACTCTATGTTCCTATTTACTTCACTGGCTACTTTGAATTTATGCTGAGGAAGAGGAAGCAGCCTTGCCGTCATCACTTCCATGACTCCTTTCCACAGGTATGATACAGGTGCGGTCCAAAATGGGTCTGGCTTATAAAGCTGACTGCGCTAATGTAAGTATGAACTCAACTAGAGGATACAATCATATAATTTTAAAACAAAGGAGAAGTGGTGTTATACCTAAACTTGACTTCCCCGCCCCCATCCCTGGTGCCATGTGTATTCTCAAAGAGCTTTATTGCTTCAATCACTCCAAATTGTTTGAATGTTTCATATACGTCTATAGTTTTATACTGCATAGGTAGTCCCGCTAGTCGTATATGGATTTCCGGACGAGTGCTCCATTCCCCCCAATAGATTGGTCCCTGAGCTTGTCTTGGGGGTGGGGGGGGTTGTGGCAGTGGAGATGACGGAGAGGGGGAACGTCGATTGCCTTGGTAGCTGCTGCTGCTGCTGCTGCTGCCTCCAGGAGAACCGGGTGAGTTTGTTGTGGGGCCGGTGAGAGGCGTGGGCGTGTTACCTCCACTGGTGCTATTCGTGGTGTTATAATTAAGAAACTCCCGTTGTCTGATTTCCCTGAGTTTCTCACGCTCCGCTTGACGTCTAGCCCTGATCCTTTCAGACTCCTCCTGGGTTCGTGCTTTGTTATAAGCAATGCGTTCTTCTCTCGTCTTAAGAGAAAAAAGTATTGGTTCTGAGTGATTTGGAACAATGGTCCCCACATCAGCCCGTCCAATAGTAGAATCAACAGCTCTAGATTGATGATTGGGCTCATGTCTGAATCTAGAGCGGCCCATTCCAGGATTGCTTCCACTACCTGGAGGCCCGTGGTCCCGAGCTGTCATGGGTCCTTGATGATGAGAGAGAGGCGTCTGGGATACCAAAGGTAAATAGTTCCCACGAGTTTCTTGTCTTTCGTTGCTACCTGGCGTGGGATTACCGGGGCCCGCTTTAAGCGCGGTTGGGTTGCGCGCATGGGGCCTCATCCTGGCGGCTGATCCTGACGCGAGGTGGTTTAACGGTCGAGGTCACGTGAAAGGCGCGTTGTTAAGGCTGAGGCTGGTTCACAAATAAGAATTGACGACTTGTGTCTGGGTTCTGATGTAGCTTGTATGCAATCACGAATGGACTGAGTATTGAAGGTAAAGAAGAGAAAAAGGGTCAGTAGACGAGGACGGCCTTATATTTATCTAGAGACATGTACACGTATACGTAGTACTTAAGAACACTCTGGGAGTTACATTTGAATTGCGGATTGGCACATGTATGTAATTATGTTTGGTTTCTTTTCTAGGGAAGCCACAGCACCCAACGAACGTAAGTGGGTTAAGCACATATTATTGATTGCTACGTATAGTATTGATCTTGCATGCCGCATGTTAATAACAGATCTTAGGACAGCGTTGAAAATATTCTATCTCCTGAGACGAAGTAACCTGAAGAATTTGCTCACAACAGATTTATCTGCAGGTGGCATGTTAGATGTCGGGCCTGAATCAGGCCTCCCACTAATTCAGGCATCCAGCATGGTTGTGGCGGTGCTTCTCGAGTGACAGAAAACTAAAGAAAATAAAGTAAGCCGTCAGGCTGGATCCTAATCCTTCATTCGTGTCCCGCTCTCAAGCAATAGTAGGCAAAAATCTATCCACTCTATAGGAGGAACTAGCGTAGCAGTGTTGGTAGTTTTGACAGGTTTTTGAGTTGCAATGGTATCATTCGTTTATTAGTATAAGAACCAAAGTAGGTAGAGTGTAGAGTACTATGTAGTAGAGAGGTTTCGCAAATTCGGCTCGAGACTGGAATGACTGGTTCCTTCAAAGAAGCAAGGCAGTTATCTATCGAATTCTTACTCACACTTTTGGGTTTCCACAGCTCAAGAAACCACTCGCTCTGGTCCCAATCAGGAAGATTTCCAGTCACTCTATCTACCCGCTTAGGCCTCCATTCTCGTTGCGAAACCTCTCTAGATAGTACTACGCCTGCTGGGGTAGGTACATGTATTCCTTGGTCTTATGAGACTCTGGAGTAGAGTAGGTAGGTACAGGGATTAGTAGGGAAGATTCCTATTCGTCCATCGACAACCATGCAAATCCTGTTTTCAGACCCCTGTTTCTAAATACCGCCAAAACTCGAAAAATTGGCTATCTCCGGCCAGGGATTATCCTGGAAGCTAGCCAATTTTTCGAGTTATGGCGGTACTACCAGTGACCAGTCGCGCTGTAATTACGAAATAACGAGGTGAGTACATGTATTTGCTTGTGTCACCGCCACCTGTCTACAAACCTACATACTTTATAGAGGCTGCAGACCAACCAGCGCGTGCATGCACCAAGGATCGGGGCCAGTGGAATAGATACACCACGATATGGATCAGAAAAAGAAAAGTGACGATGAGCCTGAACTCATATACTGTGGTACTGGGGAACGTCTGTGCGCCCGGATGACGAATATAAATATATAATAGCTTAAGCTCTTCCCCAACCCGTCTACTTCCATGCTTCCAGAGATAATAGCTGTGCCGTACAGCTCGTCGCCGGTTCCTAACCCCCCAAACCCCCCAAATTCTACATATTCAAATGACTCAGCCACGGTGTTCCATCTGGGATCTCCATAAAGAAATCCAGAACCTAACAATCAATGACATCCTACGTCCTCGAAACCACGATAAAGGGCCCCAGTGGCTCCAGAGACGAATCAGGGAGCTACCCAGATCTTGTGACATCTCGACGATGGCATATAAACTCTGTGGATTAGAGTATCGTGCTTTATGGCGCGATATGGCTAAGGAACATCAAAAGGTTGTGTCGACTCTGATCGATGCATCTAAGTCAACTGGCCGGGGATATGATTGCCTGTTCAACAAAGCTATGGAACAAATGGCCACCTTCCTCGAGCTGTTTGCTACTAGAGCAGCTCCCTTCTCAACAATTGAGGCAACCCCCTTCTCAGGAATCGACAACCACGTGCAGTTCGAGCTATTGATGGGCAACTTTGGCGCCGTGATAGATACAGTAAGTATTTTTTACGACCAGTTTGACTGTGAGCCGCGGTCAGAGGCCCTCAAGCTCGAGCGAGATGAAAAACGGATGGCCACCTTCTTCTGCTTTGAGAAGAACGAGCGTCAACCACCTCTGGGTGTGTCGGAAGCCTGTGGGAAGGTTTTGGAGGAGGCTATTTCCTGGATGACCGACTATGAAGCATATGGTAAGCTATCAGTCCCTTCGGGCTCGACTTTCAATTAATTACATCAAATTAAACCCATGCGTATATAGCGAAGCAATAAAGAAAGAATTTAGCATCGGGATTGGGGATCGGCTGGGTTTACGGTTTATAATTGGGACTGGGTTTTCATTTTTGGGGGGCGTGTATATTATTGAATGTAACGTACATATAGTAAAACAAATACAAGACAGAAGAGAAATATGCGCCGTAAGAGAAGTACAGTACATTAAAACAAAACAAAAAAACCGTAAACGTATATACACAATGTTCTATAAGAGTCTATCCGACACACTACTCGTATTCACCGTCGGTACCTTCTCAGCCTTTAGTCTCTCAGCCTTTAGTCTCTCAGCCTTTAGCCTCTCAGCCTTTAGCCTCTCATCGAGAACCTTTTTTATATCCATCGTATTCATCTTCTTCTTCGTCGTTACAATCCCCGCCTCCTCCCACCTCTGGAACACCTTCTCGCCTCTCTTAGCCCACTTTTCGGCCCATTCTTGCGCCTTCTCAGGCGTCTTCACCTGCTCCCTCCACCTACTCTTCAAAATCCTCCTGATTGCCTCCCCGCTCACCTCAAACTTATCAGCCAGCATCTTGGTCGTAATCTCCGGGTGATTCTTGCGCAACACCCGGATGGCCTCCTGCGCATCTGGCGAGAGCTTCTTGGGGGGCGCCCAGGCCTGCCCCTTGAACTTCGCCTGCAGCCGCGCCTTGTAGATGTGCCAGGGCTCGACCTTGTCCCGGGGAGCAGTAGCAACCCATTTCTGGAGACGAGTGGGCTCGCGGTCCGTCTCCGGGATTTGAAGGTCCCATTTGTTCGTGTATTGGTCGGTTTCAAGAGACTCAGGGCCCTCAAGTACATCCGGTGCTGCACCAAACCGCTTCTGCTTTTGGAGGGTAAGTCTTGGGGGAGCTCTGGGCGTTTCGAGGGCAGATTTCTGGTCCGACGATTTTAAGTGTTCCCGGGGAGCTCGCGGGGCCTGCGGGGTATGTTCGGTGCTGGTGGCTTTTCGTGTGTCCGAGAAGAATTGATCGTATTTATGAGTTTTTGAGGAATCTCCTTCCGTTTCTGCTGTGGCGATGCCGGCGGCCTCCCGTTCTGCCGCTCTTCGTTTCCTTCTCTCCCGGTTCTTCTCTAGACTTTGCTCGGCCTTCCGGGCCTCCTTTAGAGCGATCTTGGCCTCTCGGGCAGCCTTTTTTTCTTCCCAGGCCTTTCTCGCGGCCTTCCTGGCAGCTTTCGCAGAAGCTGTCTCTGAACCCTCCGCGGAGTCCGCCTCTGAATTATTGGTCGTTCCATCGACTTCTTCGCCCTCCTTTGCGCTCACACCCTCCGCTGTGTCGGTTTTTTCCTCCCCCGCTATGGCGGTCGTTTCTTCCACCGCAGGCGCCACTACGGCAACATCAACCTCCTTTATCTCTTCTGCAGGAGCCAGTGCCGCCGCCGCTGCCGCCAGCCTCTCCCTCTCCTCCCTCTCCCTCTTTCTCTTCCCCTTATTATTCTTCGGCGTCAGACTATACGTCTGCTCACCCCCATCCAAAGTCCAATACGCCTCCCTCTTCAAAATCCCTACCATCTTCTTCCCCTCCCCCTCCTCTACCGCAGCCAGCTCCTCCACACCATCCCACCACGCCGCCCCCTCCCCATGCGGCGATGTAAGCTCTATATCCGGCTCACTCTCCATGCGCCTCACCTCCGGCACCGGCGGCGGCCACCCAGACTGCACCGCCGTGCCTATCGCGGCCGGCACCGTCCCCACAAGGTGGTAGTCAAAGGGCACATAATCGTCGTCCGTGAGCTCGCCGCCGAGCGTCGCAAGAGTACTCTGCTTCCGTGCCGTCAGGTGTATCGCGAGGCGCGCATACGCCGGTACTCTCTGCAGCCCTGCTGTTCGCAGCAGTGGCAGTGGCCGCAGCGGGAGTTGATTTGCGTGCAGGAATAACCGCAGGACCCGCGTCGTGCAATTGAGGCAGGCCATTTGTCTGTGAGTAGTTTTTCTCTTTCCGTTATGGCGGAGATGGAGGTTGCGTGGGAATAGAAAGTGAAAAAGTGGTGGGGCCGGGATTGGGTCGAAATCTTTTTTTTTTTCTTCTTTGCTAGTGGCGCATGGGATGGGTGGGATGTGGGGGGGCACGTGAGTGCCAAGAGTCAGAGAATGTCACTCGCGTGCTGGCGATCATTGGTCTCTACCCCACGCACTCACGTGGGGGATGATGCGGATCGAACAGCTGCCCCAGACATGAACGAGATCTTACTTAGGATCACGAATGATGTATGTATGTACCTACTCGTATTTTCCTGACGTTTGTAAAAATGACCGGGTCCGCATATGAGGTGCAGGAACCATGCAGAAGACGTGTAGTCCAGTAACGAGTGATAATACTGTCCGAATAGTCTCCGAACTGAACCATAACAAAGAAGTAGGTCACGGTGAAATGTGAAATGTAAATAACGCGAGTACTCTGTCCTATTCCCAGATATTAGCAATGCCTTTTGTCCCACGAGGGAAGACTACTCCCATGGGGAAAAGGGGTCAAATCATTGCCCTTTCCTCACTGACAGGAGTACGAAGAATGACACTATCTCAGATATCAGCGAATTCTCAGGTGAATCTATCTACCTGCTGGAAGATAATCAATGAGGCGAGAAGGAGATCACAAGAGAATGGGATTGCGGACCTCTGTGCAGATGAGAACTGTAACAGAGCCACAGTAGGGCTGTTACAAAAGTAACTGTTCTACCAGTCAAGCCATACGACCCTAGGGTAATCACCACTTGTTCTTCATCGATGGGTGAAGATAAGGGCAGATGACCCCTACCTCTATTGGTATGAAGGGTAGGGATCCTGGCGAGCAAGAAGTCTTATAAGTCAAGCTAGGCGACTGGACCAAAACTAGAGCAGAAGGACGAGCATGCCAAATACGGAAGGGTAACCCCAAACATAAGTTACCCTACCTTGGAAGTCAACCTTTGAGGTGCAATAACTTAGCAACCGATGCTCGGAAAATATGCTTTACCACGTCAGGAAGGATCCTGACGATGCTCCGGTCCATTTGGGGTGGTTGAATGAACGGATTGCGGAGTTGAGGAAACACTGCAAAATAAACACGTTTTAGACCCCAAAAATAACCCCCGGAGCGTCGAACCGCCGGAACCCTCCTGTTTCAGCCCGGAGCACCTTTGAGGGGGAGTAGGAGTACGACCCAAGCTACTAAAAGCAAACCTCGCTTTACAAAAACACCAAATCTGTTCTAAAACAAATTGAATAAGCAATTGCTATCTGGTCGGTTGTTTCCGCTAGTTCTTAGGATCCCGACCAGCTCTTGGCAGAGATTGCGTGATTTGACTCGGGCGGAAGTTCGTCCGAGGGGTGGCAGCAACTCCTCTCGCCCCTCATAGAAAAAAGTCGCGGTGTCCCCGGACTAGGGGAAAAAACGAAGGGTCTAGGGAGAAAAAAAGCGGGAAAAAAGGGGCGGAACTTCGATAAAAGTACTCGGTTGCCCCCCAGTTTGAACTCGGGGAGTGATGGAATCTTTACTAGCGAGGAGACCCCTTAAAGTTATTAAGTTTTTAGACTACAAATACGATCAAACAAATAAACTCCATCTTTCGATCGAACGAGCCCAATGAATCCATCGTTGCCCGTTACCCTTTCTATGTCAGATCGAAGTCACGGTCGTGTATCATCCTAGCACCCCCGTTACAGTATAACTTTAAGCTCCTCGCTTAAAGAACCCCGACGAAAGGAAAAAATTTTACCGGAACATCTGGGACCACTCTCAACGCTGAAATAACCAAGCAGTTAGCTTTTTTTTTATTCAGCTCGGGCTGGCATGGGAGAGGCGAACACGTTACTATGGTCTCCATTGTATCCGTCAAAGGGTTATAGCGCCCACATTCGCTCAAAGGGATATAGCGCCCAGCTTCGCTCGAAAGGAGACCACATCTAGGACCGCTCCTAGAAAATCCTGATAGCCCCATTGGTCAGAGGACCCCATTTCCCATCTGGGCCCCAGTCCCAACCACAGTCAATGTCCCTCCGTCCACGATGACGACAGGCAGGGTCCGGAAGAGGAGGATAACTGGCTTTCTTCTGGCGCCACCATGCCTCGTAATGCGCTTCGAGTGCCAGTTTCTGTCTCTCATTCCGCTCTTCTTGTGCCACTCTCTGCCGCATCCACTCCGCTCCCCTCCCATCTCGCTCAATCTCCTCCCGCATCCACCGCACCTGTTCCCGTTTCTCCCTTGCTGCTGCACGGACACGAGCCTGACCAACACTCCTGTCCCCTTGTTGGAAGAAGGGATAAGGACGATGGAAATCCTCCCGAGTCAGAAACGGAACCTGGTTGAAATGGCCGTCGAAGGTCGAGGTCTCCAAACCTCGAGGAACAGCTTGTCTGTGGAAACATTAGCGGGAGTAAGAGGAGGTTACAAGCCCCACTAAACCATGCCTACCTCACAGCACTCCGTGATCGGACAGGTTTCCGAGTAACTCTCCGAGCATATACAGAGTTACCACCATCCAACTTTAGGAGATCGGTAATAACCGGACATCTTGAGGATCTAAGCCTCGTCTCCCGGCGAGATCGACTAGCGTTAGATAAAAGCGCTTGTACGATAGACGAATTGACCGCGATGAACAAAGAGAGGAATAGAATAAAGAAAAGCATTGTTGCTGAGAAGAGGTAATAAATTTGGTTTTGTGTGTGGAAAAAATCGAATTTTTGTGGAATGGATAGAGGGAATGGATTCTTACCCTCCCAAGTTCGACGGGTACCCCGCTTTTATAAGCGAACTCCTATCCAAGTTCCGAGGATCAACGTGGTTACCCGTAGCAGGAGTTCGGTCCGGCTCTAACCGAACCCGAGATTAACCGTCGGAAGAGACAAGGACACCGAATTGACCTGGTTTGAGGAAGGCGTGCGTGCGTTCGAAGTCCTGAAAGAGGCGTTCCAATCCGCCCCCGTATTAGCCCTCTTTGATGCTGAGCTAGCCACCAAGGTTGAGACCGATGCCTCCAACTCCGCCAAAATCTAACATATGGTCCCAATTCCACTGAGATGACAATAAGTGCCATCCAGGAGTCCTTTACTCCAAAAAGGGAATTCGCGAGCCGAACGGAATTATGAAGTTCACGACAAGGAGTTAGGTGCCATTGTGTCATGCTTCAACGAGCGAAGTCACCCAGGAGGAACCTCCAGCCGGAGGGAAACCTCGGTGGAAAAAACCAGAACCCAGAACCAGCGGGTAATAGTGGAGGAGATGGAATAGTCCCCCCGGTTGGTGGCGCTTTCCAACACAGGAGAGAGAGACTCAGATAGTTCAGATTCGGAGCATGAGGATGGAGAAAGGTGAGGATGGCGGAGATACCTCAGGAAGATGCTGGAGAAGCAGCAGAGAGAGAGAGCTCTGGCCTCCATAGCCCAGTTCATGAGACCTCCGGCCCCCCCTCACTCCCCTCCACTGCCTCCAGTGGCCGAGAACCAAAGACACCCCCTCTGGCCAAGTTCAATGGCAAAGCAAATAATGTGCGGACCTTCATCGGGCAATGTGAGAATGTCTTCTCCATTGAAAGCCAGTCTTTTACCTCCGAAGAGGTTAGGATCCGATATCTTCTGCCAACCAGATAGCTGGGATGTCTGTGGTGTGAGATGAGAGATGGAAGCGCTGGGATTCCTTTGTGGATGCTCTCACAGAAGCCTTTGGCGAAGCCATCTCTAGGGATGATGCGGTAGCCTAATGGAATAACCTCACCCACGCAGCCAAGGGAGGAACAGACTCCTCCCGAATAGCATTATTCAGCTGATGTGGAAGACTGGCTATGAGGGTCAGTTAGTGAATGATAAGATCCTCAGTTCCCTCCTTCCGGACCTAGGCACGAGTTGTGCTCTCTTTACCCCGTTACACTCTGGGCTTCCTCCAGCCTGGGTTTGCCAAGGGTTTATCCCCGGAATCCGACAGAGCAAAAGGCACTGAAACCGAGATAAGCTCGAGGGGCGGCCTACCTCGCAGTGTTTGGCTTCAAAATTGTATACCGCCCTGGAAAACTAAAACGCCAGAGCAGACATCTTGTCGCGGCGTTGGGACCACGCCCTTAAAGAGGGGGGTAAGGCTCATCAAGACCCTGAAATTCGCTTGTTTAAGCCAGGACAACTTATAATGGGTTCTGTCCAATACCCGATCGTTATGATCAACTCAGCATGGACAAGAGCAGCCCAAGTCTGCAAAACTCACACCGGTGCTCCCGGATGAAATCTAGGCTCGAGCAGCCTTAGATCCAGGGTACCTTTCCTTGAGAAAAGCCATTGAGAACACCTCCGGGAATCTGGTGAACCGAGACCTCACTTTAAAGGATGGAGACGTCTTCTATAAGGAAAAGTGGTACATTCCAAATCATCGAGAACTGGAGCTCAAGATCCTGAGCGCCCTACATAATTCGAAGACTGCTGGTCACTTTGAACAATTCAAAACGGCAGAACGCCTTCAGGCACTCTCCTTTGGCTAAAGATGGACAACAATGTGGAAGAATACGTTCGGAGTTGCGATACATGTCAACGCGTTAAGGCCTCAACACACAAGAAGTATGGGACGTTGCAATCTTTAGAGGTCCCCTCTATGCCTTGGAGCTCCATTTCAATGGACTTTATCGCAAGCCTGACTGAATCTGAGGGCTATACCCATATCTGGGTTATCGTTGACCGTTTTCACCAAAATGTCCCAATTCATTCCGCTCGAGACCAAAGCAACCATTCAAGAGCTTGCTCAAACCTTCCTATGGGAGATATGCCGACTGCATGAATTTCCTGAGGAAATTATCTCCGATCGGGACTCTAGATTTGGAAGAGATCGTCCTCAAACTGACGGACAAACTGAGAGAGTCAACCAAACGCTAGAACAATATCTCAGAAACTATTGCTTCTATCAGCAGGACGATGGGGCAAGAATACTCCCATTTGCGAGTAAGCCTACAACACGGCC